GTTTTATTAGGGAGGACTAAGGGAAGGCGGTTCGCTTAGCCTTCGCTAAAAGAACAAGTTAATAAGGACATTGCTTAGATCTATTATATTAATAGGTGGGAAAAACGACCCCCTTTCTACGCTACTTATGCGCGGGGGGCGGTCCTAATCTATAAYAATCCGCGTATTACGAAGACATTGCCGGCTATCGAGGACGAAGCCGATATTAGATTAGAGTATTAAGTAATTATGCCTACGCTTAGCTTAAGTACAGGCGTTCGAGCTTATCTAGAACAGATTAAAAAATATACGATATGTTTTATTACTAGCTCGCCCGTAGAGGAGATTTATAAGAGCTTTTATACCTAACGCTACGCTTCGGGCAGCTCGGGGAGTTCGGGTAGCTCGAGTAGCCGCTATACTAACACCTTAGACGCATAGCTTAGTTACAGATCGAAGGCTATTACCGGCAACGCCTGTCTTAATACCGCCGCCTTCCGGAGTTTCGTTAATAAATGCTATCTAATCGTCTCCTACTATATTAAGTAGCGTAGCTCGATAGTCCTATGTCCTTTACGCTACCTAAGTTAGTAATAGGTAAATTAATTCTCTTCTCGAGCGCATCCTCTAGCCTAATATAAGGCTATTACTAGTATCTCGCTACTATACTATGCTACGGCATAGACCCTAGTAACTAGTCTTACAACTATAGACTACTATCTAATTATTCCGCTGTTACCTGCCTAGGTTAACCGGTTAGGCAGCTATAGTATTTCTAATAGCAAGATAAAAACGCGGGTAGCCGTATAGATCTATAACCGATCGGAACCGGTATATTTAAATATCTAGTTACGAGGACGGCGGGGAGCGATTATATAAGGGAAGCGCCGTAAGGCTACTAGACGCTCGCGCCGCATTAGAGGAGAGGTAGGGCTATAACCGTCCGTCTAGTATAAGGCTAGCGATTACAACCTCGGCCTAATATCCCGAAAGCTCCCTAAGGTACCGCTAGACGACTAGCTATATAAAAACGTATTATAAGGCACCGGCAGGTTAAGGATTTGTTTAGAGGCGAAGCCCTTCTATACTATCGCGCGCCTTCTCTTAACTATTACTTACCGGCCTTTAGTTAAACACGGTAGTAGCTAAGTAGTTAAGATACACACGTCTAAAGTAGATAGCATCGTCGACATACGTCGATCGAAACGGAGCCTAGGCGCCGGTAACTTTACGGGTGTCCGTAGAGGAGTTCTATATCCTATATTGCTAGCGGTCGAACGGCCTAATCTTAAAGAGGCATAAGCAGTATGCGATCGTTAAGCCCTACCCCTCCTCGTATTAGTGTCGGTAGCGGTATTAGTATTTCGCCCGTCTAGAATTCGACTACTATACTACTACCTAGCGCTACTCGACGTAGTAGGAGGGCAATATCTAATCGATACTAGTAATAGTTATGTTAGTATCCGCGATCTTTAGCCTAGGCTTAACTATCGTCTAATCGTTTTGCTATTATTATATATATAGGAAACAAGCGCAAATTGCCCTGCTTTATCGTCGATTCGCTAGTCTAGTAGCTAGCCTCTCCTACGTATATCGTCGGAACTACAATCTCCGGACGGGCTCGGCGAGAGAGGTTACGAGATTATATACTAGAAGTCTCGGCGTAGTGTGTATTTTCGACTATTTAAGCGAAGGGTATGTTTTAGAAGAGGGTACGCGCACGCCGAGGGCAGGTAGAATTATAGGTAAAATAATAGTAAGGCGCGCACATTCGCGATAGTTAAGAATAATAGGTGCCGTAGCGGGCTTACGGCGCGGCAGATAGTAGCGGCGAGCGGTTAAAGCAGATATCGTATAGTATTTCGAAGGTATAGAGTGCGTGTCGGTAGGTGTCGATGTAATGCGCTAAGCCTAATACGGGCTTGCCTCGTCCGTAGACTACGGAGTACATCAACATTAACACTCATACCCATCATTAGGAACACGCGGGCTCTAGACAATGGAGTATCACTCCTTGCAATTGTTCGCTTACTCATCGACACGAAGCCCTCGCGTTGCAAGCTCTCAATTATCCAATTCATCGTCTCTTCTACTGGCTAACATCCTGCAGATAGGCAAAGACGCCGGAGCAGCAAAAAGCAGCAAGCAGGCCGGTACGACCGGGACATGCCTTACCAATTAGGTCAAGTTGTAGGTGTTGTTGGATTGCTCTCGTCACCCGAGCGTAATTGGGTCAAAGAGCCTTTCAGCCTTACGTTCGAATGCCCTACGGACGAATATGGAAGATGCTGTCGGGTACTACCAGACTGTAGACAGCATCATCCCTGGTGAGCCGCCCTGTTGTCTAGATGTTACGAACGATATCCTTGCGGACACTTCAACCGCGAGACTTTTCGTCCCACGTGTGCATAAAAAGTCTTCTGCACATGCCTGCTGAGTTTCTTTGTCCATCAAAATCGGTATTCCCAAACGTCTGCTCTTTTCCATTTTGTACTCCGACCCCGCTGATGAAAGAGCTGAGTTTCTTTGCCCATCAAACCCATCAAACCCCACCGTCTGCTCTTTTTCACTCTGTATTCCGACCCCATTGATGAAAGAGCGAGTTGTTTCCATGCGGAAATGCATGTCAACTGAAAGAGCTCTTCATGCACACGCCAGCGAGCACTATCAAAAGCTGAGTCGGCCCGCCCGTTCTCTTCTACTCCTATCAAACTCATCCTCAGACCCCATCAGGCCACCAGGCACTACTCTTCACTTTGCTCTTCTTTTCAAGCACAACAGACACCAACCCATCCTTAGGGAATCTGGACTATCCGAAACGGAACTTTTTGCAGAGGACGCCCACCGTACATTCACCAACACACAAATGCCGTGGAGCTGCTGTTCATGTAGTTCAACCAACTCGGGTGGAATTGTGTCCACCTGGTGTAACAGTTGTGGTCACAATACTTCCGGATGCTCTGGCTGCTTCGCATACAAGAGGTTCATATGGAGCAGATCATCCACAAGAAAGAGATGCTAGTATTCCCAGCCAACGAGAGTGTTATGTGAGCATTGGCATCCTGTAGATCAATACTAAATCAAGCTGCAAATCACTTTCAAAATGCTGTGGCAATTCTCGGTGCTGTAGAGATCTTCTGGCAGGAGACTTGGTGGAGCCCAAATAGAGAGCCATTCGTGAAATTAACATCAAGTTCTTGTAAGCAAATGTCTCAAGGGAAGCTTTGATGTCTGAGGAAGAGAGTTGGGGACCAGATGGCTGGCATGAAACGCTCGGACCACATTCAGATTTTGATGTAACCTCCACCTTCTCTGCTTCTCCCTATCGCTATCCATAACTTGCACTCTATCCGCTCCGTTCCATCTCGCATCCATCGTCCATGCGTCCATGGAGGGCGAACAAAGCTGATTCTTGACCACTATCAATAGATCACCGAAAAGCGTGCACGACGCGTTGAGAAGTTATCCTAATGTGCTGAAGCGCGTCACTCTCTGTGGAAACGAACAGCACGCATCATCACGGTCGCTTGTTTCCCTGATGCTGACCATACTCTCCGTGGCTCACAGAATACGCCGGTATACTCGCTGTGCAAGCCCGCCGGGGCCGATGCCCGAGCGCTCAGCCCACGTTACAAGAAAGAGACAGAGGTGCAATGCGATCGACTGCGACTGTGTCATTGTGATACGTATTTGTAAGTCCATTTCTCGAAAGAGACGGTGCAATTGACCGTTGCCCAAAATTTTGTGGCCTGAACGGACCGTTTGGATTGCCACGGCGATCCAACGCTCAGAGCTGCCGATATGAGGATTGAACGTCCTCAGTCATGCCCAGGGTGTCTCAAGGCCCCGATCTCTGCAGAGTCGACCATCTTAGGCCTGCTAGAACTATTGCTACTAGCAGAGTAGCCAGTTGTTCAATCGAGAGAGTAGTTCAGGGCGCTGTTCTGTTTGATGGTTTCTCATATCGACAGCTCTGCCAACGCTGCTGGATCTCTCCATTCGACACAGCAACGCACATTGCCGTGCAAAATCCGTCGCTCCGGAGACGATCGAATCGTGGAAGCGAACGTTAGATCCAGCATCTACGATCTCGATGATGCTGTCCCATCTAATGGATGCCTTGACTGGAGCTGCTTTGCTCTCGGAACTAGACCCGGGACAAATCGAGGACATCTGGTTGTCATGCCTTCGAAACGCCGTTTGTTGCTACCTCTCGGCGATCAGCACGCGGAGGCGATACTCTACCTGGCTCCATGTGCTCTATCCGCCGTCTGTGAACGCCATACGTGGCGCGGTGTAGTGTAGCAACCGTCGCGATGCTCGAGCGAGTAAAATGCTATGACTTGCTCCCTTCCTCTCCATCTCGGAAAGTTGTTCATTTCTTCTCCTCTTGCTGCAAGATTGTCATCCGCCGGCCGAACACAAGATCATTCCGGTCCTGAGCAAGATATCGATCTCTCATTACACCTTCGCTATGTCATTCTTTGCAAAAGCCGYCGTGGCTGCTCTCGCAATCCGCGATGGTCCATCCGATGGTTTCACTTCAGGAATTCCAGCCGCTGTTGCTCCGATGGGCGCTGCACCTATTGTTCCGTCAGCTGCATATGCTGGTACAGTTCCACCTGCTTCAAGCCCAGGTATGTACAGGAATACGACTCTGTCACTTGACGCTGACACCCATCAGCTCTTACCGCTTTCGCAACACCCATGGCTGGCAGCGCTGTCAACATTTCACAGGGCTGGAATACAAGGAGCCTACCGCCGTTCCTGACTGACAACCCGACACCTCACGGCTACCCGTGGGGGACTATGACAGCAAACAATACTAATTATTACGACGCGTGGCCTGAAACAGGGGTGACACGATACTATGAATTTTCAGTCGCGAGAGGGGCATGCAGTCCAGGTATGCATACGTTGTACATTTCAGTGATCATGAACGGAGCTAACAGTGCTCTATTACAGACGGCGTTGAGGTTGAGTGCATTCTTGTTAACAACGAGTTTCCAGGTCCGATCATTGAAGCGAATTGGGGAGACATGGTGAGTAGAATGCAGCCTTCACAAGAGAGCCAATGCTGATGCTCCCCAGATTGAAGTGACAGTCACAAACAACCTCGACGAARGCACATCCATACACTTCCATGGATTTCTTCAGAAAGATACGCAGTTCATGGATGGTGTACCTGGAGTGAGCCAGTGCCCCATTGCTCCCCAAAAGACCTTCACGTACCGTACACGAGCGCAGTTGTACGGCAGTGCATGGTACGCCGATACGAAGATCTGATGTATGCTCAGTTTCCTGACTTCTGTACTAGGTACCACAGTCATTTCGAAGAACAGTCTGCCAATGGATTCTACGGCCCGATTGTAGTCTATGGGCCAAAGAACGCAGAGTACGACGAGGATCTTGGCCCGATCCTTCTCGGAGACTGGGTGCACGCATATTACAAGGACCTCCTCGATGAGCTCATGGCTCCATTCCCGAACGCGAAGATTCCACCAAGCGACAATGTGCTCATCAACGGGCTGAATCCTTACTACGGAGCAGCAGGCGCTGCAACTGCCAAGTTCAATGTCCAGAGTGGAAAAAAATACCGTCTGCGTCTGATCAGTTCGGCATGCTCCTCGACGCAGAAGTTTACTATCGATGGTCACAATGTTAGTATACGGCAAGGAAAGTCAGCTCGTTGAGGCTAACCATGTACCGCGCAGATGACGATCATCGCCAATGATTTCGTCCCAGTCAATCCCTATATATCAGATCACGTCACGCTGTCGGTTGGCCAGCGGACCGATGTTGTCGTCGAGTTCAACGCTGACCCGACCACGTCGATCTGGATGCGGACTTTCATTGCACCCTGCTCCGAGGCACAAGGACAGACTGAAGCCAAAGCAGCCATATTTTACGAGAATGCAGACATGGACGCCCTGCCTACGTCTTCTCCAGGACCCAGCGCCTACGACACATTCTGTGGCAACGATGATCTGGCGCTGGCGACTCCATTCTTCCCCATCACTCCGCCAATGCCTTCCCACGAAGATGTCATACCGATCTCTGCTCAGTCCAACGGCACTCATCTGCTGTGGTATATGCAGGGTCGGACCTTCCGCACCAACTACAACGATCCCATGCTGCTTGAAGCCAAACTGGGAAACACGGATTTTCCTTTTATCGCAAATGTGCRCAATTATGGCAGGAACTCATCGGTCCTTTTCGTTGTTGAGAACACAGGTTCCATGCCTCATCCGATGCATCTTCACGGCCACAATATGTTCATCCTCGCCGAAGGACCCTGCACCGACAACAACTTCGTCTTCGGCCGAAGCGATGGTCACGCAGAAGCGAGAATCGATGGTGGAGACCAGACGTACGGTAACTGCTGGGACGGCCATATCACCAACCCGGAGAACCCGCAGCGGAGAGACGTGCAAACAGTGATGCCAGGGCAGTACATTGTGGTCCAGTGGATCCAGGACAATCCGGGAGTCTGGCCATTGTAAGTGTTACGTCCCTGGGATTTGTAGAAGCGCATCTGCTAACTCGTATCCTCTAGCCACTGTCACTTGACCTGGCACTCGGCCACTGGCTTTGTTTGGACCGTGCTGGAGCGGCCGGACGATATCATGAACATGCCAATTCCCAGCACAGTGGCGCAGACATGCCGTGACTGGTCCGATTGGAGCGGAACCCACGTGGTCGACCAGATTGACGATGGCTTGTAGGCATTGCATCCTTGGCGGGAATCGATTACATTCTTGGGCCCTCGCTGGCGAGGTGTACCGTTTTTGTCATAGATGGGCGGGTACAGTCAGAGCTGCCTCCAAGCGTAATGATTACGATTTGACGGCAGGAGAGATTACGGGTATTGTAATAGAGAGAGTATTTCTTTGAGTATTGGTGGCCATAGACAACGGCTTTGGAAGATTAGTCTGGGRGTGTGGAAGGAGATTTATATAGTAGTAAAGATCGAGATCGAGCGTGYCCAGGTGGACATGCATGTAAGGTAGGCACAGATTCCCACCTTTTAATCCACGCCTTAGAAAATACAGATGTTAGTACGCGCTTAGCAGAACTCAGCTCTCGTTTGAACGATCTAAGCTTTGTCAAGGTATAAACGTGAACAGCTTCCCTCTTCTCGTCGGTGTGCACGCAGCTGCATGCAGCATGAGCATGTCACATGCAGCGAAGGGGTCCATCCATGGTCCAAGGATCATGTTCTCCCCAAGCCGATTTACCCGGCCCGCCGACGCTGGGATTCGTGCGAACAAATTTCCCGTCATCTGACACTGCGCGATCTCCTCCATCAGATCCCGATGCGACGCTCTCCGCACTTTGCGCGCACAAAGGTGGGGAATCTGGGGATACCACGCTCCGTGAGCAGGCTGAAGTGAAGCTTCATCTCCACTTACCGTTGACCTCGTGGGCGGAATAACGTCTTTTTGGGTTTGTTCCTGCAGCATCACTCGAAGTCCCACAGGGTCGAGCATGTGCAATTTCTAGATAATCTTACCCTCTCCGCGTTTGCTGTTCCACCACCCTTTCTGAGCTTCCGAGGTGATCGACTAGACATTCAACCCATCTCTTGCTACATCCACTCGCTGCGATTACAAGACTCGAGGATGCTTTCCTCACTGGCATCGCTGCTCATTGCAGCTTCCAGCATTGTTGCGGCTCAATCGCCGTTCCCAGACTTCACCGGCGACCCATTCAAGAAGTACGAGCTCAGCGCGAATGGCATCAATGCTTCCTTCATTCCCTACGGCGCGCGCTTGACGAACCTCTACGTCTACGACAAGAACAACAACTGGCAGGACGTCGYGATTGGATATGACGAGGGATCGCAGTACCTCGAGGACACTGTAAGTTGCATTGCGGATTCACGTCCCACCGAGACTAGCAAAAGTACTAATAGTCTCACAGTTGACGAACCACACCGTAAGACACGTGTACAAAGTGATGTAATACGCCCTTTATCAGTACTGACCTTGCGATAGAACTTTGGCAGTTTGGTTGGCAGATATGCGAACAGGTATGTCAGTAGAGCCAATTCTCCACTACTCGCATTAATACCGTCAAATCAGAATCAAGAACGGCACCTTCACCATTGATGATCAAGTTTCGGAAATCCCCAAGAACGAGCACAACGGCACCAACACCCTCCATGGTGGCCTGGTGGGCTACGACCAGCGCAACTGGACTGTTGTCGCGCACACCACCTCCAGCATCACCTTCTCATACTACGATGCTGCCGAGCAGGGCTTCCCCGGTGATCTCATCAACATCGCAACATACACCCTCACTGCCGACTGCGAAGGCCCGGCGTTCGTTTCGCGCATCGTTTCCATCCCACTGAACGAAGCTACCCCTGTCATGCTCTCCAACCACATCTACTGGAACCTTGGCGCCTTTGTCGATGACAATGCAATGACAGTCTTGAACAACACACTCTACATGCCTTATGCAAAGCGTCGGATCGGAACTGACGGCATCCTCGTCCCCAATGGCGAGATACAGCTCACTGCCGGTACGGGACTCGATTTTACTAAGCCAAAGACTACCATCGGCCAGAATGTCCCAAACACAGAGGGAGACTGCGGGACTGGCTGTACGGGAATTGACAACGCTTTCATCACGGATCGTCCACCATATTCGGCTCCCCAAGATGCTAGCTTGGAGGTGCTGAGGTTGATGGCACCAAGCACTGGTATTCAGCTCAGCGTTGAGACCAATCAGGGTGGTATTCAGCTGTACAGCTGTGTCAGCCAGAACGGAAGCATCAAGGTGAAGAAGAGCCAGCAGCACGTGCCAGGACAGGATGTGGGCATTCCTGCTTTTGGGTGCTTGGTGATTGAGACGCAGGATTGGATTGACGGCATCAACAACCCGCAGTGGGGCCGCGAGGAGTACCAGATCTTCTCGCCTACGACGGCGCCGGCTGTGRGCTATTCGAAGTTCAAGTTCAGCGTGGTGGAGAGCTGAGAAGGCGGATTGGAGCCTGTCAACGACCGAATCAATGAACCAGCGTATTAGCGGGAACAGTGTCCATAGCAAGACAACGACGCTCGAAGAGCACTCGAACAGCAAGCGTTCTCCCTCATACGATGTGAGAAGTGACAATGGGTGATCTGCCGATTGCATTGTAAGTGTGTTGGCGGCGCATGCTCGTGGATACGCTCTCGTACTTCTGGTGTTTTGAATTAAAGCACAGCTGCCAATATGGCTCTCTCATCACCTGTTGATCTATTGACCGTGAGCCCCCAATATGTGTGCTGCCGCCTCTTTCGGTTAATCACAAGGACTGTTCTCCGCTATCCCAAGTCTAGCCGAACCTGACTTTATGGCCGTTTCATCCCAATGGTCAGTCTCCTGCCTGGTTCCGGGTCATCGCACTGATCATACGGATCAAATAGATGGCATAAGACTGTAGCTGCTGATACATTGTATCCGTTGTGCTCCGGTGCGTTTTTTCCTGAAATGCGCGGATCCCACTAATTGATGGAAGTACATCTCATCACGCTCCAACCAATTTTTGAGGATGAGAACTGCACGCGCACTATGGGAAAAAATACATCGTTGTAACTTGTCGGCAGAGAACCGTCTAACATTGGAATATCGGCCGCGCGCTAGCCTTATTTGAATTTCACGCTTGCCGCTTGCCGTAGCCACCCTCTCGACGCTCGCCCATCCATCGACCTTCCCTTGACGACCTCGTCGAGTCACCATCGTCCAAACTTCACCTGCACTGCCACCACGTCTGTTGAATCTGACAACTGACCACCGCCTTCTAGAGCATCGCGTTCAAGATGGCGCCCAAGCGCAAGGCGGAGACGCTCGAGGAAGCACTCGCGCGCCTGTGGTGCTATTACTGCGAGCGCGACTTTCCCGGCTTCAAGGACCTCTGCGACCACCAGCGATCAAAGCATTTCAAGTGTACATTCGACCCGCGCAGCTGTAATCGTAAACTGCAAACAGCTGGCGGCCTGAAAGTGCACATGCAGCAAGTGCACAAGTCAGATCTCCAAGAAGTCCCAAACGCTGACCCAGGTCGCCGCGCCTTGGAGCCAGAGATCTTCGCCATGGACGGCGTGCCCCAGCACCTCATCGAGAAGCACAACGACGCCATCATAAAGCGATTCCAGCTCGAGGAGGCCGAGTACATGCGGAGGACTGGCAACTCTCTCCACGGCACCAACGAGCCCAACAAGAAGCCGAAGATTGACGTCGTCGCCGTCGCCGAGGACCAGAAGGCCAAGGCTCGTGCCTTCAAGGAGAAGAAGATGGAACAGAGACGTCTCATCAAAGAGGCACTTGCTCGTGGTGAGGAGCCTCCAAAATTCGACTCCATCACGACGTCTACCGCGCCGACTGCCACCACACCTGCATCGGCCGCTCCTGTTATGCCCACTGCTGTGGAGACTTCCGCCTCACCACCCAACGCCACAGCATGGAACATGCCTCCGACCGACGGCCCACATGTCCCCAGCCAACCGGCGTACGCTGCCCACCCACTTCCCATGGCGCCCCACTCCGCCTACAACGCTCCGCCCATGCACAATCCCTATGCTTCACACGGCGTTCCGATGGGCTACCCGCCCGTCCCCCAGGGCATGGCGCCACCGTTTCAGATGCCTGGTCTGACGCCCAGCCACTCCGCGGACCTCTTCCGCGAGCAGCACCCCATGCATGGCCTGCCGTCAATGCCGCCATCCATGCCAGCATCTCAGCTGCCCACGCGCCCCACTGGACTACCTTCACTTCCGCCCCGCCCCGCGCCTGCCATGAGACCCCACATAGCCAGTAAGTACGTTGATCATGCGCGTGTGATAGTTTACTGACGTGATTCGCAGCGCTCGAGGAGATTGAGACCATGATCGACGATACAAAGCGCAAATATGACGCTCAGAAGCAGATGAACGAGATGAGTCAAAAGACCGTTGCGCAGCCTGACACAAAGCTCAACACCGCCAGCAGCTCTGATCCACCCAGCAATGCCGCACCTACACCTGCACCAACCAGTGGCCACGTTGCTTTGTTGATGAAGAACAACAGCGTAAGCTGGGAAGAGAGACGGGCTCAGCACCCACGATACGAATCAAAGGGGCCCAAATGCCTCGCGCCCGCCTTGGCATGATGGTCTAGGCACGACTACAAGTGGGTTCAGCAGTGGGTTTGAGCGGTTTCGCGCTTCGTCCTCTGGTTGCTTTGTTTCTTTTCTTCCGGCGTGAAGGTTCATGTTCACGCCAACAGTGAGTGTTTCTGTTACCCAAAAGTGCTGGCAAGGGGCACAGATGAGAGGATTGTTTGACTGTGGTCATCCCCAAGAGTGCTGGAACGGGGCACGGGAGGAAATCTTCGACCGCGGTTGACGCAGACCGTGGCATTCATGGTGAGCAAGAGGTATGTCTTGTTGATGCGCGCGGGAGAGGTGCAGTTAATAGGCGGACTGCGGTGTACAGTAAGTGAGAGTCGGAAAATAGATTTCAGAAAACGAGCATGTCTTATTAAACTGCGCGTGCATATCCATCAGACAGTATTGATGCTGGGCTTGGAAGAAATACGATGGTGGCTCGCTCGCGACGAGCGTCACGAAGCTACAAACTTTGTAACTTGGGCGATCTCCTACATCCATGGACCAGCAGCTGCTCACACAATTGAGAAGCCAAGTCGCTAAGGTGGCAAGCCTCTGCCCATCTCATAACTCGTTTGATCCCGTGATCACGATGGTCAGGAAGAAAATTTGCCACATTGACGCATGGCAACAATCCGAATAGCATGTCAGAAAACTGACGGGGTAGAGGAAGTCTCACAGGTGGACTCGCTTAGGAGAAAAGATTATAATACATGGTTGTTACTTTCATTTCCTTGAACAAAAGGGAAACCGCGGATTTCCACACACTCGCTTCCTCCAAATCACAACGCCAAAGGCCGTTTCCGCTAAGATCCCAAACTAATTCCACCGCTCCAATCTTGCCATTCTTGTTTTACTTTCTCCGTCCTTGCTGCATWGCCAGAATCTGGACCATGCGAACGAAGATGTTGATGAAATCGAGCTCGAGAGCAATGGACTCATTGACGGCGTCACGTCGGAACAGACCACGCTCGGCTAGACGGGCGTGGTTCAGAATCTTCTGGGTGTCGTAGAGGGTGAAGCCACCAAAGACGGCGAGACCTGGGATGCATTAGTAGCGATTCGCATTTTCACGATACGAAGATGCTCGACTTACCTCCATACAACCAGAGGTTCTCGGTCATAGCCAATGCACGGGTAGCAGTGACTGGCAGAACGAGTGGTGCAAGACCAGAAAGTGCCACGATAGCGACACCGGCGAGCAGAGGTCCTCCAAGGTACAGGTACTTTTCCTGCTTGGCGGTGGCACCCACAAAAGCAATCGATCCCATCATTCCGACAGTGTACAGGCCAGCGCGAGCCAGGATGGCAGGGTGGAAGAAGAGCATAGGAGACAAMAGCGCGGCCTGCGTCACGTTAAACCCTGCCCATAGAGCATACTTGAGCATGTAGTTCTCCGGGGGCGTAGCGCGGCATCCCATCATGGTTCCAATAGATCCTACGAGGCCGATTCCCAATACCAGCCACGGGTTCGCGGACATGAGGCGGTAAGACCAGCCGCTGGTATGCAGAGCGCGAGCAGCGATTCCGATGATACCGATTCCCAGGCCTGTGTGTAGAAATGTTTCATTCAGGTAGCTTCGTTCGTAGGGTGGCATGCCGCCATCTTCGCGCGTTTCGCGATTGAAGATGAGGTTGGTGGCTAGGATTGCGCCTCCGAAGATTGCTCCGCCGTATATCAAGCGTTGGGTCAGATTCCCTTGCGCGAGTGGGTTGACGGGCGCTTGGGTCTGGTAACCACGTTGCGAGGAGTGGCGAAAGGCGGAGCGGAAGACATTTTGTTGGTTTGCGGCGAAGGCGGTACGTAGAGGCGTCGACTGCTTGGGGAAGACGTTTGGTGCTTGCGATTGGGTTTGGAAACTGCGGATCGTGGACTTTGATGTCGCTTTGGGGATTTCTTTGGCGATTGTGCTTGCGACTGCAAACGGTCGCCGGAGTATGAAGGCCATCGTTGGAGTGGTGTGGACGTTGTTGGCGATAGAGAATTGATGGAGAAGGGCGCAAGCGTGAAGAGAGATCAGAGGAGCTCGGATATCTCGACGTCACTTCTGGAACTTTCCCGGGAGTCCCCCACAGTCCTTGTGTGCCATGCTTGCCACGTGATTACGAGACTTTTGCCTCACATTTCTCTAACCTCACTCGGTACTGTGTAACATGAAATATGATCGGCAATCGAAGGATCGTCTTGGGAAGCACTTCTGCTCGTCGATTGTTATAGTATGCCCAGAATTTGATTGCAAAAGAATGAAGAATGGAAAGGTGATGCTCTATTATAGGTGTACACTTTTTGGTACATGATGTTCCTACAACGCTTTCATTCTACAGCTTGATCGACACATCATAATGATCCAAAGCCAGCGCGACGCTTGTGAGTACGCCCATGTAAGACACAAGCACTGTCATAGCCCCAACATCGCTCATGTGTAGAGTCGGTATTGTCATGTTGACGAGCCCAGTCAAAAGGTTAGCCAATAGGAAGATCGCCAACCCATTGCGGTTGTAAGCATGCATGACCCTGCTCGTCGCGTCCTGGATTCGCTGCCTCTCAACTTGCTTGCTCTTCGCCTTGTATAGATTGGGGAACATGACCGTCTCGATCCCACAAAAGAGGAAGAGTTGTGCGGTGTTGAAAGTGCACACCCAGCAGACATATGCGAGGTTCGCCATGCGGCGTGATACAAACAACTTTGGGCCATATTTCCACATGGCCCATGTTGAGAAGACGAACCAGAGTGCGGTCCAGAAGCCCAGCCGTGGTAGCGTCTGCTTCGGGAACTCGGGCTTCAACTGTGGCATTTCCATCGCAGGCTTAGCAGGAGCTTGGTCTGCTCGGTCAGATCCACCTAGCACAGATTCCAGCCACTCGGCATCCTCATCCATGGTGTCCTTCACTGGCTTCAGAGGATCGCCAAATTCTGGATCTCGCTCCAGGATGTTGATACCTTGGCCCATGCCAGCGATAAAAATCGCGAGGTAACCAATGAATGAGAATACGCCTTCTCTGTTCTGTGACAGCCAATCTCCTTCGTTTCTCGCAGAGAGAATGATGTAGGCTTTCAAATCCGGGACGCAATATAGCGCAAGCTCATAGCAGATGGCAATGACAAATGCGAAGATGCTGTAAGATGGCACCCACCTCAGAACTGGCTGAAGAACGGCAATGGTTGGCGATAGCAGAGCAAGAGTGAAGAAGAAATTCCAGTGCACGCCGTACTCGCTGACGTGCTCGGCGTAGTCGAGGCTTTTGACAGACCACAGCCGAATGAATCCAAGGATCACCAAGGGAAGTGAGTGACGCATCGCTTCCTTGAGACGTGCGAACATGGAGCGTGGAGCAATGTGCTGTTCCTTGAGTTGCTGACGTGCAGCGACTACACCGGCTGCAAAGACGAAGGAGCCTACGCCCATGTCCATGAGAGAGGTTCCAAAAGACTCGGTCYTGGCGARTCGCCGCGGGAAMACGGGAAAGTCGACGGCCAAGATGCTGGAGCAGGTGATGATCATCATAGCTCCACGATAGGCCGTGATGAATGGCTTGACGGGGAGAATGTCCTTGTCATTCTTGTCTTCATCATCCTTGTCTTTGGAAGGGGGTTTCGCAAGCTCCTTGGCTGCCTCTGGAGCGGGTTGTAGGAAAGCAGCGATAGCTGGAAGAAGAAGCAGGCCGTTGAGCATTTGAGGAGCCGAAGAATACACCGTCGTTGCGAACAAAATGGCGCAACATTGGATTAGGAAGTCCGAAAAAGCGGCAGCAAAAGTGTATGGTTTGAAGAACTTCTGGCGGGTTTGTAGCATCGCCCACAGAAATGCGGCGGCCTGCATCACAGTTAGATCGCGTTCACCATGCATGCAACAGAAGGTCGTACGGGAGCTACCAGGGCGACATGATTGATTTCCCAGATACCACCACCGCCGAGAAATGAGACCGACGCCTCTTTTTCTGCCTTGTATTCCGGCGTCATGGTAAAGAATGAATTCCCTGAGATGGTTTGTAGGAGGAATTGAAGATGGAGGCCAGCTGGAGGTATAAAAATTGCGGCGTCCGATGATGAGCCGGGAGATCCGCCGTGCCAACCGAAAGCCAATTTGGGTGAACGACGGACGACACCTCTCCTCTTCTCCCACCCGACTGCTTCCCATCATGATACTCATCAACATTTTTGTTCGTTTACCATTTCGCGATCCACGTTTGAGTCTATCATGAATCACTCAAGGAGAACAATGGCGACTTGTTTCATGCGCTTTGACTCTACCATGTCCCCGTCTCACCGCCCTCGACGGGTTCCTGCGTCGTGCCTGTCGTCCCCTCGAGATGCGTCTCCCAGAACGCAACATCCCGCTCCATGGAGCCCAATGCATCCATAGCACCCCAGTCCCCGCGGTGCACGTTTCCGTGCCGAGATGAGCGTTCGGTCGGCGACCGCACCCTCACCTCTTGTGTGCGTTGTGGCAATGTCCAACATGCCAAGAGCAAACGTAGGAGGTAGAATGGTGTATGGCAACGCTGTGAGCGTGCTGCACAACTCACGCTCAGTACATCATCATTTAATGCCTCTTCATTTGTCCACAACATCACTCGCCAACGTCACTGTCTGCTCTGCTCTGCCCATCTCAWACATCACCACTGACATTGTCCGGCCTGCTTCAAACATAGTTGAATGCAATTCATCCGCAACTCTGTTCTCTACGAGACATCATTCTCAAGGTATGAATCTTCTCAACCCCCTTTGCCTAAGCCCCCGTGTTCCCCGATTTTTGAAGAATCATCTGTGTCCTCGAATCGACGTGGAGGTGATGGCACAAGCCGCATGCCTGTTCTTGGTGGGCTCCTTCAATGCTCGTGGAGGCTGAAAGCTTGCATGCGGCCATGCCGTCAACTCACGAGGAAGCAATACTTGGCCATGGGATGTTAAAAACTTCTCGATACCTACAAGGGTTCGATCTTCTGGCCTGGTCTTCCTTGGATCATTCTCGCGGGGACGATCATGGAATGGCTGGAACATCGATGTATCCACAACCCGCATGCAGCATCTGTTAAATTTCCTGTTCCGACCGGGATGCGGTCTACTCTGGAATCAGCGAATAAACCAGGCTATATGCGCTACGGAACATAGCTGAGATGCCGGATATCCCTTGTGTCTCTCATTTGAGCATTCGTCAGTATTGACAGTTGTGCTTGAGTCGTGCTTGGTTGTGTCCGAATCGAACGGGCTGAGGTGATCGACCATGGACCACGAGGACTAGGCCCACGGTCAACAGGTCTCTTGCTGTCCGCCGCCATAAACCGCCATCGATCTCAAGGTCCTCGTCTCTGGACTTGTTGGTATTCCTCTGCGCCAGTCATTGGGCCAAAAAGCAGCTCCGTGCGCTGTATACAACGCCGATGGTGTCAGACCATGGGATCAGGCACGAACGTGTGTGGTCCGATACAGCAACACCATGCACCATTGAATCGTCACTCCTGGTTATTCGCTGGCTCGCTGGRGTTTCGAACGGCATTGCTTCTCTCAGAAGCCAGTCCTGAAGTCTGCCAGGGCCTCTGCGGACCAGCCTGGAGGCATCTCGGGGGACTGGAAGAGAACCCCTGGCGCTATCTCGATTGAACGTATCTGTCCCAACTATCTGCCTTGAGCGTGTATTCGAGGGAACCCTTCTCTTGGTTGAGGCCGCCTGGTAGCTAAGGACGGGCTAGGACACGTCGTGGTAGCCCCGTTGCCTTGCTATGCCGCTGTCAATACGGATAGCCGAGCACGTTGGCGTCATGGAGAGGAATGAAAGGCGAGGAGAGATCAGCCAGTACGGTGTGACGATCATGCCCATGTCGACCCGTTTCCTGTCGATATTGCTCCCTTGGCGCATATTGTCTTTCGAGCGATGCCTGCAATGCATTGGCTCGTCCCCATCAGCGCGGCATGTCCGGTCGGCGGTCGTGTCAAAGCATGAACAGACCTTGACAGCCCGGGTCAAACAATCAGGCCCAGGAGGGATTTCTCTGGTGAAGCGCTTCACCCTACCCCACTACTGATTGGCCGCACGAAGCGCATTTAGCTCTTGTCGTCGGCTTGCTTCAACCTTCTCCACTACAACAGCACAAACCTGCTCAAACCGAGCAGAAAACATGACTGACTCGGATCGCAGATCACACAGACTACTCGACAAGATGAAGACCACCGGCGCATCCGCATCGAAATTGCCGCGCTCCTCGTCGCGCTCCACACCCACGGTGATATTTCCCCATGCGTCACCGCAGCTCCTCGTACTGACAACGTCGCAGTCCCGCAGCGACACGCCTTCCAGCAGTGACAAGCCTTCCAGCCGTGACAAGCCTTCCAGCCATGACAGACTGCTCAGCCGCGACAAGCCATTGCCATCCACACCCAATCCTAAGATTGTGCACACCACGGCCCGCGGCGCCAACGCCAACAGATATCTGAGAGGAGACTCACGTCCTCTCAGCCAGTCGTCTGTGAGCCCCTCTCGCATCGGCAGACCCGCTGGTCTTCGTCCCCGCTCTGGTGGAGCCTCATCATTTCGTCGGACTTCTAGTCTTCTGTCCAGCGCCCCTGATACGCCAGACTCATACATCGTCACCGATGAAGAGTCTGCCGGGTTGCGCTCCGTCAACCGCGTGGCCAGAGAAGCCAGAGAAGTCAGAGTAGCCAATGCAAGTCATCCATTCTCCGGATTTCACCGAGCAAGGCTGGTGGACATCGCCCCCAAGAGGAAAAAGGTTAACAATGACCAGTTCTCCAGCTCGCCACCTGCTGCAAGCATTCCCTCAAGCCCATTGCCAACCACTCCATCATATGCCGCACTAGGTGCCTTCGACTTCGATGGCTTCCAGCCTGTTACCCCACAGACAGCAGCAAACAGCGATTCGTCGGTGACTCCACCTTTCACATCATCGCTCCATCTGCCGCCGAGAAGCGACTCTCACGCCCTTGGAATCGACCTGAATCAGATCGCCACTACCATTAATGGCGATGGCGCGTCCCAATATGGAGATGGCCACGAGTTCGAAAATTTCTCGGGCAAAGTGAACGTTGGCGACTTCGACGACGCTGATACCGAAGCCGACGTCCATTCAGAAGTGGCTCATCACTCTCCGAAGGGCAGAAGACTGAAGAGACATGACTCACCAATGGGATCGATTATGAGACCGGCCACAGAAGACCATGCCTTCAGCAGACATCATGCAGCTGAAGAAACGATTGCAGACCGCATGGAATCATTGACATTCTTTCCTGTCGCTGTGCCCCACCCGATTGCTGCACCGCAGCCACATTTCGGAGGCCCCACACATGATCCCACTGCCGGCCTCGCTGGGGTCAGAACTCCGGGYAAGATGCGTGCTGCTGCTGCCGCTGCTGCGCGTGCCGCTGTGCCACCGAGCGAGCCCGGTTTCGCGCGTAGAACAGCCTCGTCTGCCGCCAAGAGCTCAGCGCCTCCTGACATTCCAAGAATGGTAAATATTGATAGAGTCCCACACACTGATGTCATAGGCTAACTCGGAATGCAGTCCAATCGGGAAGTCCAGATGCCTTCCAAGGGTCGCAGAATGATCGGAAAACTCGGCGGTCTCTTCCACAAGGGTCAGAAGAGGGACGACATCGAACACTCGCCTATTCGAATGCGTTTGACCCGCGATCCAGCCAGCAACAAGCTCAGAGCCAAGCGCCAGAGCATCATCGTGAAGAAGCGAGCCTCTACCCAGGCTCCATTCCTCCCCGAAAAGGCCCCAGAAAAGAAGCCATCGCCGCTGGAGAAGATAGAGAGCCAGGTGGCGATCACCCCTGCAACCGTCAGCCATCCATCGACAGAGCACGTTCAAGGGGAAGGCACAGTGCCTAGGTCCTTCATTCCCCTCCCTGCTGCCTCTGGAGAAGCCACCATAGAGCTGTGTCAACGTTTGCTCAATCAGATCACCACCGAGACCGATACCCGTCGCATTAATAAGATTAGGGGCTTCGTTGAGGTAAGTCAATGCCCCACATTTCAAAGAAACCACACACTAACATATCGATAGTCTCTCGAAAGAGGTCTGCAAAACATCCGAGACGCAGGAAAATGGGCAAAGGAAGCCTGGACTGCGGCGGACAACGCACAGAGAAGCATGGAGCATAGTGAGAAGCTGCTGTCTTTCATGCGGGAGAGGGCCACCAAGGCCATTCGCAAGTAGGAATGTGGACTGAAAAGGCCGTTTTGTTGCCTAATGTACAGAAATCATGGCCTGAATTGAACGGAGTTTGAGCGATTAAATAGATCAAAAATAAATGTCAAAGTGCGAAAATGTCCCAAATCCATTTACAATCTGGTCCAAGATGTGGGTTTCTCACAGAAAAGACAAAGACTCTGCTACTTTTCAGAGTCTTCGCCGTATAGAAACCAGCTTCTGACAAGAGAGAGCAAGATTTGAATTGGGAAGACAAGGTACTAATAGGCGCGTATCTCAGGTGTCTCAGATCACTTAAAGTGGAAACACACGAACTTGAGGCGGAAATGCRATGAATTCGAGTGAGATTTGACCATACAGATGCTACTCTCCGATACATCTCGGAGCACTATACAAATAAGCGCAGCAATGGCCGTATAAAATCGGCATCTGGCTAGGAAAGTAGATTTTCAGGTAGATGAATGTGCTGCCAAAACAGGGGCGAAACTTACGCTCCCTACATTGTGTTACTTCACTTCAAGTGGATAATTCGAGGCAATTCTCTATCATGCAGGCGTTGCTTCTACTATGATATAGTTAGCTTTGCTACTCAGATCTACTCTCGCGCTTTGAAATCTAGGTATCTTGGAGGGAGTAAAATATAGAAAGGGGCATCTTTCAGGTTGAAGCGTAGTGCGTTAAGACTACTCACCTACTGTTAATCTGATAGAATGTATATACTTACTACTTTATCTCGTTTAAAACTTATAGTACTACGCTACTTAGTAATGAGCTAGAGGCATGAAATATCTATCCTACATAGAGAGCGGATTCAAAGAGAGAAGAGTAGAAAGGGCGAAAAAGGAGGCAATTAAGGGAGTACACACAAGTCTCCCTCACACAATGTACGAATATCATCGCAAGGTAAWGACATAATAGACGCCTCGGCCAACAAACGTCGACCGCCGCATCAAAGTCAACGACAAGATCGTTGTCAAGCTATCGACTTCTCAGGGCAACGACCGGGCTGTCCTCGAGGCTAAGGCTAGCAAGCAAGATTCCTTGCCAAAGTCTAACGAAGCTATATACTTCGTCATCTCCCTGAAATTCCAGATAGCTGTGCTAAGCAGCGCTGCACTCGATGCATTAGATCCACACAGATGGATCTACCAGAACAACGAAGGGTGTTTGAAGTGCAACGACGAGGCTAAAGCGAAGAACAGAGCTGCGAGCAAGGCGAAAAACAAAAAAAGAGCTCCAGTAAGAGCGATTCTGGAGTGAACATACCCTAAACGCCCGCTGCAATTACATCCCGCCATTACATGTTGAACGCTGTGCCATTTCATGCTACTCTAGACGTACAAAAGTTCCCCATGTAGCAGAGAGTATTCATAATCAGTATTCAGTCAATTGTGGGCTGCCCTCACATGGGGGTGCCGAAAATTGGGTCTGAACAAAGACTTTCTGCATCCCATCCTCCTTCTTGTCGAATTTGTAGTAGACTTTGTCCAAGTCTTCCATTCGTACGCGATGGGTCACCATCTTCAATGGGTCGATCTCTCCCGATTGGATACGCTTGAGCAGTTCTTCCCAGTACAAGTGAACAGGAGCTTGGCCATTGCCAATGAATCGAATGCCTCGCTCCATCACGGAGCCGATGTTGAAGTTGCTGAKAACACGATTAGTTGCGAATGGTGACCTTGAAGGATGCTGGTACTAACTTGGTGTATCCAACGTAGACGCCAGTGATACCGACACGGCCGTAATTCTTCACCGATTCGATCATCTCGTTGAGAATCTCGCTGGTATCGGTCTCGAGACCGGCGGCGATCTGAACAGCGTGGAACCAGCCCTTTGGATATTCTCCTGCCACGCACTAAACGCACAGTTAGCACACCATTTCGCAGCGTACGATCTTCAAGGTACTCGCCTCAAGAGCCACGTCTGGACCAACGCCATCACACATTTCCTTGAGCTTCGTCACAACAGCCTTGGTGCCCTTGAGCTCGGAAAAGTCGACTGTCTCAACCTTGGGGTATTTCGACTTGACATAGTCCAGTCTCCAGTKGCAGTCAATCACGATGACTCTGCTTGCACCATTCATAAAGGCAAACTCAGCGGCCATCTGACCTATAGGTCCAGCTCCCCACACCGCCACTACATCGCCCTCCTTTACACCAGTATCGACGACGCAATTCCAGCTTGTAGCGATGACGTCTGAGAGATACAGAGCCTTCTCATCGGGCACATCGTCGGGAATCTTGAGCAGATTGACATTACCATAGGGCACTCTGGTGTATTCTGCTTGGCCACCAGCAAAGCCTCCAGTAAAGTGGGAGTAGCCGAACATGCCAGCCGTTCTTCCRCCGTACATGGCGTTTTCGATTGTGTTCGAGTTGGTCTTCTCACACTGCGAAGACAGCTTCTTGTGGCAATACCGACAGTCACCGCAGGCGATCTGGAAACTTGCAACTACTCTGTCACCAACGTTCAAGCCTTTGACAGCTGGGCCCATTTCATCGACGATACCACAAAACTCGTGGCCCAAGATATCGCCTGGTATAGAGTCTCAGCAAAGAGTCAGGGTCACGATTCGAACCGGTTTCACTCACCCTTCTCAAGTTCGATGACACTTCCGTGTAGAAGATGCAAGTCAGATCCGCATACGGTCGATCCAGYGATTTTCAGAATGACATCTTGATCCTCAATGACCTTTGGCTTTGGGCAGTCGATCACGCTCACGGTGTTCTTGCCCATCCAGGCCAAAGCCTTCATGTTCTTGGTTGGATCGCCATACTTTTCGCGGTCATTGCCTGGGTTGGTTCTGTACGACAGTTCAGCACATGTCCCACCCACCATCTAGTGAAGAAGAAGTTCACTTACACGTCCTGTGCAGTAATCGCGTTGTCTCCGTGACCAAGAGCCTGTTCGGCTTTGTATGCTGCTTGAGAGAGAGCCATTTTGAATGAGCAGAATTGGAAGATGGAAGACCAACAAAGATGAGAGAGAAAAATCGACTATCAACAAAAGTCGCGTCGCCTACCCATCTATCCACCTGCTTCGTATGATCGCCTTTTTGCAGGGGCAGCTGTGGCGGAACGTCATTATGAGGCAAACATCGGAAGCGATGTAAGGTGTGTGCAGAGCAGTGCATTGGCGTCATTGACGTCCTCCTGTCTTCCACTTTTCTGTGACTGATTGACGTGCGGTAAAGTGGCGTTCTGGTCATTGGAGGTCGATGTTGCTGCTCGAGAGCGCAAGAACGAAGCAAATCGCGGACTTGACTCCGGCGCGGTTGTACCTTAGCCACCACGGACTGAATTTAGCCGGAGCACCGAGCTAAGGATAAACGCAGATGCGAGAGTTTTGGGCGAGGCAAGCGTCTACATATACATTTCAAGAATCATCAAGGTGTTTCCCTACCTCGACCTACAGCGTCTCTTTGCGTTGGCATCCTTACCATCCACCGAGTCCGCTCGAATAGCCGGCGCYCCTGAATTGGCAGCGAATCGAATCCTCGCAAAACTTCGGCGGAATTGGAGCAACGCAATCCAATCACTTGATCTCCACTTCTGGAGGCGTAGCTGTCTTCTTCGTATACTTCTCCTGGGACTCAGATTCCCTCGTATCATCGCCCCTTTCTGTCGCTCTTCCGTGATGGACTATAGGTCTACCACGGCCGGTGACATCCAAGAAGATTGCCTTGATTGTCCTCGTGCTAGTACGACGGCCTTCCCACAGAGGGTAAATGCCGACGCAGAAGCTGGAGCAGAAGAGCCAGAGAATTCCTACGACATCGAGTTAGATTGTTATAAGTGGGTGACACGACCGAATTATACGCACCAACAGTCACCCAGCCGGTGAAGAACTTCTTGCTGAAGATGTATCCACTCCCATAGAGAGGCATAGGCCATAGCACCAGCAAAGCAAGGGTCATGCATACGGTGAGTGTTCTGGCGATCTTAGCGGCCCGCTGTAGCTTCTTTTGCTCCTCTTCCTCTTCATCCTGAGATCGACTCGTCTCTCCCGGTACGAGCTCCAGATCAACATCTGCGGCGGCAGCAAGGTCGGAATCATCTCCTTTCCGGATCATCTTCATCGAAAGCCAATCATACTTTGGATTCCGCAGGGCAAACGACAGTACTGGAATGAAAACTACAGGAGCCAGCAGTGATACCACGTTTCCAGCGAGCATAGGATTGTTCGATCCCGTCGTTAACACGGAAAGCTCGCCGTACTGCGTCTTAGCTGTAACCAACCATGCGATGAGCGAGCAACACAACGCTAGAGGTGGCGAGAATGTCGCGGCTGCCCAACTTTGGCGATCCCATAAAAGCGTGAGTGAAGCAGGGAGAACAGCACCAGATATAATCACTCCCATCAGCAAGTAGAGGTATCCCATTGAGATGCCCGCGTAGTGCAGTCCTGTGGAGAAGCCGGCCATGAAGATGGCGTAAACAACGCAGCTGGTGTGCGACATGTAGATGAGCCGCTTGCCGGAAGCGTCCGGGTTGATGTAAGTCTTGTAGATGTCGTAGGTCCATATGCTTGAGACTGCAATGAGCTCAGCACTCATTGCAGAGGTTACGGCCATAAAGATCAAGAGAAGTGTTGCTAATGCTCCGCCAGATCCCAGCAATGCTACCGCTGCATTGGGTAGCACGAGGCCAGCAGAGACCTCGGCGGGGTCCATACGATTTGGGTAGGTGGGAAAGACTGGATTTGTCTCCAATGCCAGAGCGCTCAAGCCCATAGTCGTGGCGCATAACCATGGAATGGCGAACCACGATAGTCCTCCAGCGATATATCCAGGCAACGCATGTACAGGGGACGCAGCGATTGCTTTGTTGTAGTAACCATTGTCCATGAAGACGGTACCTATCGACATACGGGTCAGCTACAACGGGTTTGCATCAGAGAACGTAGTAGAAGCCTGTACCAAAGTTGCCCACGATGTTGATCACGAAGAATATCTAGACCGAATCAGTACACGGATTGAGGGCATTTAGGATCTACTCTGAACACTCACCGCACCCTCCTTGGATCTCATCGTAAGGTAGCTACCTTCTGCATTGCCTTCCACAGGATGTCGATCAGAAGCAGCAACCAACGCATCATAGACCGCACCAGGACTACCCAGCACGCTGCTCGTAGCGTATGCTGTGAAGGCGAACAAGAAGATGATGACTAAAATCACCACAGTGTGTACATAGTCTGTTAGGAACGTTGCTTTGATACCGCCAAACATCGTATAGAGCACAACGCCGATGGGTAGCAGAAAGCATGCAGCTGCCGTAGGAACACCACAGAGGGATGTCACCACAGCGGAGCCACCCGTTAAGAGCATGGCGGTCACTAGGACGTTGGTCATGAGGCCAAACAGAATGTACACTCCGTGTGTGATGGGGCCGTAGCGCGCTCGAATAACTTCCAAACTAGGGATTTGTCAGTCACGGTTCCCAACTTTGCCTTCCAACGCAGAGAGATGAACTTGAGTCAGAGCCAGTGCGGCTCTTCGCATGTCTGATCGGCTGTCGAGGGCCTCGCTGGGTTGAGTTGCTCCAGGATGTGCAGGACACTCCGGTGGATCCAGACACTGGAATGACTTACAAGGTGTGTGCATTTGGCGCCTTGCGCTTCAACTCAATCGCGAGGGTTGCAAAGAGGATAACTTGAACGGTCGCTCCAGAAGCATACCAGAACGGGCCCGATACACCGTACGAATAGGCGACGGATGACGATTGCAGCAGAGTCGCCGCCCATGTCCAGGAGGATACCACTGCAGATGACACCAAGCCAGACTTGACCGATCTGCCAGCAGTGCTGAAGACTTCACTTGTCTGCAGTTCGTTGTTGTATCGCTTCAAGACAAAAGTTKTCAACATCATCCCAAAGCTGTAGCTTCAAGTCAGCGTCTGAATGTTTCGAAAGAGAGGACTGACATACGCAAAGAGAAAGCCCAGTCCAATCACGATGCCATAGCCAGTGGCTTGACTGAGCGGCGGTGTTGACGCCATGTTGMCAGGAGATGGGGATCGAAAAGGACTCGCAATTGAACAATCAGCCTACCAAGCCTACAGAGAGAGCGACAAGCTCTTGTAGTACTTCTCGGCTCGTCTCATCGCTTTCACCAAAGTACGCCTCACTGCTCACCGTAATCGGCGAGAGGGATCCTCTGCATGTTGCTTTACTCAATGGTATCTGCTGACGATGATAAGGAAGTGCAAATCGCGTGCATGGCCTCTGAGATAACCCCATGCGTCTCCACGTGAAGAGAATTGGGGAAGCTTGATCGATAGATAAGCCTGAGCTTGACCCTGGATTGGCTGATTTCTGGGCGGGCCGTGCGAGGATGCACCGGAGTGCTGTTCCAGGACATGATAAGTTCGATCCGCTTCCAATAATGATGCTTGTTGGTGCTTCCCGAGACTTGGGCAGGGCTTGTAGTTGTCAAGGCCTGGATCGTTACCAGAAAATTGGCAATCTACGCCGACCTCGCTCACAGCAGGCTGGAGGAGTCAAAAGAGCTTTCCGTCTCGAGAATCGTACCGACCGTACCACGTAGGTACCTTGGATACGGCATTGAATCTGGGGATGCGTGAGGGTKCTGTATACAGATGGCTGTGTCCCCATGAACGTTGCTCCCTTACATTCTCTGGCATGTCCAGTGCGCCAGGTTGTGGAGGGGGATTGGTCCGTGGCGGCCTCATCTACTGCACCTCATTGGTCTACTTCTTGGAAGCACATGGTCGGGCTCGAAGTCGCAGTCAGTTACCATTCTCAACTTCGCAACGCGACATGTCTTGTCGTTCTGGGCTGGCAATGGTGAAGTTTGGGGATAGACACCTCATGGACAGATCAGCAGTGAGATTATCCCCCGGCGCCAAGCCAGCCGGCTAAATTGGATGGTGGACCTCTGTCGGACCGCCATTGTCACGTCCCTCCGTCACACGAGAGCGCAGCGTCTCAACAACGCACTTCAGCCGAGTAAGCTGGCATTTCTGCCAGACAAGCAGTAAGTAAGAACAACAACCAGTCTCTCTACTTTCTCAATTTTTACAATCGCGATTCTCAAGTCCTCAGACGTCAAGATGGGCCAAGAAGTGAGTGTGACTTTCGCTTCGGCCTTGTACAACCATCAAGGTCTTCGACATCGAGCTAACCCAAACCTCTAGAACCTCTCGTTCGTGCTCGAAAAGGCCGGAAGCGTCAAGTTCGAAGACCGACCCGTCCCAACCCTCAAATCACCACACGATGTCATTGTGAACGTCAAGTTCACCGGAATCTGCGGGAGCGATGTCCACTACTGGGTGCATGGCGAGATCGGGCAGTTCATCGTCAAGTCGCCAATGGTGCTGGGCCATGAGTCCAGTGGGATTGTTTCTTCCGTTGGCGAGAGTGTAAAGAGCTTGAAAGTAGGCGATCGAGTCGCCATGGAGCCTGGCGTGCCCTGCAGACGTTGCGTGAGGTGTAAGGATGGAAAGTACAATCTTTGCCCGGACATGCAATTCGCAGCTACGCCTCCCTTTGATGGCACCTTGGCGAAGTACTATTCTCTGCCAGAAGACTTCTGCTACAAACTTCCAGAGTCTGTGTCACTCGAGGAAGGCGCTCTAGTGGAGCCATTGGCCGTTGGTGTTCACATTGTCGCGCGGCAAGCGATTGTGACCCCCGGCGAGACTGTGGTCGTGTTTGGCAGCGGTCCTGTCGGTTTGCTGTGCTGTGCGGTAGCAAAGGCTTTTGGGGCCGCCAAAATCGTCGCTGTTGATATCAACGAGGAGCGGCTCGCCTTCGCAGAGAAGTATGCTGCCACACATACCATTGTCTCCCAAAGAGAGTCTGCGCAAGATGCTGCGAAGCGAATTATCGAGACCTGTGAGCTTRGCGCCGGTGCCGATGTAGTCATCGATGCCAGCGGAGCGGAACCCTGCATACAGACTTCCATTCACGCTCTTCGAGTCGGCGGTCGCTATGTACAAGTGAGTCCGCCCTCATTGGCACACACTGCCGACCTCAGCTAACTTGGATCAGGGCGGAATGGGCAAGTCCGACATCAACTTCCCAATTGGCGCCTTGTGCTCGAAGGAAATCACCATGAAGGGGTCCTTCCGATATGGAAGTGGAGACTACAAGCTTGCAGTGGATCTGATCACGAGCGGTCGCGTGGATGTAAAGTCATTAATCACTGGAAAGGTGAAGTTCCAGGATGCAGAGAAGGCCTTCACCGAGGTCAAGGCTGCGAAAGGGATCAAGACACTAATCGAGGGGGTCAAGGATGAGTGATGTTATTTGACAAGATACCTAGGGAGTCAAACATGATGGCCTTGCAGGAAAATTCACATGTCAGGACGGCAGCATGTGGCTCATTCACTTTGTAAACCACCAAATGCGCGCTAGCGTCGCGGCTGGCAGACTCGGACTTCCTTGACTTCACTTCCCCAAATTTTCTAACATTCTCAACAACAACCTTCGAACTAACATTAGCCAACCCTTCGCAGGCTCCGCACGTCCACCAACCTCTTGATCTTAGCATTGAACTTTGAAAGCGCAGAGCCCGCTCAAAACGTGTCGGCATCGACCTGCTTGCTTCGCGTCAACCGTCGCCGTCACATGAGCAGATTGCAACATTTGATCACTGCTCGAGAAAGCGGCTCGATGGAGCCCTCAAAGCCAACAATGTCCGCGACCACTAAGCCAGCGACCAATGCCGATGCGCCACACGCCCAGACCGATACACTTCGCTGGCGTGAGTATTTCAAACATTCGAGGCGCTCTCTTCTGCACAAGCGATGACCGAGGCAATGGCTGGTATCGCACACAGATGACATATCACATTCCCTGGAAGAGCTGGGATCCTGGAAATTTCAGCAGCCGCTTCTCATCCTGCTACTTACTCTATCACTCAAGCATTTGCTAACCCTCGATCTTCTGTAGGCATCAACTACGACGCCAAGGCCATGCTTCGTGGACAGTGGGACAAGGTGAAGAAGAAGCCGTACAAACCAAAGGAATTCAAGGAGGATAAGACCGATGAATGGCGCCACCAGGTGCAGCGTCAGAACAAAATCAGTGCGTGGATGGCAGTCGCGCACAAGCTGCAGAAGGGGGGCACTCTTGAAGAGTCTCGGTAAGTCGATTKAAGCATGGAAGTCACGGAGCGTGTACCAATCTTATAAAAAGGGCCTCATCATTCGAAATGCATACTAATCGTCTATTTGCAGATACCGTGCGATCATGGAGATGCGCAAGGATTCTGATTTCGTGGACATCGTCAAGAAGTTTCCGGCCCCCAACAAGCCTGCATCGATGAGCAAGCCAGCGTGGGCGCCAGCGCCGGTGMTGCCTAATCCGCCACCAGCTCGTCCTTCCTTGCCGGTCGTCTTGCCTGTGACTCTGCCAGCCAACTATCCAAACACCCTGAAGCGGAGCGCAGCAGGCGACAACACAGGCATCAAACAGGAAGTCATCGACGTCGATAAGGATGACGAGGAGCCAGATCTCGAGTACTCCGACTACGAGCCCGAAGAAGAAGCCGCTGTGCAGCGCGAGAAGCGTGCGAACAAGCGTCAGCGCACAGGCGACTCCTCCACCCAGCTCAAGCAGTCCCATCACGAGGAGGACCTGCAGTTCCAACTCGAGGAGTCAAGGTTGAAGAGCCAGCTTGAGGAGGTGCGCATCCGACGTAAGATGGCGACGCTGCGGCGCCGTAACGAGGACTCGAAGTGAAGACGAGGCATGATGTGGTGACTCTCGATGCAATACTAGGTGTTTTCATGGCGACCATTGGATTGATGCCCGATCACGAACGGCTCAAATGGTTGCGATCTCTACTACGAGGACTTATGCGTTTTGACGGTATGAGCATTTGGAGCACATCCGAAAATAGTGGCTTTATTCACATATCTCGGTCAGGAGTATTCAAGATGAACTTTAAGCGTGAGAATCCCTTCTTGCAGATTAATCCTCGGGTAGACCGTGACCATGACATCTTTGATGCGTCCATTCAGGCRTCAGCCCCCAAGGCCACAGCCTCTTTCGAAGATGACTTTCCCGGTCGACACGGCTTCATCTTCGAAGTTGTCCCCGAGATAAAGCATCGCAGCTTGTCCGGTCTGTGTCACGGCGCTTCAGAGACTGAAGTGATTGTCGCAGAATCGCTTCATAACATGTGGAGGCATATAAGGCCAAAGAAGTTGATCTTTCGTTTGGACGCAAAGCCAATGCTGAATCTTTGCTGGATACAAAAAGACGTATGCAACGCTCATGAGAATGTCTCAACGTGAAGAGCACATCCCTGAGCGGAAGTCCCTTTATGAATAGCTCTTTCGTCAGACAGACGAACGACAGTGTTTCTGACCTCGGAGCTCAACCCAATAGGCCCACACACTGCAATGCCACTTTCCCCTTCAGCGTCGTCGAGAAGACTACTGACAGTCTCTCGGATATCTAGTCTGCCGGAATAAAAGGTCGCACATGGCAGCATGGGCATTCGCCGACCCTGTGTCAGAAGCTGCCGCGTAGGCGACGGCGATGCAGACTTCTCATTGACCAGTGTCGCATTCTTGCCTCTGCCTGATGTCTTGATAGCATCAACATCAACACCCTCATCATCCTCATCGACCAACACGCAACAACATGGGCCTTGAGATTTATCACAAGCACATCCGCATTCCTTTGGTTCGTTTCCGAGTTCGGTGAATTGCTCAGCGCATGTGACGTATATGCTGATTCGAGCGTCGATTCCAGCATCTTGTAGCTTTCTGTGTGCCTCCTCTATTTCGCCGCTGACCCACATAGTCTGCTCACTACTTCGTACACACCAAATAAAGTGGACCATCTGCACGGGTAGTCGCTTCCCACAAGAACTGGCGCGATCTGCAAGGTCTTGTAGGAGGGACAGAGTGAATGTCACGCCTGTGGAGCCTGCTAGCAACAAGACGGAATCAAAGGCTGCCATGTCCGATTGAGATCCACCCCAAGGCCCATCCAGAAGTGCCAGATGCTGCGTATTCACGACTTGCGCACGCTGCTCGGATTCACTCTCGGCGTTTTTATGTGGTAGAAGTGCAGTTTCGGAACTATTTGCGCCTTCCATGATGCGAAGAGTGAATCCCTTGTGGCTCTTGAGGAGGAAGACCAGGGCACCGCCGTGCGATTGTGGCGTCGAGAGAATCGTTGCAGGGTGGGATTGCATCACCCCAAAGCGAGGGATGGAAAGCAAAACGTGAGATCCAGCACGCCAGGTTGTGATTGATTTGTTGGTGATTGTTATCTTGGTGACACCGCCACCGAGTTGGACCATTGTGGCACGGCTTGCACGCATGTTTGTCCATGCGTAAAGCAGACTGCGGACAATTCGATCCACGAGATAGAGTCCTACCGGTATGAATACATAGACTCTGCTGCCCAGTGCGGTGCTTGGTAGATGGTAGACCACAGCAATGACAAAGCCGAAAAACGTGATGATATGCTGGACGATGAAGAACTCATATGACCAGTAGCGGACTGGAGCTAGAGTGCTGAGATTCATCCACAGCAGGAGGGCAAATGCTGCGATGCCGGTTGTTGGGCAGTCGTCTGTAGCCCATTCGAGTTGCATTAGGCCTGGATATTGCTGCCAGCCATAGCTTTGATAGCTAAAGTGCAGGATAGCCATGAGAAGCATGATTCGCGACGACCAACGATGCAGCACGTTCAGTCGCTCGTAGGATGTTCCAGTGAGCGCTCCAATCACATTGTTCTTGTTGATGAGGAGTATCAAAAGAGGCATCTGTGCTACCGACAGCCACCCTGCTCGCACACCCAAGGCCTGCCAATATTGAACGCCTGCCACATCGTTGTCGATGAACTCCAGCGCCAGGACGAAGGCGAGGTACGACATGAGCAAAAGGATGGTTCCCAATGGTGGGACTTTGAACCACAAGCATCGAGCAGTTGGCGTGATTTGAGGATAGCTGACCTCCCGCGCGATCGCAGTCGCCGTTGCTAACCATCGCGAGAAAATAATGCTGGGTCTGGCGGGCTGTTGTCTTTTACGAGCGGCTGCCCGTAAGCGACCTTGTAAGGTGAGCCAGTTTAGAAAGTTTGCAAGAGTGGCGAGTCCGACGATTACCACCACTCCATACCAAAAGTACTTTGCGTAGTTATTGCCAATGATTTTGAGCTCATCATCATTGAGCAGATCGTCCAGAAATTCAGCGGCTTGAGTGCTGTTCGAAAAGTCGATTCCATCCGCCGAGAGTACTACATTAGACGTCGTATCATCTCCTCCGCCCATATGCATGTTCATGTCCATATCCATGTGGTCCATGATTCCTGCGGGCCGAAAAGAAGTGATGGCGGGAGGTGTTGTTCGTTAGAAGAGCCCGGGCCAGCAGGCGACTCCGAGAGATGTCGTTTTCGCAAATTGCTTCCAACGGTTGAAAGACCAACGGTATTTCCCTTTCGATCATGACGGTGCACGTGGAAGTCTCTCCAAAGAAAATCTGGTGGTTGTGCGAAAAAGCGAAAGGAATTGTTAACTTGCTCAGGCTCCATAATTTAAGCTCAGTCTAAACATGCGTCTGGGCTCTCAGACTGATGACATTCGCCGAGTTGCCGGTACGCTCTCGAAATCATCATTGCCTGCATTCGGCAGCATTACTGAGATTGAATCACTTTGTTACTGCGATCCCCAGATACAAAGCTTCCAGCGATTGACGAAATGGTAGCGGCCGGCTTGAGGTCATGCTGCATTGCCCATTCAGTCGGGTTCGCAGCATTTATCCTGACCGTCACATTCGAACGCTCGGCTCGACAAACACATGCATCTTATTGGGGCCATCAAAACCATGGAAGTAGCCTCGCGGCTTCATCAACGTTGGTGAGCGGGAGCCCTACTGCCTTTTGACAACGCATTACGGCCAGGGAACAAAGGCAAGTGAAGAAGCAGATGTAGTAGTCTCGTAGAGCACTGCAAAATGGGAGTTTCATACCTCGGGGCTCTACTCGCTGTCATCGCCGTCCAGCATTATCTCGTCCTCTTCAGACTCCTCATCATCGTCTGCCGCTTCGTCTCCTTCTTCCTCCTCACTCTCCGAAACGTCGTCTTCGTCTCCACCAGTCTTGGCATCCTTGTCTTTCTGGCGCCTCCTCTCTTCCTCTTTTCTCGACTCCTCGACCAGTCTTGCCTTCTCCTCCCTTGTCTTCCTCTGCCCAACAACATATGCGCCCAGTGGTGACTTTTCCCATGATACATCTGCCAGGAACTTGTCCACATTTCTTCTGTCATTTGGTGCAAAGTCGACCTTTGCTCTCTTCTCTTCAATCCAGCGCGCGTTGGCTTCGAGCTTTTGCACGAGTAACTGCATCATCGTGTTGATCTTCTGGTTCTTGTTGCCACCCTTGCTAGCGCCGCGCTGATTCACTTCCTTCAACCATCTCTTCAGCATGACTGTCACAGGAAGCGCAAGTTCTGGGAATGCAATATTCTTGGTCCATAGCAGGAAGAACTCCGAGAGCAGCTCTTGCGCCTGCTCTGCAACGCCATCTTGGTAGATACGCGTACGAAGATAGGATTTGGGTGCTCGGATGGCGATGCTAAAGTCCAAAGGCTTGAGAGTTCCAGGCTTAGGCGCTCTTCGCATTTCTGCACTGTTGAACACTTCATACAGAGGCGCTGCGAGGGGAATGTATGTTCCAGTAGCCATGCTGACACGGAGCAGTGAACGGATGAGCTGGAAACGAAGCGGAAAGTAGGTAGCGGTGGGAATCAATCGGAGAGCACCAAGTGTGACCTGTACTAGCGGGTAGATGAGAGGTCGCAGTGGTGAGGTTGGCTCGGTACAATGAGCAGCCAACACTCTGCTCCAGAAGTCGAGGCTGTGAACGTACTGCCAGTTGTAGACCGTCTTGTAGCTTTCACCAGAGTTGTTTGTGATGCTACCGCGCAGATGGATCGCAAGACTTCTGATGAAAGTAAAGGCAGTGGTATATGCCACCCCACCATCTCCTCCAACCAAGCCCCAAAGCTCTGCGGCCGAATTCTTCATCAGGTTCACGCCTGGCATTGTGTGAATAGTCGTATTGCGGCTGCTCTTCACCAGTGCCTGGTAGATGGCCTTGAACGCGTTCTCCCGGATGCTGGCATCTCCAATGACCACGAGGCGGCGCATCACCAAGAATGCAGCAATGCGGGTGCTCTCCGTGTTTGATGACGACGCCCATACATTAGTAACGGCTTTGGCAAGGTCTCGAACAAGCTTCTTGAATGATAGGAGATATGGTAGGAGTGGCAGAGTGGATGTGAGTGTGAGTCGTAGTGTTGCCGGGTCTGAGAGATGGTCCAGTAGGTGTAGGATTCCGGAGATCTGAGAGCGAAGGATAGGGGTGAGCGTTTTGAACTTCTTCGACTCGGTGCCAACATGCGCCTTGCCATTCTTGTTCTCCTGCACAGGTAGATGATGCTCGAATATATCTGGAATGTGCTTCAATGCGGTGGTGAGGAGCGCGTGGTATACGTCCGGATTGGACACCGCGTATTTGAAGTCCTTGTCTTCCGCGTCGGCAGAGGAGACCTGTGCAGCGGAGCGGAAAGCGATGACAACTTCCTTGGCGGCCCGTAGGGATTGTTGTTCGACCATTCCCGTCCGCCATTTCTTGACTGTCGCCATGTCCAATTCGATCTTGCCAGACCCACCCATCTCATCGTCGGAGCCTTCGTGTCGCTGCTTCTTCCGCTTGGGCTCGTCTTCTCCCTCTTCATCGCCGCTGATCTGCAGATCGTCCAAGTCGTCAAACATGTCAGGTTCCTCCTTCTGCAGCACTTTGTGGAATTCGGGATCTCGTTTCGCCAGCGCCTGTAATTGCTCGTTGAAATCCTCGCCGTCTTCCGAGTCAGAGCCCGAGTCGCTACCACGGGGCACCGCCTCACGATCCATAGAGTCCTCCGATGCGGAGGATAGTTCTTCGTCATCCTCCTCAACCTCCGCTTTCGCAGGCGTGCGCTTGCGCTTGCTGGCCTTTTCGGCCGGCAGCTCGGGCACGTCGAAGCCGCCCTGAAAGAAGTCGTCGACGCTCATGTCCTTGAACGCGCTCGCGCTCGCCTCTTTTCTCCCACTTTGAGCTGAGCCCGCGTCCGCATCCGTCTTTCCATCCTTGCCTTCCTCTTCAGCGCGGCGCGCCTTCTTCTTGGCCTTTAGCTGTTGTTGCTGCTTCGTTTTCTTTTGGCCTTTTCGCCGTTCCAGAACATCTTTCAGATGCTCGCGCTCGAACTTCTTCTGGGCTTTCTTTTGGACCATTGTTGCGTTCAGCAAAATGTTGTCTAGGTCATGAAATCTTCATCTCAAAAAATTAGACGAGCTTCTTGACTTTTTGCGGCAGCCTTAAACTCTAAAATGGACAATATCGCCAGTGTCCCGGAGCTAGTGCTTCGTCAGACCGGCCACCACCACCGGCGAGATCCATCACTACCGGCCCTCTCCATCCAGTGCGCCAGTGGTGAAATGTACCCACAACAGCAGCMTCAGCAGCAACAGCAGCTAGGCTATGCGCCAACGCCATACAGCTATACCCCGTCCAGCACCCTGACTGCAACAATCAATCTCGATGAGGTATGTCCTGGGCCAATGGCCATGTCTCCAAGAACGACAGACTACTAAACCTGGCTCTAGGAAGTCAAACTTGCCGAAAACTCGGCAGAACGTGACTTGTTCGAGTCTCTGGCCGAAATCTACAGCATCATCATCACTCTCGATGCGCTCGAAAAGGCCTACCTACGAGATAGWATCAAAGAATCAGAGTATACCGAAACCTGCGATCGACTATTGCGTCAGTACAAGAGCAATCTTGCAGACGACAGCGTCCATGCTGCATTTGGCGATCTCGAAAGGTTCAAGGCGAAATGGGATGTAAGTATGCTGGGAATAGCGAAAGCGAAAGTAGCTGATCCTCAGTTCAGTTGGAAGTGCCCAAGGCAACAGAACGGCTCAAAATCGGTCTCCCAGCAACCATAGAGGCGGTTCCTGCTCGGACTGGATCACAGCAGCATCGCGCATCCAACTCTCACATGCCTAACAGCGGTGCTGGGGCAGCCAATGCATCGGCCATTGTATCAGCTTCCGAGAACTTCATCACGTTGTTTGATGCAGTGCGCATGAACATCTTGTCCAAAGACACGTTGCATCCCATCCTGGTCGATACGATCCAGGCGGTGAATAAAGTCACCGATCGTGATTTTGAGAACAAGGGCAAGATTATACAGTGGCTGATCACGCTCAATCAGATGCGTGCCGCCGAAGACTTGAGTCCAGAGCAGGCTCGAGAGTTGCAGTTCGATCTCAACTCGGCATACGAAGGCTTCAAGGCTGTWCTGGACTGAGATTCTATTCCACCTGYGTCATTTCAACGAAATCGCCTCATAAACGATCAGACATCGAAGAGTTCCCAAGAAAGACAAGCTTCTGATCGGGGCTGCGGGTAGTCACGGGTTGTGGTTGCTTGCAGCCACACGCACACATCGCAAAGCCAGCCACATCTGGGACAGTGAAAGTGCGGTGTTTTGATGAGCACAAAGTAATGCAGGTGCAAATGCGTTACTGCCCGAAAAGTAGCTTGCGCTAGCCGCATGAATTAGCGGCACTTGAGCTCTCTACCGCGGCCCGGTGGCCGACGCCGATAAAATAGTTATCGGCCATCTTGAGAACCTGTGTGGACACCGCCGGCATGCACGTTAGCGAAATGCAACGCCCTGCAGCGGGACTCACGGCCCAGGACCTTGGGCTAGAAGCAGAAATAGAAGAGGCGGTGGTGGATGGTACGTACAGCCTGCTTTACCCATCCCGAGTGTCGGCTCATGGATCGAAAACGCAGTCATCGATCTGCCTCAGCTGCACACGAAGCCGAATGCCAGAACACTGTTGTCCACCCTTGCCGACTTCAGCTCCGAGCCTCCATCTTGGGAAGCCACGCCGCGTACTGGTACCCCGCGAACACCCCTCAGCGGTGTCTCCACGCCATTGCGTAAGAGCAGGAAGATCAAACATGAGGGATCTGCGCGGTACTTGACCAACATTGTCGGAAGCGACCTTGCGTGGATTGAAGATGAAGATGTCAAGGAGAACATATGGGAAGCTGCCTCAAAGCGGCTGAGCGAACGCTCGGGTAGATCGGCTATGGGTGACATACGCCGCAGCTTCTACATACCTCTGTCGCAAGACGATGTTGACGAGGGTATTGAAATCGTGTTGCACGAGCCAGCTCTGACGGGTGACTCGCTTGGTCTCAAGACTTGGGCTTCAAGCAACTTGCTGGCTAGAAGACTCCTCACATTGCGCCCAACGCTGCCTCCATTCACAGACAATTCTGCCATACTGGAACTCGGCTCTGGCACGGGACTTGTGGGTCTCGCTGCTGCTGCTGCCTTCCAAGCTCACGTGGTCCTCACGGACCTTCCCGACATTGTTCCCAACTTGAGACGCAACGCTCTGGAAAATGAGGCATCGCTCAAATCCTATGGCGCAAAGGCCGACGCCGCGGTATTAGACTGGACAGAGCCCGCCTCTTTTCCCGTCGAAGCGCATACCTTCGCATTAATATTGGCTGCAGACCCGATCTACTCCGAATTACATCCTCGCCTCCTCGCACAAACCATTGGACATCACTTGAGCTTAGGTGATAGGTCGAGAGTCATTGTAGAGATGCCACTGCGCGATGCATACGCTCCTGAACGACAAGACTTTCGAGAACGAATGCTTGCGTTGGGGCTAGGTATTGCCGAAGAAGGCGAAGAAGTAGGCTTCGACGATTGGTTGAGTGGGAATGACGATGAGCTGCTCGAAGTGCGATGTTGGTGGAGTGTCTGGAAACGGCAATGAAGCGCTCAAATGATGGCTTCACTAGACCTCGTAAGTGTCACGCCTCTTGATGGTCACTTTCATGGCGCGTGCGATGTCTCGTGCAGGGTGAGAATGTGCAGTATTCAATGCGAGGAATGTCATACACAAAGGTGGCCGACGCATCCTCAGCTTCCAACTTGAATGCGTCAAGGCACGGCCAACGCACATCACGCCAACCTGCTTCCGCAACAAGAAACGACCATGTCAAACTCTTCGTCAGCGTTCCGACGTCTGCTCACGTCCATCAAACGCACTGTTCAGAAGCTCAGGAAGAAGTGCGTGCTTGCTCTCTTCACAGCAGTCACTCTGTGCCTACCAATCAGGAGCCTAGCACTACGACGTTGGAGATATTGGAGTCTGACACCCGAGGAGCTACACATACGACCATGTGGCCATGCACTCTGTCAACCAACAGACGCGGCTAAGATGCACGTAAGAATGATTCCTCAGAGCGACACCACGACGCCTTCGGGACGCTCGACGGATATTCACAACATGCCCTTGAATACAAATGGCTCGCCCGTGGAGTTGAGTATACATGTGGACAACTGCCGTCCCCCTTTCAAATGGCACCTACAGAGATCGAGCATCAGACCGACGGTGTTGCTGTGGGTGCGAGGTTCAGGAGATCATGTGCACCCTAGTTGAGGAACTTCAGCCGCACGATCAATGTCCAGCAACATAAATGGTCAGTCACTCCATCTCGGTCCCCTCAACCTGCGTTCTCCTACCCCAATGCTCTATTGGATTCTCTCAACGACATCTTCATGCCCAGATGTAACAAACGCAAATCTTATCAACATCAAGTTGCGTGTCGCCCTGACTTTCGTCGGTACCGTACCTCGTACCTCGTACAGTCCGAGCCTGCCATCGATCCCCTAATCTGGGGAACGCACTTCCTTGCCTTGAGGGAACACTACGGCTGATGCCTCACTACCAGGTAGCTGGAATTGCAAAGCAACCAGGTTGTCGCCATACGACAGCGGTGTAATAAATCAAGGAACATGAGAAATCCTCCTACCGGCCCGGCTGCCGCCGATCCTCCATATTCCCCGGCTGCTCGCGACACTGGTCGAACGTGTTGCAAAATGCATGACTTACAACCTCTCGGCTAACCGCATTACCGTTCTTGGACAGCCCATGGCCAGAGAGTTTTCGTCTGAGTGCATTGCCGTCCCTCCACACTACTCCGGAGTACATGACTGGGAGAGTTCTCGCCTGACCGCATAACCGTTCCCCGCGCTACATGACTTGAGACTTTTCGCCTGACCGCATTGCCGTCCCTTCACACCTGCCTTGTATGTCTGGCATGGAACCTTGCTCTTGCATGAAACTTGCAAAATGCTACATCCCGGTCACGCAGTTTGTTCGGAGGAAATTTGAGGGACATGTCTTGCAATAACCTCTTTGGAAGGGTGTCGGCGAGATTGTTGGCCTTGAACGATCATTGGTGAGATGTCTAGATACAATGGCAGGGATATAGCGTTGAGAACACGGCTGAGAATTGCTAAGAGTGCGCCACGTACAGGTGTATGCCTAGGGCACATCGGTGAGAAAATCAGACATCACACGGGATCCACACCGTTCACTCGCAGGGCTCGCCGTCTGGCTGACCACTCACTTCTGCGTTGTTCTGATTGTCCCGCCGTACCGTCATGTGATATCATGGAGTTGTGACCTCACATCATGGTACCCCGCTATGGTGTGTACTTTTAGGTGGGGGATCTGCCGCGGGGGGATGATTTCGAGATCTCATCAGGAAGCAATCATGACATTGTTCTTACTCGGTGTACTTTGCATTGTCACTTTCGTCAAGGCTACAGGTCTTGGATTGGCCATTGCGTACCTTGAGTCGTAGTCGAGATTGAAGAGCGTTGCGGGAGCGGAGAGTGGGAAGCTTCGAGTCGGAGTCAGCTTTCGATATGGCTTTCAAAGCGATACCGGTGCTGGATCTTTCGGACGGTGAGTACAGTGGAGGGAAGATGGMAGCCCACGCAGATACCGATACACAACACCAACGACGAGGCCTCCACGCAGCTGTGAACTGCTGTGATGGGAGCCTGAGATCTTTTGTACCCCGTCCCGCGTCTCCGAGACAACGCTGACACTTTTACCCTTTGCTCTTAGGCAGGTCGGAGGATACCAAGCCTGAGTTTCTTGTGAAGTTGCGAGAGGCCCTACTTCACACGGGTTTCCTTTACATCAAGAACACCGGCATCGATCAAGGAACCTTTGATCGTGTATGCGATGAAGGAATCAAGTTCTTTGATCTTCCGGACCACGAGAAGCTGGCCATTGAGATGAAGAATCAGCCAAGGTGATAATGTTCTGCTGTCGCACGTCCTCGCTTTCTAATATTTCGCAGCTTCTTGGGGTATAGCAGGCTTGGGAACGAAATCACAGCTCACCAAGCAGATTGGCGGGAACAGCTCGACTTGAGCACACCTCATCCTTTACCAACTGACAAAGATCCACTGTATCACAATCTACTTGCTCCCAATCAATGGCCCAACGCGGAGAGGCTGCCGACATTCCGGCCAGTCTTCGAAGACTGTAAGTATCGAGAAGTAAAAAGCGGCGGCCCATGACACAGCTCTTTCTGGCCGTGCGAGCTCCACATGTAGAGATTGTGCACATGGGACTGATCTCTCATCCGACAACAGACATGAAGAAGATGAGTGAAGTCAGCACTTTCTTCACCAGCTTGATAGCAGAGAGTTTGAGTCTTCCGTCCACCGCATTTGATTCTTTCTTTGATGGGAAGGATCAACAACACAAGTTGAAGATTGTGAAGTACCCTGACAGTGGAGCTGGAGCCGGGCAAGGTGTTGGGCCGCATAAGGATAGTATGCTCACATCCTATCTCTTACAAGCCAGTGACCATCGCGRCTTGCAAGCACAGAACACGCACGGTGAATGGATTGACTGTGAGTTGTGCGATTACATCTCAATCGAATCTCCTCCTCATTCTGATCTAGGTCCTCCCATACGTGGGACACTCGTCGTGGCTATCGGACAAGGCTTGGAAGCCTTGACCGGCGGCGTATGTGCGAGTACGACTCATCGAGTTCTCTCTCCCGAAGCTGGAAAGGGTGCTCGATTCTCCATTCCGTTCTTCCAGGTGAGCAAAGCCACCTACATGTGCGCTCGACGATCATTACTCTAACGCACGGCAGGGCGTAAGTTATGACGCCAAGTTCGAATCGATGAACGTGCCAGCACACGTGCGGGCYCTTCGCGAGGATGTCCTGGCTCGACAGAACGGCAGGATTGACGATGTCGAGTTTACCTTTCGAGCAGGCCAATGGAATCACTTGGGCGAGGCAACACTAATGAACCGCATCAAATCGCATCAGGACGTCGGTGAGAGATGGTATCCGGAGTTGCTTGCGAAAGTGCGAGACCAGGCGCGGGGAGTCCACACCGCTTCGCAAGTGGACGAGAAAGCTTCCATTGTAGCTGCTGCGAGTGTCTCAGTGAAAGCGCACTGATATCCGAAGTCTATACGACCATGTATCCTTCACTTCACAATTCTTTGCGACTTAGGGCACCGAGGGCCTTGCGGCTTGCCAATGTTTGGGAAGCTTTGCCACTTACAATTCTTTACTACTGTCCGCGAAGAAAAAGTCTAAATCGCAGCTCGCCCAGCCGCCAGGTGGCGCTTTGTTCCAAAGCTTTGGCCGTTGTCAAACTTTCGTCCTGTGAGGGGAGCTTGAGCCGGGCGCTCGTAGCTTGACTGTCTGTGCCTCGATCTGGTATGGCGTGCTGCTTGCGAATTGTGCTGCAAAGTTGAGCCCGCTCACAGCCAAGACGTGTGGAAAGCGGAACCTCAGATCGATGGCGTTGATCCGGGCCTGGGGTGCCGCACTGATGCTGCGATCGCTGAGTAACATATTGAGCCTGAGTGCTGGAGAGTGCTGAGTGCTGGAGAGTGCTGCAGATAGGTGGGATATCCGTCTCTATTCGTAACTATCGCTGACATTATGAAACCATTCATAACTATCGCTGACATTGTAAAACCATTCATCCTCATGAAGCGCCGTGTCGAAAGTGCCACAATTCAAATCCATCCCCAGGCTAGTCTCAAGACTGTGCTGGTACCCGCGCCCGATCAACGCCGTGCCATCATTCCTTCAATGAGATCATGGTCGTCTGGTGTTCAACTGTTCGTCATTCTGATCATTCTACCCATTCTCTTGTGATTGCCGCTTTCGTCGTCGCTGTAGTCTAGCGTGGTAGATTGCGCTTCGCTGATAAATGTCCTTGGCGTGGTAGCATTGAGTTCAGTCCGCCTCACTGGTCCAGAGCTCAAGACTCCATCATCGTGTGGTGGAACGCTGCTTACTACCGGATGCGGGGCAGCAATGCTGACCCAACGAATGGTGGGTTGGCGATGGCAAGCCGAGGTGGGGTCCGCAGCGTGTCGCTAGGGACGCTCGCCTGGATAGTTTAGTCCGCGCGATGGGAGCGCTGTTGGGACTAGGTAGGGCTAGTATTCAGCTGGAAACGGTTTGCTACAGGTCCATTCCGCTAGGCAATTGAAGACTAATTGATTGACGAAAGGGTTTTCGTTGCTGTTACCATGTCCAGCTAGACAGTGGGACCTGTCGGATAATGCGGCAACGGGTAAGGTCTTCCTGCGTTTTCGTTGCGGTATTGCATCGGAGATGTCTCCTGCTGCGATGCGTAGGACTGCTCACCATGGCTCGCATGAAACGGTGGTAGAGACGGTGGCTGCATGTGGCTATGTGGAGAAGTATATTCCGAGCCAGTGGTAGGGACCTGCATCGGGGTGACCTGGAATGAGCCGCTCTGAGGGAAGGAAGGTTGGGTCTGCACCTGGTAGGTGGATGGACTGGAAGATACCGACATGCTGGAGAAATCGTTCTGGGGGGCCATGTGTGAATATGCCGGCGGCTGCGACGTTCCATTCCCGTACGACTGGACAGAGGATGGCTGGTAACCCTGCTGTTGCTGCAGTGGTGCTGTCTCATAATTCTGGGGTCTCTGTTGCTCCTGGCTCACGTACTGGTACGGAGCAGCGTTGTTGGACCAGTCGACACGCTCGCCCTGGGGATATGAAATCGCAGACTGGACCTGCATTGGATCGGACATGCTTTGGGCTCCWTCATGTGATCGCCATGCTGCAGCAGTGGGACCACTGGCTACTGTGACGGATCCAGACATGCCCATCGAGGTGCTCACACTGGGTACAAATCCAGCGTTGGAGTGCTGCCATGAGCCATGACGCGAGGTCGGGTGGGAGCCTGTGGATGCGAGAGATTCTCGCCTTTGGCCGGTTGGCAGGCCGGGTGATGTTGAGGGAGCTCGCAAATGGGTCGAGTCGGATGTTCGTTGAGCTGTGCTCTTGTTAGTAGGACGATCGATTACACAACATGATTTCGGGTAATATTACATTCTGTCGTTGGGAGGCTGAGGTTAAAACCAGCTTCCTGTAATTTGCTGCGCAGGTAGGCTACCTCGCTCTCAAGCTCGCGGTTGCGTTGTTGTGTGACTTGTACGATCTTTTCGCTCGACTCCTGTGCGCTCCGAAGCTCACTCAAGTTGCCTTCCAGGTGGTCAATGTGGTCCTTGGTCCGCTGGCGGATGGCTCGCTGGGCTTCTCTGTCATTTGCACGTTTCCGTTCGAGTTGTGCGGCTGATAGTGTGGTCACACTGCGAGTTCCTGCTCTGGAAGCGCGCTTCTTGCCTGAACTGGTGGAAGATTTCCGGGTGTCGGATCCTGCTGAGGAAACATAACCTTGTTGTGATTGGGGCTTGATATCCAAAGGCGGTAGGCCTGCCATTCCATCTGAATTCATTGGTGACCATGGAAGGTGGTCGTTGAAATGGTGCCAAGGTCCTGTGGAAAGAACGCACGTCATGGATGGCAGCAGTGGGGAGGTAAGCCGGGTGTACTTGGAAGGTCTCTGGGAAATAAGTCTTGGAGTCGCGGTGATCGCCGTTCAGTATGTCCGGGGCAGAGTTGTTGGGGAAACGGAAGCAGATCAAGTAGGATGTAGGTGCTTTGTCTATTGATCAACTCAAAGGCATGTGCAGTGTTGCTTTGAATTGAGGTTCAGCAGAGGGTGCGAGACAGTGCTGTTAATAACCCAGTGACGGGTACGGCGCGCAAAGACCTTCAGCCAGGACCGGCCTATGGTCGATGCGGTCAGAGACAGGCACATCCATGCCCGAGATCCTTAATGCATGCTCATGCGTGATATGTGCAGTAGCAGACTGCACCGAACGCAGATCCCGATCCCTGTGGTGTTTCGAGCTGGTTGGTACTATAGCAAACCTAGCCCAGCTCTGGCACCGGCCGCAAATGCCGCATATCGAAGACGTTATGCGGCAACAAGCTAGCTCTGCTCGTTCCGATAGGGACGGAAGGCGTCTAGTAGTTGCGACGCGGGCAAAGCTCGCCAGCGCACTGCAGGACATATTTGGGAATATTAGCCGCGGATCCCAACACTTCGCGGATGGCAATTAATTCCACGTGGGCCACTTGGTCTGTGTGACGTTTTGAAGTTGCAAGCCTCCACCAGACTACCATCAGATCTGGATCTTCAGGAACATTGCATATGATGCTGGAAGTCGCGCTCATTACTCGTGCCTGCGTGTGGCTATAGTGAAGACAACATATAACGCGCCACACCCAGCATGCCCTGAAAGATCAATGCTCTGGCCCTGGGTTGGATGCAGTCTCACCATGCCCTGACCCTGCTATGCCAGGCAGCCGGACATGCCACTGGGCCGGCGAACCTAGGGACCAGCCGGGGCGAGAGAATTCCGAAGTGCAGCGGCAGCAGCAAATTGACCATTATCGTTGGAATCTGGCGGTGCTCCAGCCTTCTCCAGTGCGCCGCGAAGAATCCAGATTCGAGCCTCACCCGACGACTTCTCAAGCGGAGGGCCCACGCGCCACCAAGGCTTGGACGCCTATGAGGTTGGCATGCTAGTCTTGCCCGCGATGGGAAGGACCGGCTAGTAAATGAGGGATGAGCACTGGGCGATGAGGCACGAGCACCCAGATCGCGCAACGGGGATACCCTGAAGTGCACGCTCGCCCGCCTGTACTGACCTTGCTTCCGAGGGTCACGATTGGAGCTCTGTCGCAGAGGTCAATTTGACCTCTCAAGCAGTGACCAACTCGACACACCTCCTCCAGCCCGCAAGACGGCCCCACTCACACCGGCATCAAGAGGTTCGCCGGCGAATGCCACCACCATCAGATCAGTCGATGCTGGACGGCATCTAGGACCAAAGTGGGGAGGAGACGGGAAGTCAGTCGATGCTTTGGCCATTTCAGAATCAGCGCAAACCTAGTGGCCGGGCCGATGTTGATATAGAGTTGAGGGGACCGCGCTTCCGACGCCTTAGCGCGGCAGCTGGCCGTGGTTGTTGCCCGAATCACGTCGCCGCATTCCCGTTTCATGCATGCGGCTAAGCGAAACTCTCATGATCTTTCCGGGGGCGTCATCGATGGGCGTATTGCGATGCCGCAACCAGGTTGGAATCTCGAGTCATGCTCCATTCTTGCGGCATTGCGAGAATTGGGTAAGCTTTCGCATCGTTTCATCCTCTGCAATCGACGGAACACTGCTCAACGTTACGGTGATCCAAGCAGCAATTCCATCAGGCGACTCCAGCCTCTCAAGAGCGGCATTGCAAGTCTTCTAGTTGTGCTGGAAGAGTCGCTTGCTACCAATGCGCCATTTGGAACAAGATTGGAGCAATTTCGCATAGGACTACGTGTTGGRGGCTGCCCTGTACTCGCTCATGTCAAAAGCCGTTGTGCCTTATAGGAATAAAGCCGTTGCATAAGTTGCGTTCCCGCCGATCCAACCAGGAAGCATGTCGGAGAACGAAAAGCGAAGGAAGGCTTGCGCTGACGTGCAAAGATCGCCACATTGGTTGGGAAGATCGGCTGCACGTTGCTGTATCAGTGAAGAAACGGTGATGTGCTGTTTGAGATCGTATCGGCCATGCAAGTGGCTTGATGTACGAAGTAGCAACAGCACCGGCGGTAGTGTTATTACATCATTCGCATGGCAAACATGCGCGCAACACCGCTCACGCCGACCTCTGCGAACCGGATCGCTATGGTCAGGTCGCGGCTCGCCGAAGAGCTATGACTGCCTCGGCCAGAACGATGCAAGTTGAGGTGGTAAGGTACTCCTACGTTGACAGTGTAGCCGACTTGCGACCGGCACGCGGATGGAAGACGGTAGGCTTGATTGCAGGACTGCTGCGACCTCTGAGACGCAAACAACAGTGCGCTCTAAATTCTCAATGGAGCAATGGACAAACTATGTCTGCTCTATGACTTGGTGTATGATTCTCAAACACAAAGGCTTTGCGCCGCAATTCCCAATGCACGTCGGCCGATAAACACAACGTTCAATAGGTAACGTTGTCTTACTGCATAACAACACCATCGTCGGGAGCAGACCACAGGTCTCGACATGCACCCAGCAGTTTTCACCAATCTTACCTTAATCACAACTGAAACAGCTTTGTTCTATACAGCCAGATTCAGGTACCGCTTCTCGGATCCCGGAAGCTCTTCCGTACATGCATAGCGACCTGTCTTATTGCATACAGCAATCTTCAGCTGCTGCAGAGCGATGCGAACAGTTCGCTAATGACTCGGGCACTCTTCTTCGGATGTCTCTTTTGGCCGCCGGTGTAGTCCACATATGTGACGCCGAACCTCGTCTCGTAGCCCCTAATAACATGGAAGGCATAGATTAGTTTGTTGACAAGCAACAGTCGATTAGACTCATCGGAGAACTCACTCAGCCCATTCAAAGTTGTCAAGAAGAGACCACGCCATGTATCCTCGGACATCAACGCCGTCAAGGTGCTGTGCTTCTACCATTGCATTGATGTAGTCACGGAAGTACTTGGCTCTGAAGTCGTCCCGTACGATTTCTGCAACAGGTAAATCGTTTTCTCCCTTCACGCTCGTGCCATTTTCAGTAACGTAGATGGGTGGTCTACCATAGCGATCCGAGATCCAATTGAGCAATCTTCTGAAACCTGCAGAGTGGGGACGAAGCCAGGGGCTYTGTGTCTCAGGGCCAATGCTTTCCCCATTTGCATTTTGCTTCAGCACATCGACGTTGCCGCTGAAGTCCTGCGGAGCCGGAGTTTCGCTGCGTGCCCGGATGAAGTCTGATGTGTATCTTCTCCAACGTCAGTAATTCTCGTATTTGCGCCACGCCATATCCCGCAATGTCTTGGACATACGTGTTCATGAAGTAGGCATCGTTGGATCCAAGAACTAACGCTCTGTCCTCGGCAGTAAAATCTGGCAGGCGTGATCCAAGCTGCTGCTTCATGCCTACACTTGGTCAGACAAAGCATCAAGACTGTTACCTCACTCTTCGAGACCTTTAGCGAACACTTACTAGCCGGATACTCTCCTTTGTAAATTGGGTCTGCGAACCATGCGATGGAGAATTCAAGCTTTCTCTCGCACGCCTCCACATCGCTGGTGGAAGCCGAGTCGAATGGCTCGACCCAGTCCCCGTTCAGCGTTATGCCAATGACACCATGCTGGGTTGGTTTGAATTCTTCTCGGTATCTGCGCAGTCGTAAGTCAATGCCCGTAAAGGGGATCAGAACGCGCTTCTGTTTCCTTACATCTTAACTGCCGAAGCATGAGCAAGCAGGATGTTGTGGCCAACTATCCATGGCTCGGTAGAGCTGTCGCCCACCGGGCTCTTAGTACGATCGCTGGTATGACCCGGCGCTATCACGGAAGGTTAGCATGGTGAGAACAAGTAGTGACATGAGCTACTAGTAAGAGAAGTTGTCGAGAGTATCGGTACCGAGTATTTGGTAGAGGCAAGAAATCCATTGACAGATCCTCATATCGGCAGCTTTGTGTCTGTGGGATAGTGGACTGACCAAAAGTCCCAGTGCTGTAGCCAAGGATTGCGCTACACCTGAGTAAAAAGAGTACACATCAGCAGATACTCATGGACTTGTATTTGCAGTCGGAGACCTCGATGTTGTCATCATCACTGCCTTGGACTGACTTACCAAGGTTCGTTGTAAGTGATCCAAAACTTCACCTTGGYACCGAGCGTGCTAAACAGCAATCGGGCGTAGTTGGCATAGTCTTCAACGTATTCCTCTTTGTCGAGAAAGCCGCCATAGCGATCGTAAAGTCCTTGTGGTAGATCCCAGTGGAAGATGGTCACCATTGGTATTATTCCGTTTGCGAGCAGCTCATCGATCAAGTCTTCGTAGTATCTGGGAGACGAAAAAGTCGAACAATTAGCCTATGGTAGCAGTTGGGAGCGGATATTGGCAAGAGACTGTCGTAATGTCCCTCGTTTTCTCCCTCAGTTGGCTCACTGTAGTCCTTGCTGGTTTATGGGGTCGTTCCGACCACCTAACAGCGAAAAAGAAAAGGTCAGCAGTGTCACATATATCAAGCGCGAGTAGCCAAAGATTCGAGGCTCTCTCTAAGATCTCAACATGCTAAAGATGCGTAAAGGCCTCCTCGTCGGCGATATCTTCCATCTCATGCGTGGCGGCAATACTTTTGGCTTCAATGGACTCACCGAGTGGAATGACCCTAGACCAGGAGATGCTGAATCGATAGATTCTGGCTCCAAGTTGCTTGAGAAGCGAAACATCGTCTTTGTATCGATGGTAACTGTCGCAAGCGATCGACCCGTCCGAACCGTCAGCGATCTTCCCTGGCGTACGGCAGAACGAATCCCAGATTGAGTCCTGGCGCCCATCTTCATGCACGGCACCTTCGATCTGGTAGCTGGCAGTCGCAAATCCCCACAGAAAATCTTTCGGGAGTGCCATCTTGACCATGGAGCGTACGCTGCAAAGGTTTCTTGTCTTCTCAAGCTCCACCCGAAATCAACGATCCTTATATCAGATATGTCAAGACTCGCTAGGCTAAACAGATGCGGAGGTGCTGATCCCATGTAGCACAAGATGGGATGAGGTTCGTTTAAGGAGTCCGGTAGAATAGCTTATATTATCCGATCTCGGTTCGCTGCGGTACCGCTATCTCGCTTGCATAAGGTATGTCGCTTGCATCGCATGGTTCGGAAAGCGAAGCGCGTGCCGGTGAGGCAGGGCACACATGTTGACGCCACCGCCATACACGCGGACGGCATATTGAAGATATAGATGCCGGATCATGTCATGCCCTGACAGCTACAGTGCTCCCGAATGCTGTACTGATGTTTTGCATGAGGGTGGAAGGTGAGTTTGAGTTTGTCGCACTAAGCCGCATAGAGACGGGCGGCGCTCTTGCCAAAGAAGCTAGACCTCCGACATTCCGCTACCATTTCCACACCTGCCACGATCAAATCTTTACAGTACACAGCATCGGTGTCGGCGGCCGCTCATAGTGCTGACGGTCCCGTTAGACGGAGCATTGATAAGACGTGCGATCCTCGCCATTCTGACATAGGTGAATATCTCAGTTTCCTTTCGAACTTCCATCCACTTCATCTTGACCATGTCCGCCCTGCTTCCTGTCATTCGGGYGAGACAAGCTCTCAAGTTCATCAGCACAACTTCACCCACTATCAGGCGTGCAGCAAGCACTTCGGCCCCTCAGAAAAGAGAGGGAGATATCTCTGATGCTTTTGCTTCACTTTCGGGCTTGCAGTTTGAGAAGCTACCGCCAAGATTCGCAGACGTCAAGTCGCGTTTAATTGCAGGCAACAAAGAAGCTCTTCACGAGTCCTGGAATCGATTATTGACATCTCTACGCGAGGAGATTCCTCTGATTGCGGAGAAAGGGCCAGAGATCATTCCGCAAATAGATTTCAGCGACATTGACAATGCCAGCGAAGAGTTCAGAGCAGAGCACAAGAAAAGAGGCGTTGCTGTTATCAGAAATGTGGTCCCGGAGCACGAGGYACTTGCTATGAAGACGGAGTTGAGGGCGTAGTAAGTCATTTCACGGAAAATGCTGCTGGTGGAAAATGGCTGACCACCACACCCCAGTCTCGAGGCTAATCCCCAAACAAAGGCGTTTCCCAGCGACAATCCACAGGTATACGAGCTATACTGGTCGCCATCTCAGATTAAGGCTCGCTCTCATCCCAACCTACTCAGAGCCCAGCGATTTCTCTTGGAGTTTTGGCATTCGCGTGATCCTTCTGCCCTCATCTCGTCCAGCCATCCTATGATATACGCTGACCGTCTCCGAATGCGTATGCCCGGCGATGCCAAATTTGCTCTAGGGCCACACGTTGATGGAGGATCGTGTGAAAGATGGGAGTCGGAGGGTTACGGAGGACGTGGAGGCGTCTACGATGCCATCTGGAAAGGCAGGTGGGAGGAGTATGATCCATGGGAGTCCAGCTGCCGTCTCAATGTCAACTCGGACTTGTATTCAGGTGTTGGCGCTTGCTCCATGTTCCGCTCCTTCCAAGGCTGGCTGTCACTGAGCAATACCGGTCCTTCTGAAGGCACATTACTCGTAAATCCGCTGCTCTCGCGGGCGACCGCATACTATTTGCTGCGGCCATTTTTCTCTCCGAGAAAGGCAGCCCAAGATCCAACCGCGGAAACCTACGAGGAGGCTTTCCTGGCCCCAGACAACTGGGTGCTGAGTCCAGAGCAGGACTCCTGGCTCCATGGAGCTTCACTAGGTCACGGACAGGAGCTCTCGGCGCTGCTACATCCACACCTAAATCTGCCTAGTTCAATGGTACATGTACCTCGAGTCCGTCCGGGTGACTATGTGAGCTGGCACTGTGATACTATCCATGCCGTGGATAAATTACATGCCGGACAACACGATAGCAGCGTCATGTAAGTCAGGCGATGGAGGACGACGGACATTGAGACCATCTGAATCCACCGTTGCTAATCTTCTCGTCTTGCACTTCTAGGTACATTCCAGCCTGCCCACTCACAGAGTCGAACGCAAAGTTCGTGGCACGTCAACGTGAGGCTTTCCTACAGGGCACACCATGTCCAGATTTTGGTGGCGGCATCGGGGAGTCCAACCACATAGGACGTCCTGGAATCGAAGATGTGAGGAACGCTGATCCGGAGGCTGGTATGCGAGCATTTGGACTTTCAGCGTGGAACCTCTCCGAACCAGGTCTGACAGAAGGTCAGCGGCGAGTGATGGAGAGAAGCAATGAAATCTTGGGTCTTTAGAATGTCCTCGATACTTCTCAACGTACTCTGTTTCACCCTGCTACGAGCCGCGGCTACAATCCCAGGATTCTCATCATGGTCTGTTGGTAGGCATCTTGTCGCGAACATGAGGTCTTATGAGAAGGCTGCTGCATAGACTTGCACAGCGAGGTGCTCGGTTGTCACTGGCTCAACGCGGGGGACTTGAGATGGGAGTAGTTTTCAGGGCTGAATCTCTAGTCATCGACCTCCCTCCTTTGCAACGAGCGGCAGTTTCGACGACATGTGTCGGTAAACAATGACAAAGCCGAAATTGTGACGTAGAGAAGACTTTATGAGCAGTCAGTTCCATCCTTCCTTCACTGTGTTGAGCGAGCCTCATCGAAGGCTCTGGCTGAAAGGGGCGATTTGTGCTAGATACGCTTAGAGCGTTGTGTTATCGGGCTTTTTTACTCGATGTGAGTCGTTTGGAAATCGAAGGCGTTCATCAGCATGGCAAAGGCTGAGCCCTGCAGATCGTCCGACGGCCTTGCTCTCAACGGGCGGCCGGCTACATCGCTCGTTGCAACTTCGTGATTCATTGCATCAGAGAATGGAGAGCGGTATTGATGATGTCTTGCTAATACGCGTCTCAACGCTCAGTCCTCGACTAAATGTTGAGTTGGTTAGGGTTGTGTTAGGGTTGGGGTAGTGTCACACTGACTTCAAGTAGTCTGCATCTCTTACGGTACACGTTTCCTACTCTTACCACGAGGGTATCGTGTTCCACTTTGATCTTTTGCGTCGTGGAGGCAGGAATAGGTGGATTGACACTCATTTTGGAATCTGACCACTGCTCATCACAACAAGAATGCATAACAAAAGCACACCGTGAAGTTTTCACATGAAATTGTTTCCAATCGAATAGCGAAGCGGAAGCATCATCGCATCGGCGCCGTTACATAAAGTAGGAATATTGGGTTTCCATCCAGAGGGAACTCTTTCGTATGGATATCATCGACGACTCCAGCAAAAGGGGTAACGCCGTGGATGTTCGAAATAGCCGAGACATCTCTCTCTGTGACCACCATGATCGAGATGCTTTATTGTACCGTTGAGAAACCAATGGAAAGGTAAAGCCATGCGTATGTCCTCAATGCCTCTAATTCAAAATTGATCAATCACAATCAGTCATCAGCTGGCGGGAGGTGTCCAGCCTTCCCGACAGCAAAAGACCATGCCTCCGTAGTCGAGCCGGACAAGTAAACGGCGTTTGGACATCAAGTGAAGCAAGAAAATGCTATCGAGACTTGCTCTGCCTTGTTCCCATGTCAAAATTAGCAAAGGTGATCGACAAGAGTCAGATATGCTTAAAGATCATTCACTCACTAGCTGCGCTAACATGAGTCATGAACCATGGTTATCCTCAGCCCTACGCTTTTGCGCATGTACGCAATCAGCGACATGCTAACTTCACCACAAGAGAAAGATAACGAGAACAAAGAATAAAACGTCTCTGTCCATTCACAAAAGTCAAATATAAATATCGTGCCTGATGAAAATCGCCACGAAAGAGATACAGTAGCACTTCATTCAAGAAGAGTTCCCCGCCGACGTTGAAAAATCCAAGACCTGTGAAACGCCGCAATCATAGCGATGGTAGATTGCAAGGACGCAGATTACCGAGCGCGCCAGACCGCTTCCCGCTGTCGACTAGAGAGCGGAACAGGTAAACCAAACGATCAACCGCACAATGAACAAAAAGAAGACCGATCATGTAGCGAGAGTAGCCCATCGCAGTAATGCGCGTCGTCGGACAATCGAATCCTCGTGGATATCTGAGATTCGCGAAACTGGCAATGAGTGTATATGTCTGTTTGAGTGGCCACGGGCCGAAGTGTCGTTCCAAGGGATGGCCCGAGGAGTTGTGGAATAGCACCGTTATTAAACGAGCCTTGCACCGCACTTCCACGATCTCAAGCAGTTTGACTTGAACCAATTGGAGGGGATCCAGGTCCAAAGTACTCATCAAGAGAAGAGTCATTTTGTGTCAGACGAGTGGTGTGGTTGCTGTGCTCAATTTYCGTATGGGGGTCGTCAGTGTTGTGTGCGACCAGAAAATAAGGATGATGTCCCATTCTCGTGCTCTCTGGCCGGGGCATGACAGGCTGGCCTCCGGGCCAGAACGAACTGGTCATTCTCGGCAACAGCACTGTTCACCATTTCTGACTCGACAATGGGAGGTTTCGCCTAGTTCCCGCCGATGTCAGTCTCTATAGACGCATCCCCACCAAAGGCAAAGTTGGCATCAAATCCAAGCCCAGAGTCATCATTGTTGTTGAGGAAGCTGTCAAAGTCGAAGTTATCGAGTACATCACCGCTGTCCAGAGCGGCAAAGTCCATGGTGGGGAACTGTGAATCGCCACCAAGGTCACCAAAGGGAGCGCCCATGCCCATGTCGGGTGCTGGGGCCTGCACCTGGTTTCCATTATGATTTTGCTGACCACCGGGTCCAGGTTGGCCGTTTTGCATCTGCAGATTCTTGTTCTGATTGAACGATGCAGCATTGTTCGGAGTGACCGGAGGAGGCGGAGTTGGCGTAGGAGGAGCATCAGCATTCTCATTGCTGGCCGCAGCCGCTCCCTTCTTATTGCCAACCTGCGATCATTAGTACAACGCGACGACTCACTGCATGGGGTGGCACCAACCTTTTTATTATCTTTTTTGCCTCCAGGCTTGGGCTTATTAGCTTGGCTCGGCGTGGGCGGCTGAGGTTGCTGGGCTGGGCTACTTGGCTGAGTTCCGCCTGGATTCGCAACCGGAGGCGCCGGCGGTGGAGGCATGTTACCTTGACGGGGTGTCATGTTCGGCTGCTGGCCAGGCTGAGGCATCATCCCATGCGGTGGCTGCGGTCCACCTTGCCAACCGCCGCCATTTTGCATCATTTGGCCGGAACGTTGCATGTACTCCATCTGTTGCTGTGTCATTTGAGCACCCATCGCTGGGTGGGACGAAGGTGGCGGTCGCATGAGCGGCTGCCCGTTCGGACCCATTGCCATCATCTGTTGGCGCACGGCGGGGTCCATCATATTGGGCGCGGGCGATCCACGGCCCGTCATGTCACCATTCGGGGGTGACATGCCGGCTTTTTTGATGTTGGGCGTTCCGCGTTGCATTTCATTTGGGTTCGGAGATGGATCTCCGGCTCTATTCGATGGCGACATGCCAGGCTGAAATGCGGCGCCATTGGGCCCACTTGGGTGTGCCATACTGTCCTGTTCTTGCCGAGCCATGAGCAGACGCTTCTTGTTCTGCTGTTCGAGAAGCATCAGTTGCATTTGGTAGTCTTGCAGCGCGTGATTGCCGTTTCCGTTATTTGCTCCTTGCTGGCCAGGGGCGGCTACGGCAACGCCATTCTGCGGCATGCCCATTCTCTGATTTGCATAGAATTCTCCAGAGTTACCGTCGAGGCCTTGCTGGCTCATGGGACTTGACTGTGCGCCGCCGGGGCCCATTTGGGGGTTTTGAGGCATGCCCTTGTTCGTGTTAGAATTCGTTCTTTGCATAGCGGCCTGCATCTGTTGCTGTATAGCTTGCGAGTAGACCTCCACAGACTTTGCCTGAGTGTTAGTGGGTTGTGCGGACAGTCTGAAAGCTGTTCATGTGCATTGACGGGGGAATGAATTTGCAGTTGACGGGCGATTCGCGTGTCTGTGCAGGGAGKATTTCAATTGAGGTGGGGAGTAGGGAGGGAGACCCACCTGGCTGCCTGCTGGCATCTGGCCTTGCTGGCCGGGTCGAGCTTGCGGCATTTGCGGCATGTTGCCATCGAGTCTTGCTCGTTTCGGCGATGGAGCATCGCCATTACTGGGTGACCCAGACCGTGGTCCGCTCATTTCCATTTGTGAGCTCGATCGCTCCATCTGGCTGCTCTGCATCTGGTTGCCCTGAGCTTGACCAGTCCTCATCTTCATGCTCTGGAGCTGCGCCTGCTGCTGGGCCGRCGACCTGTGAGTTGTGAATTAGCATCGTTTATCGCATCGTCAAATGGTCGGCGCGCATCAACCTACATTCCGTTCTTCAGCACGGCCTGTCGCATATCGCCGCCCGGCATGCCGTTGTTCATCATGTTATAACCACGCTGCATTCCATTCGGATCCACGAGCATGCCTGTGCGCGCCTTTTGCGCTACACGTTGCTGACCAACGTAGCCCAAAACAGTCTGCTTGCCTCGTTGGCGATTGCCGTGGAATATCTCCCAGAACTGACACCACCAGTCTTGCAGGAAAGGGCTGTCTGCGTGCGACATGCTGACGGGTGCTGGGAGGTCGCTGGGCCGCTTTTGGACGCCTGGGAGCTCCTTGCTGTCGACTTCCATGCCGTCCGCACCATTCTGGTGTTGGTTCGGAGACTGCTTGGTGATTTCCTCGATGGGCAAGTCCTTGTAGAAGGCCCGGGCAGAATCGTAGTGTCCATTGCACAACAGGTACTCGTAAATGTGCGTGTTCAGCTTCTTAATGATCGCCTCGGGTGAATAGAGTGTCGCAGAGTTGGTGGGCGTCCCGACATTTCCGACTGGACCACCCATACCACCGGCCATAGGGTGCTGTTGGCTCATGCTGCAACCGATTCACGCGCGATGCGTGAGGTGAAGGGCGAGGTTCGTGTTCCGACAGCGCGCGCGAATGACTTGTAGGGGGTGCGTGCGAACTCGCACGTCGCCGTCGCAGTCACAGCGGCAAGATCGAGTCGGCGGTATCGCGATGAAGCCTCGTCGCACGATGCGAGACGGTCTGGTGCGAAGAGGTGGTTGTTGAGTTCCGGGAAGGGAAGGAGTGGAGAGGCTGGAAAGCTAGAATGGTTTCACGCCAGGTCCGCTCTCGTCGTGCGCCGTGCGGTTCTGACTGCTCTCGCGGCCGATAACGCGTTGTGTTGACGGCGGTGGCGACGTCGTCGTCGTCGTCGTCGTCGTCGTCGAGGGACTGTCGCTCACAAGGTGCAGGTAGTCGAAGCGGAAGTAGGATGCGCCGCCGGTGCGGGTTGTCAGATCAGGGCGCTAGGACAGACGTATCGAAGCTCGAACCAGGTACTCTGGCTGTGGTGCGTTTTACGCTCTATATGTCCGACAAGTAACAACGACAACAACAACAAGTTTGGCCGTGCTGATGGTCAAAACGAAGTGGGATAAGGCAACGCGATGAAAGTCCCGAGGCCGCGACGTGGAGTGGTGGTTGAAGCTATGGTAGGCTGGAAGGATGGTGGTCGCAAATGGGAACGTGATCTATAGTGTGCCGCTCTCACCATTTGCTAGTGATGAGAACTGCATGCGCAAAACAGATTGAAGTACAAGCAGCTCTCCTTTCCACCCGCGAAGGTATTGTTACGTGGTAAAATACCCGCTCTACACTATGATCTACGCTGCGTGCTCTGTTTCAGTCCAGTGCGTATTGACCTCCCGATGTGAAGCGCCGCAATAATGTTGTCGACACCGCCTCCCACCATCACCGTACGKTGTGCGGCAATGCGTTGTTCCTGACCACATGATACTGCTCTGATTCGACCACTTAATTCCTCACCGCCCACGAATTCAGAAATTTTTCTTGCTTTCTGTCTTTGTGTATAGTGAATTCCCACACTGTAAAGATCCGTGTAGGTTGACAGTGAGACTCCCTGTAGAAGAAGTAGAAACAGTCAAGTACCGAGAAAGATCTCTGGATCGTCGTCCCGACACTTTGGGTTTTGGTCCTTCAGCACCGGCAGTGCAAACCTTCTTTGTGAATTTTGACAGAGAGAATGTGGGAACATCAGTCGCTGTATGTGATCCACTGCAAGTCCATACGGCTTTCTTCAATTCACWTCAGCCGATTATAGACCAGAACCGAAAGCTTCTGTAATTGCCTTCTGTGAGACTGCGCCAAAGCTCCTTGCTTGGTTGCCGTCGTTGTTCCTACATCCGAGCCATGCTAATGGGATGATGACAGATCAAGCGACAAGGTCGAAGATCGCACATTTGATCAGGCTCGTTGCGTCGGTCGTTATTCATTCATCATCTGGCGGCATCTCGTCTTCGATGTACCGTACCAATGTGACCCGCATCTCTGTCGTATCGTCCCCACGCAGAATATCGCTGACAAAGTGCGCCTCAGCCTGCATTTGCACCTGTCGYCGCGATCAGCCTGGTCGCAACTCCTCCCATATGCTCATCGCGCTAAACAACATACCATTTCTAGCGTTCCCCGAATCACCCCACACAAGATGTTGCTATACCACAGCTCGTCTTGCGCTCGTCCATCGTCAGGCAACTCCACGAAATCGGTGAGCGGGTTCTCTTCAAACACCAAGCTGAACGCCTTGCCATCCTGGCTCCAATTCGTAATCGCGGGTGTGATGTTCATGAAAATCTTGAAGCCAACCTTGGAGATGATCTCAKCCGTCTCACGAAASTTGGAGCACGAGCCTGTATTGGACTTGGCCAGAAAGTCCTCAATCAGGCGCAACCCCATGTTGTATCCCATACGATGTAGCTCTTGATTCACGGCGGCATAGTCGGTCTTGTTCGCGGTGCTGGGTACCGTCAAGTCGCGGCAGAGCTGGGCGACAATGGTGCCATATGTTAGGGTGACGACCTCGGCGTTGATCTTGTCGACTCGGGATCTTATAACGAGATTAGAGACTGTGCAAATCCCTCGTCGATGCTTCTTACTTCCACACTCTGCATCATGCTGTCAGCTTGTCCGCGCAATCGTATCGCGTGTCCATGCTCACTCTTCTCCTAGACGGGCAGCCTTGGACGTCATGATTGCTGCTGCTTGGGTGCGTCTTGGATACAGACGCTGTGGCAATCAATTTCACTTCATGCCGTCGCCAACCCTTCGAATGTTGTTGATCGAGAACACGGGGTTGGAGTCGGAGCTGGTCATGTAGGTAGGCAAGTAGGTAGGTCAGTGCCCGAGGGTCCACAAACCTTGGTGGACCGAGCGTTCAATTCCATCCATGTCAATGTCAATCCTAAAGGAAAGACTTCACAACATGCACCTTACCAACGAATTTGCTACGAAGCCGCAAGCACTTCGCTCTCGCACCGTTCCTGCCTAAGACGAATCGCAACACCCTTCGATACACGACCGGGATTTCGGTGGAATCTCCCAAACGCATACAATCATGTCTGGCGAAAAACGTGCAGCGGCAGAGTCGTTTGGCAGCAGCCAATTAGTTAAGAGACAGAGATCAGGCGCAGAACTCAATGGCAATGCTCTCACAAAGTCAAACGGCGGTGCGCTCATACAAGGGGTAAGTGGCCCAGGAGCGACCTCTGGCACCCGAAGCAGAGCTAAAGCGGTGTATAAAAGTACAGGCACTGATCAGTATGGCACGATCTAGGGACATGGAGCTGCAGGCTTGCCGGCATCCGTCATGGAGCTCAGCGGTCATTCGGGGGAGGTCTACACCGCTCGCTTCAACCCTACTGGCGTACATGTCGCATCCGCTGGCATGGACCGCAACATCCTTCTCTGGAACACGACTGGCGAGTGCGCCAACTATGGCATGATGACGGGACACAAAAGTGCGATTCTTGATCTGCAGTGGTCAAGAGATAGTCAGGTTGTCTACACAGCAAGCGCAGACAAGCATGTTGCGAGCTGGCAAGTAGAGACTGGCGAGAGGATACGGAGGCATGTCGGTCATGAGGAGATTATCAATTGTCTGGATGTCAGCAAACGCGGCGAGGAATTTCTGGTAAGTGGGAGTGATGACGGTTCCATCTCGATTTGGGACCCCAGGTCCAAAGCCGCCATCGACTACATCGAAACATCCTTCCCTGTCACCGCCGTCTGCTTGGCTGAGGCGGGCAATGAGCTGTTCAGCGGGAGCATTGACAACGAGATCAAGGCTTGGGACTTGCGTATGAAGAAAGTGTCCTACTCGCTCACAGGACACACCGACACCATCACCTCGCTAGCCATCTCGCCGGATTCGCAGTCACTCCTCTCCAATTCGCATGACTCTACTGTACGCACCTGGGATATTCGACCTTTTGCGCCAACAGACCGGGCGATCAAGGTGTTTGATGGAGCGCAAGTCGGGTTGGAAAAGAACCTCATCCGCGCTTCCTTTGATGCCGAGGGAGCGCGCATTGCAGCCGGAGGAGGGGATGGCTCAGCCACAATTTGGGAAACCAAGAGCGGCAAGATGCTGCATAAGTTACCTGGACACAAGGGAACGGTCAACGATGTGCGGATCTCGCCAGATGGCTCTATGGGTAAGCTAGTTTTTGATTGTGCGTCCGTCCGTTATTACTAACCCGCTCGCAGTGCTATCCGCAAGCACAGACAGAACTCTTCTTCTGGGGGAATTGCCTTGATAGATAGGGTGACAGCTATCGTAGGCAGATACGCATCGGAGTGGTCCAGCAGGCTTTGGAAGCTTTGACTACCATGATCATGGCCCCTTGGACGAGGGCTAGAAAGTCTCCGGCGTGAGCTCCCCACGCTATGGTTTGAGCAAGGGACGAATGAAAGCGAGATTTGTACAACTCGGAGCCGGTCTCGGTACCAAAACCTATTCGGGTTGGCAAGAACGCAATGCAAAGAAGGTTTTGCGGGTGCAAGCAAGATCATACAAGACGGCTTGAGATGAGAGGATCATCCAGCACCAACAAGCGCCGCAGGAGCTTGCTCAAAATCCGCGAAATGTATTGAAGCGAAGTCCCGTCACGTACATTGTCCATGCTCCAACTTAACGATCAGCGAGCGTGCATTTTGCAGCCAGCCTGATGAGCTTTCTGTTGATACCGATTTCATGGAGCTTCCAAGTGAAACATAGCCAGCTACACAAGCCATTGTCCAATCCATCAGACCATTGGCTGAGCGAACGGATGTCACCGTCGCGTCCCGACTACCTACACCCTCTTCCAAACACATCTTTGGCGTTACATCTGTCAGAAGCTTTTGAGAAAACTAGCGTTCAGCCACTCTAATTGGCCAGCGCCAAATCCTGAAACGCTCCCGAGAAATCCAAAAGTAGGATGGATCTCCTTCGTTCACACCACTCCCAGCAGCCTACATATGAAACATTTACCACAAGCAGCCCTTAGAGCGTCCGCCATCAGCCTACCGAGATGCAGCTTGCGGTCGGTCGACGGCCATTACGCCTTGCGGGGAGAGAACGCCGGTGCACCTTTCTTGTGCAACGCTGAGATGGAGTGTCTGCTGCATCCCTTGAGTTGTGCCAACGATAGGCCCTGCTTGTACTGCGCGTCGGCCTGAAGCGTTCGAGCGTCGCTGTAAGGCACCACGCTGCAGGTTCGCGCAGATGGTCTTCAAGATGAGTATTGTTGTTTATCTTGATTGTGGTGTTCCTTGCTTTCCGATTTCTACTTCTCCTTCTCTCATCTTATATTTTGTCTCGTGAGGACGAACGGGTCGTCTTGATTGTTGTGTATTGTATCTTCCTGGCGTACTTCATGGTYACCTACTTCAAGCCAAAGGTCGAAGAGCTCAACGACACCATGAACTCCCCACTACCAGATGCGAGTACGCTGGAGGCTGGGATCCTGGAAGACGAGCGACCATCCCGACTCTCGCGCGTCCAAGGCAATGTACGGAATCTACTCAGAGCATCTATCTTTGGGTCTGTCGCCAGCTCGCCAACAACACCAACGCATCGACAACTTGCCAATCAGGAAGGACGAACAGAGTCACTGCACTCACCCATTCGCTATGAGGTGCATCGAGGACAAGTCTTGCCGAGCCCCTCGAACTCGGGCATGTTATCGGTGCATGACGAGACGGTCGTCGCAGATCCTCCAGCAGCAGGTCTGCAGCGATTGCAGCAGATGAATCACCAATCAACACTTTTCAACACAAGAGCAGTGGCCGCCATCAATCATCCAGACCTCAGTGACCCATCGATGGAAAGTCTAACCCTACAAAAGACGCGGTCAAGACAACAACATAGCCGGAAGCGGGCGAAGCACAGACGCATAGCACGAAAGGCTGCGTGCTCAAGAGCTTTGCTGTGCGTGCTGGCCGCAGTCTTGTTAGCTGGGTTAGTTGCAACCTGTAAGTATCGTCTGGCTTGCATGAAGAGTGCTGGGTACAGCTAACCTCATATGTAGACGTCTCAATCGCCACCACAGCATCTGGAATCAGCACAACTTTCCACGTCCTATTTATTCTGGCAATTCTGCTAGCTACGATCGTATTCGCACATGCCGCTCTGCGACTTTGTCTAGCTGCCAGGAGTCGATCAAGAGATGTGCCTACATTCGTCTCGGTCTCCAGGCACGGACAAAGACGCCGACAGCATGGTCCACGGCATCTACAAATTCATCCTTTGCCGAAGCTTACGACCGATGCAAGAGGAGCTTTTATGCCACCCACACCTATCCAGGTGCACGTTATAGCCGATGACGTGCTAGCAGACGAGAATGTTGCTCAACCCACCACAGGAGCAGATCACTCGTCTCATCTTTGGGATAAAGAAGTTGATACCATTCCGAATCCTCCGCCTGCGTATGGTCGCTGGAGGGGCAGTGTGCGCGCGGATCCCGATCTCCTGCACTGGGTGCCGTCTCCAACGAGTTCGGATCGAGAGGTGATGCCTTCGCCGACCTATGAGGAGGGGTCCCCACCGAGCTACATGACGCGAGAGAGTCCGGCAAGACAGAGAGAGCTACAGGAAGCGCGAGCTGGGATCGCGCGTTCAGTAATTGCGGAGCCGGAGATGTTGGAGGTCAGGAATGGTCCGCCGCTACCAGAGGTTGGTCAGGCGTTTTAGCTCGACGTCTGTTGCCGTTCTCTTATCCGGTACGCTCGATGTATAATACAGTCCATAAGCGGAGGGAACAGAATCCAGACCATCTGTAATGAGAAACCGTGTCGTATGTCAAGGCCCAAGTCCAGTAGTAAACGCCATCTTCCATGTGCCCATATATCCATCATCCCGAACGCCGCGCTGTAACCAACACCCAAGAACTCGCTCTGACCCATCCGAATTATCTTACGCCTTCTTTTCCCTATTTTCACCAGGCTTCTTCGCCAAATCCTTATCCCACCACTCCCTCCAAAACTTCTCATCTTCAATCCGCTTTGCCTCCTTCTGCTCCCGCTCCTCTCGTCGCTTATCAATCGTTGCAAACCATTCCTYTCTCGCAGCATCGTKCTCTGCTTGCGTGGCGTATTGCATCATACAGGTGTTCATCGCCTTTTGCTGTGCGCGGCACATGAAAGTCGCTGTGAAAGTCCGGGAGGTACAGCACGCTGCAAAATCTACACATTCATGAATGATTGGTGAGCTCATGCATCTTCAGAATTGGGATTGCGGCTTCGTATATATTGTACCTCTGACCTCATCTGCGCATTTTGTCCGTACGCGCTTGAAGTAGAGCTCTCGGACTTGAGATTCCTGGCTGGAGGAGAGTGGAAGCGGCGAGCGCTTTGGATTCGGGACGACGGGAACCTGGCTGGCCGAAGATGTGGGATTGGTTGGTAAAGAGGCCATTGCTGCCACTACTATGTCTTCATCAGAGAAAGCAATGAAACGGAGTGACAGCGATGATCGTGTGAAGGGCACTAGCGCGATTCATAAATGGAAGTTCGCGCTAAGCCATTCACTTCACTCGATGATGAATCAACACGGTGTTGACAGCAACAACAACATTCACCATGAGATTTTCTTCAGCGGCCGTAAACGAATTCATTCAACTGGGATATCTACACAGACTCTCAACCGTAACCATACATCAGCCGTCGTCGACCTCTTACATTTATGCCTTGTAAGTGTGCATAACGTGAGCATTGAGGTAGGCCTTGAGGCCCTCCTTGCCCCACTCTCCGCCAATACCAGATTCCTTGTGTCCACCAAAGAAGGCTTGTGGTGTTGGCTTCTCAAAGGAGTTGATGAAGACAGAGCCAGCTTCCAAGCGCTTGCCGATGCTCTCAGCGCGGGCGACATCCTTGCCCCATACGCAGGCACCGAGACCGGCTTTGCTGGCGTTGGCACGCTTGATGACCTCCTCCTCGTCGTCCCATGGCTGAGTTGGGACGATGGGACCGAATGGCTCTTCCTGGATGATCATGCTGTCATTTGGCGGGTTGTCGATGATGGTTGGCTGGATGAAGAAGCCCTTGCTGGAGGAAACATCTGGCTCACCAACGGCAAATTTGTAGCCATTGCTCTGTGAAGAGGGTTAGCGATATTCATTTATTGTTGAATTGTCATTTACCTTGGTGTCGGCGAAGAAGCTCTTGACCTTCTCGAACTGCATCTGGTTCTGGATTGGGCCGAGGTGGGCGCCATCAGCTGGAGCACCAACAGTCATGGACTTGGTGAACTCGACCATAGCCGCGAGAGTCTCCTGATAGATGTCCTTGTGGATGTAGATACGCTTGGTGGCGACACAGACCTGGCCAGAGTTCTGGAAAGCACCCATCACGAGCTGAGGAGCGACAGCCTTGACGTCGACATCGGGAAGAACGATGGCCGCATCGTTACCACCAAGCTCGAGAGTTACACGCTTGAGTGTGTTGGCACATGCAGCCATGATCTTCTTGCCCGTGGGGATGGAGCCGGTGAAAGAGATCTTGGCGATGCCAGGGTGAGCCGTGAGCATTGGGCCAAGGGCGTCATCGCCACCGATGGCCTGAACCACACCTGGTGGGAAGACGGTCTGAGCAATCTCTACCATCTTAAGTGTGGTGTAAGGGGTGTATGGGCTGGGCTTGATGATAATGGTGTTACCAGCCAGGACAGCAGGGAGCAGCTTGCCCAGAGAAAGGACAATTGGAAAGTTCTGCCAATTGTTAGCAAGTGGCCGAACTGTAGAGTGGGCAGGGTATAGTACTGACCCATGGGCAGATGGCGCCGACAACCCCGAGAGGTGTGTAACGGGTGGTGATGGTCTTCTCGCCATCATCCATCGTCTCCTCGGGGATCTCGAGGGATTGATGCCAATCACACCAGCCTGCTGCACCGCCCTTGGTCTCCATTTCAGCAATGGCTTTCTAGGAATTGTCAGCACATGTCATCATCGTTGGCATTGTTCATGGGTGTTCATACAGGCTTGCCGGTCTCAGCACACAGCAGCTCGGTCATGTCATCAGCGTRCTCCAAAAGAGTATCCTTCAACTTGGAAATCAACTCTTTCCTCTCCGCAAGCGATGTGTTGCGAAACGACTCAAAGGCCTTCTGGGCAACCTCAACAGCCTCGTCTACATCTTGTTGCGAACCGATTGGAACAGACCACAGCTTCTCCCCAGTGACTGGGTTGACACCGTAGTGTTGGTTCTTTCCAGAACGCTGCTGTCCATTGATGATGTTGCTGAACTCGTCAAACTTGATGGTGGAGACCTTTGATGGAGACATGACTGCGGTGTTTTGTGTTTGTAGGAGATTGAAACAGGACGAAAGAAAAGCGCCGATCTACCTCTCCAGATGTTTTATACACGCTTGTTATCTTGGTAACACTTGACCAGGAAGATGCGGGGCGTTTTGAGGTAGTGTGATGTGGGCTTGACAACGGAAGGTCTTTCGACCGCGTATGGCTACCGAAGTGGGGCAACTGATGGGTGCATCGCCCTCTTGGCGCTGATTAGCCTTGACTATGTCCCCCTGCACTGGRAATGTATGATTATGCATCACGTTGATGAAGGAGGAAATGCCATTTCTAGCGGAAGTCGTCCAGTGTTCCCACACGAACGTCTTCAAGCTTTCTGAGTTTGTAACTGCCGGCGATTCGGGGAGCTGAGTTGAAGGTCCGCCACATGGTCCGCCACAATGCGGCCACATGGTTCGATGGCGTGGACCCGCAGTTTTTGGTAAGCGAACCATAGATCGAAATCTCCATAGAATCTTCCATCTGAAACTGTACCTTATTGAGGCATACTCCGTTGTTATCTTCAAGAACAGAATGCAAGATGCTACCACCAACAAACATCTCGAACACGCAGAACATCAGAGTGCCAATCATGGATCATGCTGTCCCGCCTTCGTGAATGGTTGAAGAGATGGAACAACACAGACGACGTACCTACGAAGAAATGTCCGGATAACGGCCGAGACTCGCCCCAGAATCTCAGCGCAGGAGTTAGGAGATACGAAGAAGGCAATAGCTGCGAGATGCAACCTCACCTGCAGTCGCCACCCCTCTCACCTTTCTCCGCACGCCGTCCAACATGTGCATCATGAGCTCTTCCATCATCGTCTATCTGCATCGATGCATCGAAGTTCGCAGCCGAGCCAAGCATCGACCAATTCAGGCATGATCATTGTGCGTGCGTTGTAGGAAGGGGTGATTGAGTAGGCGTGCAGGTCTGTTCAGCGAAGCGTGTCCTTTTACTCTGTCGAAGCAGATGCCATTCTATTCAAGATAATGTCATCTACCGGAACCCTGAGCTCTACGACTTGCGAGTACAGTCCTTCATGTTGAGATGAATAGCGCGTAGCACCCCGGAGCTCATCTATCTTCAGAAGTCAATCAGTTCCAGAGACAAGCAATACCAGCGAGATCATCTGGTAGAATTATACCCGAGCCCGATCTCTCTCTGAAAGACGATTTTGAGCATCCTAACGTGGAGCCCATCGGTTCGGACGATGTCTCGCCCGGGGGATGCTCACCACGTCGCCCCAGAGGGTCTCAGTGGTCCAATGGACGTCTCGGTGGTCGAGAGTGTTCACGGAGCTATTCCAGCGGATTCCAGCGATTTGATGGACGTCTCGCCGATCGAGAGCTCACGGTGCGTGTTGTGAGAGAGCTGCTCTCATCGCTAACATTTCGCTCCTGAGCCTAATCCCCATTGCGTACCACGCACAATACTCTCACATACTTTGTTACAATGCGCAACCATTGAAAAAAGGTCAGATGGGTCGTTCAGAGCAGTGTGTCCAAAAGAATGAAGCCAGGCTCTACAGGTCCATTCACCATGCTATATAATACAGTCATTATACAGAATCCCAATCCCGCTGAATCGCAGCACCAAACAATGAATGACCAAGTTCCTCTCATGTCACTTCTTCCATCCCTCCCCGAATCCTAGTCCACCAGCGACCTTGTCCTTTACACGACCTAGGCGACTCGGGCTGTCAATTTCTACTGCAGATCTTGGCGTACGGGGTTCCTCCAGCTTGGCAGGGCTGAGCTGTGGTGTTCTGGGGGCAACAGGAGAGTGTGCGCCACCCCTCGAATCCTCGAGCTCAATCCCACCATCCTCGTCGTCTTCAAGATCAGATTCCTCATCCTCGTAGCCTTCCGCTTCGTCTTCGTACTCGGATTGCAACATTGAATCTCGGAGATCCTGCTCGCCGTCGTAGTCATCCGCAAAGCTCTCGGCAACAGATTGATCTAGACTTGGCCGTCCCGCATCAGTGGCATACAGACTGTCGCCCATCTCGTCCTCACTAAGTACGCTGCCTTCGCCTCGTGTATCCACTTTGTTGAGACGATTTAAAGCGGCATCGATCGGAGCATCCTCATCTTCGGAATCGGTGAAGTCTGCAATGTCCAGCGGCTTGTCTCTCCAGTAGTTGAAGTCTGTGAACTCTTCCCCACCGCCTTTGACCAGTAGCCCAACAGGTGGAAAGTAATGATCAACAATCTCTCGCATAGTGCTATATGCAGTTTTGTAGTTATTCAGACTTAGCAAGTCTAGAGAGATCTCTGAGTTGGAGTTGATGGTGAAGATCCGAATGCTCGGAATGWTGACACTCCGATAACTTAGCGCGTCCGTCAACCGATTCCCGAAGCCAGCATAGAATGGGCTTCCACTTTTACCCTTGCCCGTTCCAAGACCAGGAGGCAATGGCTTTAGTCCAGCTTCCACAGCAGTCTCGGTGACATTGTTCGCTCCGCCATGACCGGCAAAGAGAGCCATGATGTCTCTAAGACATGCCATTTTGAAAATCTCTGGCTTACGCAGGTAAACCTCTCGCCTCAGCGCGGCAATGGTTCTGTCCGGGCTGAGGATGACGGGTCCAGGAGGAAGTCGGAAACCTTCTTGCACGACACCTTTGAGGTATGCGCGGGTGGTATCTGCTTGTCCAACACTTCTGCTGGTGAGATAGAGGAAGTTGTAGCCATTTGATGCAATCTCAGTGTACAGCTTTGCGACTCCGGCGTGTGTCCAATCTCGGCCTATTGTGTTGAGAACGTGACCTAAAACGTCAGATTTGGTGATGGTTCCATCAATGTCTGAAATAACAATGGGAACATCGTGTCTCCAATACCACAACGTTGCGGTGCATGTCGCACGGTTGACGGTGAAGGACATGGTGTTGGCGCCGGACCTTAGATTCATCGTTTTGAGCTGGTCAGACGTGAGACGCAATGTTTTGGCGTAGTTCTTGTTAGGATCGCCCGATACTCCAGGTGAGCTAGGCTGGGAAGGAAGACCAACGGCACTATCGGAGTCTCGTCTGCTATGCATGTAGTCGGACTTGGATCCATTGCTCTGCGCATCGTCGCTGTGATAACCAGGATCGGACAGAGCGTCCGTGGAAGCGTATGCGGTGGGAATGAGGTTGCCAATACCGGCAGCAGCACGCTTGTCCGCGGCCTCCTTAGCCTCTTCGCTGCTGTATATCCAAATGTTGCCCTTTTCGTCCGCACCGATCAGTGCGCCAATGTCGTACGGTCCGTCTAGCTCCTCCGACAGGAGCTGGCGTGCTATGCCTTCTGCCTGCAGAGCCTCTAGATTTCCGGTCTTGTAGGCRCCCATGTCAAGCATGAGGTCTCCCGAGTCCGTCACTTGGTTGCTGATGTTGCTGCTCCACAGCTTCTTGGACAAGGCCATGGCCCGCAGTCGCGCCTCGTTCTGCGCGTGTGTTTCCGAGCCATCGTTTCTAGTTTGATGCGCATCCTTGTGCAGTGATGGTGAGACATGGGATGTACCAGCAGCCAAGAGACCATCCCTAGTATCGAGATGGCTATCAATCGCGGCTTTGGCCACCGGGAGGACTGAGTCGGACGCCTGACGTTCCAGCTTTGGCGCCGCGTGCTCATTGAAGGAGGTGAAGTCACCAGAAGAGACACGCCTAGCCAAGGGTTCCGGTGGAGAAGTGGACAGAAGGCCGACTTCGCCTGCATCGCTTTTGGCGCGGCGGGCGAGATTTGGCAAGGGAAAGGAAATGCCCTCGGTCGTGCTGCGGCCATGACCGCGAGGAGGTAATTGGGGACTGGGAGGAAGTCCGCTTGGCTGTTCCAAATCAAAGGGATCTGGCTCTTGCAGTGCGGGTGTTTCGGGCGGACTGGCGTGGAGGGTGGGACTCGATACGGGTGACACGGGCGGACTGGTCTGCAGTGCCTCCGGCACGCTGTCCTGCGTCTCAAAGACAAAAAAGGCCTCGCCGCCCTCGCCAACCTTCATGGGGAAATTTCGTTTCTCGCCATTCACCGTGAGCTCCACCTTTTTCTCGTACGGCCGCAGCAGCTGGAACTTTCCAAAGCGAATGTGAAAGGGAGAGCAGGCGAGCGAGCCATCCTCCTGCTCGACTACAATTACGTCGATGGCTCCAGAGAGGGTGGCGGGGTTGAGGGAATTCCAGGTCGACGAGACGGACCCGCCGATGCTACGGAGGTAGTTCATTGCGGAGGACTTTGCGGAGGGTTTAGCGAGCGTAGGTGGAGGTCTATGGTCGAGCGCGCAGTCGCTGCCGTGGTGCGCATGGGTCAAGTAGTTGCAGCCGCGGTGCAAGTCTTTTCTTTCGCGCGCTCGGTGGGTTCTTCCACTGATGTGTCCGTCACAAGATCAAAGTTGGTATCACGAGGCAGACGTCATTTGGAGGAAGAAAGCGAAGCGAGGCTCGTGCGCGGTGCTAGTCGGATGCCGATGGAGTCTGGAGGTGTGAAAAGGCGTGGATGCTCACAATGAGGGGCGGGATGGGTACGAGGAATGAATTCGAATGCTGCAAGTCCGATTATTATTATGCTGGAGCAATGTTGGACCTGTCTCAGCCCAGCGTTGGGGAACGAGGAGAAGAAGCCGCCCCCATGAATCTCACTCATCACATGCATGCGCATGCGTCCGACGAGCTAAGCCGAGCCAAGCCCCGAGCAGATCAAAGATGGCTCGTTTTCGCTTTCTGCCTCTTTGTCCCTCAACATACGAAGTACCATCTTCCCACACAGAAGAGGGTGTTTGGGCGTTGGAGTAATGTAAGGTAGGGGTGGGCATGTGCCGAGATCCTTACCCCGTCACGAAATGGACAACGCAATGCCCTCTTCAAGCCGGCCTGCAACAAAGTCTGACATATGACCCATGTCCATGACTTGGAATGAATTGGGACGATTGTGAAGATGAGGTCTGGAGATCATTGGCGGCTTCTCTCCAGTACACACCTTTGTCCATGCGTCATTCAACCCGGGCAAGGTGGAAGCGACAGACTGTACACGCAAGGTACAGTAGATGGACACTGTATGCACTGTAGATGTAGATGGCATCGTTGAGGAGAACGCCACCACCGCCAACCAGAACTACCRAGACTAACCCAATACAACAAGCTTTGGGGGAAGAAAGAAAGGTTCCTTCTTGTTTCGTCCCCGTGGGCCAGGACTCAGCTCCTCGCCCAACGTACCGCACGCTGCAGCTGGAACCATTGATACCCTTGATTATTACCTCCACCTCCACCCTCACCTCCCCAATGTGGGAGTACCATGGCCCTCTTTGCCCGCGCTGACACGGGTGATGGACGGACCTTCCTCCCGCTATCATCTCTCGCCCTCATGGACTCTTCAATCTATTTGTCGCACGCCATGAGTGCGCTCCAGACGTGGACCGTCCCTTCGGCCGTCTACTTTAGGCCGCTGATGCTATTTGTCGCCGTATCATGGTATGTCAACGACCGTGGATGCTGCCTCTGCACAGACACATCATTCATGCATACCATCCGCGTGACCACCACAACCACACCACCAACACATGACTGATGATGGTCTCCCCGCAGGCTCTTCTACCGAGCTTACCAGGTGATGAACAAGCCACTACAAGAGCTGGCTACACTCCTTGGCTTCGACATCCCGCCCACACCGGTCGTAGACCTAGCAAGCATCAAGGCCGACGGTGCTATTATACATTGGTCGCTCCCTGAGAAACAGACGCATCGAAGCACTCTTAAATTTGAGGTACATCTCAACGGCAATGTCATTGATACCCTGTCTATCAAAGAGTCCGCTGCGACCATCACCGGTCTGCAGCCGGGCTGCTTTTACGTCGTGAGGGTCGCCCTGGTAAATAACATTGAATTCAGCTCCAAAAGTGCTCCCATTCGTTTTCGCACCAAATCGGCGAGCTCTGCGGATTTCTTCGTCCCAACCGCCGACGGCAACGATACCGACCATGATGCCGCCCACGAGCCTATGCCGCGGATTAGGCCCTACCGAGGATTAAAAGACATCACGCCGGCGTCGCCAGATGCTGAGCTCATGGTGCGAGAGGGGAGCAATGGGCTTAATCCGCGCAGGAGCTTGAATGGCGGAACACGGCGACGCTCGTCGGGACTGGGAATTGATCGAAACGAGTCCGCCCCGGATGCCAGCGAGCCGCCAGTCGAAGGCATCGAGACCATTCAGCGACTTACTGAGAGGCTGGATGCGATTCGCAGAGAGACGGACGAAGCGGAGCGGCAAGCGAAGGAGGAGGATGAAGATGAGCTGCAGCAGAAGGATGAGCTGGTCAAAGAGAGGGATGAACTCAAGGCGGAGGCAATGGAGAAGGAGCGTGCAAGTCGGAATCTCAAGCGGGAGGTCAATACGATGGAGCGTCAAAACACCGCTGCTCAGAATGAGCGCTCAAAGCAGGAGCGGTTGTTGGAAAAGAAAAAGCAAGATCATCAGAAGCTCAAGGWCGATATGATCAGATGGGTTCGCGAAGCCGGGGAGATGWGACTCGATGTGGACCGCATTCAGCAGGAGAAGGAGGTTCATTTGAAGAAGGTGGAGGCTGACAAGGAAGCTCTCAGAACCCGCCAGGCGGAGGAGGCGGCTTTGATCAAAGCCCTCGACGATGAAGTCAAGGAGAAGGGCACCGAGATCAAAAAGCTGGAACGCACCATGAAGAACAACTCGCCAGACAGTGCAGAGCCAGAAAACAACATCTTACAACAGATGCAGCAAGACGCAGAAAACTCCAGGATGTGGGCGATGCAGTACAGCCAGTTGCAACAAGAGTATGCTGCGACGTATCAAAAGATGGAGATTGCAAAGCGGTTTTATTTGGAGCAGCAGGCTTTCCTTGAGACCCTCCGAGCGAAGAGAAGGCAGGAGGAAGCGTCGACCACTTTCAATCCGCCAACCGCACAGGAGCGAACTCTTCGAAGAGGTGACAGTCAGCGAACACAGCAGAGCGGACCCAGCTCTACGGACAGCCCGCGCCTTGCAACATTCCCACTCGCTACCAGTTCGTTTGGTCCCGGCGTGACAACTACAGCATCAATCTTTCCCAGCCATTCGTTTCTCAACTTCTCGAACGGAATGTCACTGACTAATCCCACCGACGACATGGACATGACCGACGAGGAACGAGAGAGAATGACTGGTGGTGCTTTGATGAGTCCGGGTGCCGGCGCGAGTCTTCTTCCCTCGGATTTGTTTGGAGATGGCGACAACAGGCCCGAGTTTACTGCTCCGCTACCCGGTCTTGGCTCTTTCCCTGGAATGCCTGGCCTGCCCGGGCTGCCCGAGTCCATGCGACATGTCCTTGCAGAGCACCCGGGACCAGGACCAGCTTCGCCTGCTTCCGCCAGCAGTAGATCGCCAAGCGTATTCGCCAGTCCTCAGGCCAGCCAGCAGAATCTTCACATTGGGTCACCAGAGCAGGTTGTCGACTCCGATCGGCGCTCAATTCGATCCACACGGTCCAACCGCGCCACAAGCGGCAGTGGAGCTGGTAGCCGATTTGGAGGAATGTTCGGCATCAAGCAGCGCACCAAGACTGTTTCTGATGTTGACGACGGACTGGCGCTGGGAAAGGCGTCAAGTCACTCTATGCCACGGCAGGATCAGGGTATTCCTGGCATCGATTCCTCCTCTAGGAAGCGGAATAGCAGCATCTCAGGGACAGTCTTCAGCTGTCTGGGAAGCGATGGTGCTCTGGATGCTCCGCAGCAGGCTGCCGCTTCCCGCCGAAGCAGAGGCTTCAACCTCTTTGGCAGCAAAGGCGACGGGTGGCCCAGCTTCCATAAGCGGCCAGCTTCACCACGACCTGGATCCACGCACTCGAACGAATTACCTCGTCCGTCTTCAGACAGTACCCGCTGGATGCCCGACGCATGGCCTTCCAGTGACGCTGCTGCAGGTGCTCGAGGTAGCCCTCTCGCTTTTGGTGCAGGCTGGAATCCTCAGCAGCCGGGCCCGTCCCGTCTATATGGATCCCGTCTCCCGTCTAGAAGACCATCGCAGCAATACGGCAATAGCGGCCCACCAGCAGATATCATGGAGGATGAGGATTCCGATGCCATGTCAACCCGTCGAGCCCATACACTGGGCGCGATTGGCACCAGACCTCCCGCTAACTTTTCAGATTCCAAAAGCGCTGTCCAAGAGGCTGCAGTGGAGGAAGAGGCGCCAAAACTCAACCCCAACGCCAAAGACTTCAAGTCTTTCTTTAGCAGCATGAAGCTGAAGTCTAGGAACCCGGAGTCAGGCGTCTTGTCTACCATCGCCTCGGCATCTAGCACTGCAAACATCGACAAGGGAGACTTTGAGGAACTCAGCCCACCTGCGAGCCGCAGGAGCAAGGATACACGTGACACTCGATCAATGACCACCACCTCCTCGATCGGCGAGTCTGGAAGAAACTCTCTTACTGATCTCCAGAGGACAGTGAGCTTCACGCCCTCCGACGCGGCGCCACCCACTCCTACTACCCCAATGTTGGGCTCATCGACCGGCAAGGAAAGTTTCATGCAGAAGCTCTCCCGCAAATCTAGTTCGGGTGGGAAGTTCGCATTGCCAACATTCACCAAACGGGATAGGTCTCGTTTGGACACTGGGAAGGCTACTGGTAGCCCTGTGCTGCCGGCTGATGAGAACAGCGAGTACGATGACCCACCTCCCAGTGCTGGCTTGCGGGAGAGGATGAGTCGCGATAGTGGGAGTGCAAGGGGTTGGGGAAGCGTGTTGAAACTTGGCATGGGGAAGAAGACGGGTGGGGAGACTCCTAGTGTTAGTGGATTGAGCATTGCGAGTGCAACGGGGACGGATGATGGGGATTCTATCAAAGAGGAGGATGGAAAGGCTGCTGTGGGGCTGGGGTTGTAAATGAGTGAATGATGCCTATGACATACAGTGCTTTCGAGCCTTGGCATGGTCCTCATTCTGGATTTGGCGACTGTGCCGCAACTTTCTCTGATTGTTTGTTAGTCCAAGACTCGCGTCTTGGACTCCAGTTTGTTAGATGCTCACATCACCTGGCGGATACATCGGGACCGTGGCATGAAGCTACGATGCCTCGAAGGATTCGTTCGCACGGCTGTTCACACGAATCCGCTCGAACTTTGTAGAAAAGGTTGTTGCGTACAAGCGAGACGAGAGATCGCAAGCCTGTTGCGAATCAGCTTTTGTTACCTCGAATGTCAATGATCAACTCCTGGAGCAGAGCCACGGATCATGAACGGTGGCTCTTGAGCATGAATTTGCAAAGCAAGGCCTGCAGATTGTAGTCGAGATTGATGGCAAAGATCTTACACTAGAAATAGCCTTCAAGTAAGCATTATACTTGCAACTCCATGTCTAATCAGTGTCAGCTAACATGTGACCGTAGGAGTGCCATCGACTGGCAGCTATCAGGTCTATTGAACCCCGGTTTGACATGCCTGCTGAGCTTCAACTGGACATCTCAGAGCAAGATCAATGCGGAAGACTCCGAGAGGATATGACAGTGCATTTGCCGCGAACGTCGACGCAAGCATGAGCATGCGGGCGACAACGTTGCTCTCTATACTGTATCACCTCGGGTCGTTGAACTTGCTATTCGACGCCCATACTGTGACCCTGCGGAAAGAAGCGTTGCATCGAACGATTGCTAGTGATGTTAGAATGTGGCCAAGCATCCTACAGGAATACATCTCGTGAGGGCTGGACAGCACCAACACTTTGCCAAGAGTGGATACCGCCAAGCCTTCTATAAAAAGGTTATCGACGAGGTGAATCCTGCACAGGATCGCTTCGCTTAACCTCATCCTTCAGGATGTCACTTCTATCAAAGTCTGTGATCAGAATTCCGTCAATGCGCAACATAGACCCACTACAGCCACCTCGTCAGAATCTACACACTGCGGCCGCTTCCATCTCAAATTGAGACATACCAACACAAAATGATGTGAATCCGATGTGGTTGCCGAAGGTACTGCCTGCTCCGCCTAGATGGAGAGTTGTAGAGGCTCACGCATCCGTGGATTGGACCGCTCGAAGCGAAGATGTTGCCCATTCGAACCGATTGCAATGAATTGTTGTCGACCCCACGCGACCCAGGTAATGTCATCACAGCCTGGGCATCAGCGAATGAAAGATGCAGGATCTCAAAGCTGTGCAGTCGCTGTTGGGTATAAGTACTGAAGCTTTTCTGCACTCAACCCAATATCTCCAACAGCAATATAACACCTTCCAACCATTCCTCGAATCCAATATCAATTATGCAAATCGTCAAGACTGTCGCAAGCTTAGCCTTTCTGGCGGCTGTTACCCATGCTCTAAACGACCCTTCGATCCCAAACTGTCTTCAAGGCAGTACCCGAGTTCCCCCAACCCACGAGAGGGCTCAGTACCGTAAAGTCCCAGATGGGCGTATATTGGCCTTCTGCTTCACTAAAGGCGACGGCGCCACAATCGACAACAACTGGGTCACCGATCTCGATGCAATGCTGCAGCGTCGCGTTGACGGAGGTGCATGCTGTATCGATTGTCTCCCTACAGCAGCCGAGAATGGTTGCACAGGGAATTCAAAGATTTGGAACATCGATAACTGCAGCTTGGGAGATGTGCCTGGTATTGATCAGTACGTGTGACTAAAAGCCAAGGGCAACCTCCATATACGTGACTCGTGCTAATTCTCTGTGCTAGGTACACTAAGGATGCTTTTATGGATCTTATCATAGGGCTTGCCAACAACGGACAGACAATCGAAGCCCTCGACAAGACGCTTGGGGGCTTATATCCATATTTGACAATCGACAGGGATGGGTTCCGAGAGCAAGAGTTTGCCATCATCGGGGATGGAGATACCTGTTGATTTTGATCGTCGATCATGATAGAAACAGGGACGCTGGCGGTCAGAAATCGGTGAACATGTGGACTTTCACTGGGCTCCATTCTGTTTTTCGGGAAGACCGAATGTAATGGGAATACCGTATAGCCTCCGCACAACCCTACGAGGTTGGGTGGAAATTGCAGTAGATGCGTCCAACTACTCTTATATTCTCTTGCAATCGAAGCTCCCCTATGTACGACACAAGTATCGCTTTGAAGTATGTKCCATGTACTTGCGATGTGACAGCAGCACAACATGCCGGGAGACTGTAAGAAATATTCCCTTGATTCAACGCGAGAACTAGCCAAATACCTCATAGCCGCCAGTATGTAGTAGGGCTAGCTGTGGGAAATATCATCTCGAACGGCCTTGTGAATCCGCAAGTGCATTACATCGGAACCCACCCAGCGCTGTCGATGTTGATGTTAGCTCTCATCTAGTGATACCGGGACTTCTTGTAACTCTTCTTCACGACTGTATGCTGCTCGATGGGTCACTCATTCGGGATCCTCACTGCCCTACCTGAATACTAGCATGAAGGATGTGACACAGCATCGAAGGATTTCTAGTGCCGAGTAGGGTATGGCGCTAGTGACTTCAATCCTTCAGATGCTTGAACGCCGACAAGACCTTTTGCGAGGGAATGCCACATTTCCGGAAGCAACATACTCTCCAGATCATCCTCCAGGGGCTGGTGCTTTCCCATTCTGGGCAATCGACAACTCCTTGGATTGCAGTCTAGCTCAGGATCCATGTTGTTTAGCGGGTCGCCTTGGCGCTCATGACTTCATTCACTGTCAATGTGGAACTCGGCCAGGCATCAGTGAAGGTGTCTTGGRGCATGATCTGAGAGAATTCAGTTTCCACGCCGTGGAGGAGACAAGTCTTACAGGGTTCCATTCAATCAGCAAACAAAGCCCTCTGCTAGGATGTGGGACAGGCAGGATTTTGCTCATGCCCATCATGACATACTGCAACCATCGGTTCCCGAACGCGCATATCATGACCGCAGTGTCTTCAGATGATCCGGGAGCCAACAAAGATGGCCTACGCTTTCGACAAGGTGGTTAGCACCCGGAATCCTTTTCCACGCTGCGCATCCACAAGCACAGGGATATCCAGTGATGAACCCTACCTTGTCGATGGATCCGAACTCGTATTGACAGTGAATAGTGGAGGGGCTTCGTCATGAGCTGAGTCTCGACGATTGTTGACGTTTGTCAGGATCTTTGGGCCTTGGGAATATAAATATCGCGCTCACCCTTACTCTTCACCTGCTCAAACACATCCAACAGCCATCTTTGCAACCTCGACATCAAACATTCACAATGGCAATCACCAAGACTATCATGGGTCTAGCCCTCCTCGCCATCTCTGTCCATGCACAGAACCCAGTCTGTCTCGACTCCGGCCGAGGTGGCAGCGCCTACAACAAGGCGCAGACGATTCAAGTCCCTGACGGTCGTGTGCTTTCCTTCTGCTACAACTCTGGCTCTGGCGCTACGATTGATCAGAACTGGGGTAAGCAGGACAGACATGACCCCTAAGAGCATCTCTGATAGTCCAACAGTTACCGACATTGATGCTATGCTACAGCGCCGTGTTGACGGAGGAGCATGCTGTATCGACTGCCTTCCTACCGCGGAGGAGAACGGCTGCACGGGGAAATCAAAGATCTGGAACATCGACAATTGTGATATCGGCGATAAGCCGACTGGATTGGACCAGTGAGTGCACTTCGACGACACAGGAGTCTTCAAAGCTCTGCGTTCATCATTTGCTGATACTCCATTTCAGATACTCTAAAGATGTCTTCATGGATCTTATCAAAGGTCTCGCAGACGAGGGTCGAACTATTGCAGCGCTGGAGAATAATCTTGTCACGTTGACTATTGATACTGCCGACCACTTTCGCGAGCAGGAGTTCACCATCAACGGCGATGGAGACACTTGCTAGGTACTTAATTATCACTCGTTACACAAGGTGACGGAGGATGATGTGCTGTTGGAGAGAAGGAAGCCTGATCAGCGCTTGACCATTTGAATGGGGATGAATTATCGTGGTATAGTGCTCCAAGGCCTTCGGATCTTTAAGATGAGCTGGCAATATGGGACTTTTACAGCGAGACCTCTCCATCGTCTTACATAGCATGCCAAATCAATTGTTGGCTGAAGCCCATAGTATCGTCACTATATCACCAGCACGCCATGTGCGATACTGGTAGTGCCAGCTCGTGCCCTACGTGCGACGGATCGAGCAATGTGCAACCTGATGCCCAACCCAGCGTCTCACATTAGACCATTGTGCGCCTTCCATCATGTGCAATGCAAGCAGGAGAGTTGTATATCATGAACCGTTCGGCTCCTTTGCCATCTCTGCACAGCAAGATTCAACATTTACCTGACACAAGATCACCTTCACCAACTTCAAAGAACCAAAAATGAAACTATCATTTGCCTATTTGTTCGCCACCTTGGCTATGGCTTTAGCGGTGAGTCGGTCGCCCAGGAACCATGAGGCTGTCGCTTACGATATGACTCCGTCAGGCTCCTCTGTCTTCGGAAGTGAAGGAAACGATCGATGCAATCGGTCAGAGGTCTGTGGCGCAACGAGCTACTCACGCCATGGAGGAGGAGTGTGAGGATGAAATGAGTAAGGTCAAGCTGGTGACTGGCGGAGAAAGTACCTAGGGGTTGGTGGATGGATCAGCCGACTGAGGAGTAGCTGGAGGACATGGTGGAAGAAGATTTGCAGATCGTGGCTCCGTAGATGGTTGACTTTCACAATGACCACAGCAATATTGCATTGTGCCATGATCGAGTCTATATTTGAAAGTAGGGGATGTGATGTTTTCACACCAACAGGGCAGACGCTCCAGCATGGATGAAGCTGTACGTTGTTGCCAAGACTGGAAAAAAGGAGAGACTCACGTGCGAAGTTAGAGATCTCAGCGGTTTGACTTCTCCCCCACGCCTACATAGCGATGCCAAACCGGAGGCTCATGTTCCCACCACCGAGAGGAATACAGAAGATCCAAAATGCTTGTTGGAGGATACGGTGTTATTGCAGCGTCATAGTGGCTATGTTCTCTCTGTAGTGTAGAAAGTCGTTCCCGCTATCAGTCTTCGCAGAGCATGCCTTACAAGATCGCTTTTGCAGAAAGCGCGGGCTCATCTCAAACCTTGAACAGCTTCAGCAGCAGGCGAATGTCCTTTACTTCCGCCTCCTCTTCCGCAACGCTCTCACCCGCAGCTGTGCCGTTCGCATCCGCGGAGCGCTCCACTCCCTTGCTGGCAGCCTTGTCGAACGTCGACTTCTGACCTGCGAACATCTCCTCAATGAGACGCTCTGATTCCAATCGGCTGACTTCCGACTGGGCGTTCTTCTCAGCCTCGTTGCCGTCGAGGGCATCAACGGAAACAGGGGCGAGCACCGCGTATGAAACCTTGACGTCATCAGTCGGCACAAGACCTGCGCGCTTGCGCAGACGCTGGATACGGTTGAGTACCTCCCGAGCCAGACCTTCCTGTGCAAGCTCTGGGTATGCAAAAGCGTCCAAGAGCACCATGACTTCGCCATCAACTCCTGGTTCCAAGTTCGCCGTCTCGGGGCTGGGCTTCAGATTCCGCTGAACGCGAAGATCCTCGGCGCCGAGCTCGTGTCCCTCAACCGTGATAGCACCTGATTCCAGGAAGCTATGAATTTCCGAAGCGGAGAGCTTTGGCAAAGCGTTCTTGATCTTCGCAGCATCCTTCTTGAACTTCATGCCGAGGTTCTTGACATCTGCCTTGATGTCATATTGCACTCCATAGCTGCTCTCGTCGTTTGTGAGGACAAGATCGTTGACATTAAGCTCTTCTGTCACATAGCGCTCCAGTGTGCGAACATCGTCAAGAAACTCGGAGTCCTGGTGCAAGACGATCAAAGTCTTGAGTGGAGTCTTCAAAGAGACTGTTCTTCTGTCTCTGCAGATACGGCCGAGCTCAATGACCTTTTGCATTCGGCTGACGCGTCTCTCAACGACTGGATCGAAGAGCTCCTCGCGCACAGTGGGAAAGCGTAGGAAGTGGACACTTCGGACATCTTGGTCCTTTGTGATGGATTGTGGAAGGTGTGATGACAAGCGCTGGAAAATGTTGTCGCTCAGGAAGGGAGTGAAAGGTGCCAATGCGCGCACAAGAGTGTATAGGACTTCGAACAGAGTGTTCAACGCGTGCAAGGTGTCGGCCTTGCTGTCGTCAGCCTCCTCTACACTCTGRCCCTTCAGGCGGTTGCGGTTGAAACGAATATACCAGTTGGTGACATCATCAACCATCTTCAGCAGTCTCGGTACAACAGTGTAGAGGCGATATGCCTCCATCTCCTTGTTGACATACTGTAGCAGTGATTGCGTAGCAGCCAGAACCCAGCGATCCATGACGTTGTGGTTGGACTTTTGTAGCTCTGGGTCGAAAGTGAAGTCCTCAGCGGTGCTCTTCTTGAACAGAGCCGCCTGTTGCGCGAAGAAGTTGTACGAGTTCCAAAGCGGGAGGAGCACACCTGATACTATCTGTTTGACTCCTAGCTCGGCAAAGCGCAGCGGTTCGCCACGAACAACGGGCGAGTCGATGAGATATAGTCGTAATGCGTCTGACCCATATCTATCGATGACAAGCATGGGATCGGGGAAGTTCTTCAATGACTTCGACATCTTCTTTCCATCTTCTGCAAGCACAATTCCGTTGACAACGCAATTCTGGTAAGGGAAAGTCTTGAAGAGATGCGTGCCTAACACAGAAAGCGTGTAGAACCAGCCACGGGTCTGATCCAGGCCCTCCGCAATGAAGTCGCCTGGGAATTTGGTGAAGAGCTCCTTTCCAGGGCCTTCGGTTGGGGAAACGCCTGATTCGGGGTCGGATGGGTCGTAGCCAGGGTATGAGAATGGATAATGTGATGATGCGTAAGGCATGGAACCAGACTCGAACCAGCAGTCGAAGACCTCATCTACGCGCCTGAGTGTGCCTTTACCCTGTTGTGAAGGGATGGTGATGTGGTCGATCGAATCTCTGTGCAGGTCATTGAGCTCGCCTTCGAAGCCAGAGAGCTTCTTCAGCTCCGCGACGGAGGCCACACATACGACTTCCTTCATATCGTCCGAGACCCACAAAGGTAGTGGCGTACCCCAATACCGATTTCTGCTGACGTTCCAATCTCTTGCCGAACCAAGCCATTGCTTAAAACGACCTGTCTTTACCGTTGCTGGCACCCACTCGGTCTTCTCCAGATTCTCCAACAGCTCTGGCACAACATTCTCGACCTTGATGAACCAACTGGGTACCGCTCGCTGAATGAGAGGTGTCTTGGAACGTGGAMAGAATGGATATCTGTGGGTAATCTGAGATTTCCGCACCATGCGCTTGGCGCCCTCCAGGTGCTTGATGATGTTCTTGTCGGCAGCCTTGACATGCTGACCCTCAAAATCGGGAACTTCGTTGGTGTACTCACCGCTGGCATTGAGTGGATTGGGTGGTTGCCTCTCAGCACTGATGACGCCCTCTCGCCACGCAATGTTGTAATCGTCCTCACCAAACGCTGGAGATTGATGGACAATACCAACACCCTCGTCAAGCTTGACATATGTATCGAGTATGACCCTGAAACCGTGGTCTTTGAAGTCGTCGTAGAAGTATTCAAAGAGAGGCTTGTATCTCCACCCCGCGAGCTCGGAGCCCTTGATCTTCAATGGAAGAAGCTTGAACTTGTCCTTGGCCTTCTTGGGATCCTTGTAGAGTACCTTGAGACCAGCCTCGAGCATGATGTAGACATTGTTGGACTCCACATCATGCACAAGTAGGTACTCGAAGTCGGGATGTGCGCACAGAGCAACATTACTAGGCAGCGTCCATGGTGTGGTCGTCCATGCCACGAAGTTGACTGCACCTCCAGCCACTTTCAAGGCCTCTTCCAGCTTTGCTCGCACATTCTCAGGTTGCTCCTCCACAGGTAGCACCGGGAAGGAAACCGTCACCGCGGGATCCTGCACCTCCCTGTACTCCTCCTGTGCTTCACTCTTGGAGAGCGGTGTGTTCAACGCGGTCGAGTAGGGCAGTACGCGTGCACCGTGATAGACGAGGCCGCGCTTGTATAGTTGTGCAAACACCCACCAGCACGTCTCCATGAAAGTCGGGTCCATGGTCTTATAGTCGCGGTCAAAGTCGATCCAGCGGCCAACACGGCCCACCACCCGTCTCCACTCATATGCGTATGTGAGGACAACCTCGCGACACCGACGGTTGTATTCCTTGATACCAATCTGGTCGACAGCCGCCTTTCCACGCACACCCAACTCCTCCTGCAGCTGCTTGTCGATGATCTGCTCGATTGGTACGCCGTGTGTATCCCAGCCGAACCGTCGCTCCACGAAGCGGCCTCGCATGGACCAATACCGTGGGATGATGTCTTTGATAGTCGAAGCTAGTAGGTGGCCATAATGCGGTGTTCCTGTAGCAAAGGGTGGGCCATCGTAGAAGACGTACGGCTCCAGATCTTTTGTGAGTTCGAGCTGGCGGTGGAAGGCATTGGTCTGGTTCCAGTGCTCGAGGATGCGTTCCTCTTCAGCGGGGAAGTTGACGGAGCCCATTATGGGCGGTAGTCGCAGTGAGATCTAGAGGGATGTTGCGTGGCAGTGCTGTAATACTTTCATCCAATGCTCTAACAAAAGTGGGAGGAGTCATTTGGTGGGGCTGCTGACTCAATCTTCTGACGATCAGATAAGATGGACTGATGCAWACAATGGACCTTGGGACCTTGGAAGTGATGCGGAGACACCAATTCAGACCTCTCTCTTAGCCAGCAGTTCTCAACTATTGTACCTTGGTGAATGGCGAACGTGAACAATTTTGAAGCAGATGTTGAACGTGAATCGTCTAATGTCAACACTTGCAAAGACACTTTTACGTCGAGGGTACACTATCCCCACCCATAGGCCAGTGTCTCCCACAGACCTCACAAGATGACGCCCTTTCTTGCGGAACGACGATCTTTTCAGACTACACCACCTCTGCCTTCCCTCGTCAATCCGTGCTTTATAAAGTCCTCCCTTTCAATCTCACACGCGCCTTTGACTCTCAGCATTGCCATCAAGCTCGCACCAGCCCAAGGACCCAACGTCTCTACACCCCGGATAACACCTTTGACAGTCTCCACTTTACCTCTGTTCGCCTCCGTCTCAGCTTTGAGCGTGAGAGGGTCTTTAAGATGGTCATGAATACGGTCCGCGTGCGGGACATGCTCCTGCAGAGGCATTTGAGCTGGAGAATATGCTGGCTCCTCAACGATCTTTGCGTTTCGGAGAGCCATGTTGACAGATTGCTGCTTCAAGACTTCGGCATGCCGAGCAGCAGCACTGCCGTAATTTGACACAGTAGTCCAGCCACGCGTCTCGACGAGGTGAGACAGTTCCTGGAGCAGGCGTTTCTTGAGACCAGGCAGGTTGCTGGCTCCTCCCGTTATGATCACACGCGAGACACAGACCGCTCGCGCGTCCGGTTGCAGGGCCATGAGAACGCGATAGGTGAGGAGATTCAGAGGCTGATCGTGATCGTCATGCTCCCTAGGACCGTCCAGAGGGAAGAACGTCCTTTCTGCCGGCTCCGCCAGTTTATTGAAAGCAATTGGAAACGTGGTGGGCGGATCGCTGGCTGGCAGTGGAAGCTGCACCACACTTTCACTCGAATCGTCCTCCGGATCACGCCTCTGACACCAAGCCATGCGCTGTGCGATGTCTTCTGCCTCATCGAATGTGAATTGAATACCGTCTGGGCCTCCCTGCGATTTGATGTGCTGTTCCAATGTAGTGACGACCTCCCTCGTAAGCATCTTGCCGGCGCGAATGCTACGATGCTGTGCAATCTCTTTGTACTCCCCTACAGCAGTCACCACTGTCTCTTCCCATCCAATGTCCACCACAAGCGCAGTCCGTATCCCAGCACTCACGCAAGACATGACCGGAATGGTCAGTATCGCAACTGCCGGTGGCTGGGTGAAATGTGCGAACAGTACTCTTAATGCCACTTCGACCAAAGGGTTCGGCAGGAGTGAGGGGATCACCAGTATGGCCTTCCGCGGTTTAGCGTCCAGCTGTAAGTAATCAGACATGGCAATTCGCAATGCCCGTTCCAGCTTGTCTTCGACCAGGCCCAGATCGATGTCCCGCACATCCATCCGATACAGCTCATGGTCCGCAGACCAATCCTCTCCACCCTTGAGACGCCATTCGCGTGCATTCTTAGCGTACGATGGATCGTACATGCGATAGTCGCCTGCTCGCCGCCCCGTCTCGGAAGTGAAAGGCAGAATGCACCGCGGACGCGACTCGCCAGCGAAGCCAGCGGAGAAGTGGCGAGCACCCAGCTCATACACCAAGACATCCTCCTGCTCGGCACGGAAGGCTCCCGGACTGCCAAATTGTGACGAGATGCTGCGACCTAGCATCGGCGTGCGCGGGGATGCAGTCACTTCTCGTAACGCCGCTGAGGGAACCCGGCGATTGGGCTGACGCTGGTTGGTAGTCGAATCCGCCATGGCCTCGGACGATTTGTTTCGTAGGCGATTGCCTGAAGAACGTTGATTGTGCCTACATTGTTTGGTGTTCGAATGGTTCCCGTCACTGGGGCGAGCGAAGATGGGTAGTCGCCCAAATTCTTGGCACGCTAAATTGGCGGATCTTGCGAGCTTAGCTTTCGAGTTTTTTTGTCAAAGCATAACGAACAGCAGACAATCCACCTCCACCACCGCACTCCCTACCTCCGACAGTGCACATTGCTACCGCATCCAGCAATAATTAATTAGCGGCAGCGATTGGGCAAAATGACGCTCTTTATCCTTACAGAGACGAGCGCGGGCTATGCGCTGCTCAAGGCCAAGGACAAGAAGCTGCTGAAGCGCGATGATTTGGCAAAGGAGGCCGAGACTGCCGAGGGCGTCTGCAGTCTGCTCAAGATGAAGCAGTTCCACAAATTCGAAAGCGCTGCATCCGCGCTGGAGGAGGCGGCTGCACTGACAGAGGGCAAGGTGGGCACTTTCTAGAAAGCCCGAGGACATTATGTCGACATTTGCTAAATCACCACGCTGCGCAGGTCACTCCCACACTCGCCAACATGCTCGCGGGGATCAAGGACGAGAAGAAGGTCTCGCTCGCCGTCGCCGACCCGAAGTTGGGCAATGCCATCACCAAGCTCCCCGGCCTGCAGATTCAACCCATCTCCGACTCAACCACCGCCGACCTATTCCGCGCCATTAAGGAGCACTTGCCATCGCTGATTCCCGGTCTGATGCCTGAAGACCTCAGCACCATGTCACTCGGTCTATCCCACAGTCTTTCGCGTCATAAGCTCAAGTTCTCGCCCGACAAGGTCGACACGATGATCATTCAGGCTATTGCGCTGCTCGACGATCTCGACAAGGAGCTCAACACATATGCTATGCGAGTCAAGGAATGGTATGKCTGGCACTTTCCAGAAATGGCCCGAATTATCAACGACAACCTCGCCTACTCGCGTGTAATCCTGTCCATGGGCATGCGTACCAACGCCGGAAGTGCCGATCTTTCCGACATCCTTCCCGAGGAGATTGAGGGTGCCGTCAAGGCCGCCGCAGAAGTCTCTATGGGTACTGAAATTACCGAGGAGGATCTGGAGAACATCCAAGCCCTCGCCGAGCAAGTTGCAGGCTTCACCGAATACCGCGCTCAGCTGTCTTCCTACCTTTCCGCACGAATGATCGCTATTGCGCCAAACCTCACGGCCCTGGTTGGTGACCTTGTCGGAGCCCGTCTTATAGCTCACGCCGGATCTTTGATGAGCTTGGCCAAATCTCCGGCATCTACTGTCCAGATTCTCGGTGCTGAGAAGGCACTTTTCCGCGCATTGAAGACTAAGCATGACACACCCAAGTACGGGCTCATCTATCACGCATCGCTTATTGGCCAAGCCTCTGGCAAAAACAAGGGCAAGATAGCGCGTATGCTGGCCACGAAGGCCACCCTTGGTATCCGTGTCGACGCGTTGAGTGACTGGGCACAAGGCGGCAAAGGGGAAGAGGAAGAACCCACAGAGGAGGAGAAGGCGGCAGTCGGTAACTCGGGACGTCTCATGGTTGAGCGAAGATTACGCGCGTTGGAGGGCAAGTCTGTCAGCAAGTCGAACAACGTTGCCATTGGACCTGGCGGCCAAACGMAGCCTGCCAAGTGGGAAATCAAGGAGGCACGAAAGTACAATCCAGATGCCGATGGTCTTGAGGCAGATGCCAAGCCTGCGGCTGCTCTCACAAACGGCGACAGCAAGAAGCGAAAGCTTGTCGAGGAGGTTGAGAGCAAAGCTGGCGCCGACGAGGAGAGCGACGATGACGATATTGACGACACCGTAATGACCACATCTTCGAAGAAAGACAAGAAGGAGACCAAGAAGGAGAAGGCACTACGAAAAGCCGCCAAGGCCGCAAAGAAGGCAGAGAAGGAGGCCAAGAAGGCAGCCAAGGAAAGCAAAAAGAGGAAGGGCTCAGATGCCGACGCTGCGGAGGCTCCCAAGAAGAGCAAGAAGCAGAAGAGCAAGGCGTAGATTTTTGTTTGAAGAGCATGTAAGCTTGGCGTTTGAATGGGCACGGCACGGAGGGTGGGATGGCGCTCAAGGAGTTCCCATGAGTCGCTTGCTGCGACTTGTACATTTTTCCGTTCCTGTAGCATGTGAACCTGTTACACTTCCATTCACTTTGCGGTCGCGGGTACGATGCTGATGAATGCCCTATCCGCAGCGCCAAAAGCAGCCACAAGACGGCAAGCATAACTGCGCAGCGCCTTCAAAGGTACCGGATGCTCTGTACGTATCTTGGAAATGAAAACTACCACTGCGGTGCTTGGTGCTACTCCTCACAGAACCAGCTTGGCCTGGTGCATGGATGACTATTCGACATCTAGCGCCTCAAATCGGCTTCCGATGAAATGGCCCTGGTCTCCGATTATATGTAAGGTATCTACCCATGAAACCGCAGCCTTACAAGAATACTTCATTTCTCGTTCACAGAAACGAGCCAACTGCACTTCCATTAGTTTTGAAGCTGCATGAGCCAATCAAAGAAAGAGTGAGGGACATTTGACCTCGTATACTCGGTTTTGAGAGGTGGTTCGTACTCTGAACGACGATACCCTGTGGTACATCACCAACCGAAGAGGCGGACTCGCTGTAGCGAAGGTCGTGAGACTGCTTTTGTACCTTACGACCACCACTTCTTGGCTACGAATGACAACGCATAGAGACAACACATTCGTCGGGCAGTGCAACGAGGAGCAAAAGGGATGTAAGGTATCCAGAAGCAAGTTACATRCCTAACCATTCAAGTGGCTCAATAGGCAAGTACCTTACATTCAAACAGCGCCGGACGGTTTACCGAGCCCTAAGTACATCTGAGTCCGGTCTCGAGACTTCACCGGTAGATGACGAGATATACAGGCTCGTTAGTCGTCTTGTTCCCCGACGGGACGTCGCACACTACATGGCTATGTTGCCGGTCAAGTTCAAAGTGGCCAATTTGCATCGGTATTATTCGAGCCACGCAGCATACTGACGAACAATACATCCGGCAGTATACTATTCGGGTTAACGTGCCAGAGAGCACGTAATGCAACCGGGACGTTGACCTGCGCCTATGGTAGCAAAACTCTCTTTGCGAATGACACGTTGCTCTCCGCTCCACAAAGCGCATACCTGAGACTGGTCGACTCTTCTGATTTGCCGTATGGTATAGCATTGAATCTGGAGACTGTGGAGGTTTAAAATGCCAAGTTCTGCCGCATGGCAATATACAGAGCATGTCATGCATACAGGAATGGCCGAAAAATTGCAAGGAATCTCGCCGCCAATATGCGTGGAAAGCTCACTTTTCTACGGCTCCTATTGGCCTAACTTTGTTGATGGGGAAAACGGAATATTCCCGTATGCATGGCATGCTCTGTATTTGGTGAGTTCCTTGCAAAACTTTGTCAACTCTCGCCATGATCAGCTCATAGTCCATCTCCTACATGCGGCAAACGCCGAGCCTCACAACCATGTAACTAACATCGCTTCGTACGATGAATCATCACAGGATCGCTGTCTAAACTTTCTATCGGCTTGTGCAAGGGATGTCGTCCACTCACAAGTCCACTCACTAAAGTTTCAGCAAACTTCACGTCAGACCCATCTAGTACGACTTTTCCAGGCTACGAGTCCATCGAAAGTCCATGGTGGTGGACACAGGGATAAATCCTAACCATCCAGAGTGCAAGGTTGCTTAAGACTCGTGGAGAGGACTTACCCTAGCTTTTCACCCTCTGATTGGCCGAGCAGCATAATAGCACGACTCTGACGACGTCCTCTCTTCTGAAGCCGGTCTAGTCGTACGAGATGGCGCTAGACAGGGGTATGAAGCTTGCTGAGTGAATACTTCGTATGCGGGATACCCTCCGTAGTAGTTCGCACTAGGATATTGCATTCATCTGGCCCAATTACTAGCGTATATCCATGAGCTGTAGGACTCTACTTCCAATTCGCACTCCGATTGACTTCGATTGACCTCGATGCAACAACGCGAGTAGCTCGCAAGTCGCGACGGTCATGAACCGGAAACGTCGTGGGTCGCGAGACTTCCTTGCGGGCTCCGTAGCAAACTTTGTTAGACGTATGGAAGTCAGCTGCTCTGTGCTGAAGATGATCACTAAACAGACTTGGCGTTGGTCACTGAAGCTTCGCCCACTTCTACTACCTTACATAAGGACTTCGGTGGCTCACGGCAATCGGCTGGTTGGTCGAAAGTTGCCCAACAAGATGTAAATAGGCATTCTGATCGTTCTGCCCCGAGACGTCCCAGAAAGCAGGAGCAAGAAGAGCAAAACGCTGAGGCAGTATGAAATCGTACGTTGAACAATGTCTTCAGCAAGGAACATCAAGAGCAGAATCGGGTTGTTGCAGGAGAAAACTCCGACGTCACGTAGTAAGACCGGAGCTGACAAGGCAACAAAACAGCGTACATTGTGCGCTCCTGTCAAAATTGTTTTACGTACAAGCCTGCCCATGTTGGATGAGCGTTAACCCTGCAAGTGCGAACCATTCTCGATGCTCTTCGTCCCGAAGTCGCGATCTCCTGACTTGTAGCATCCGCCATTGTAAAGTAGATCTTGTCGTGGATCTACTGGCATTCACCGCGCTCGTAGCACACGCCAGTGGTGGTGCAGCAATCGCAAAGTTCTTCACTGCAACCCGCCAAACAAAGACCACAGGCGAAACTGAGGTCCTTCTTGGGAGCACCATTATTCTGGGCCACCCTCTTCTCCATAGCCAGATACTCTGCGTGAGGGTGGTTTGCCAAACGCTCGGCAGCAAGAGCATGCGCATTTGCGGCTGGGGAGGCGGCTACGGCAGCGACGAGGCCGGCAGCGATGAGGAAGGATGTGACTGTAAACGTTAGTAATGGTATTGCGATGACCAGTACTGGAACTGCCAAAGTCCTACACTGCATTTTGGATTTGTTGGTGGAATTCCGTAGAAGACAATGGTCTTGGTGTATGAGGTGCTGTTGATTGGAGTTGCGGTTGTTCGAAGTTGTTGTTTGAAGATAGTCCTAGATCGATGGGGAATGTGGGCTTATTTATAATTATTCGTAGCAGGGCAGTGACATACCGTAGCTATGCTCTTGCCGCATTGCAAGCAGTATATGACCCGAGAATGTAACTCGTAACACCGAACCTACTGTCTTGTTGTGCCATCCTTCCAACGATTCACTTTCCCGAGGATGAACCTTWCGACACCTGATACCAGAGTGAGCATGATACCAGAGCGAGCATGATACTAGACTTCTTTACCCGCACCGAGAATCCTCCACCGTTAGGTTGAGCATCTGTATACTGAGACGTCTCATTCGGTTCGATATTTCGAGTTCGAAACTCCTATTGGGTGTTTGAGGGCCGAGATGGACCCCCTCGTAAGAATGAGTAGAACATGCGGTCGAAGTTTTGAGATCGTATGATGAGACTTCCGACTGAATTCTGTTTGAAGATTATGGCAGACCAGAGCCCGTCTCTTGCCGATCGTGTGACTATGGTCAACATGACCTATCCCGTCTGCTAAAAGCCTGGGGCCCATCGTCCCATGCTCCCTCCCGACGATCGCCTATTGACGGTCTTGTGACTATGGTCAACATGGCCTATCCCGTCTGCTAAGGGCCTAGGAGCTGTCGTCCCCTACTCCCCCCCAATTGTCGCCTCGGCTGCTACTGTCTTAGGAAGTCCGACCAGTAGTACTCCGTGGTCGTGCGGTAGGTGCTCCCTAAAGTCTTCGACATAACTGCAGAGCATGTTGCATTTCGGTTGGACATACGAGGGGTCACAAAGAGACGCCTCGCGGACATGGATCTCCGGCGATTGAAACAGATCATGACCGCGACAGAATGCCGTGCCGTTCAAAATGCTATACCCTGCCTATCGACGACTATGACGGGACTACACACGGGACTCGTTCTGTTGTCGGTCACCGTGCGGCAACTCTGCCCTTCTCACAACTGCTCCTTCGGATGCTATACCCGGCCTATCAACAACTACGACGGGACTACATACGGAACTCGTCATGTTGTCGGTCACCGTGCGGCGACTCTGCCCTTCTCACAACTGCTACTTCAGAGTTGATCGAAAGATCCGAGACTGTTTGATCGAAAGGACCGAGAATGTCTGATCGAAAGGACCGAGACTGTTTGATCGGAGACCCAAGTTACACGGAGTGGAGACAGCGTAGTTGATATGACAGAACAAACATATATAAGRACACCCTATGATCGACCGACAGAAGCGCATCAACATTCAAATCGAGCCTCAAACTACCACCAAGCGCAACCAAACCCCAAACCAACTTCACTACGAATCCCATACAACATCAAAATGAAGGGTAACTGTCTACTCTCCTTTCCTTATCGAAACATGACCGGCACAGCTGATTCCATACCATAGGCGTCTTCTCTATCATTGCTGCCCTCACGGCACTCATGGCCACTGCCGCTGCTAGTCCTGTGGCTCAATCGAAAGACATCAGAGGCTATTCCGGCGTCAGGGACGCTTGCGCGGCATGCGCCCTCAGTGCTGGACTGGCGCAACATGCTTGCAACTGCTGTGACTCCTGGAACTATGACGATTGCCATGGAACCTAGGCCGTGGGGATGAGAAGTCGTATCTGTAGCAACTGTGTCTCGAGCTGTGAAGGCAGACTAAAGCTACAGGTACAAGTTCAGGGATTTTGATAGTCTTGGAAAGGTCGTGGATTATCAGGGAAGGATCAAACATACATTACGGTCGTTACTGTAGATCAGGAAAAAAAAATCGAAAGGAATGCATTCCAACCAACATCAATGTACATTTCTTTGTCTAGTAGCGCTCACGTGGATCGAGCCAGTAAAGGTTGTATATCCGTTGGCCAAGTGTCACCAAAAAGTACAAGATGCCCAAACAAGTCTCCGAAAGGCCATCCCTTTGAAAACTCAATGGCAAAAATAAAGACCATGCAAGTGTGTGATAACGCGACGCGATCACGCACTTGTAGGGGTTTTTGACGGCCGTGCACCCCCCCTGTCCATTTCACATAGGCGAAACCGCATCAAATATTAGCGATTAAGCACATGAATATCGAGCCCCGCTACTGCTTCGATTTCATGGTTTATCGACTAGTGTCCGTCCTCGCACCGCCTCGAATTCACCGTAGGACCTTCAAAGGGATAGACTGTCGTCGAAAAGCCAGGGAAGCAGCGGGAACTAGTCATTCTAGCTGCCRTCATTTAGCGTATCATATCGTTGGCACCGCCCGATGGTTTTGGTTGTCCCTACCCATACGGCTGGGAACTACCCAGGACACAACATAAGCTGACGAAGTCTCGGCCACATAGACTAACCACTACCTCGCTTACCGAGCCAATCAGTTGTACCCCTTTGCCCTTGCTTTTCCATATGCAGGCATACCTTGAGTTGCAGCGCACGCATACCTTTAGTCATATCGGGTTAGTGTCGCCAAGAAGAAGTCTTATGCGCCGGAGACGAAATCTGACGGATGCTCATCGGCAACAATTAGTCTACGTTCGATCTGCGAATTTGGCGTACTTCATTGCATTCTACTACATCAGGTAGTATGCTATGAGACTTTGGCTCGACTTGACGATTTGCCAGAAAGCCATCCACTTAGTGTTCGTCGAATGCCCGCCAGGATAGGCATCTTGAAAATTTCCCAAATCACGTCGACCACAACAAGATTTCGGCAGCTTTCACCCAAGAGCTGGCTGCCCTGGGTCGACGGCTTGAGTTTCCTCACCGAAGTCCTCACCGCAGAAGCTTTATCGAAGCCCCGAGTCAAGAGACTTCGGGGAATTATCTGGTGCTATGGCGCTACTTATGAGTAGACGCAGAGTCAACATGGTAAGCTGCCTGCAGCCTCTACTCGTGACGGGGGAAGTGGTGGTCGAAACATCCCTCACATCGACGAAGATGTGTCGAGATCCTGCCAGTAAGTTCCCGCAGTCATTTTTCGGGCGTAGGTTCCCATATGCTCCATCTCCTAAGGCTGTTTTCCTATCAGGTCTCAACAATCACTGCCGTGCTGTATACAAAAAGAAGACAACCAAAGGAGAGAGGAGGACAAGGAGTAGGGTTGAGTGACATCCTAATACCCTGTAAATCACCCCGAGGCTCTGGTGCCGGTAGGAATAGTTGATGTGCGCGAGGATGCTCCCGATTCACGCCAATCACCCGAAAAATCGTCCTTCTTACCATCGACTGGTCTCTCATCTTGACCGATCTCCTCCAAAAATCTTCAATTCGAAAGTTTATCTCACTCTCGAAGCCGTCTGCTTGTCCAACCTGATCATCCTTGCGATGAGTTCGCGCCTGAGTCTCTCTCGGTCACCGCTCTTTGGCATGGGATGATGCTCTCCTGATCCCGAACACTCTCTCACGTCTCTTGGGAGTTTGTTCCCTTGCCAGAACATTCTCGCTGGCCAGATGTGCTTCACCATCTAGACATGGCGCCGTCGTTCCCGCGGAATTTCGACATGCGGAGTCACAGCTGCGTCGTGGTCATGACCAACAGGATTCGCTGCGATGCGATGCGCTGGCATGTCCGCTTCGTAGGCTCCTTCGCATAGCTCTGCACCTGCCGAGCTTGCTTCGGAGATTCTCAGAGCTTGTCTGCGAGTCTCGATCGAGGTATAGTCCGGCGGTCATACTGTTGCAATGTCCCTGTTGGTAGCCACTAGCATTCCCATGCATGTGGAAAACTCCTGTCCATTCATAGGCTCAAAAGGCCGAAGTACTGGTGCAAGTCCATGATACTCATCCTGCGCCGGATCTCGTTTGCGTCATTGTTGGCGTAGGCGGGCATCTTGAGACGCAGGGATCACACTTTCTTCTCATCAAGATCTTTGATGTGTAGTTCGGGGCTCAAGACGTTCACCCAGAGGTTTTGAAGCGCCTTTGAGTACACATAAGCTTCCTGCATTGCTTTTAGTTGCGCATTTATGCGTGCAGCCACGACACAATGCCTCTTCACAGTTTACTTCCATAATAAGAGATAGTCTGCTGAAAGCGAAGTAGTCCCAGTCAAGAGGGAAAGGCGTCAAAGCCTCGAACATCTCGAGTAAAGCTCCACCATGGTGGGTAGCAACCCAGCCTTTTGATCTGAATTTGCCCATTTTGTGCACGGCCAGACCACTTCTGTTCACTATCCGCATCGCCTCGCTTCTGGGTATCCAGCACGTACTGACATATATCGGCACCTGCCAATCGCAGGGAATGTCCGCACTCCTGTTGCATTCGTTGCCGCTTATGCGGTGGCAGATTTAGGAGCAGGAGTCAGCCCGTGTGGGGATGACTATCCCCTCCCGTCGTTCGCTTGCCTTCCGAGGACACTTGTGCAGTCCATGATTGGCTTTGCCGCAGGCATATTCTGGAGTGCTCTTGTTGCTCCCTCCAGCCTCTTGGTTTCGGCTGCTTTTAAGGTCAGATGAGGAAGATGCTGCTTTACTCGTATGATGAGTGCGAGATGGATGTCCATGCAGGTTCTGATCCGCCTTCCACTCATCCAAGATCCGATATTGCATCGGCAAATGCGCAGCCCATGTTCAGACGGCTTCAGAGAAGGAGCGATGACGCCTGAAGACAATCGTCGCGAGCGGATGCCGTGTGAATTTATCACCGGCTTCAATTGGGTTCCTGACGAAGGACCGAGTTCAAGATGGGATTAAAACAGGACGTTCAACTGGAAGCTTACGGAGTATCAATGATGGGTTATGCTTGCCCACGGCGGAGATCATCTAGTTGAATTTGAATGCATTCCCAGGAGTTTATTATGCAAGGCTCTCGTTGGCTCGCTGATGCTGATACGAGGCCATACGAGGACGTTTTGCTGAAATGAGCGCCGTTGAGTAGTTCTACAGGGATGGCAGGTGCCAGGAGCTATTAAATAACTTCTGTGTCCCCATTTTTCTGGCGCGAGTACACAAATATGTCAACCGATGTCAGATGCACCCGAAGAGTCCGGCAGCCCTGGACCAGCCCGTCGGCATTCTGCCCTTTTCTTTCCTCRCCATCACGACCCGACCAGTCGCCCGTTGCGCACCCGGCCTGGCTAGACGTCCAAGGATCTGGACTGCTGCATTGCGTTCCCCGACGACGGAGGCGTTGCCGCAAATCAACTCACCGCGGTTACTTCCGATTGAGATGGAGCAAGCAGATGCGGGAACATTGTCTCGTCTGAAAGCGATTCCGTCCACCGCCATATCAACCTGGACCGACCTCGCTTTTGCGCACCGACCTAGAAATGCTATGCGAACAGACTGCGGCGAGGGTGGGAAATGCCCACGTCTCAGATGAAGTCGGACCTTCCTGCTCTGCACGTACCAGACGGCTACAGCAATGAACGCATCACCAATGGATCTCCTTCCTGCCCCGGTAGAGCCTCAGATCTCTCGGCGTCGAGCGATGCGTTTCCGAACGGAGCCAATGTCTCAGGCCAATGAGCTACCGGTGAGAGCTGCTGAGATGAGCACCCTTGAGCAAGGCAATAAGAATTCATCCGAACTCTTGAGCAGCGGTAACCCTCTCCCGCACTCCACTTGCACGGCCTGGACAGATCACCAATCGTCACTTCTCTGGACATGTAGCTCTGCTCGCCAAAACGAATTCAACCCTTGCCTTGTTCAAGCTGAAAGAGCGGACGCACTCGGGACTCGATCAGCCACACCGAGGCCAACATATCGATACTCTTGCGAGGCTTGCAATGTTTGTCAACGATGTCAAGTTGGTCATGTTGAGTTGCTTGTGTCAATGTGGTGGCGAGTTCGACATCTTTTACCGCCCACATCTTCCTACTGGTCAGCTGGAAACCCTGCCAAGTGGGTCTACTCTAACACAAACCCTATCATCGACCGCTCCGCTTGGCAAGTCTTGCACCTAACAATATAGGAAGTGAGCAACGCCATGCCAAGAAGCCTAATGGAGCCCTGATTGTCGTCACCGCACTGCATGCCTCGGCCCTCACAACATGAAGTTGCTACTCGACAGCTTCGCCTGGAACAAGCCGGCAGGCCTCGATCATTCGACGCGGCGGAGTTGTTGCGATTCGTGACATTAGCAAGTTCTGAGAGTGCTGCGCTGAGTGTCGCGTTTCCTTGCTATCAGTGGAGACCGAGGGAACGAACCTTGATCGCYCCGTCGATCTATGCACCCCGCCATATACCATGCCCGTTGACAAACGTGGCTAGCGGATGGAACACGCGAGTGTTGAGAAAGTACAGTGATCGACCTATGCTAAAGCTATCTCTGGCGTCTACCGACAGCCACGCTCAGCCCGCATCGTCACTTGATGATTGTTGGCTCGCTGGAGTGGGTAGTCCCTTGCTTGTTCGTGCGACGCGCGACACTACCGCAGTAGCCCTAGCAGTGTTGCTGTGGCAAGACGGTAGGTATATGAGTGGCCTCTCTTCCCCTCTTTATCTCACTGTTATCACAAAGACTTCTATCTACTTACCCACACATCAAAATGAAATCCTTCTTGAAATTTCTAGCGGCTGTGCCCGCCGTACTGGCTGCGCCCGTCCTCCTACAGGAAAGAGAAGCAGATTCTCTCCCCGGATCCTTTATCGTTCGTCTCAAAGAAAACGCAGTCCTCGCAGACGCTCTGAGTGCGGCCACTCAAGCACTCGGAGTAGAGCCCACGCACACGTATAACTTCGGAAACTTCAAGGGGTTCGCCGTCGACGGCGTCGCGGATGCCTCCGGCCTGTTGTCCAACATTGCCTCCATTGCATCAGTTGAGCCAAATAAGCGTATGAGTATCGACGCTCTCACATTCCAGGCAAACCCACCTTGGGGCCTAGGCCGCATTTCGCACCGCGAGAATGTTGGATCCCCATACATTTACGATGATTCTGCTGGATCAGGCACTTTTGCCTACATTGTTGACACTGTAGGTACCGTCGTCATGTTTACTAGCTACACAAATTGCTGACCCTTACTCTAGGGTATCTACGCTGAGCACAACGACTTCGGTGGTAGGGCGTCCAGAGGTCCCAACTTTGTCGACGGCGACCCAGCTACTGACTGCAACGGGCATGGTACTCACGTCGCTGGTRCCATCGGCAGCGCAACCTACGGTGTGGCCAAGAAGACCAGCCTTATCGGCGTAAAGGTGCTCTCGTGTGAGGGTTCTGGAAGTAATGCTGGCGTCCTTGCTGGAATCGACTGGGCTGTTCAGGATGCCAAGTCAAAGGGCCGAATCGGCAAATCCGTTCTTAACCTGTCTCTTGGAGGTCTCCTCTCTCCAATGACCAATGCGGCTGTCAGCGAGGCTGTCTCGCAGGGCATGTTCCTTGCCGTCGCCGCTGGTAACTCTGGCCTTCCTACTATTACCGCATCGCCAGCATCTGCACCAGATGTTTGCACAGTCGGCGCCTCCGACTCCAAGGATGCCCGCGCATCTTTCAGCAACTTTGGCCTTCTTGTTGATGTGTTCGCTCCCGGCGTGAACGTGACTTCGACCTGGATTGACGGCCCTGACGACACCAACACCATCTCCGGCACTAGTATGGCATCTCCCCACGTCGCTGGCCTCGGTGCATACCTCCTTGGTCTCGGCGGTGCTCCATCTGAGCCAAAGGCACTTTGCTCTTACATCGGACAGCTCTCCACCAAGGGCAAGCTTTCTGGAGCAATTCTCAGCAAGAACTACCTCGCTTATAACGGTAACGGAGCTTAAGTGGAGGATTGAAAAGGTCGTTATGATACCAACAGATTGATGAATKAATGACAAATGTGATCAGATCGATCGGGATAAGAGCAATATATAGTAACTGCAACATGGCTTGTAAATCCGCAATCTCTCGCTTCTTTCTCCAAAAAATGTAATCGTACCCGCTTGGTATCTCGTGGCTGGGCCGCCAAGCTCGACAACGTTCGGCGGCCGGAATGTGGAACAATCTCGCCGAACTGAAGCGCTTCCGCATTCGGAAACGTTGTCTGGAGATCATTTCTGCGCGTCAACAAAGGGCAGAATGCTTCTAGACATCACTCTGCGTTTCTTATGCCTCTGAATCTATTGATTTCTCGTAATCTCACAGATAACTGTTTGACCATCAATAGTTGTCTCAAGTCTCAACCAAGACATCTGACTCCATTGACTCTGCTGTTTGGTCCACCCACAGCTCTGAATGACGTACTCGGCTCGTGACACCTCCAGTTCCACAGTTCCTGCTGCCTGATAGCGTCTTTCTGCACCTCTTCACCTCTTTCTCTCCCCATCATCTCCCAGACACACTCCTCAACAGAATCTCCTCCTCCTCTTCCTCCCTCGATCAGATCAGATCCGACCAGCTAGCAGAATGTTCGCACTCGCCCTCCAGCTGTGCCTTGCGGCTCTCACTTTCGCGGCGCCCATCGCCGATGAAATCGTGACCATCCAAGCCGATGCCGTACGTCTTTCATTCATCAAAATCCACGGCATCTCCAAAAAAACGCCACAGCTAATAGAATGCGTGATCACAGTGGCAATACGGAACTGGTGGAGGAGTCATTGGCTTCATCGTCTTGGTTTTGGATGTGATTGTCTGGTGTATGTACTACTCCACTACTGATGCAAGTGTTCTTTTGCACACGAACGCTGCTAACCGAGGACAATAGTCGAGGTTTTGAAGTCCAACCGTGATATCCTCCCCAAGGTCCTCTGGTCGCTTCTGGTTTTCTTATTCCCTATTGGAGGCATCATCATCTACTGGCTCTTCTCCGACCGTGCTGCTCACAACCAAGGCGCTGGATATGAGCCCATTGGCGCCTAGACATGCTCACGCGAAGGAGRGAGGGAGTGAGCCATGTTTCTCGGGTTGAAGTGCCTTGCTTGTTGGATGACGATATGAAGCGTGTCAATACTTGGGTTTACAGCACGGACTTCGAAACGTGGGCGTAGCAAAGAGTACGATTTGCTCGTTTCGAGATTGGTCTGGTAGATATGGCAGTTGCTAATGACAGCTTTGTAATACAGCGATCAAGAGGAGTCTAATGTGACATCTTCCGTCATTTCAGCATGCAATCCTCAGCTTGACACTCATCATTTCATATTTCATATTTCATCGGCATCTACTTCTGCTGCAACAGCCACTCCACACCCTTCACGGAGTCTTCCACAAATTTCTGAGCGGCTTTCATCTGGGGGAAGATGCTCCAAAACCCATGTGGCTGGCCCTTGTAAATATCAAGTCTTGTCTTGACTCCTTCTTTCTCCCGAAGCAGACGCTCATATATGAGTGCCTCATCTCTCAACGGATCAGCTCCACAGACCTGGAAGTAATGAGGCGGAAGGCCGCGGTGTCCCGTGGGCCAAATCAGAGGGCTGAACAACGGATCTCTGAGATCCTTTTCGTTTGGAATGAAGTTATCTCGCTGTACGAAGACGTCAGCAAAGCGCTTCAACTGTAGTAGTTGTCTGAGGACACCTACGAAGAGATCCATCGACTTTTTGCTGAGAATCGCAGCATTCGGCAGCTGGGCTTCCGATCGAGCCTCTTCCTTGAACTCTTCAGGCATCGCGCTCGAGTGGCACCTAAATGTGAAGAAGACAGGTTAGACGCTTGGACATTGACAGCCAAGAATGTAGAAACTAACAGTGCTGGTATCATGAGATGGCAGCCAGTCACGGGCGGGCTCATTTTATCGTCTCGCCACAAATGGGAGACTGTCGCCGTCAAATTCCCCCCAGCGGACGTTCCTCCAAGTAAGAAACCTTTGGCAGGATCAGCTCCAAAGCTTGCCGCCTCGGAGACAGCCTGTGGCTCGTTAGAATCAATGTTATGTGAAGAATATAAGTATACCSACCCATTTTGTAGCATCGTAGCAGTCGTGGTGGGCAAAGGGAAACTTGAACTCTGGGCCCAACCTGTAATCGACACTCGCAACAGCCATACCGAGCTTCGAAACCAGCAGTCGAGAGAGAGCTTCTTCGCCTGCAACGTCACCAATGCACCAACCTCCTCCGTGATAGAGGACTGCAAGAGGTCCGCCTCCCGAGGTAGGGCTCTCGGCAGCGTAGGTTCTGACCAGGATCTTGTGACCGTCTCGCTGGACCGTCGATTAATGCAAGTCCTTGGGAGAAGAAGAGTCGTAATACTCGTCAAGACTCACCATGCTGACTTGATGATCAGTTTCCTTAACACCTGGGATCGCTCCACCTGTAGCACTGGCTTGGGCTTTGGCATCGGCCAGGAATTTTCTCAATGTCTCAATGTCAGGAAACGCCCCAAGATCAGGTGCACCTCCAATGGATTTCGCGACCTGGAGCGATCAGCAAAGAGTTATTTCAAGTGTGATGTTTTTGCAACATGAGCGTACCGCGTCGAACTCGGGATCGAGCTCAGCGAGCGACGGCCAACTCTTGCTGTCCGTCATTACTGCTGTGAGTGTCCTTTTGCAGGAAAATGGTGAGATAACGATATTTTCAAAGACAACTGAGTGGAGATGATGTATCTGGCCGTTCGCCCGGGTACCAGAAAGTTATAAGGAGTGGATGTGCATGACTGCATCAAAGTCGAGACTCGCGACTGCCGATCGGCTTTGCTCGGYAGTAGTTCCAACGAGGCGAAGGCGAAGCGGAGTAAAGAGTGATGTGGCCGTCAAGGCGATCAAAATACACGGAGGTTGACAACGTCGAGGACGATGATGGTGATCATGACGATGAGATGAGAAAGTGGTAGGCGCAATAGGATTGAGATTATTTCTATGAGTCTTTGATTGACCATTCTCAGGTACACCACAACCGTCATCGTGCTCGAGAACCACCCATGCCCATCGATCGTATTCCATCCATGCCATGAGGTCAGTGAGGTAGGTAGTAACAGGTTGTCGTATCATCCGAGGAGAGTAGTCAAGGGTCGTCAGGGTTGCGGTCGTGATGAGAGCTCAGAGCTCAGAGCAGTGCTTGGGCACCGGCAGCAATGACCAGCGGTACGACCACCTTCTTGACCTCCAGGATCATGGCGGGTGCAGCCGCGGTTGAAGCTGCAGCGAAAGTGTTGCAAGCAGCGTGGCTGGTTGGGATCTTGGTCATGCCAGCGGTGATGGGGATGAATTCACGGGCGGTGAGTGTTTCGATCTTGTAGTCTGCTGGAAGGTCGGCTCTGCCGTGCACGCAAGCTGCCATAGCTGGCCTCTTTGAGTTTGAGTCGTCGATGTGGCAAGATGCGACCAGGTTGACTTTTTTCTGGCCCGAGCCGGCCGGTCTGTCATACTTCAGTCTGTACATGTCGGGAGCCACGGTCAAGGTCATCTGTGGCCTCAGGTTAGCATGTTGTGATGACCGGCGTATGAAGGGGTCGTGGGAGTCACCTTGGGGTTATCAGTCTTGTTTCTGCAGCGGTAGTTTTCACGCTTTTGGTCGCAAGCCAACTCCACGATCGTGGTGCAGGGACCGGCCGTCTTGACTGAGCCAACCCAGCCCTTGCCAATATTGTCCTCGATTTTGTGAACGATGATGCCTGGTCGAAACGGGCTGGTGGGGTCGATCGTCAACGTGAGGCCCTCGGAGGAGGCGTTGGCCAGCTTTTCAGTGAAGGCGGGGACAGCAGTGATTTTGTGGTGCATAGCAGTGTGAGTGGGAGCAGCCTTGAAAGTCGTGGTGTTGTCGTTGGTACTCCATTTGATAGTCAGAGAAGCGTCGTCATCAGAATTGGCAGACCTTTTGGCGGTCACAATGTCCTGAGCCAGTGTATCGGCAGCGAGGGAAGTCACGGCCGTGGTGGTAGCCTCAATGGAGCGAGCACTGCATGCCTTGGTGGCGTGAGTAGGCTCACAATCAACTGGCCATATCAAGGTGGAGGGGGGTTGAAAAATTTGCCAGAACCCTGTCGATGTATAGACGGTAGTGCTGAAGCAACTCTCTTGAGCCAGAGTATCGGCAGCGAGGGAAGTCAAGGCCGTGGTGGTGGCTTCAATGGAGCGAGCACTGAATGCCTTGGTGGCTTGAGTAGGCTCACAATCAACTGGCCATGTCAAGGTGGAGGGGGGGAAAGCCCATTTCAGAGGCTTTGGGAATGTATAGACGGTAGTGCTGAAGCAACTCTCTTGAGCCAGAGTGCCAGTAGCAAGAGCGGCGAGGATGAGGATGGAAGACATCTTGGCTGATGGAAGTCTGGCTTGTAAGTTGATGTTGATTGTGATGTCGCTGATGGCACTGGAGATGATGGAGTGTTGGATGGTTGTGGAATGTTGGATGCTTGAATGTGTTGCTGATGTTGGTGCTGATGTGGATGTTGATGGGAGTGAGAAGAAAGGAAAGGAAAAGAAAGGAAAGGAAACGGAAGACCAAGTGTTGACACGGCCATGCTGCTAGAGAGAAGGCGTGAGTACGACACTTGCCAAAATGACACTTGCTGCTTCCTTGGGGTCGATAAGGGGAGGAGCATCCGTCCACACTGGGAAGCCATGGGGGGCTTCCTGCCTGCTTGATTAGACAGGCACGATGCTCAGGGGATTATTCTGGCAGTCGTAAGGTAATACATTCAAGGGTAGGCGGAGTCAATCTGTTGGCACCTACCTGGCGGTCAGCTTAGGGAACAGGAGCAGTCCACCCTCTTTACTCACCAGTACAACAGCGCGGTAGATGAGACATTGGACATACCATTTTGTTGAGATTCGGTAGAACATCGCGAGTTCGAAGTCAACGAAGTGTCATTCATGCAGGCCAAGCATGGAGTTCCATTCACTCGAGTCTCGAGCTCCTCCTCCTGATGTAAAATTCGAGGGGAATGAACATCGTTTGGGACACTTTGCGGCATCCTTCTATGCGTGATGYGTGACAACTCCTCAGCCCTGGGACGCCGCTCAARTGTTAAGAAACGTGGAAAGTGAACGGTCTGAATCAAGCTTCATTCTCAACACCCTTCGACATCATGTATCGTCGAGTCTTAGCTCCAGAACGAGCGCAAAATGCCATCCCAGAACGCCAATGCTAAATCAAGAACGAAACGGGTATCCCAAGAACGCAAGACGCAATGCAAATCCGACCACCAATGAACGCTGGATGCAACGCAAAGCTCAAACACACTGTATCAATATCGAATCTGCCAGCGTTGATCAGCTTCGCTCAACGCCGCCTCCCACCACCACAGCTCAACATCCTGGTCTGGAACCATGTTGAAAATCTCATCCAAGTGCCGTCACTGTTGGTACTTTTCTTCGGCTCAACAGAGTGCTGCATCTGTCGTTTTTCCGATTCGCCAGGTGCATCGCCATGTCGAGGAAGTGTCGCGGCATGTGCAGGCCGGAAATTGTCGTAACTCATGGCACGCAACTTCGCGGCATCATCATCACGGCCAGCGCCTGCAGTAGCCGTGACCGAAGACTTTCTCCGCCGCTTCTCCGCTACACCATCTGCGATCGATGACAGTGAATGACCCGCACCATCTGTGGCATCTGATCTCAATCGTTGCCGTTCACGTCGCTTCTCGTCTTTTCGCGTCTTGGTCGCCTCCTTCTCTTCAAATTTTCGTCTCGCGGTACGGATAAGCTCATCGCGAGATTGGGGCTCACTCTCCGAACGACGCGAGACGAAACTAAATGCCTTGTCGAAGCTCGGGCGTGATGGAGGCGAAGGATCACTTTCGAGAAGTGTCATGTCGGTGTTTCCGCGCGAACGGCTTTGCTTCGATTGTTCTAAAGATCCAGACAGCATTGACAGGTTTGTTTGAGAAGCTTGTGCTCTGCGTGCGTATTCAAGTTCTCCTGCTGTATGCGACTGTGACAGTGGGGTTGGAAGATTCAGAGGCGTTGAGGATATCGACATGCTCCGCCTTGTCCTGAAGCCATTCCCAAGACGGAACTCGTCTTCCACGACATCATCACTCTCGTCTGCTTCCTCCTGATTCAACGAAGCGGGATGTGAAGCTCCTGCGGGAGGAGTGTAAGGTCTGGGAACCTTGGCCATGGGATGTGTGAAAGGCTGTCCCGGCGAAGGTCGAAAGGTGGCAGAGCCGATTGACACCTGCGAGCCAGTACTAGTGTTGCGCCCATGCGGCTGTCTTCGGTTGTGTGTAAAGCTGACCTCTGCAGCAGATTTGTTGGAAAAGTCCTGGATGCCCAAGCCCGCCAGCCGATCGTTCTCAGCAGCACTCTTGGAGAGATCGATCATGCCTTGATCCTCCTTGGCGGACGACATTTTCCGCAGGTAGGGCTTGATCTTGGGCGTCGCGGCAACGGCTGTCGAGGGTTCCTCGTACGTCGCGAAGGGTGTGGTGAAAGTGCTGGCAAAGGGTGATGGCGGGCCTGGCAATGAGCCGCMCGATCCTCCACGCTTGTGCAGCTTTGCATGTCCGCCCGATTTCGACTTGGCCTTTTTCAATCCGCGCGGTGGGCTCGAGGAAGCCTGCACTGCCATCTCCTTCCGCAGGCTGGTGCGGGAACCCGAGCGCCGCGTGGTATCGGGATTCGTGGGAGAAACGTTGTATGCATCGAGACTCGGAGGCGACCGCAGTGTCCGCGTGGTGATGGTGAGGGTGGATTTCGTTGAGGGCGCGGGACAGCGAGTGCCGGTGTTGCTGCGCCCCTGCTGGTGGAATAAGGATAATGCCATGTACTGCAAGGTAGGTACCTATCGGCGTCGGCTAGCAATCAATCGTGGGCCCGTCTCGCCGGGATGATAATGATATATCGTTCACGGTGTCGATGTCTGCATTCGAGGTTTCTCAGACCCCGCCCAGCCCAGTGCAAGCGCAAGACAGAGGTTGGTGTATCGTTGCTGACCGTTGTTGAAATTCAATGCTGAACGTTGGTAACCGTTGTATACCTAAACAGCCGCGCAGTTCCGGATTTATCGGGCGGAGATCATTGTGGACCCTGTCGATGGCTACCTTGTGCATGTAGGTATACGCTATCTATCTCACCACAACCATGATGGCATCRTTATGCCCGAGCGATTGTTGAAGTGGATGCTGCAGTGCTCGTTCGCAGTGTGAAAGGATGCGAGGAAGGAAGATGTTGAGAGGACGCTGCAGTGGTGTCTCACTCCCGTCATCTTCGATCCACTCGCCTGCAAAGCCACCGCAAACATGCGGCACAGGTCCAGAACCTTTTCCACGCCGGATCAGGAATCCCACCATCCATCATCACAACCGCAGACAAGGCGCACGAAACCGTCACAGTACAGGCCACCCTATCGGAATGGGTCATCGGGAATGCTCACACTTGACGCACATCAAAACGAGATCTCATGAAACGCTTTCCGGCCACTCCATGCCCGCTCGGAGTCGCAAACCCCGACCCTGGATGTGCTGCATCTCACTCGCAAGCATCTCGTACACCGTATCTGTGGGAGTTATTTCGCGCAGCAACCTACGAAGGAGCTAAGCGCATCCGATCACACGCTAACCGTCGGTGAACTAGCATTGCGCAGATGAATGTACAGCCCGCAGGTCTGCTGCATCGCTTATTCGAGATGATGAAATTCTGGGGACTCCAATAGATCCGCAAGATTGACAAGTACAACTTCGTCCCGAAACGTTCGTTGCTCAGACAAGACGGTATAGCAAAGGTCGGCATTTGGTCCATAACACAATATTGACGCAGACGCTAGTAGCACGTGTCGACCGCATTTGTGGAGACGGGAAATTCGCAAGCAGCCACCACTTTCCATCATCGCATTCCCCTCATCTCACGAATGAGCAGACTTCCAAGTTCTCCGCATGCGTCATCAGCACTTTTCATCCTTCGTGTTTCATCACTCCAACCGGCGTACCACTCCCGAAGTCGTTTCCTGCTTTCGGCGTCGCAACAAACGGTACCAGCGCCAGGCTTTCAAGTGTTTACTTCGGACCAGGTAACCACCTTTGGCAATGTACATCCGGGCCACGGCGTGTCCGGCAGATCAGCTTCCGTCGACCTGCACGATGCGTGCGTGCGTTGCGTAACGCGTTTGCGCTGCGCCTTGCGTGGCGCCAATCCGCTATCTTGGAAATCGACCCCGCATCCTTGAAGAAATGGAGAGATGATTGTCGGAAGCGACTTGGCGATTTCTCCAGCTGGGGTATGTCATGTGAAAGATCTGATACATTGAGCGAAACTCCTCCAAGACATCTTCACACTCGCAAAGCTTTGAGATGCTCTTCCTGGACGGGAGGTGTCAAGAATGCCGTTTAGATGGCTTGCAGGCGTCTCACGTGGCTAGACTGAAACGGCAACGCAAAATCGTCTGTCATCACCACGTTGGCAGGATGTCTACTTCTGCGCTTGCCTGAAAAACCTCTCCCTCATTGAGAAAAAATGTTGATCAGAGAGGTAGAAAGCAGCCCCCTTGATAGGAAGTGTACCAGCCATCTTGGTGCGTCCTGTTCGACTCGGAAGCATAACCGTGAGTGCCAAAATCGCAGACACGAACTCAGCTTTCGCACCAGATCGCGCGTCGACGCGAGTTCTCAAACATTAGCATCCCTCGATCGATCCTGTCCGATTTGAGGAATCCTGATGCCCGTCGCCTCACCAACATGCCRTCAATCTAGCGTGATCTGTTCCTCTCTTTCCCGGCAAGGCTCCAACTCACTCCCACTGTACGGAGGCGGCGGCATTCGTGCAGCATTCGAAGGTCCAGCATCACCAGATCGATCTTCGACATCCTTCGGCCTTGGAACCATCTTGACCTCAAACTCCCTGACAAACAAAACAGTCTGCTCCGCACATTTCATCTTCATCCGAACTTTCACAAAGTATCTCCGTATGATTAACGCATGCCGGAAGCTGGTCGGCCATCGCAGCACCGCCTCGGTTGAGATGGCAGCAGAATATTCGGTGGCCTTTGTCAAGGATAAAGGCAGAGTTGTCCGACAATCCAACTTTTGAACTGTCCGACTATCATTCCTTTCAAAGGGTCCCTTGAGCCGTCTTGATGAATCACACCATGTGTATGCTATTAAATCRGCTCGAAAAGACGTGACGATCACTTCGGGGAATGATAGAGCATCACTCTGCTCGCTACGACGGATACTCATTGTGAAAGAAGGCTGATATCCAGGCCAGATGTGCTGAAGCTCCGTACAACTAATCTCACAGCCAAACTTCGGCGCAGTTCCAAAAACGGCTCGAAGTCTCTGCTGGAATCCCTGCGGTCGCTCGTCTTCGGGAAGCAGCATATTTGTCTGAATCACGGACTTCTGCTTGTGAGTTCTGATCACCGTATTCAAACTCATGGCTGTAGGACGAGGATCGTCATATTGTATCTCCGGCTGTTTCCCATGCTCTGGCACCGTGGTCCTAATGTCGATCCCAGGGATATCGATCTTGACTCCCAATCTGTATCGAACCGCGAGGTCGACGGTATCCGGAAACTGCTGAAACGCGTGAGAGAATGATGGTGGGAGAGCTCCTCCCATGGCCGTCTCGGGGAAGCAGATGTGAAACGGAAATTCATGTCTATCGTCTGGCTTGGAGCTGAAAGACCCATTGAAGATTCCGACGGCGAGATTGAACAACGGCCCTCCATGATCTACGGGCATATCTCGTTCTTGCTTGACAATGACTTTGGCTTTGCCGCGAAGCAGGACTTCGAGTTTCATTGGCACGAATAAGTCTGCGGTCGGTGCGGTAGATTTGTTGCTTTTGAGTCGATTGCTATATCGTTTATATCTGATAGAAATCGGAGGGTCAGCGTAGACTCTTTCGACGGACCCGTTAATGAATGGAGGTTTGCATGATGGTTCTCTGCGAGATGGTTCGGAGTTCGACGTACTCGAGTACCACTTTGCCATCGATCGCATCTCTAGCGCCATAGTGAGGTCGCATTCCACCTTCTACGACAACCTCCGCCACGAGGCTGCCAAGCCTCAAGTCTGCCATCCGTACGGTGTCGTAGTTGGAGAGAGTGATGGTGTAGGTTCATGAGAATTCTATCGCATGAAGCTAGGTAGGTACTACTACACTTCCTTCCCATGATCGTCAACATCATCWAGTGATTTGATAATCATCTCGGTGATGTACATGTCGAAGCGGGGCATTTCCTTTAAGCTGCACGGCTCGGCGGCTGTGGCTAGGCTGAAGATGGTATGAAAGCGGGAATATCAATCTACCAGGTAACTTGTCAAAAGTTGTCGACGTTATTGAGTGGTGATTTTCCACATCTTCTAAGTTGGCGAACTTGTTGAACAATCTTGAACACAACTGGCCCCGCAAAGTTACGTGCTCATTGCTGCCGCCTTCCATTGTGTGGTCATAACGAACCTCTCTTCCCGATGATCTCTCCTGTTCGTTGGTTCGGGCGACACTCGAAAAACACAAGTACATGTGCCAAGTTAATCGGTGCTGTAAGCTATACTTCTCGCGCCCTTCCGCACATCTCAACGTGGAAGCGGCGAATCGCTGGTCACTCAAACGCCTGTCCTCGGCGTACAAAGACCATGCCTCTGCTTCGCAAAGAAAGAGATGGTCTACATGGACCGTGCAGTTCACCAATGCTTGCCAGCTCACTGCAGCCGAAGTAGTTGAGAATCTCCTCCAGTGCTGCTTGCCAGATCACGATCACGAGATGCTAGCACGACTGTTCGACCATAGCTGCCTGGAGGTATCATGCTTGCTCTTCCTCTTGCCAGGCGGGCCATCTGCGCTCACCTTCCTGTCGACGGAGTTGGGAATATGGATGTTGTTGCGTCCAGGTCCAGTTGTAAGCCCTGCTGTGGCAGCACAGCTCCCGTCCCTTGTAGCTGACGGCCAGTCTGCTTTTGTCTAAATCCAGATCATGTTCATTGGCTGGCTTTATTCAAGCTGGCGCTTGGTGTCCCTTCTCTTGCTCTCCCTCACCAATCACAAGCCCCTTGACGAACTCGATGTATCCGATCCTACGTCCCCTCGCTACTCCCACAGCATCCTGCAACAGACCAAATGCCAGTCCGGCCTTGGCGCCCATCCTGGCTGTTCTAGCAGCTGTCGCCAGTGGAAAGCGGTTCCACGCACTGAAAAGCCCGGCAGTACCGAGACCTGCCAGCATGCTGCTCACACAGTCACGTCCTACAGCGACATCTCGCAGCTCCTCCTCCTCTCCCAGCAACATCCTTTCCCGCCTCTCATTCCGTTCCCTCGTTGTCGCCACGCTACCCCATGCTCTGCGACCAGCCGCCCTACCKCGATCCACGCCCTCTTCCATGCCGAAGAACACGCCGACCCAGACGGAATAGCGGATGGATTGCTTGATTCCTTCCACCACCCCACCCAGCATCATGTTGTAGTTCTTGGACTTGTGGTAGAGGAACCAGCCGGTTTGAGTAGTGGGTAGCCGATGAGCATTTTCGGCGCGAAATACGAGACCGGCATCCATGGAGCCCTTTGTGAGACCGAGGAGTAAGCCGGAGACGGATGCCAGTGTGAGTGCCAACGGGAGTCGTGCGCCAAGCGGCATGGATAGCCGATCTGGGGAGATGACACTCTCCCCTACCTCTGACGGCTGGCCTGGAGGTTCTGCCATGCTCGATCCTTTTGTTGTCACGATGAAGATGTGGCAGGGCCGCGGGGGAGAAAGCTGGACGCAGCTCAGGCTTGAATGCTCTCCGCGGGAGTGTGTGGCCCGTGCTCAACTTTTCGCGACACGCGTTCGCATGTGAATCTGTTCCAACGCCGCCACCACCTCTTTCCTCTCCCTCTCATCACCCCCACAAGATGCTGGCGTCACGATGTGGTTACATGTGTCGCAGTTGCCGTGCCAGGACGCAAAGTGTGCTGCAGTACGAACAGCGCAGGGGATTGAATGATGGACGAAGACCGCCGGTCGGAAATCGAGTGCTGGCCCAGGAAGCGGAGGTGCGGCAGCATAAGGGGAAGACGGCACGCAAGAGGAGGCAGAGAAAAAAAGCAAGCTATAGGGGTCAAGACACCTTGGTCAAATATGATTTCAAGCCCGACCTGAGACACCACGTCAGCCCTGACCGCCCCGAGAAATTTCATTTCACGGAAAACGAACGTTCCACTAACCCAGTGGGTCGTATTCCACACGAGGCGCCAAGCGTGGAGAGTGCAGAGGCGGCGGCAGAAGGGGTGGATGTCAAGCATGACGCCGTCGTGAGGTATGAGCCAGTGGGTCGTATCCCACACGAGGCGCCAGGTGCGGAGAGTGCAGAGGCGGCGGCAGGCGGCGTGGATATCAAGCATGACGCCGTCGTGAGATATGTCACGCAATATCGGCAATCCGCTGAGCCAGTGGGTCGTATTCCACACGAGGCGCCAGGTGCGGAGAGTGCAGAGGCGGCGGCAGGCGGCGTGGATGTCTCGCACGATGGTTTTGCAAATATGCTCGACGACATGGTGGAGCTGGCGGGAGCAGAGGTCAAGATAAAGACAAGAGAATCTGCAATCGAACCTCGCACAACACCCCAAGGCACTCCCAGCAACCCTCTCCTCTTTACTCCGTCGAAAACGATGCCGCGCCAACAACCATCAGCCGTCCCCACGTTTGCGTGGCAAAAGACGTCCATGTCGACCTTGATACCGGATGCCCGTCAGTTCAATGGTCTTTGCGCTCGTATGCTACATACCTCACAACTAAGACATCAACATGCGGAAGCAGCAGCATCCGAGACAAAGTCTGCATTTGACAGTCTCCGTCTAGCAACCAATCTTCCTCCTGCTGGCGGAATTCGGGCCCATCTTCGCAAATGGCAGGAACTTCATGGTAATGAAGACGATCCAATTCCCGCTATTCCACAAGATGACGTTGCATTGGGCGATGCTCCCTACAACGACTTTCAGCGCCTTCCAGACGAGGCTTGTATGCGTCTCCAGGCACAACAAGACGAGAACGAAATGGAACAGGAAATAGCATCAGGCTTTGTTGCTGCGACAGGTAAGGAGGGTTACGATCGAGGCAACGCTGTTGAAGACGCCCGTTTCCTCAGCCCCGGTGACCTAGTCGAGATTGATTTCACACGCAGCGAGCGAGAAAGTATCCTCGCCGTCTTCATCAGACCCGTTGGCCTCATTGGCAACTACGCCCAATTTCTGACTATGCAAGGCAAATGGTTGCATCAATCCGAACGTTTGGTTCAATACCATCTCAAAGGCTTCGCTGACACTGCCACTCTGAACGCCATCATTCCCCATCTGCCCAACCCCGAGAGCATGGCCGATCTCCAGGCACTTGCAGACAAAGCGTACACGGAAGATCTTTCTGTACCGAGGGAAGTTTCTGCGCCTCTCATCGCGAAAATGGTGAAATTTTACGACGACAGCCAAGAGATTTACCGTCTCCACGCCAATGCTCTGGACGACGCCCATCGTATCCTCGCACACGACACTGACTTGTGGTATGGCACTTTGACAACCGCTGCTACCACTCTTTTGAAGATGCCAGCAGCTTCTCTACCCAAGGCTGCCCTATTCGCAGTCCGCAGAGCCCTGGTACACGCCGGGTTTGCCTTCAACATGGACCGCCGCTCGCACCGTCAGACAGGATACTTCCAAATCCGAAGCAAGGCTCAAGTAAAGAACGTCGAGCAAGTGCGTCATTGGGTGCGACAATGGCAGGATGATCTGGCCAAAACCGCAGCCATGTCCGAGCAAGCAAAGAAGTACCACTCACCTAGCAAAGGCGCCTCATATGTCTACAGCTTCGTTGAAAAAGCAAAGGTCATTGCAATGAAGAGTCGAGAAACCCGTCAGCCAACCGAATGCCACAACATCGGGATTAGCAAGACTCGCATCCCGTTGACCAACGACACCGACTGCGTCAAAATCACTACGGGGAATGAGTTCACCGAAGAAGAGCAGGAAATTCTGCGTTTCATGGAATCATGGGCTTGCACGAGCCTGTTCGTCGGTCTGAACCGTATCGAGAGCCTTCCACCACTCATCCTCCACGCAACAGGCCTTTATCCAGATGCTTCACTCGCCAAATCAACTGGCTACATGTTTCTGCAGGAGTTAGGAACTCTGTTGCCATATGAGAATCGCATACGATTCGATCAACATCTTCTCCTCCCCAGCTCTCAACACAGCAAACCTCTGCAAAACCTCATGGCCAAGCTGATGGATATGCGAGACTCCCACAATTTCCAAGACTCCATGGCTGGCCTACGTCACGACTGGAAGGATCTTCCCGTTTACTGCATCGATGGTGCCGATGCCCATGAGATCGACGATGGCATTTCTCTCGAGCCAGCAGGCAAGAACCAGCACTGGGTTCACGTTCATATTGCCAATCCCACCGCGTTTTTCGATCGTGATCATCCGCTGGCGAAAATGGCCCGACACATGGGTGAAACCATCTACATGCCGGAGAGAACGTACATGATGCTTCCCCGCTGGGCAACCCAACGCCATTTCTCTCTAGCACCCAATCGTCCATGTCTCACCTTTTCCGCCAAGTTGGATGCAGACGGCAAGACTCTCGAGCAGAAAATCACCCCGGGTATCATCCGAAATGTAATCTCACTGACCCCTAGCGAGATTGAGACCTTGATTGGCGACGACTCCCTGGAAGCCAAACATCCCATGCAGACCTTCTCCGTCGGTGGCACACCTCCTCCTCCCCGAGCACGCAAGTCCCAAGTTCCGGACATGCAGTCATTTCACGTTGCCCAGCTCAACACCCTGAACGAATTAGCTGGGCGTCGTGCGGGGATCCGCAAGGCCGCGGGAGGCCTGTTCTTTGATTCTCACAGAGTTGAGGTCAATGTCTGGCAAAATTACAAGCACACCGGTCTAGCTTGGGACCATCCACACCGGAGAGGTTCCCGGACTGTAGAAGGAGATCCAATCATTCAGCTCAAAACCCGWGCCTTGTCCAACTGGTTCGCCCCTTCTGCGAATGCGGTCGATGTCCTCGTCCGAGAATTCATGTTGCTAGCCTGTGAGATTTCTGCTTCTTGGTGTGCAGAGAGGGACATCCCAATCATTTATCGCGGAACCACATCTACACCAGAAAAGCGGGTTGAGCGAGAGAGGTTCATGAAGGAAGAAATCGAACCCAACACAGCTGCTGATGGGACATACCCCATGTGGCTCGGCGTGCAATATCTTCAGACAATCGGCTTCACAGCTCTTCGCACCGAACCTATCAAGCACGGATTCTTGGGAATGGAACACTACAGCAAAGCGACCTCCCCGCTCCGAAGATACGGAGATATGATTCTTCACTGGCAAATTGAAGCTGCTCTACGGCATGAGGCCTCGACGGGGCAGAGTTTGGCGGTCAGCAAACGCGGATCTGGCGGACAGAGAGGTCTCCAGCTACCATTCAGCAGAGCCGCCCTCCAAAATATAATGGTCGGTCTACAACCCCGCGAAAGTATCGTTTCCCGCTCACAGGCCTACACCGAAACATTTTGGATTGCAATGCTTCTTTTCCGGAAACACCATTTTAACGAAGATGGCGGGCTCGCAGGATTTCCAACCCGAGAAGTCGCGGTTGAAGATCCTGGTCAAAAGGGAGAAACGAGGATGGCTACGGTGCCGATTTTCAAAGCTTTTGTCGCTAATCGGCCGGATCCTCATGGCGGGGCACCGCTTGTTTCTTGCCTTTTGGTGGAGTTTAACGTCACTGCTAGTATGATTCCTAGTGTTCTGCCCGGAATGGAGGTGAAGTTGGGCGATTTGTGGGAGGTTAGGATGGAGAAGGTGGATGTGTTCCATAAGTTGGTGATTGTGAGGGCCGTCAGTTTGGTGAAGAGAGAGGCGATGTAGGATGTGTGGACGTGTGGAAATAGTGACGTGTATGGTGATGAATACGATAGAAGTTCTCTGCTCTGGTGCTGAGACTTGCTTGAAAATGTGAAAATTGGAGGAAAGGGGTGTGATGTGATTTTTCTGCTTGAATTTTGAGATGTTACAGCACCTTGTGATGGCAACGAGCCTTTCTTGAGAAAGAAGAACTGCCATGCTCTGTTCCCAAGGCATAAAAGAAGTCAAAAGTTCTCCAAAACTGACGCGGTTTGTCTTCCGCCTCATAATCTGTCGGTAGTAAGGTAGAGAGTCGAATTTTGCTCCTTCTCTCCTCATTCAGTCTACATTTGTTCGTAAAGTCAGCTGCGGCTCATCGAGACAAAGATGACATGGCATACCTGAACTTAATCTAGCCTAGAATTTCTGCGGACGAGAAAGTTCATAGCGATACACTCAGCCCGTGGTCTCTGGTATCCCTGTCACCTCAAGCTCCCCGTTCAGAGTAAGCAGTTTGGTATGCGGACAAGCTTACGGTTGGCCTGCTCCTGAAGTCCTGCACCGGAGAGGCACTCAGACGCAGCTCTTTCCGGCGTCTTTTGAGAGATCTGTGGTACCTGGGAGGTCAGCATTGACGAATCAGTGTAGGAAGAAGAAGGACACACATTTGAACGCAAGAGCGTATTTGGCCTGCATCTCTTCCGCCTCTCGCAGCATATCTTCGACTCTCTGTAGGTCTTCCTTGACCATCTCTTCGTACGCCTGCTTCTTGTCGTCGAAGTACCATTGTTTCAAGATGGAGAATTTATCCCAAGAAGTGAAACTACCGGCGGATGTTGGATGGATTTCGCGCGAGATGGATGTGTTGTTGTCGAAAGTCAAGGTCATGCCAGCATCTGTTCGCTCCATGCAGGTGATTGAAATGCCTGGAGGTTTGCGAGAGATGCTCTCGAAGCGAGCTGAGAGTAATGTCAGCCGAGGGCACCCAGTAATAGCATGGATCTACTCGCCGGAAATTGCCTTGCGATTGTCTGCTCCGACTAGAAGCAGTGTAGCAGCGAAGATGCGGCGAGAAACGCCTGGTTGATCGATGATTGCTTTGCGAGGATCGATGGCGATTTCGGCGAACGTCTCAGCGAGAGAGATTGTCTCTGCGAGGGACTTGGCGATGGAGTGATTCTCGGTGATACTGCATCCAGAGCTACTGAATTGGGTGAAGTTGACCGCGTCGCTCATTGTGCCGAGAGCAGCTCTCATCAATATGACGAGAACGAGGGCAATGAAGTGCTCCATCTTAGCTGGGAAGTGTCAGAAATTTGAGCGAAGAAAGATGGCCGCAGAAGTGATGTGTTGCGGAGCGATGTTGTGTGGATGGTTGTGTGGAGTTCGAGATGTACGAGGAAAGGAAGGTGCAGCCTTATATAGGTAGCCAATAAGTAGCTTGATGTCTCGATGTGGACTAGCGCTGGTGAACTTGCAAGTGAAGTGAATTGTTGTGGAGCCGGCAGACTTTTAGGCACAATCCCCTCCCCTCACTTCGAGGTCTCGCAACACCGACTGTACTCCCCGCAGCGCAAACGTAAGACCAGGTAGTTGTAACATGGTCAACAGACAGAGATGTAAGACTAAGAGGGATGAGTGAATAGAGAAAAGACAGCCTGGCAGGATTGAGTGATGAAGTGTGATGCATATAAGTATCCATGCAGCACCGGGATCAAGTCCGCTCACCTCACTTCGCCACTGAAACCCCGGGAGAACAAGCAGCCCGATCAACAGTCAGGTCATCAAGGTTCGCGAACTGTGTGGTTTGAAGGTTATTGTACGCTGACAGGTGCATCAACAACGCCGCGTTGAGATCAAAAAGCAGCAACAGCTTACACCAGAAGGAATCCACACCAACAGCAATTCCCCTCATCACATGGCCATCTCGGCCTGGAGTTTCCGTAGTTCCTCCTCCTCGTCGTCCTCCACTGATTGCTTCCCTTTGGCTGCGTGGAACGTTAGCAAAGACCTCCTTCTGTTCCTTCGGACTACACTTACGCTCTCCCAACGGCCTGTTTGGTAAACTTGGCATTTGGTCCGAAACAGGTACTGTTCCCGTGTGCAACATCTTGTTGTCCAGCTCCTCCTGCTGTAGTTCTGCCAGCTCGTCTTCCAGCTCGTCCTCGTCCACGCCTTGCATCGAGTTGCCTTGTGTGAGCGCATCCGCAATCTCCTCCCCGATTGCGTGCTGTTCCCTCAGATCCTCCATGGTCTGATCCACCTTCTCGATAGAGAGATCGCCATGGATCTTCTTCATTGCCTGCTGAGCGCCCTTCATCGCATCCAACGTCTCCTTGTTGATGTTTGCTGTCTCGATGGAGGATATCTCCCGCTCTACGGTCATCATTTGCGCACTCGTCTGCTCGAGCTGATGTTCAAATGCCTTTTTCCTCCGTAAGGCTGCCTTGGCCACTGCAGTCTAGATATCAGCATGCAATACGAACATGTGGACCTCCTCGGCCTTCACGGTCGCGTGACTCCACTTACCTCCCTTATTACTGCTCACATTCTTCCGCGCAATCACATCCTGTTCGTCCATCTGGTTTTGGAGGTGCTTCTCCCGCTTTGACAGCATTTCGAGAGTACTTCGTAGGCGCAATATGGCGTTCTTGGGCGCATCCTTCTTTGCGGCGGCGCTGCCGCCAAAAAGGCTGCTAAAGCCCCAGCCGGACATGGTGGCGGCGGAGAGAATCTATCGCGGTTGTTGTGCCAAAGGAAAGACGACGAAGTTGCGGCGGGACGGGTCCTGGTGGGGGTCTCTTTGTCGTCTCGGGCGGGAGATAGGCGGCTGGGAAAGCGCAATCGGGGGTTGTTGTAAGAAACCGAGGCCGACAGCGGCTGGAGGGTTCTCAGGAGCACAGGTTTGCGATGTGTTGTTGCCTAGCAGGTGATGAGAGGCGTGATGTTGAGACGGTATATGTGGTAGGTGGTGATTGATCTTGATCGGTTGCCCGCTGCCTGAAGATGTCGTTGCACTCTGGTGTGACGCAGGATCCCTCCAGATTTGGTAATCATAAGCGCCGATCTATTGACACCACGTCTTGCCATGTGACAGCCGGGTTACAACTCCATCATCACGAGCGCTCACAAGAACTGCATCAGGCGGTCGACTTCCTCCGATGGCTTCCTACGATCCTTACTGTAGGAGACCTGAGCCCACGCGTCTCGTGCTCCTGGATCAAATCCACGAGCAAGGACCAGGCACCAAGATCCGCGTGCTGGGATGTGTGCATGAGTACATGATCGACAGCGGCACGCTCGTGCTGAAGGGCGAACATGCGGCCACCGCGTCTCGCAATCTCACAGTCTTTGCAGACATCAACAACGTACTGGAGAGTKTCCAACGCGAACTGCTTCAAGTTGGAGCTTGGGTGAACATCGTTGGCTACGTGAGACCCCACACTCAAGTTGCGACGACATCAAGAAAGCACAAGAAAGGCATCAAAACGCTGAGCTTTCCCACCGTCGAAGTTCTGATGATCTGGTCCGCTGGAGCCATCAAACTCGTCAGCTACCAGTCGGCTGTACGGAGCGTCCAGTCAACTTCGCTTCCAGCTGGATGAACAAGGATGAATCCGTCTCCAAAGACTGTCTACTTTTTGGATCCACCCACTTTCCCTGCGCCTCTGAACGCAAAAGTCGCTATGCCCAACGCCACCAGACAAAGGGCAAAATTGAACCATTCTGCACTCCTAAGGCCAGCGAGAAATGCCGGATTGTCTTTCGATCCCGCTCCCGTCACCGCAGCATCGTCGGAAACCTCCTTGCTCTCTTGAACCGCAACCTGGATGGCGGTACCTATCGCTAAGCCAATGGCCCGTCCTATCTGTCCCACAGCATTCACCATAGCACCCCCAATGGCCTGATCCTCCTGAGGCAGCGCGTGCGCCGTGAGGAGTAACAGGGCAGGAAACAAAGTGTCCGCACCAAATACGGCAAGACACATGGCGGGAAAACCGTACGCCCAATATGTTGTACTGGGATCAATCGGCACAGCGAAGAGACTGCAAGGATGTTAGCTCGGAGCCTGTGGCTTACCTCACTAGACTTACAGTCCTGCGATTGCACAGCACATCGTTCCAAACATCGTGATGTATTGAACGTCCACCAGCGCCAGCAGTTGCGCCGTGACGAAGACAGTCATGGCTCCCACCACGCCCGTCGGGATGAATCGGAGCGTGGTATGAATGGCATCCAGTCCCTTGTACTCCTGATAAAAGTATGTTGCGAAGATGAGGAAGTTGTTGAAGGCGGCGTAAAAGAAGGCCATGGTGATCATGGCAGCCGAAACACGCGTACTGCGGAAGATACTAACCTTCATCAGCGGTCTCTTTGTTGTCTTGTTCTCCAAGTATATTTGCCAGGCCACGAACGCTGCCACCAGAAGCAGGGACAAGACGATCAGCACAGGAATATATGCTTTGCTCCAACCCACCACATTCCCATCCGTAAGAGCAAACAGGAGGATTATCAGACCCACTGTGATCATCATTCCACCTGGCCAATCCACTGCATTCTTGACGTCCTCTTCTTTGGGCAGGACTGTCGGTAATGGGATGACGAACCACGCGGCAATGGTAGCAATTGCGGACATGATCGCTAGGATCCAAAAGACCCATTTCCAGGTCGCGTACTCACCAACTATACCTCCCAATAAGTTTCCAAACACAGATCCGAGTGGAGCTCCAGCAGAATACATTGCAAAGGCATAGTTCTTGGATTTGCCTGGTGGAAAGCTGGTTCCCAGAATGCCAATCGCTGTCGGCACATTCGCTGCCGCGCCTAGACCTTGGAGACCGCGAACCGTGTTGAAGCCAATCTCATTGGGGATGAAGGGACAGATGACAGTCATGATACAGAACCACGCGGAACCGTAGATGAAGATCAGACGCTTTCCGTAGACATCAGCCAGTCGGCCCCAAAGGAGGAGGAAGCAGCCGAAGGTGAGAGAGTATGCCGAAACGAGCCATTGCTGTCGTGCGGAGGGGATGTTGAGAGACGCAGAGATTGTTGGCAGTATGATGACAAGAGCTTGGACGGAGAGGGTATTGAGAAACGCGGCGCCTGTGAGGGTCGTTACAAGAGCGACAGTGCGCACGGTGGAAAGTGGATTCGTGGGTTCTCGATTACGGTCGTCTGATTCGAGGTCTGGTTCCTCCGGATTTGCGATTCCCTTCCTGATTTCTGTTCGAGGTCCATCGTCACCTCTCTCAGCCCCATATTTCTCTTTCTCCAAAGCTGGCGAGATGTGGTCACCGCCTGATTTCGGTTCCGACATCTGAGCAAACAATCACAAGACGCGAGTGAAAGAAAATGGAAAATAAAAAGTCACGACATTCTTACCAGTCTCCGCGCATCGCTCTACTAGTTTCATAGATGCGATCTCCCCACATCGGCAGCGCATTTGTGTCGCTATCTAATGCGTAACGAGAGGCCGAGAGCGGATAAGACTTGATCCATAAGGGCGATTTCGGCGACGATGTAGATGCGGCAATCGATTCCGCGTGCCAAGATAAGTATGTCTCGAGGACATATCAATCTAGGAGAGTTGTAGATCTTTCACAATGGGTTTGGACATTTCATAGCGATGTTTCCTACATGTACTTGACTTGGCTTTACGATGGTCATGGCTACCATACCTAGCCGTAGAGATCCCAGCAACCTACTTTTCGCTGCCAAGACCGCAGTGCTATGTGGAAAGGCTGCGACTAAACAAAGCCGCCAACTCGCTGGCCTTCGCGACTGACATCTCATATACCTAGCGGCGACTCCGCCTGGGTCAATTCCAATGGGGAGAATGAACATGATACAGGAACAGGAGGCGCAGAAATCTGGTTCATTTTCAGTCATACGACCATTCATCGTCCTCTTGTGAGACCTAGATAAAGGGTCCCACTTTGATCAGCGCCAAAACGCCATGCTTTATGCCCTGCCTGCCTGTCACTCATCATCTAGCCTCGTCGCATCGCTTGTGCTCAAGAAACTTTTACATCCGTCCCTCGCGCTCCTTCTCACGCTCCACCTCAAATTTGAAGTCAAAGTAAGGAGGGTCGAAGTGGTGCACACGAACGTATCCATCCTCTCCTCCACTGCAGTAGCACTTTCCGGTAGGGTCCACGGCGACATAGTTCAAAGGACCGAAGTGACCACGGACTCTGCCAATCTCCTCCTCGAAGATTTTGTGATAGAACCTCGCCTCGAATTTTCCTTGTCGTGCGGAAGTTGTTGTGACGTCCATGGCAGCCTGWCCACCTCCTAGGATGACATAGTTTGTTGGCTCGGGTGTGATTGCTGCACTGTTGAGAGGGGTGTCGGCAACGTAGGTCTTGAGCACATCCAGGGTCTTCGCGTCGATGAGCTTGGCGGTCTTGTCCTTGGATGAGGTGATGAAGTATGTCCGGTCGGAGCTCCATTGGAGATCGGTGACGGGCTGTCCCTCCTCGTGTGGGAAGGTGTGAGAGAGCTCCTCGCCGCTCTTGGCATCGTACTGTGTTACACTACCRTCCTCGTGGCCAGTGATGATGAAGTGATTCATGTAAGAAAAGCCGGCGACTGTGACCTTGGGAATGTCGTCGACAACGATGCGCAGACTGTAAGTCTCCGCCTGCTCGCCTTCTGGGTCCTGGTTGATGTCGTAGACYAAGACAGAGCTGAGCTGTCCTTGTCGCTTCTCCGTCACACCTAGTAGCTGTCTTCCATCCTCAGAGAACTCCACGCGCTTGATGGCTGTACCAAATTCCCACGTCTTCAACAGTCTGCCCGTCTTGACCTCCCAGAGCCGGATGGTGTTGTCGGCGCCGCCAGAAGCGAGGATGGTGGTGGTCGGGTCGACATCGACGGTCCAGAGAGCACCCTGATGACCCTTGTAGGTGCCGAATCGCTCGCCGTTGGCTGTATACCACGCGCACACGACGTGGTCTTTCGAGACGGAAAAAAGAAGATCGCCCTCTTTGGAGAACCTAGAGGCATGTCAGTCCGTCTGAATTTCGGCCACGCATCTGCGCACTTGATGGGATTACACACTTTACCTGCGTCAGCGCACGCTCGTGGCCCTGAAGTAGAATCGGCCTCATGTTGACGGTAGTTTGGTGGGATGACTCTTTTGTGGTGGGGTCCACAAGTCAGGACGACTTTGTCGCACCTGCAGTGTTGCCAAGAGTTCTTCTATGGTAGCCAGCATGTTGAAATGGGACAAATCAATTGTATCAAATTACTATCAATGGCAATCAATTGTCTTGCAAGCATAGGTAAAGTACCATCACACAGGCTGGAAGGTCGATTGTACAATTACCACCATCCAGGACTTGCATATAATATCAGAACGGCGATTCGAAGCCCTACAACGCTCGACTCCATGAGCTGATTGATATACACGCAATTTCTCTGTCCAAGAAATCTTTATTACACTTCCTACCTTAGCCCACAGACGTCCCCGCGGCCACAAGACCGGTGGCTCAGTGACTGGTGGCTGGTGGCTCCGTGTCGGGTGTTTTGAGAAATTGTCCCCGGTGACCGGACGCGTTTTCATCATATCAGTCACTGCATCGACTCTTGCGAAGCTTTTGCGTGACTTTACGGGGAGAGAACTAGGAGGAGGTCTGCATCTCAGTGGAATCCCCAGGTTTTCCCTTGTCTCTGCGAACGTTTACACCCGAGGAAAGGATGTATTTGGCCAACAGTCATCGTGCATGTGTGCCCCGCCTCACGCCTATCACAACGACCCGCCGATTTCTTCCTCAGCTTGCTATCCGCCCTCGTGCCGCGATCCCACCACACGCCATTCGGTCCTTGAGAGCTTTCGGTGCGCTTGCTCGGTCCACGGGAGCTTCTGGTGCGACTATAAGATCTCACAAGCACGCGGACTTCCGCTGCTTCAGTTCCACCGCAGCAAACATGACCGCCACCAAAATCGACGGCAATGCCATTGCCAAAACCATTCGTGAGCGAATCTCGAGCGAGGTGGCCGGCAAGCAGGCCAAGAATGCCCGCTACAAGCCCAGCCTGGTCATCATCCAGGTTGGCGACCGTACCGACAGCTCCACCTATGTTCGCATGAAGCTCAAGGCCTGTGAAGAGGCCAATATTGCCTGCCGGCTGGAAACCTACCCCGAGTCCATTACCGAGTACGAACTGCTCGAGAATATCGACCATTACAACAACGATGAGTCAGTCCACGGCATACTGGTGCAGCTACCTCTGCCCAAGCATCTCGACGAGTACGAAATCACCTCTGCCGTAGCCGACGASAAGGATGTTGACGGTTTCGGCACCGCCAACATTGGCGAGCTGGCCAAGAAGGGCGGAAAGCCATTGTTCATTCCTTGCACTCCCAAGGGTGTCATGGTCCTGCTGAAAGAGTCTGGCGTCGACCTCAAGGGCAAGAACGCCATCGTGATTGGGCGTTCTGATATTGTCGGTGCTCCAGTGAGCTACCTGCTGCGGCATGCAGATGCTACTGTCACCGTATGTCACTCCAAGACACAAAACCTCAAGGAGATTGTCAAGACGGGTGACATTGTCGTGGCTGCCCTTGGTAGCCCAGGCTTCGTCAAGGGAGACTGGCTCAAGCCGGGCGCCGTCGTAATCGACGTTGGCACAAATGGCGTGCCAGACGATACCAAAAAGTCTGGACAACGCTTAGTCGGAGATGTCGATTTCGAGTCTGCCGCGGAGGTTGCCAGCCAGATCACTCCTGTGCCTGGTGGTGTCGGCCCAATGACTGTTGCTATGCTCCTGTCAAACGTCGTTGCTGCCGCCGATGTTCAATCGGAGAAAGCCAAGGCAAGGCACATCACTCCTTTGCCATTGAAGATCAAGTCTCCTGTTCCTTCGGACATTGCCGTGTCTCGTGCTCAGCATCCAAAGCTGATTAACAAGGTAGCGTCGGAAATTGGAATCCGATCTCACGAGTTGGAGCCATATGGTGCATACAAAGCCAAGGTGTCATTGGACGTGCTCAGGCGATTGGAACACCGTCAGAACGGCCGCTACATTCTCGTTGCTGGTATCACACCCACACCTCTCGGCGAAGGTAAGAGTACCACCACGATTGGTTTGACTCAGGCCCTCTCTGGCCAGCTTGGCCGTATCGCCTTTGCCAACGTCCGTCAGCCATCTCAGGGTCCCACCTTTGGAATCAAGGGTGGTGCAGCTGGTGGTGGGTACAGTCAAGTCATTCCCATGGACGAGTTCAACCTGCATTTGACTGGTGATATCCACGCTGTGACTGCAGCGAACAACTTGCTGGCTGCCGCCATCGACACGAGAATGTTCCACGAGGCTACCGCACCGGATCCAGCGCTCTTCAACCGACTCGTGCCTGCCAAGAAGGGCAAGCGCACGTTTGCCAACATCATGTTCACCCGTCTGAAGAAGCTTGGGATCGACAAGACCAACCCTGACGACCTCACACCTGAGGAGAAGACAAAATTCTCCCGACTCGACATTGACCCGGAGACCATCACATGGCGACGTGTACTAGATGTCAACGATCGTCACCTACGTGGTATCACCATCGGTCAGGCACCATCCGAGAGCAAGGTCGCACCACGACAGACGGGTTTCGACATCTCTGTCGCTTCCGAGTGTATGGCTGTGCTTGCTCTTGCCACTGACCTCTCTGACCTCAGAGCCCGTCTCGGTCGCATGGTCATTGCATCTTCCAAAGCGGGTGACCCAGTCACCGCTGACGACATCGGATGCGCCGGTGCGCTGGCTACTCTGATGAAGGATGCCGTCAAGCCAAACTTGATGCAGACATTGGAGGGTACTCCCGTATTCGTCCATGCTGGTCCATTCGCAAACATCAGTATCGGAAACAGCTCCATCATTGCCGACCGCATCGCACTCAAGCTTGCTGGCACTGAGCCCGATGAGGCGGCCGAGCGTGACGAGAAGGTCGGTTTCGTAGTTACTGAGGCTGGGTTCGATTTCACCATGGGCGGCGAGCGATTCATGAACATCAAGTGTCGTGCCTCTGGCCTCGTTCCTGATGTTGTTGTCATCGTCGCTACTGTGCGTGCTCTCAAGGTCCACGGCGGCGGTCCTGAGATCAAGGCCGGCGCACAGTTGGACCCCGTCTACACCACGGAGAACGTCGACATCCTTCGCAAGGGTTGCATCAACCTTGCCAAGCACATTGAGAACGCCAAGTCATATGGTGTCAACGTTGTCGTTGCTATCAACAGATTCGACACCGACACCGAGGCTGAGTTGCAGGTCATCCGCGAGGAGGCCATCAAGGCTGGTGCCGAAGACGCCATTACTGCCAATCACTACGCAGAGGGCGGCAAGGGAGCTGTCGATCTCGCCAAGGGTGTCATTGCTGCTTCCGAGAAGAGCGAGCAAGATCAGTTCCACTTCCTCTACGACCTCAAGGGCTCCGCACAAGAGCGTATTGAGGCCATCGCCAAGAAGATGTACGGCGCTGCTTCCGTCTCCTTCTCCGAGACAGCACAGAAGAAGATTGACACCTACACCCGCCAAGGTTACGGTGACCTTCCCATCTGTATTGCCAAGACTCAGTACTCCCTCTCCCACGACGGAGCGCTCAAGGGTGCACCAACTGGCTTCGAAGTTCCCATCCGGGATGTCCGCATGGCTGCTGGTGCTGGATACCTGTATGCTCTTGCAGCAGACATTCAGACCATTCCTGGTCTGCCCACTGCACCTGGCTACCTGAACGTTGAGATTGATGGCGAGACTGGAGAGATCGACGGTCTCTTCTAGTTCACATTGCAGTCTTTCGAGGAACGGATACAGGAGTTTTGGAGTTTACAATGATACCAGCTATGCTGTTCAACAATGGCTAGCAACAACGATCTTGCTGCATCTTTCAGGATGGTCAGGTTGGGATGGWGAAAAGTTTAGATACTTGCCGGGTTTAGTCACTCAACGTGAAAGCGCGGCGTTGGGGAGATGTTGATGTGGACTCATCTGTGTATTTAAGTAATCAGACACCGAATCTATTGAGTCGTTCGCTAAAGATGTTCGAAAGTTTCAGTGACAGCTGTCTGAAGTTATCAATTCACATAAGGTCACCCAGTCCGACTGGCCATTGTCCGCGCCGCCGAAGCGATCACCATCTGAGGCATCTTCTTCGTCCTCCCCGCCACCATCCCTCAACAACGCAATCGCAATCCCAATCTGTTTCCCTGCGAGAGTGAAATCACAATTCCCATCCTCAAACAACTCATTCCKCAGTTCGCGGAGTCGCACAATCAAAGCATCGCGTTTCGCCGTATCCACTGGGTTGTGCTCGTGTTCGGRAACCAAGACATAGGACAGGCCATCGATACTAATTCGCTGGGAAGTAGGTGAGCTGCGGACCTTTTTGCTTCCGAGAGTTGCTTCGCCGCGGTAGGTGGGTTTTCCTTCTGCGACTGTGGTTTTCAGGGGTAGGATCTTGGAGTTTTTTCTCTTCTTGGTGGTTTCTTTGGGTAGTTTGACTACTTTCGCCACGCTGGTTTTGGAGACGGTGGGTTTTGTTGCGGGTTTCTTGGCTGCTCCCTTTTTGGTGGCGGCTCTCTGTTCTGCCGTTGGCCACGCCATTTTGGAGTTGTGAATGAGGTTCAGGGATGAACGGATGATGGTACATTAGTGGTCTCGGCGGAGTGGTTCTCTTGAGTCTTTCCAGACGCCGGAAATGGAAGAAGAGCGGATGGCAGAACAAAGAGCGTATCCCCGAGTGTTGACCCTGCGGCTACATTTGAGAAGACTTTATGCGCTGTTTGGACAAAGGATCGTTGAACTTGGATAGACCAAATGATTATAGATATGGCGTTATTTCGACAACTCGTCAGCTGCATCCAATATCCATGGTGCTCTGCTAAGCATCACTTCTTGCAAAGCACGTGTGCATACAGACAAGTTCGTATCATGAATCAGTTGAGGAGACAATGTCCCATGCTGTGCCGAAGCTGCACACGCTCCACTCCCCCCATTCGCCTCTAGCGATGAAGGGTCACAACCTCTCCCTCGGCCTTGAGTCCCATTAGAGCTGACTGGAATGTCATGATATCGCCCAGGTTAAATCTCCCTCGTTCAAACCATGAAGGCTTGAAGCTTATCCAATTTCCGATACCGTCGCCTTCCTCAAACTTCTTGCGGTAATTGATCTTGGGATTTGGGTTGCTGTACTCGCGACTCGACTCCAAGAAACCATGAAGCGCATGTATGGCTCCACCAACGTGTTCACCAACACCCTTTARCGAAGTTTCAGAAGCCATGGGCTCACTGTTGATTCTCTCGAAGAGATCATCGAGTCCCCAAAGCACCATCCTCGCTCCGTTCCTGATAACAGCATCATAGTTCAGATCTGTTTCTTGGGCCTTGGAGTTACCCTTGGTGGTCTTATTCGACGAGGTCATCTTTGATGAGGCGTGGTCCATCGCGGCTGCTATCGACTCTGGTGCGTTGGGTTGTGGCGATGCCTTGTGTGCCAAAAACAGAGCTCCTCTGCCGCATCTCTTATACGTCCCATGTTCGCGACGGTCGACTTCGCAGTAGATCTCAGGTGAAGATTCAACAGGTTCGCAAATGTTGCTAACATTTGACCTCGATGTGCCTTTTAAAGGCTTCTTCACGGCCTTTGTTGGCACCGTATCTGGGAGCTTCTGTATGGACTGCTTCGCTGTGGATTTCCTCGCTATGGGTTTCTTCGGGGACTTCTTTGCTTTCGTCGGCTTCGTGATCGTCTTTTTTGGTCTCTTCATGGTATCTTGAGGAGATTTCTCCGCAATCGTCCTGGTAGCTCTAGTTCTGGGTGCCATATCGTAATCCAAGGTCTTGTTCTGAGTTTGAGTCGTGATTAGCTATGCGGAACTCGATATGAACTTGTCACTGTGTTGATCAGCGGAGCGAGGAATGTAAGGTGCGGAATGCTGACTTCTCTTCTGGCGTCAAATCGCTGGCTGGTAATCCCAGTGTGAATGTGTTCGGCTTACTGTAAAGTTCGTTAGATACATGAAGTCTCGTAATCCKAGTGCCTTTTGACAATAAATGCATCGCTTGCTTGACATCAATTGCATCTGAGACAAGAATGCAAGAGAGCAGTTAGAAGCCCGTAGAGACTGCGCGTAATTATAGTTCGTATCGTGTAGGCAGGTCATGTACAACTCCCAAACCTCATGCAATCGTAAATTCAGCACTGATTCCCTCGAACGGCGTGATGCCGCCTCCCAGCGATTTCGCATCTCCGTAATATCGTAATCTGTAGCGACCTTGTAGAGAGCTGTCTCTATGCAACAGGTCTCCATGAATCTCTGCGCTGTCGGCGTTCTCCTCTCGCCAAGCTCCTGTCTCCCACTTCGTCTCCCAGCTGATCGTAACTTCACTGGTTCCCAACGTCGTGGACGTACGTTTCCAGTCATAGACAAGACCCCAGTCCTTGTCGTCACGAATTCGCTCCCAAAGTCCCGACTCTTCGTGGAGAGTTTCTACCGCTGCGAAAGTTGCTCCCAAACGGAGGTTGTTGCGTGGATTGGCACCAACGAACTTGGCCGATATGGTGTCGCCTGCAAGGTAAAGTGGGTCTACGTCAGCGATCACATCACCAAAGCTTTTGAAGAAGCCTGCTCGATCAACCACAACAGGCGTGATGAAGGTCAAGCTTTTGTTGACGTAGATTGGTGGACTGGGTCCAAGATCCAGAGGTGGTAGATCCTGTACAGACTTCGCTAGGTATGGCAGCGCACTAAGTGATAAATTGATGTGCGCGTCCAGAGTCCACGGTCCGTAAAGTGTAGATGCACCCTCGTAGCGTTGGATGGAATACTCCTCAGGGGTAGTGATGTAATGGGAATACGTGTTGGCAGGACCTCCAAGCACCACGAAGGGGCTTTGCTCGTCTTTCTCAAGCTCTGAAAACGTATTCTTGGCATAATCTCCGATGGCCTCCCTCCAGCGGCGGCCCGACATGGTAGTGGCCTCGCCAGGAGACACGATGATGAAAAGTTGGCCGACCCTCAGAAGCTGAACATCCACAATGTTGGGGCTCCAATCGTATGGCGTTTTGCTTTCACCGACATCCAGAAGAATGACCTTCTCGCGCTGGCACGCTTTTTGCGTGTCATTTGGAGTRTGTAGACGATAGCCAATAGCAGTCCACAGTGGATTCGCGTGAGGATCGTTGGGTTGGCCTTGCTTGAAGTCAAACGCACCAGGGCCGTCCGACGTGCCAGCAGCAAAGGAGTATCCCATCGCAGCCGGGCAGGTACGCACAGAAGTGCCGTTGCGAAGCTTGAATCGGTAATTGCTCAAATCTGCAAATTGATGCAAGCTCTTCACAATACTTCCTTGCACCGGAATGAAGGCTTCCTGATCATCAAACAATTTTCGAGCACCGCTGAACTGGCGGGTACCGATTTCGAAGCTGGAGGCAGTTCCTGCGTCGTTCCTGCCAAAGTGGGGACCTCGACCATGGCAAGGCTGCGTTTTGTTACCGCACAGGCTTGTCTTGAAATCACACATTTGGCCTTGCTGCTCCCCGAACTCGCAATACGCGCCAAGTACGTTGGGAGACGTGTCTCCAACATTGGACTGACTGAAGCCCGCGACGAATGACGGGTCTTCAACGGACCTCTCGAAAAGCACAGCAGCAACGCCTTTGTTGTCGCCGGTGACAAGAGTATTGTTGCCCAACATGCTCGTACCATGTACCGCAAACCACGTAAAGACCCCAATGTCACGGTCTCCAGACTCTGTTGAGTGGGATAGGCGTAACATGCTAAGAGTCTTGTCAACGTCATCCTTGTAGCGCGATCTTTCTTCGATGGGGTTCGCAAGATAGGCATATGGACTTCTGTTGATGTTGGCATCATAAACTTCGGTGGTGCCGATTCGGAGGTGACCCGGAGCGAGCCCTTCATGAGCCTGCTTGATAGAGGCAACTGCTCCGTCAACAATGGCCTGATATGAAGGCTTATTGAAGCCCTTGCTCGTGATTTGCGGTAGCAAGTAGTTGAGCCATGCTCCAGGACCACTGTGCGAGTGGGTACCAGTGACAGCAACATTGTGTTGGCCATATAAAGCAAAGTCGCCCCYGAGATCCTTCAACGCCTGAAGGATGCCATGTCGAATTGCAGTATCGCCAGATTGGGTATCAAGAACTAGGTAGACGAAACGATCTGCTGGTGTTGCGACATCTCCAACGATGAAAGCTCGCGAATATAGGCGCTGTCTAAGCCCACTACCAACTTGTGCCGGGTCGGCGTAGCCCATGAAGTTCTAAAAGCGAAGGATAGAACGGTCAGCAATGTTTTAACATTCCCGATATGGCCCATAGCCTGAGTAGCTTGAGAGACGTCGTCGCACTACCCTGCATGCCTCCTCCTCTTTGATTTACTTACAATCTCCACGACGGGGCCAGTGATATCAGCTTTGCCAACTCCAACGAGATAACTGTCGCCATCGATTTTGGGTGAGTACTTGTCTGGCAGTGAATTATGATTAGGATCTGTGGATGAGATGTCGAAAGCAGGATAGCCCAGCCTGTKGGAGGTATTCAAGAATGCCAATGTCAGGAAAGCAACTGCTGCCAGCACAATGACTACCAAAGGTGAGCGCGACATGGCTCTTCGATTGAGTCCGGAGTCGACTATAGCATTCTGTGGTACACTGCCGTAGTCGCCACGCGATCCCACTTCAATTATGGAGGGATCTTCCGGAAGGTGGTAGTTATGCTGGTGATGATGATGGTGATGGTGACCAGAGTCTATGGGAGCCGCCGGCGGCTCTGCGTGAATTGGTCCTGAGTGATGATCGCTCATTGATGACCAGATGACGACGCACAGTGTAAGGTCATGAGATGAGGTGAGGTTGAAGGCGTTAAGGCAGCAAGTGCTACCTGGTACTCTGTGAACCGTACCTGCCCTCGCGTAGAACTAAGGTTACTTAGCGCCGGCCAATGCCGTCGTCTTTTCAGATGAAAGTCGAAGCTGGAGCTCTCGACATCCACCCACCAACACACGCAAGCATGCCTCTCATTCAAAGCACAACAGACGCGCTGCCGTATATTGACGCGCAGCCCTCTAAGGAAGCTCTGTCTGCTGCTAATGCGTTGATACAAGCCGAACTGGACGCCGAACATGCAAACACAATGCACCCTTCAATTCCTGCGCAGCGGGAATCTCATTACTCAGAACTCGTCGAGGCAGAACATGCGCGAATCGCATCTGGCAAGCCCAAAGCTGGTGGACTGGATCTCAGCCGATATGAGCTCCTGGACGCGCCTCCCAAAGGAGATTTGCCCGCATGGAAGGCCGCATTGCAACAAGCGTATACGAGTGCCGAGTATCTTCGCGGTCGCGAGATCAACCTAGGCTTATTGGAGACATACGGAAAGAACGCCTGGCTGATTGGCAATAGTCGGCTGGAAGATGAGCTGCGGGCGGTGGAGAGGGAGCTGGAGGTTGCCAAGCTGGAGCTCGAGCAGGTGGAGCAGGCCCGACGCGCAACTCAAGGAAACGTTGCCGGAGAGATGCAAGGGCTGGAAGAGGGATGGAAGACAGGTGTTGGTAGGATGATCGAGACTCAAGCTGCTGCTGAGAGACTGCGGCAAGAGATCCTCGAAAGGAAGAGGCAGGGTGCCTCGTGAGCAGAGAAAAGCCCGGCGATTTTGCAGTACGACTCGCCGCGCGACTCGACCAAAAGCCCAGCGTGCAATCTCATCTCTACGATTCGCCTCAATTCGGCCCCTTCTGCGGCTGATCGCAGGAACTTCCGACTGGAGAGCGTCGCCGGCTAAGATGCCACGTTTCCTTCGACGGAGAGTGAGGGTGAATCGGGTGCCAGGACACCAGTCCTACCCGTATCTATCTATTGAGAATGCGCATACCGTACTCAGGATTGAAACGGCACCTTGACCCATCGTTCTGCCGAGCACCTGCAACCAGTCTCGAGTCGGAGGCCTTTCCACGATCAAGCCCGAGATGGTGTGTTGTGGCAAATCCTGCGAGGGTGAAGTCACATTCAAATCGTTCTGGTAGGCGGTAGCAATGCGCTCTGGCCGACAAGATATGACATCACTCCAACTGAATGCTGGAGTGAGCAGACGTGAAGTGAGGTCACTTCGACATTGTGGAGACTTCGTTTGGCAGATGCAAGATCTACTCAGACACTTCCTGGTCACAACCGCGCATGGGCGACTGATGCTACAGTCTGCGTACCCTAAACTATACCGAGATAAAACAGATTCTGCGCTGATATGGCCACGCAATGGCCTCTTCTCAAGATGTTCCCGTCATTGCATTCGAAATTGTCCGCAGCAGCGCAAGGCTGCCGCTATGTGAAGCTCACTTCACTCGCGCTGTTGCCTGAACCTCACTTCACTCGCCGTCACATGAGCACATGCGTTTCAGTAGCTCTTCTTAATCTCTTTCCGCTCTGTCTTTTCCAGTGTCAGCTTCACTTTAACCTTCTCGATCACAACCAACACATGCATGCACACATCCTCCACGAAGAAGAACAATGACTAACACGTGGTAAATAGTCAATATCCGCGCTTCTCGACCAGCCTTCGTCATTCTCGACACATACAGCGCTCCCCACTGGTGGGCCTGTCATCGTCAATCTCGAATGATGTATCCTTCATCAGCCAACGAGCGGCCTTCAAGAAAAGTCCAGCCGTGGCACGCATCCCTTAGCGGCATTGTCGTCGGTCTTCAAGAGAATCTGCCACTGTCCACCGAGGAAGTGAAGCAGAAGGTTCGCTCATGGAACAAGTCACTTGGCAGGTACTGCTCCCAGGCGCTCAAGAAACGCGACGCCCGCTCAGAGCATGATGATGGTCACACACGCACAACTGCAACCCAGAGTGTACTCCTGTCTCTCGATCTTCACATCCTCGATCCTGTCAAGAAACTCGGGCGTTCGGCATCAAATGTGAGTTCGCGACGCAAGTCCGCTCGTTCAGACTCCATCAACAGACGCATCGTGCCGGATCGCCCAGCTAGGCATTCCGCGCCTCCAGCTGGTCGCCTGAACAGTATCCAGAGATTGTACTCCTTCCCCGAAATGATGCACCCTGATCAATACCTCGACTCCGACTCTCGAGGCCCACTCCTCAGTTCAATCGCGGAGAGCAGCGAGCACCAGCAATTACGCGATGACGTTTCCAGAGGGGACGAGATCTTCGCCATCCACGAGGCACGAGCATGTCAACCGCAAGCTCCGCCCACACCTGTTGAGAGATTGTCGTTCAATTTCTCCGAGACATACCTCCAGCAGCGTGGAGCTTCCCTCGGATTCGAGAGACCAAGTCTAGGCTTCAGGAGGATTTCGAGCCAGCAGGATCACAGATGGACGTTGTCAGACAATCAGTTGGAGGAGCAAGCCGCCGGTTTGAAAGATATGAGCGATCTCAGAACCTTCATCAACGACACTCGAGCTAAGGAGAATGCTGAACCGCTGAAATTCCATCAAAATCTGTGCGCAGAGGCTAAAATTGTTGCCACAACGTACGAGAACTCGCCAGGCGAACAAAGCTGGACTACCAAGATTCAATCGCAGGCGGGTTCGAGTACGCTGGAGCTCATTKGACCGCCGCGTGTTGGAGCAGGACCCACTGCCAAGTTGTGRAATGATGGCAAATACAGCCCGGGCACCCAGCGCAAGCATGCGAGTCTCCCTGCTGACGTCCACGGAACATGCGAGTGCCGTAACTTCACGGTGTGGGAGGCCATCACGGATGTCAGATGGCGGGCCCTTGGTGTGAGTAAGACAAAGGACGGAAGAATGGTCGCCGTGCTCTCGCAGTAGAGACGATGATCAAAGATGAACTCACTGGAAAAATCATTACACTCGAAAGAGATTGGAGCTGGAAGTCTTTTCAATCGCCGGCTATTCTCATCAGCTGCTTATCCATCGACACTCTCCAGTGTGGACCAAATTGCTTCATGGCCCAAATGGTCAAGCAACCCGTCACAAGAGTGATGACACCGAGTCCAGTGAAGAGCCAGCCATTTCCAATGGCAACGATCAAGGGTTCGCTCACAATGGTCCCAACACACGAGAAGATGTTTCTCACAAAGTTATTGAGAGCAATACCATGGCTGCTCTTCCTCGGCATGAACTCCGTGAGCATCGTGGTGACAAGAGAAAAGATCAGCATGCTCCCTACGCCAAAAAAGAAGTTGGCGATCATGGGTGCTGCCACGTTCACGTGGTAGCGAGCGAGCCAGCCGTATGCGATCAGTGCGCATGGGAACATTATAGCACCTAGCCAAGCGTCTGAATGGAAAATTGTTTTAGCATAATTCCCGTCGTGATTGTCATTGCACTCACTCTCCTTCATCCTGTCCTCGGGGATGAACTTGAGGCGACCGTTCTCGTCATATCTCCCGGCTTTCTTAGCTTCCCTGTGCATGATGCGATCTACTGCCCTCCCGCCGAAAATGCTGGAGATGAAGTAACCAGCACTATTGGGGATGTATAACACCCCAACGATGATGCTCGAGTAGTTGTAAGGAGCCCCTGAGAATGTCTGCTGGACAGAGATGTTAAGTACATACAGGGATGCAAAAGTGATGGCAGCGTACGCGATCAGTACAGCGACCGCTGGAATTTGGAGGTACAGAATGATGCGAAGAGGGTCCACGAAGGCACGGMGTGCCATCACGCTGTATTTCTTTGCTTTCACTTTCACGGATTGCCCCGTTGTCGTTCGCTCAAGTCCAGGTCTTGCCTCGACCTTCTCGGCCGCTTCGTCTTCGGCCTCGGATGCTAGAGACTTTCTCTGCCTGAGTGTCTCTGGGAGGAGTAGCACAATAGCAACGAACAAGATCACGGCGAATATTGAAATGAACCACTGCGTGGATCGCCAGCCTAGCCCCTGGGTAAGGGCACCGCCGATTATGGGTGATAGAAGCGGTCCACAAAGAGGTCCTAGATAGAAGATGCCCATGGCTTTGCCGCGCATTCTAGTCTCCCAGCAATCCGCGATGGTTCCTGCACCGACGGCTTGCACACTTGCTGCTGCACCACCAGAAAGTCTAGAAACACGCGAACGAAGTCAGCTGAGCTCGAATCGGTGTGCATTTATATGCAGATAGTGGGAACTGCATGCGGGACAGCGTGGTTGGGGAACCCTGCTATATGTATCCATCAACTTACACTCTCATTACTATGAACATTCCAATGTTGACAGATACAGCGGAAAGAACATTGAATACCAGGAAGAGAAAGAACGATACCACATAGATCGTCCGTCTCCCTAGAGTCTCGGAAAAGCTAGACCACCAAAGCGGAAAGATGGACATGGAGAGCATGTACATTGCAACGGAAAGATTGACCACGGTAGGAGTACTGTTGAACTCCCGGGTGATATCGACGAGTGCTGGTAGGAYAATGGCCGAGCCCATGGGCGCAGCAGCGCCAGCTACAGCGACAATGGCGGTGATCAGCCACTTCATTTTGCGGCTATAGTCCCAAGCRTTCGTAACTTCGTCGATGAAACATAACCTTGCGAAGAGACCACGGCGCTCTGCTCGAGAGACTGTGACGGCAGGTGGTCTGACTGATCGCACTGAAGATTGTGCACGACTTCGAATTCTATGAGGCGGCAGTTGGTGGTCATGAACATCGTTCTCTGTTCGCTGAGACTCTTCTGAATTACGCGTGGACATATTGGCGTTTCTTGAGAGTCCGACGTTTTGCTCTTCGTCTTCCGAGGAAGAATGGGTTTCGGTCTTCATCATCTCTGTCCCGGGAGGATCTCGTTGCATATCGTCGTCTCCGTCTTCTTCTTTGGCCATGTTCTGTTGGTCCAATCAGGATTGCAGCTGTAGTTTTCTAATGCATCGAGATTGGCTGTCTCTTCGTCGAAAGAAGGCCCACAACGACTGGCAAGGAACCGTAAAGGTAGTTTCTGAAAAGGAACGTAAAGCGAAGAATCTAAAGATGAACAAGTTGAAAGAAGAGATAGGCCAGGCCAGAAATCCTACCTTCGCCGGATACTACATAGCTGYTGGGTGTACGGCTACCTTACGGTTAGAACGGCAGCATACCCACGCGTGTCAAAATACACCTTGCATGAGCGCCACGCATCGACCGCAGAAGGCACTAGGACATGTCACAGATGTCACTCCCGAGGAACGACAATTGAGGTGACATTCGACGTGCAGTCAGCCCGCCGATATCGGTCGTAGTAGACTAGCCACATCAAGCACACTGTGTGGAGTACCCGCGGGGAGTAGTAGTGCYCATCGACATCGACACCAAGGCACGATTTAAAGCTGCATCCCTTACTCGAGATCGATGCTTCGAAGTTCCATCGGTGGCGTATCTCGGACACTCTGCAGGCAAGTGCGCAGCGGTGAAATATCAATCACAAACGCAGCTGCCGGGCTATCGTCAACATCGATCCGGGGTTTTCAACGTCATCATCCTGGCKACAACGAACTCAACATCGACATCATGTCTTCCGACCAAAAGACAGACATTGGAGTGCTGCGCCAACAGTTTCTCAATCAGCCCCCAGAGACACATACCAAACATTGGGAGGATCTTTGGCAGAAACAAACAACTCCATGGGACCGCAATGGCCCCAGTCTTGCTCTGAAAGACACAGTGACAGGCAGGCAAGATCTGTTCGGCTCGGCTCTTAAAGATGTTGCCAGTAATCAGCGGAAGAGAGCACTGGTACCAGGTTGTAAGTATTGTTCGAACAGTGAAGCATTCGCTTTCTAACTATGTCAGGTGGCAGAGGGTATGATGTGCTACTTCTGGCATCGCTAGGCTACGACTGTTATGGACTGGATGCCTCCCAGACCGCAATAGATGCCGCACTCAAACACCAAGCAGAATCTAGCAAAGACGAACAGTATGTCCCTCATGACTCGAAAGTTGGTGCCGGAGAAACGAAGTTCCTAGTGCACAATTTCTTCAAGGATGACTTCCTCGCGGACACAAACGGTGGAAATTTTGACCTCATTTTCGACTACACATTCTTGTGTGCTCTACCTCCAGAGATGAGACCCTCGTGGGCAAAGCGGATGAGTGAACTGCTCTCTCCTACTGGGTACTTGATCTGTCTTGAATGGCCGCTGCACAAAGCTCCGACGGAAGGTGGTCCACCGCACGGCTTGTCCTCTGAGCTTTACGTTCAGCTGTTTCACAATCCCGGCCAGGATGTAAAGTACAATTCGAATGGCTTTGTGACTCAAGATCTGAGCGCCGAGAAAGGAGAGCTCGCGCTTGTTCGGGTTGCTCACGATATGCCATCAAGGACACACGAAGCTGGCCAGGGGAAGGACTATGTGGGAATATGGCGGCATGCCAAGCTTTGATGGAAGGCTACAATCGTCGTGAAAAGGTTCGCCTTTCAAGACCATGAGCAGTAGGTTCAGTGGTATGCATACAAGCTGGCCATCATGTCGTCAAAACGGTCGTGCTTACGGTACTGTTCACCGTTTAAGCAGTACACCAATGAGCGTTTCAGTAGCCTCCAATATCCTCAACATCAAAGACTCCATCGCTATGCAGAACGCTCCCGATTTCGTCAAACGTCGTCTGTCTCAAAGATCGATGCTCACATCTCTGCCTTTTCGATGTCCTTCTCCTCGTGAACCGCCGCACCTGTGCTCATCGCTCCACCGACCTCCGCCTCCGCTCCAGCTCGCTTCACAATCTTATCCTGGGCTCTTTGTTGCTTCGCTTCTCTGCGCATCTGGTCGTCCCGCATCGTTCTGATGAGCGTCGAACGCTCTCTGWTCTTGTGGCCATATTTGTAAAATATGAAAGGAATAGGTATGCAGATGGCTTCAATCAGGCCTAGCAGTGTGCCCGCCCAGTTCGCGCCTAATGTAGCGTAGAGTGCTGGTCCAGCCTGATAGCGATCGCATGGTCAGTAGATCTCTGGGACACTTGCACAGACCGATCATGATACGTACGAGCGGTAGAGTCGCGCCAAGAATGGATCGCAGAACAGCATTACCAGCGAGTGCTGAGGCAGCGTATATCCCGTACGACTGAACGAGGTAATTGGAAGCGTAAATGAATACGCCTGCGTTGCCTGCGCCAAAGGGAATTCCAGCAAGAATTGGCCTGAAAAACTGTCAGCAACATACCGATATCATCCTTGGTTGCATGACCCTCGTCTTGCTTACCATATCCAGTGAACTTCCGGTGTACATGTCCAGGCGAACCAAATCTCTCCAGTAGGAATGAGGATTGCCGCAATACAGACCACGGAAACCATTGCTTCGGGATAAGGCCTGCCAGTCTCAGGATCATGCTTGTGTGCGTTGATCATCCGGCGAATAAGTGGTTCTGCCAGGATGACAATCATGCTACCGACTCCTATGCCTACGAAGGCCAAACCCGTGAAACCAGGAGACCAGCCGCGAAGTTCAGAGAAAACGATTGGATATGCCACGAAGCACAACTGTGCGAGTAGTCAGCGGTGTTGAGAGGGCGGGATCGTACAACTCACATAGAGAACGCCGTAAACCAGCGCTATGTAAATATCCCAGAAGAGGCTACAAGGAATGTTAGCTCCAAGCACCTGCTATCATCTCGCCCAGACCTACCAAATCGGCTCTGTCACGGTCAGAATGAATGGCCGCGACAGGTTCACTTTCAATAGTGGCCAGAATTCCTGAGTGTCATCATACCGGCTCCACCATTTCTCGTCACCAGTTTCTTTTCGAACCTTCTTGGCCCTCTTGCGTAGAATGGCTGGTGCATATGTTTCTGGGACCAGTGCTATAAGCACCCACGCGACAGCGGAAACGATAACCACCACCCAGTTGGTCCATCTCCAACCAAGATATTCAAACACGAATCCTCCCACGACAGGTCCAATCACCTACAGAGTGGAACAAGAAGCGTTAGCAATGTCTGGGATATTGTCCGATGTGGACGGAGACGTGTCGTAGCTCGGAGGAAACCTGCAAACTACCCTGTACGCCTTCTGCCATTGAGGTCTTACCGGTCCATTCATAGGTCCTATCGACCATACGGAAAAGGCGAGAGCCCTGTTGTCTTCTTGAACAATGTCATTGATGGTTCCGGGAGCGTTGGAGATCATTGCCGCGGCACAGAAGGCGCCCAAAAAGCGAACGACCAGGATGGTTGCCATGTTTTTCGCAACGGCGCATGGGATAACAAACACCACAAAGAGAAACATGACAATCAGGTAGATAGGCCGCCGCCCATACCTGGAGATGTTCGTAAGTCTGATAGGCTCCGATCCGACGGCACAGTGTACTCACATCTCAGAGAGCGGTGCCAGGACAACTGCACCTGTTGCCATGCCCAGCAGGTATGTGGTTACACCTAAGATCCCTGTGTTCTTGGAGACGTTGAATTCCTGCTCCAGTCAGCCAAACATCTTCATTCTCGATCGACATCGTCTACCAACCTCGAGCATGCCCGGAATGGCTGATGTGTAGCTTGTAGAGTAGAGCACAACGCAGGTTGTCGCATAGCTGAAGATTGCGATGACGCATCCTCTATACCATAGACTCCAATTCTGCGGGTTGATTCGATCTCCTTCCTCAAAATCGACTTCGCACGCCAAATCTTGGGTTCCCGTGGTTCCTGTGGTGACGCTTCTTTCCATTGGAGGGATGAATGCAGTTACGCCACCAATGGCGTTGGCAGACGTTCGTGATAGCTGGTGTGAAAGTGTATTATCGGAACCTTCTCGATGATATCTCGAGTGCCTCGTCGCCACCGAAATAACGCTCTCCGAATCCGACAACGTGGTAGACGGACTCAGAGGATTCTCGACTGTCATTACAGAAGCCCGTCTGTCTATGACTTCGGCCACCTCCTTCTCGGCTGGGCGTTTGGGGTCCATCTTGGCCCTTAAATGATGGATTGGACACTATTTGTGCAAACCTCAAGAAGACCTCTGCGTTGGCAGATCGTGCAGGCGATTACTCCAGCTTGTAGCATCGACGATGTGCTAGCATACAAGAATAATGGCTGAGCAAACAAACAAGAAATGGTCTGCTGGGCGGGTGGACCTGTGAGGGGAGGAGTAAGAACAGTTAATGAAGAGTACCTACGAAGAGTCATAAGGTGTGATGAAAGACTGGAAAATCATTCAGCCCGGGTAGGAAGGGACAACCTGCCCTTCCAGATTTTGCGCGGTGTGAAGTGGGTCGAGATCTGCCTGCTGCTCGGCTGGCGAGCGCGGATATCATGCAGCATGCAGTTCGAAGTCCGCTCTAAAGTCCGGGCAGGGATGCTTTGCTTGAAGTACGATTCATACGGTATGGGCAACGTGATGCCGAACCCCACGGTGTTCGCATGCTTTGTGGAGAGGCGTTTGGCGTGAACTCTCACTCGCGTGGTGACTGACCCACCATCAGATCAGATCAAGATCAGGCAGGTGTCACCTCAACCTTCCTTGACCGACGGCACGAATGCTTCCTCTTCCTCGTCGCAACTGTTTCTCCAATCATCATTCCACAAGTGTGGCGTCAAGCCGCATCTGGTGCCGCTTTTTCCGCTGGTGAAATGCTTGTTTATGCGCCACCTCTTTTATCAGTATGAAGGAATTCGGGACGCCCAAGGCTAACAAACAGGCTAAAGACTGCCGACAACTCGCCTCTGCTCGCAATTCTGCATCGATTGTCGGTGTGGATCCATTGGCCTTCTTGGGAACATAAAGTCACGTCTCGTCGTTCCTTCCAACGCGGTCATCCCGCATGGACAACGTTGCGACTTGCGACTTCGATACATTGAAAATGCCAGTCTCCCGAGCCAGTCAACCAGTGGTGAGCAGACGCCGATATCGGCCTTCTTCCTGGCGGCCCGCGCGTGGTCGGTCTTCCTTACCTTAGGTACCGTCGGTCATGGTCCTAAGGTAGCGACGTTTGCAAGGCAATGGGAGCACAGGCTATGCAGCAATTAATTACCTCTGCCCCAACGCGAGAAGTCGCCCAACCGTCAATTTGATGTCAAGATGGAAACAACAGACAAAAGTCCAGCTGACGACGAGCAGCTTCCGCCAGTGCATTGGTCTCGCATTACCCGTGCTAAAGCGTGTTTCGGTTCGACCACTCTGCTCTGCATTTACGAATTAATGGCCTTAGCGACGACCTATCCTGGACCAAGAAGCCGTGTGCATCAAACTTTTACATCAGAGCGAAATGCGGAGAAGACCGGAGCCAAGCTTCGCGGGTAATCCGCTGAAGAACGTCCTAGAGAAAAGGATAGCCTACCGCCGCCGCTCCGGCTGTTGTTCAAGATCGGAACAGGGCAGATGCTTTCCAGACTCCAGCAGTTGCCGCCTCACGCATGATGCTCGATTCCTCTGAGAGATAGAAACCACTTCACCTTGCTGGCCATCGACGGACGACTGACTATCACAAGCAAACCTTTTACCTTACCTCGGACAGCGGAATCGTCCGCTACTAACTCGAAACATACTAGCAGCATTCCTGGAAGCTCTCCATCCATCCGAGGCTTCTAGGAACTCTCAGCATGTGCTTCCTCGGCCGAAGAATCGCTTCGYACGCAAGGGCAGGCTGGTAACAGGTGAGTCAAGCCAGTGGCCAGGCAGATTTGGCGTGTGAAGAGATCGGACGAGATCGGACAGACGCACAGCCTAGGCTATGACTGCACAACAGCGTTCATGGAGCTCTGTCCTACGAGGTATATGTAGCTTTCACCCAAGCCAAGTGACGTGATCTTCAATCCGATCATCCCCCTCTCCAAACACTAACCATTTCTTTCCTCTTCCTCCTTCCAACATCATACATCCCTCTTTGCCTCTTCATTAAAGAGCCTAGAGCCCAATCATCACGCTGGCGGACCGTTTGAAGCAGATAGTCTCCTCCATATCCTCCTCTCTCACCCCTCCAAACATCATGTCGAGCACCGATGCGGAACAGCAAAAGTTCTTGGACGAGGTGAAAGAGCTGAAGACTTGGTGGGAAGACCCAAGATGGCGTTACACTCGCCGGCCGTATACCGCCGAGTCCATTGTCTCGAAGCGTGGTACCATCAAGATTGAGTACCCCAGCAATACCCAGTCGAAGAAGCTTTGGAACTTGGTAGAGGGTAGATTCAAGGTCAGTTTCGAATTTTGCGAATGCGAGATGTGGCAGTCACTAACTGTTGCTGCAGAGTGGAGAGGCGAGCGCCACCTACGGTTGTTTGGACCCGGTAATGGTTACCCAAATGGCAAAGTACCTCGACACTGTCTACGTTTCCGGATGGCAATCCTCCAGCACTGCATCCAGCTCTGACGAACCGGGTCCGGATCTTGCTGATTACCCTTACACAACTGTGCCAAACAAGGTGAACCACCTCTTCATGGCACAGCTGTTCCACGACCGCAAGCAGCGCGAGGAGCGTCTGTCCCTCCCAGCAAGCCAGCGATCAAAGGCCGCCAACACTGACTTCCTCCGCCCTATCATTGCCGATGCCGACACTGGTCACGGTGGTCTCACTGCTGTGATGAAGCTCACCAAGCTCTTCGTTGAGAAGGGTGCGGCTGGTATTCACATTGAGGATCAGATGCCCGGTACCAAGAAGTGCGGGCACATGGCCGGTAAGGTCCTGGTGCCCGTCAACGAGCACATCAACCGTCTGGTTGCTATTCGTGCTCAGGCCGATATCATGGGAGTGGATCTTCTGGCTGTCGCTAGGACCGACTCCGAAGCCGCCACCCTCATCACTAGCACCATTGACCCTCGCGACCACCCTTATATTCTTGGTTCGACCAATGCAGCTCTCCAGCCGTTGAGCGATCTCATGCTTGCTGCTGAGCAGGCTGGCAAGTACGGATCAGAGTTGCAGGCTGTTGAGGATGCATGGAACGCACAAGCCCACTGCAAGCTTTTCCACGAGGCTGTAGCAGACACCATCAACGCCGGTGTGCACGTCGACAAGCAGGGCCTGATCAACGAATTCATGAAGCAGTCCCAGGGCAAGAGCAATTCCGAGGCTCGTGCTATCGCCAAGGGTCTGACTGGTGTTGACGTTCACTTTGACTGGAACTCCCCAAGAACCCGCGAAGGTTACTACCGCTACCAGGGTGGTACTCCTTGCGCTGTGATGCGTGCCAACGCTTACGCTCCATACGCCGACATGATCTGGATGGAGAGCAAGCTTCCCGATTACGCTCAGGCCAAGGAGTTTGCCGATGGCGTGCACGCCGTGTGGCCAGAACAGAAGTGAGTTTTCACCAAAGTTCCATGAATATTGAAGAATCAGCAACTGATGACTTTTGATCACAGGCTTGCTTACAACCTCTCCCCATCCTTCAACTGGAAGGCTGCTATGGAGGCCAAGGACCAAGAGACCTACATCCAGCGCCTCGCAAAGCTCGGATACTGCTGGCAATTCATCACTCTTGCAGGTCTGCACAGCACGGCACTCATCTCCGATCGCTTCGCGAAGCAATTCGCTCAGTCCGGCATGCGTGCCTACGGTGCCATCATTCAGGAGCCAGAGATTGAGGAGGGCTGCGAGGTAGTCACCCATCAGAAGTGGAGTGGAGCCAACTACGTTGATGGTCTGTTGCAGATGGTGCAGGGAGGAATCTCCAGCACCAGTGCCATGGGCAAGGGTGTTACTGAGGATCAGTTCAAATGAGCGCAGTGTACAGCATGCCATGAGAAAGAGAATGTAGTGTAACAGAACCGGTTGTAAATGAGAGATGTTGGAAGCCCCCTCTCCCATGATACGATCYTTGCACTGCATTTTGAGGCGCTACTCGAGATAGATCTTTTGATGTCCATGGTCTCATGTCGACTCATCTCTCTCCCCTTTTGCCTGCTGCGCTTTTCTTCCGCTTCCTTTGTTTGCTCTCATTTTCGCCTGTTGCAGCTTCACTCTCTGCTTCGCAAACACCTCACTCTTCTGCTCCCTCCCACACTTCAACCTCTCCAGAAAGAAGGAAGGACTCGTCATGCAGTCAAGTTCGCAAAAACTTACCAGAATAGAAATCCTCATCTCCATCTCCTGCAAACCCTCACCCAGCCCCTTCACCCGCGGAAGAAGCGCCACCCTTCCGCAKCTTCTGCTGCGTCTTCCTCTCCTTTCTCTCCTTCCTCTCCTGAATTTCCTTCTCGAGTCGAGCTTCCTCTTCCTTGGCCGCTTCCTTCTCCTCCAGACACATCTCACAGTCCTTCCAGAGCATCATGGTGCGGTTGCAAAACTTACAGGCTGGGATGCTCATGTCCATGGCTCTGTCACAGGGAAAGAAATCCAAAGGTCAACACACACACACACACACACACACAGGAAAAGAAAAAGTGGTTTCGATTTCTGGCAGGGCAAGGCAAAGACAGTACTTACAGTCTCACGCTGCAGTGATGGCAAGTTTTCATGTGTTGGCCCCCGATGCAGTAATGCGTGATGGGAGCCGTGGTGGGCGTTGTGGTGTTCATTTTCGCTGCGTTGCTTGCGGTTTGTTGTTGGTGAAAGATGGATGGTGGAAGATGGAGGAAGAAAGTAAGTGATGGCGAGACTATGCGATTTCATTCACTGGACGCGTCGCGGCATCTGAGTCGACGACTGGATGAATTGAAAAGGACATACCTCACCTTTCTCTTATCGAAGACCGGGAAGAAGACTCTCTCCCTCTCTCTTCTTGCCTCATTCATACATACTCCTTGGTGTCGGCCTGGCGTTCTCTTGCCCAGTGCTAGAAATCTCATCGCTGTCAATAACAGGCCACGGCACGACAGCGACTCCGTATAATGGAGGAGTGGTCTTCTCGGAGCAGATGGTGGTTTTCAGAACATCAGCGGTTCACTTCCTTTCTCAAGCTTAGGGTTAGGGTTGGGGTAGCACATATCGCTCTCTGCGACGGCTCAGCCTCAGTCAAGGGCCGGCTGGACTGAAGGCTGCCGGCCCTTCATGTGGTGAATCGAAAATAACGCTCGTGAAAAGGTAAGTAGCTACATGCACAAAAATGTGTAGTGTTGCAGAGAGTCAAATGTCTGATTTACCAACGTGTGCATGAGGCTGCTTTCGTTGCTGCAGCAAATAAATCACTAGAAGGAGCGTCCGTCTTCAAATCCGCTACGCAATGGATTACGACATGTCCCTTCAGTGTAACGGCATGGTGGATTGCCGCACATTGTCCGTAAGATATCGGGGAAGGGCCTGGTGGAAATAGTCATTCATGTACACGTTAGTGTTGTCTTCACTGTTGCTGCTCTCAGTCAGTCAAGTGACAAAGACGGGTCCAGGAGTCGACTTTTGATGCAAAAGTCAAATTGGGGTCTGCTATGCACTGAATCCACCTACAGCCCAGTCCACAAGCCTTCCCTGGCACCCAATACCAGAAACTAGACCGAAATACGCCGTGTGTATCATTGCCGCCCTATGCTGTGCCCCGAGAAGCAAAACCGCCTACCCACTCATTCGAATCGTGAAACCATCTCAACGTTAAACCCATTGCCCGTTCCTGCTGATCATCCCATTCCAATTCTGCGAGCCGAGATCTAGCCCAACCACTGAATCAACGACTCTGCCATTGGACTGCTCAAGAAAGCAACGGTGCCGACGGCGCCAACAGCAGCGAATGCAGCAGCCTGAGTGGCGCTCACAACGGCCTCGCGAATGATGGAACGCTGCTTCTTTGGTGCCAAACGACGGCGGGCTGGTGGTGCTGGTGGAGCTTGCACAGCTTTCTTCGCTGGTGGGCAGAGGACGTCGGCAGCGTCATCCACCTCGTCACGCTTACGCTTGGTGATACCATCCGTGCCGGTCGCGGGAGCAATCTCCTTGCTGAAAGACTCGATGCCAGTAATCTCCTTGTTGATCGTCTCCTCAACAGTCGTCGAGCCCTCGACGATGGTCTTGTCGACAATGGCGTCGATTGACATTGGGAACAGCGCCTGTGAAAGGGTGGGTGGTTGAATCACACCCTGTTCCAACGTCGGCAGCGTTGACTTGGGGAACTTTGCGATGATTGGGTGCTGGACATCCCAGTGACCACTAGGTGGGAATTTAGTCGCCAGAAACGCATCGAGACCAGGATGATCATACGTAAACGAAGTGGTGATACGCCCAGACTGGTGGCTCGGCTCGGAAGTTTGCTTGACAGCAGCCAGAGAGCTGTGCGCAGGATCGTACTGCTTGGACGATGGGATGTCCCAACGAGACTGCTTCATGCCTGGAATGTCAGCCAGAGTAGAGGTGACGTCTGTAGTATCGTCAAAGGTGCCGAGTTCTGGGGACAGCTCGCGGTAAGCAGGCTCCCCAAATCGTGCATCCTCCTCATCGCGCTCATTCTCCACATCGGAAGCTTCGTCAGAGCTGAGATCCGAAGCTGATTGGGACAAGTTGTCATCCTCCTCATCCTCACCGTACTCTACTTCATCGATGTGATCGATATCGGAGTCGTCCTCCGATTCGGCGCCCTGGGAGCCTCCGTCGTCGATGAGATATGTATTGTCAACGTAGCGCGCGTCTTGCACTGAGCCGGCGTCGGAGAAGCTATCAAAGTCCGTCGGCTGGTTGGAGTTGAAAGCAGGGCGGTCATAGGACTCTGAGTCACGGAGAGAGTGGACGATGTCTTCTTCGAATCCATGCGAGTCGTCGTCGACGGCGATGGGAACATTTTGCGTGCCGAGCTTCATCTTGTTCTGTTCCGGGGTGGTCTTCGCGGAAGATGGATGATATTGGCCATCGCTCACGAAAGATGCCGCATGATCGCTGTCAAGATCCGAGCCGTCGGAGAGCGAGGGAGCGCGGAAGCCGCGGATGGTGGTGGTAGGCTCGAAGGTAGCCATGGAAGACATGGAATTCTGGCGCGGAAGGCGTTCAAAAGTGACGGAGACTCCTTCGTGGTTGTCGAAAGGGTTGTCAGTGAGTTGCAGAGAGAATAAGTCAGAGTGACGGGGTGAATGCCTACCGTTACCTCTAGTCACCCGCTCTCCCAGCTTGATCACGTCACCCGTCCTAAGAACGAAGCGGGAGTCGGGCAGGAGCGGCAGGCCGTTGACTTTGGTACCGTGCAGCGATGACAAGTCGGCGATGGTGACCTCTTGGGCGAAAGGCTGCTTCGTCGATGCACGGAGCTCGGCGTGGATGCGGGAAACGACAGGACAGTCGAACAGGGCGTTGTCGTTCTGGGCCTCGAGCTGCTTTCCTCGGGTGCGCGAGGCACGGCCGATGGTGATGGGCTCACCGTCGGCGTGGATGTTGAATTCGCGTCGGTCGTTGGTCAGGTTGGAGGTCAACGCAATCCTCATGACGGTAGGCTCGACCGCGAAATCAGGCAGCATGTTGAAACCGAAAGGCATCGTGTTGAAGTGTGTGTCGAGGAGTGATTGACCGCGGGGTTTGGATGCCTGTGCTGGTGAGTGTCGTGCACAGTGAGAGTCTCCAACTTCCCCTTCAGATCGACGGTGTGGTGATGTGGCAGTACCGTAGTGTAGGTGTGTGGAGGAGGTATGATAAGCTTGTGGAGGAGGGGTAAGGTTACCACCAGCAGGTGATGCTTCTAGCAGCCGCGTTCTCGATGGGCCTTTACAAGCTCGGTCCTGGTGAATGCAGAGTTAGCATCCAGCTGCAGCTTTCCGTTCGATGCTCTGCGTGCGAGTCGACGCTTAAGGTGCTGTGCGGGTGCTGTGCAGTGCAGCGAGGGAGATGATTGTCGCGCGGCTCGTCCGTGTCATCACATCAACCTGGAGCTGGAGCCTTGATGTCTTATCTCTTATCGATAGAGCTATTCCCGATGAGGCTAATACCGTGGATTTCCGTGTCAAAAGTGCGAAGGTGGGGTCGAGAGGCATCTCWATAAGTGAAATTGAAGGTTGCCGTCCTCACGTTTACCTGCCGCATAGGCTGCACAGCATCTCTTTGCATCGGACATCGTCCTCTCGAGCATTCTAGCTCTGATGCGTTGGCAGCAAATCGAACTTCGCAAGACCGCAGCGGAGGCAGATCTTTTGCCACGAGGAAGAACTTGTGGTGAAAAAAGACGCTGTGATTACAGACTAGAACGACTACAAAATTATTTAGAGAATGTTAAGGTATCCCACAAGACATTTAGCTCTCCGCAAAACTGCTCATTTTGTTGGTCGTAGCTCGCTGTCCGCGAGCGTGGTCGTTGCTCAACTGCGAGGAGAGCTGGCAAGCTTCGATTTCCTCGGCTTTCATATCAATTCAAGCCTTTTTACGAAGAAATTGTGCTCTTGACAACCACGATCTTCCTGGGTCGAAGACTACTTTGGATACATCGATAGCTCGGCATATGAAATTCACTGTTATTGTAGGGGAACTGCAGCGTTGTCGCAGTAGYTTCACTCTCATGACACGTGGACTAACTTTGTGGCCCAAATTCGTGCTGTGGCCCAAGATTTCACACTTGACTTTGACTTTCATGAGTCTTTGCTATATTGTGACACCGCGACGACCCTCACAACCATAAGCATGCCACTCATCCGATAGCATCACGCCCAAAGCCTCAACCATGGAGGCTTCTACCGAACAATTCACGTCCAAGGAACAGGTCGTCGACGCCGTCCCCAAGCGCRTCAAGTCGCTTCAATTCGGCCTGCTCAGTCCGCCAGATATCGTCGCGCAATCCGTGGTGCCCGTGGGCGATCGGAATCTCTACGATTTGGCTGCGCAGGCAGGTGCTGGCCGGACAATCACCAAACATGGTCCGCTCGACCAGCGTTTGGGTACGTCGTCGAAGAATGGACTGTGTGAGACTTGTGGGCAGGGACTGAAGGAATGTAATGGGCACTTTGGACATGTCAAGCTGGCACTGCCGTGCTTTCACTATGGCTATCTCAAGAGGATCATCGAGGCACTCAATTGTGTGTGCAAGGACTGCAGTCGAGTGCTGCTGCCGGAAAAGGACAAGAGGGATTTCTTGAAAAGGTTGCGGAAGCCCGGATTGGATGGACTACGCAAGGACGTCATAACGAAGGCTGTCTCTGCTGAGTGTAGGAAGGTCAAGGTCTGTCCGCATTGTTCTGCTTTCAACGGACCCGTGCGCAAAGTGCCTGGCCATCCGATCAAGATGTGGCACAACAAATACGCCATCTACACAAACTCGAACGCGAAGAGCAAGGTCAAGCCGCCGGACATGCAGCAGTTTGAGAAGACTTTCGAAGAGGCTATCAAGGCGAACCCGGAGGTGGATCGCCACATGAAGCGTGCCTCGGACGATCTCACACCTCTCAGAGCACTCAACATCCTGAAAAAAGTCCCCAATGCCGATGTAGAACTACTGGGGATGAATCCTAACAACGGCGGCCGACCTGAACACATGATCTGGACCAACATTCCTGCTCCACCCGTGGCCATCCGCCCTTCCGTGGCTCAGGAGACGGCCAGTACCGAGGACGACGTTACGAACAAGCTGGGTGATATCATACAGATCAACATGCTAATCACAGCCACACTCCGCGCTGGGCAACCGCTCGCTAAAGTCATGGACATGTGGGAGTTTCTCCAGGTCCAGATCGCCATGTATATCGATGGTCAATTGCCCGGTCTTGCACGAGATGCGTCGTACGGAAAGCCGATGCGTGGATTCTGTCAACGTCTCAAGGGTAAACAGGGTCGCTTCCGTGGGAACTTGTCTGGAAAGCGTGTCGACTTTTCTGGACGAACTGTCATCTCACCGGACCCCAATCTCTCCATTGATGAGGTTGCGGTACCCATGCGCGTGGCCGTCAACATGACCTACCCGGAGAGAGTTACGAAGCACAACTTTGAGAAATTGAAGGCCTGTATCAGAAGAGGGGACAAGGTCCACCCGGGCGCCAACTTCATTGTCAAAGGTCGCGACAACAGGAGGGTTGTCCTGCGAATGGTTGGCATGAAGGGAGACTTGAAGAAGGTGGCAGATCAGCTGGAGCTCGGCGATATTGTTGAGCGACATCTCGAAGACGGAGACATTGTTCTCTTCAACCGGCAACCTTCTCTCCACAAGCTTTCAATTCTATCACACAGAGCGAAGATCCGGCCGTGGCGAACTTTTCGCCTCAATGAGTGTGTTTGCAATCCCTACAACGCCGATTTCGACGGAGACGAGATGAACTTGCACGTCCCACAAACCGAGGAAGCACGAACGGAAGCCACCGAGTTGATGGGCGTCAAGCACAATCTTGCAACTCCTAAGAACGGAACCCCCATTATTGCCGCCATTCAGGATTTCATCACCGGCGCATATCTGATCAGCCGCAAAGATCAGTTCTTCAGCCGTAGAKCATTTACGCAAGTGGTTACATTCATGTATGATGGCATGCAGGTTAAGGATCCGCTCACTGGGGAGAAGCACGACATTGAGATCCCACCGCCTGCAATCTGGAAACCACAGACGTTATGGACCGGTAAGCAGATCTGGAACGTGCTCATGAAGCCACACAAGCACTATCCAGTGAATGTCAATCTGGAAGCGAAGCTGAAGCAGTTTGCGCCGCCGACTCGGAAGGGAGACATTGACGACATGGTTGACTCGGATTCGTACTTGGTAATCAGGAACAGTGAGACCATGTGCGGAGGATTTGATAAAGCTACAGTCGGAGATGGAAAGAAAAACAGTGTCTTTTATGTCATCATGCGAGATTTCGGTGTCGACTACGCCGCTGCTGCCATGACACGTCTTGCGAAGCTCTCCGCTCGATGGCTAGGGGAGCAAGGATTTTCCATCGGCATCAGCGATGTCTACCCGAGTGCCAAGCTCAACGCGAGAAAGAAGGCTCTCGTTGATGCGGCGTACAAGCAGTGTGACGACATTATTGACAAGTTCAAGAAGGGCAAGCTTGAGCGTAGCGCTGGGTGTGACGAAGAACAAACGATGGAGATCCTGATGTCCGGTATTCTCAGTTCGGTCCGACAGCAGTGTGGTGATGCCTGTTTCGCGGAACTCAGCAAATTCAATGCTCCCATGACGATGGCCAAATGTGGATCCAAGGGCTCTAACATCAACGTCTCTCAGATGGTGGCTGCTGTAGGACAGCAAATTATCGGAGGAAAGCGTGTTTTGGAAGGATTTCAGGACCGTACTCTGCCACATTTCGCCAAAGCCAGTCGAGATCCCCTCGCCAAGGGATTTGTGGTGGACAGTTTCTTCAGCGGACTCAGCCCGACGGAATTCATCTTCCACGCCATGTCTGGAAGAGAAGGTTTGGTTGATACCGCTGTCAAGACCGCCGAGACTGGTTACATGTCACGTCGGTTGATGAAAAGTTTGGAGGACCTGAGCGCGCAGTATGATCTGACTGTGCGAAATTCCWCGTCGGGAGTCGTTCAGATGAAGTTTGGTGACGATGGATTGGATCCCGTGGATATGGAGGGCAGTGCCAAGCCTGTCAACTTTGATCGAACGTGGATGCACGCGATTACAAGTACTTGGGACAACAGCGAGCCTGGTCTCCTCCAGGACGAGGTCGAAACAATTGTCAAGGAGAGGCTTGACAAAGAGCGCAACAAGCTTGGCAGAGTCACCGATGATGGCCTACCACTCGCGTACGACGACCAGACACCAAAGTCCACCGACCAGTTGGAGTATAGCAGAACTTTCCTCGACGATGTCACCAACTTCATTTTCGGCAAACACAGGAAGATGACCAGCTCCCAAGCGCGCCTGCCAAATAGCGACGGTGTCTTCAAGCTCTCGAATTCCGCCCTGCAATGCTTTCTCCACCTATGTCTGCTGAAGTTTGAAAAGTCCAAGGTCGAAGCCGGCCACGCGGTTGGAGCGGTTGGAGCCCAGTCCATTGGAGAACCTGGAACCCAGATGACGCTCAAGACTTTCCATTTCGCTGGTGTCGCTGGTATGTCCATCACACAGGGTGTGCCGCGTATCAAGGAAATCATCAACGCAAGCAAAGTGATCAGCACGCCGGTCATCACCTGCGCACTCGATTCACCATATGAAGACATGGCAGGTCGTTTCGCCAAGGCTTTGATTGAGAAGACCTATTTAGGTGACATTGTAGATTACATCGAAGATGTGTGGCACGCCAATGGCTGCTACATTAACATGCGCGTCAATTGGGAGCAGATTGAGAATTTGGGCCTGCGGATCAACATGTGGAACATCGTTGATGCCATCAACCGATCCAAGGGCTACAAGTCTATGGGTGTGAATGCCAGCGCTTCAGAAAGCCACATCCGTGTGCGCCTCTCACTTCCAGATTCTGGAAAGCTTCGCAAAGCAGCTGCGACGAAGCATCTCCGATTCTCCGATCATGATGACTCGGAAGTCTTGTTCATGCAGATCCACACTCTCAAGCGCAAGCTGCCTCAGGTGGTGGTGAAAGGCTACCCAGACGCTGCAAGAGCCATCATGAAGAAGGACGACAAAGCTGATGCTTCTGGCAGAGAACCAATCTCTGTGCTAGTCGAAGGTTACGGCCTCAAGGCGTGCATGACCACCGATGGTGTAGACGGCTACCGCACCAAGAGCAACAACGTCATGGAGATGAAGGAAGTTCTTGGAATTGAAGCCGCGCGTAAGACCATCATTGACGAAATTTCCGCTGTGATGGGAGGTATGGACATTGATCCGCGACATATGCAGCTTTTAGCAGACGTCATGACCTACAAAGGTGAAGTCCTGGGCATCACCCGTTTTGGTCTGGCGAAGATGAGAGATTCAGTCCTCCAGCTTGCCTCCTTCGAAAAGACGCCCGATCATCTGTTTGAAGCTGCGGCCAAGGGGAAGAGAGACGACATTGAAGGTGTTAGCGAGTGTATTATTCTCGGGCAGGTCATGGGTGTCGGCACGGGCGCTATGAAAGTTGTGAGACCGCTCGCCGTGGAAGGCGTCAAGAACAACGTTGGAGACACGACATTCAAGAGCGAGGTCAGAGCTTGTTTGACAGCCAGGAGAGCAAGGATGAAGGAGCGGAGGAAGGGAATGGGGAGCATGGTCAATGGGCATGCTGCTGAGGTTGCTGCTGCTGCTTAGGAGGCAACGGGCATTTTGGAGGCAGCTGATTTTTTCTCGCAATGTATGCATACCTCCGAACCCGAATGCGATGCCATCCCGCTTGTTTGATCGCTGTCATTGAGCAGTGAGAGAGAAAGCTCAGCCAAGCTAGCGTTCCGCACCTTGTAGATCAACATGGACAGATAAATCACCATGACTGTCAACAGTACAATATACAATATACGATACTCATCATCGAGACAACATCAACTAATATGCGTACTATTCCTAATGTGAATCCTCCCCTCACCGTCTCCACGTCTCCTCGCACTCACATTCAGCGTCTCCTTATCAAACCTTCCAGACATATTCTCTCTCGCAGCCGTATAAATCGAAACCTCACAAGTAGCGCCCAGTCTCCTCAACATACTCGCATCATCGGCTTCGGAAGTCCGGATATGTTGCAGAGAATTATCATCAACGGAACTTGAAGCTCGAGTGCAGGTCACGGAGGAGGAGAAGGGGTTTTTGCGGAAGATGGGGCCAATGCAGGGGAGGCAGGCGCAGATGATTCCGACGCAGGGTTCGGCCGAGTACCACATTAGAGCCGGGACGACGTGCCCTGAGATATGGGATTAGTGGAGTGTAGGGGATTAGGCTTTGAAATTCTGTGGGGTGGTCGTACAGGTGAAATCGCTTCGCATGTCGAGAAGGGGCACCATGTCTAGTGCGACGATGCGGCCTCCAGAGGCGACTGCGGTGCTGTGGATTGTGTTAGACGATTCATCGGAAGGGGAAGGGAGTTGGCGGGAAGACGTACGTTATTCCTAGGGCACAAATACTGCTATAAGCGATCTTCTTCCTCCAACTCATGTTCAATCTCCAGATCAATGGCTGAGGTAGGGATATCAACAGTACAGTTGTGATGATGTGACCGATTGCTGACGCGAGATTGAGCTTGCGAAAGTTGAGGCATTTGCCTTGGATGGACGTGTCCCAATATGCTGCTAGGGGCTGGCATTGAAGGACCGTGACCACTTCGATTGTGATGCACCATCCTATGATCTGAATGTAAAGAAGCCTCAGAATCAGCATTGATTTGGAAAGGGATCTTTGATCCAATTGTACTCACGATGGCCGCGACGATGTTTACCCAGCGAGAAGTACGGCTATTCAAGCTGAAGATTCGATGATAGAGGAGTAGAACACTCCCCTTGGCCAGACCCACTCCAAGGATGTACAACATCTGTACGGGTACCACAGTCTTAAGGAACTTCAAGCCGTTGCCGGGGACGTCCGCCTACATTCAAGTTAGACGAAGATTGCCATGTATACATTGGCTCGTGACTGTACCACATGCTTTCCAAGACCAAAGTTCAATGCTGCAGGGTGTCAGAAAACGGAACCTCCAGAGGCGTGATCATCTTCCCACTCACCCACAAGGTTGGTTATATTGCCGCATAGAGATGGTATCTGGAATTTTGTCAGCTACTCGTAACCATAACATAAAACATATTCGAAACAAACCAGAGCCGCCAAAATTACCCAATCATCCCACCATAGCTTTCCCGGTCCAATACGCCTAGCTATGAATCGTAACCCCACAGCAACAGCAGCAGAGACCATCATCACAATTTGTATAGCAAGCACCTCGTCCCCTCGGTCATCCTGGGAAATCGCGCGCGCCTGCACCTCTGACATGGCTGCCATAGCAGCAGCAGCATCATCAGTCAAATGCATAGGAGAGTGCAAGTACATCATCTGCCATCACCCGTAGCCATTAAAAGTCCGCTCGCTCGTGTACAACACAAGTGCTTCATTGCCCAGTAACTGTTGAGAGATAGCGCGACTCACACCGCACAGATGTTTGCAAAGAAATGAAATGAGATGAAGTCACTAGCCGGGGATTTAAAGGCATGGTTTTGCTAGGATCTTGCGATACAGGGGATGTTGATTGCTGGGGTCTTRGGGATGTTCGCCGTCGGGCCCGGCAAATTGTTTCCCGGCGTTCCGTGGGGGAACGACTTTTCGGTATGGAAGGTAACTTAGGTGGTTTGGAAAAGAGAATCTTTTGCGTAGGTATGCTGGATATGGTAGCACGCGAAATGTGGGTCAGAATGTCCTATCGCGGACGACGATCATCACAAAGGGATCCGCAAAAAAGTTCTTGACGACGGCTCGCAAAGCTAAGTAGACACAACCCTGATGAGCATCACAAGTCGTCGGTTAGAGAATCGAATCCGGAGCTCTTTCCGGGGTCTGTAGGAGAGAGGCTGGAGCTATAGAGCTCCAGGAATAGGTAGGCATGGGAGACTTGCAATGACTTAGTCATGTCCATCGTTCCCAGGTCCTTCGTGCACGACAGTGCTTCTGTAGTTCGGCCAAGCTGACAGCCACACACCAGGGATGATGCTGACCGACCGATCGAGCGTCTCAATGGAGTACCATCACTCTATCCCTTCCACGGCCCTTCGTACAGCACGGAGAGAGCTTGCTGACAAGTTGAAAGCTGGATCGATTGTAGCAAGAGGTATGTCAAAGCCAGRCACGTTGCGCAGTCGTACTACTATATAGTGGAAGTCAACACATCAGAAAGAGAATTGCTCGAGGTGGACTTTGATGCTGGGAGCGCTAGGGATCCTGCATCTATCCACCGCTTGGCGAACATGATCCAGGAGAGCACCAGATCCACAACCTGGGAGAAATGTTAGACTTCGATCCACAACTACCATGGCTGTACCGCCGTCACGACCCACCTATTACCAACACTCTGTCACATGTGTCCAATGCGCCGACTGCGTGTCGCATGACGCTGCCAAGATCAGGCCTGCCGGTCGTGAAGCTCCTCTCCAAAGACTCCAACGCAGGCGCGGGTAGCCTCGACGAGGGTTTGTACATCAACTTTTCATGATCATCGCCCGGCCAAGTCGAAAGCTGTATCAAGCCAGAAGAATTATTCCGCTCCTTTGAAAGGTCGACAATCCTCGTTTTCTCAGTTTCGCGATCCGAGCGCAGGCCTTTGCCCGAGACGTACAGACTGATGTTGATTCCCGGACAGGCCCTCAGCTCCGAAAGTTCGATATCCAACCACTCCAGACAGGCTTTGTCCCGTACCATCCAGATGAAGTCCAGGGTGCTCCGCTGTTCTGGCGCACGGTATCTGCGACTCCAGTCCAGCGCCATGGCGACTGTAAAGGTGGCTCCAGTACCTCCGGCAACAAGCACCAGTTTATCATAGACTCGAGTGTCTGGGATAACRCAGTATGGACCTTCGATCGCTCCGCGAAATTTGACTCCCGGATCGCGGCATGCAGCGAGATGCAATGCCTTCGTGAAGCCATCCTGGGCTTGTATCACGAACGTGGCGGGCTGTGTGGATATCAACGTAAAAGGATGTCGCTGAAACTTTCGGACTCCAGGAATCCATCTAGAAGCAAGCGCAGAAGAGTTAGCGATGTTTGCATCGGCTGCAAGGTCACTCACAGAAATACCATTGACCCTAGCTGAGCCGTTATTTGGCGGTGCATAGTGACCCTAACCGCGTTCTCTGCAAGAGGCATCAACGTGCAATGGTTGCCAGCTCCGTGGTAGATGTACCGCGAGAGCCGCACTACATTGTCCACGGACCACATGCTCGCAGATACAACAGTAATAATAAGCGCCTTCTTCGTGATATCAGGACGGTGTAGACCCACTGATATAAAATGTCAGTTGAGATGCATACGAAGGTAAGAAAACCATACCTGCAACCAGCACGACCGCAGCCATAATCACATGGATAGCATAAAACACCTCGTACTGCCTTCTCCTAAAGAATCCTATCGCCGTAGCAAGGATCAGAAGCATACTCAAGCATGCGACCGCCCCAGCGTACTGCTGCGGTTCAGTCAGCACCTGTTCCATCACCCCGAAAGTCGATAGGCCATAGACATATGTCCTATTAACGGGTGAGCATTGTCCGTTGGACACGCAAACTTCGACGTACGTCGAGTGCAGCGTCGCGAATAGAATTGTCAGGAAGCCACAACAGCGATGCATTGCGTTCAGCCGATCGAAGCTTCGTCCAACCAAGAAAGACAGTGGGGTGTTCTTGAGAGCGAGGAACATGGTCAGGCAGAGATTGCAGAGTGATAGCCTGTAGGCGTATGTCAATCTGTGGCACCGAGTGCTGCTCATAAGTCAAACTTACCAACCGAATCGCTTAGCGATGATGGTGAGGCCGACTCTTTCAGGATGGTCGTAGAATGCGAGGGTAGCATTGATGCCGCAGTAGAGAGTCGTGCCAATAGCTCTATCAGGCCGGAACATGACGCCTCCGAATACCATCGCTCTATTGGCCTTTTGGAACGCATCTTGTACTGCCCTCGCGTGTCGGCTCAAGGTGCTCAATTTCGAGATGCGCTTGTCGAAGAGCAGCTGTAGCYAGTGGCATAAAGTGAAGGCAATGACCAGTCCGGCCATAGCTACTCCGAAATATTGAGCGGTAGTTTGATCTTTGACTTGCCATGTCGCGAAGAGTGCTAACCTGGCTTTCTCGTCATGATGCGGTCCCGCGGTCCCGTTAGCTGTACGCTGTAAATCAGGCATTGCCGGCGAAGGATAAGATAAGAACAGATGTTGAGAAATAAGATACGAGGATGATTATAGTCAAGCATGACAATCGGCGAAACTCATACCACGTCCCACGGGTACTACCCATCCCCATCGTATACTTGCGCAGCTCGCGTCTTACATTGTCGGTTTCTGTGGCGAGGAAGCCAGCGTTCTCAGCAGCGTGGTTATACATATGAAGCTATCACATCCAAGTGCCTGGCCCGAGACGAGTTTGCTCACGGTTATTGCGGTTCTGGGAAGCTGGTGTCTCTCAGCGACATGTGGATAGATCTGTCGCGGCACGACCCTTCTAAGGAACGGTGACTTGTGAGTCCCATATACTCAGCTGATGGTTCCGCCCGTCTACAGAAGGAGCGGACGTGTATTCTTCCGACCTCGTTTGGATTGCTACGGTGAAAGGCCGTCCTGAGAGATCCACAACGTGTCGCGTTCCCCATGTGCTCCTCCCGACCCCGAAAGCCGTGAGGGTACCGTCGAACGCCATCAGTTTCATGCATGCGCACAAACTCTTTGTCAGATCATGCCGAAGCCACCGAGAGGTTTCGATCTCGTTTTGAGCTTGCCCTGCTACCGTCCAGAGCAGAGAAACCTTGACCCGCGCGAACATCCAGAGACTCTGCAAGCAGAAAAACCATAGCTCAGTTGGCCTTGTCATCCCCACAAGTCTGGCATCGGCATCGAAGCAGCAGTTCAAGTTCAATGCCTTTCACTTTTGCTTGGCTTTTGCCTCCTCTTCTGCTACGAGTCCCAAGACCTCTTGCACTGTCATCCACGATCGTACACTCTCCATGACTTCTTCTAGACCATCTCCACCTTCTATCACATCGTCCAGATGCCTGGAGTCGATGCCGCTGCGATGGTCGCTCACTCGCTGCTGGCCCCAGTTGTATGTTCGCACCTTGTTCTCCCGACCCACTTTGCCCGCTCCTGCACCTCTCCTCAATTTTACTATTTCTGCCTCGCGCTCTTCTCGTCTGATCTGCGCGATCCTGCTCCGTAGTAGCCGCCATGCTTTCTCTTTGTTTTTGATCTGACTTCGTGTGTCTTGCATCGCGACCACAACCCCCGTAGGTCCATGCGTGAGGCGCACCGCAGATTCAGTCTTGTTCACATGCTGTCCACCAGCACCACCAGCGCGCATGACTTCTGACTTGACCTCCTTCGGATCGACGTAGTAGTCGCTTTTGGGGTCATCGAAGCTGCTCTCGCCCAGATCACCGCCTCCCTCGTCGGGGAAGGCCGGAAGCACTAGTACGCTGGCGGCAGATGTATGGGTCCGGCCTTGTTTCTCAGTTGCTGGCACGCGCTGTACGCGATGTACACCAGCCTCGCACCGTAAGATTCCGTAGGCGCCAGGAGAGTCGACTTCGAGGACAGCTTCCTGAAGGTGCGTACCGCCTGGCGAGCCGGCTCCGGAGGCGCTATAGTCGGCGGTCTCAAATTTGAGCAACGCGGTACGCAGACCATTTCGATCACAATAGTTGGTGTACATGCGCAGCAGATCGCCCGCAAATAGAGCAGCTTCATCGCCTCCCGCTCCCGGCCGTATCTCCAACAGACAGGGAAGGTGGGCGAAAGGATGCACTGGAATCAAGCTCGACTTCAGTGCCTCCGACGCCTGCTGCAACTGTTCTTGCGTGGGCGCAATATCCTCCTCCGCCAGTTCCTTCAGCTCCTTATCCGATGATTTGAGCAATGAATGCAGTTCGTGCAGCGAATTCTGCGCGGTGTCATAATCCTGGATCGCGGCCACGGTACGCGACAACTCGCCCACCCTTTTCGCCGTACGTGCATCGAAGTCCGTGGCGAGTTTCTGGATGAGGGAGGCATGTTCGGCTGCGACTGCTCGAGCTCTGGACAGCAATGCCGGCGAGATGCTATCCTTTGTTGTCGCTGTTGCTATGAAGAGGTCAGTCGAGCTTGTTCATGGATGGTCAATGCTATGCCATTCCAGATTTGATGCTTACCTGTACTCTGGCCACGCCATTGCCGTCGCAACTGTCCAGTGACAGACGGGGCAAGGCGGCGAATGCATCGAGTGCATATCCATGGTGCAGACATTGGATGTGCAAGATGTCAAACAAAGTTGGATGGCGCGGGAGAGCTCACATTGATGACTGAATTGATTGAGGTCTATCAAATCAGAGCCGGAAATCATTTCTATATCAACGTCAGATGTAGCACATCCTTCTTTCCACTTTCCACTTCGAAGAGGGACTCTGCGTGAAACACTCTTCAATACCTTAGCTTCATCTCTTGATCTTGACGTGGATGCCATGGTGTCCAAGACCAGACGCCTGCTGCTGAAGATGACAGCCATGGTCGGCACACTGTATGTACATTCAAGAGACCGCGGCCACGATGTGGGATAGTCGTGGACTTTGGGATGGCATCCAAGATACTACACGACGACTACGGTAGGCTTGCGATGCCGAAACCAGCATTGCTGCTACGGAATTCACCGTTAGCATGCTGTACAGGAAAACATGGTCAGAGCACTGCAAGCTCCTCGCAATGTTCCAATGCGGACATGCTTAGGTGTGATGTCTTGTGGAGACTCATTGTGTGTCCTAGACCGTGCATCTTGCAGAATGGACTCGTGATCTCGAGGCAAGCGCATGATGGTTTTGTGCCTGCTTATCTGGTCAGGCGTGTCACAATCAAGGGCAATTTTATATCAGTCGATTTTCATCCCTCCGACATCCTCACACAGCGTGACAACTTCAGATTCCAGACAACCAAAACGCTGGACAACTTTCTCTACACACCTGGATGACAGCACCTGCAGATCCATCCGCAGTCACGCCGGTGGCTTGCAGTCCACGTGGAGCGGATACCTATCGTTAGGCCATTCTACCATTTCAAATGAAATGACAGACCCATCAGATACACACGAGCTGGAAATGGACAACAGGAGCCGGCCGGGTCACAATGGAAATGACGACACGAACAACAGCCAAACTGGGACAACTCGCCTCGTCGAAACTGGGGTCCATCCTGGGCCTGCCACATCATTGCGAGTAGGCCACGATGGCGAACAGGCTCAGCCGCTCGAAATCGATGGTGGAGAACCTCAAAATGGCCGAACCGCCTGGCTACACGCTGCTACTGGATTCCTCGTCGTGGCAAATTGCTGGGGAATTGGCAATGCTTGGGGACTATTCCAGGCATACTATGAGATCGTATACTTGCATGGCACACCACCTTCCTCAATTGCCTGGATTGGCAGTACCCAGCTCGCCTTGGTCTTTGGTCTGGGATTTCCCGTCGGGAAACTTGTCGACATGGGCTTTTTCCATACGGTCTTCCGTACTGGGAGCTGTCTGATGGTCCTTGGAATCTTTTGCACTGCGTGGTGTAAAAGCATGGCGACCTTGTGGGTTGTTCAAGGTCTGGTGACAGGCATTGGGATGGGATGTGTGTTCTGCTCTGGAAGCAAGTGTAGTACTCTCACGTTATGCTGAACATCGCTAACCCTTTGTCTTAGTTACTGTGATGATGACTTGGTTCGACGATAGTCATATCAGCATTGCCTTTGGGTTCGCAGCTGCCGGGAGTTGCGTAGGAGGCATCGTCTACATCTTGCTGGTTCGATATATACTTGTGCAGCAAGGCTTTCCGGCGACCATGATTGTCATTGGCGCCATGGCAACGGTCACGATGATCCCGGCGAATGTGGTGTTCCGAATCAGAGGTCAGTGGACATGTCTCCCTTCTGCAAAAGAATTTATTGAACATGCTAACACAACTACAGAAGAGAAACCTACCGAGAAGCCATCATCACCCTTCGTTTGGCGAACCTATCTCGAGCCGTCATATGTCCTTGCTGCCGCAGGGATGTTCTTTGCCTTCATGGGAGTCTACTTCGGATTCGTGTACATGGTTCTCTACGGCGTAACTGTTCTCCACCTATCGAACCGCGCAGCAACTGACCTGCTGATCTTCATGCTTACGGCCAACTTGCCTGGGAGATTCATACCCGCATTAATAAGCGACAAGTGGATCGGACCACTGAACACTATAGGACCCTGCGCATTGCTCAGCAGTATTGTGCTATGGGTCTGGACTGCGGTTGATACAAACCGCCTAGGCTTGACCGTCATTGCTTGTGTTTACGGCTTCGTTACAGCCGGCGTACAGGTATGAGGGTTAGATATCGCTTGAAAGCCGTCCGCTAATCATTACCAGGTCATGTACGTTTCCACTGTCTACGCCTTCTGTACGGAACCTGGAGATGAGGGGATTGAAATGTCTCCCGGAGGAGTCGCATCGACACGTCGTGCCAAGCCGAGACTCAGGTTCGAGGGGATCGGTATGAGAGCCGGTGGGCTTTATACTGCTATCGGTCTTGCTTGCTTGATCGGTACACCCATCGGCGGAGCCTTGATCTCCTACCGGACMGATAGGGGCTTGTCGAATCCCTATCTGGGAGCACAGATCTTCGCCGGCTCGTCGTTGCTGCTGGGTGGACTCCTACTACTTGCGAGCAGGGTGTCAAAGGTCGGATGGCGGATGATCAAAGTGTAGGGCCTATCTGTTCAGCAAGATTGCGACTCGAGTGGAAACACTTCCAGCACAGTGGRGACACGCGGTTAGGCACTTTTTAGGGCTCATCCTTCAAAATTTCCATGCGAATGATATATATCATTCAATCTCCCAGCATGAGTTGTGTTTAACGTTGTGCGACGATTGTCAATCATGAGGGGCGTTGTATATCATACTCTATAGCTTCGCAAACTTCGGCACCCTCTTCTCCTTCTTGCTGAACAGCGCATCCTTCACATCTTGTGTCTGCAACATAGCGGCGTTCCACACAGCCACGTAGTCCAATCCTGTGATCGCAGTCAGTTTGATTCAAACATCCAGTCAACACACCTCCATCGACAACATACCATCAGCCACAGTGTGATCGCGAGAATAATTAATCACCGCCTTTGTGCTCTGCACAGCCACAGGGCTCGCAGCAGCGATGTCCTTGGCCAATACCATGGCGCGATCCAATGCCGCTGCTTTGCTGTCATACACACCCGACACAAATCCCATCGTCATTGCCTCCTGCGCGGAAAAATCTCTTGCTGTCAGGCAGACATCTTTGATCCACGACATTGGAACTCCGGTGTGGCCTAGTCGGGTCAAAGTTCCAAGGTCTGCAGCTAGGCCGATAGCAACCTCTCTGACGGAGAATATAGTGTCTTTCGAACAGATTCGAACATCGCAGCAAGTCGAAATATCAACTGCTGCTCCATAACTGATACCATGCACTGGAAAAACAAAATTAGTACATCTCCCTCTCCATCATGCAGACAGAAACTCTTCGGGAAATACTCACTAACGCAGATAACCGGCTTCTCACACGATTCAATATAATTGACACCCTCCTGAAGATCCTTGATATGTCTCCTCAGATCCCACGCTTTCCGCGCAGTATCCTTCTCCACAGGTCCCTTTTGCCCCTCACCGGAAAGTGCCCCCTGAGAAGCAGCAGTAATGTCTAGTCCAGCAGTGAAAGCTCGCTCGCCCGCAGCCGTGAGGATGATGGCGCGAACTTCGGGATCACTTGAGAGGTTTTTGAAAATGGCTCCGAGGTCTGTGAACATCTCGTGCGTGAAGCTGTTGAGCTTCTTGGGTCTGTTGATTTCTATCACGGCGACATATTCGGCTGGCACGGAGACGTTGAAGAACTCGCTGGAGAGGGAAGACGCCATGATTATTGATATTCTTTTCGAAGGGAGGGAGACTCTGGGAGGAGTAAGCCTGGACTGCCCTGATATGTTTATGGCCGGCTGTCGGTTGTTTGCTGCTTCGCTCTGTACGCACGTATAAAGTAGGTAGGTACTCGGTGAATGTCCCTGTCAGGTGCAAGCCGATATATGAAAGCCGAGGTCTTAATCCCGGATCCTAGTTTTTACATAATCTTCGGAACGATACCTTACTTACCTATTCTATTAGGTGTGGCTGTGACTGATGATTATTGTGCATTGTGTTTTAATATGCCGCCATGGGAAAGCGAGTTCCATCCAAGTATTGGAGGAGGTATATACTTGCGAACTCTGCGAGGAGTGAATGGTAGGTACCTAGTTGAAGTCTTTAGCATAATTAGGTTCGAGATCGGGACAATTTGATCCGCTAGCGCCCCCATATTTGATGGGCCGAAGCGAGACCTTGGCGCCTCACAAACAGGTGCTGTACTTTAGTCTCAAGAGCTGCACTTGATGGCGAGACATCATCGCTGAAGCATGAGGAAGTACCCACATGAGTCTCCTTCTCGTCGTAGCGACAGCGCCCGTTCATCCTCGAACTCTCCACTCTACCGCCTCAACATTCACGGCTCCTAAGGTAGACCAGATCCATCTCCAGGAAGGGTCTGCAATACCAAGCAATACCAACCTGGAATGCTCTGGATCCGGCGCTCTCACACTGCTACTGATGATCATAAAGTCAGCTCATTGACCAGCTTCCACCTGGATGTGACGCGCATCTAGCCAGACTGCTACCATGTCGCTGTCCCGCAGGACATGCGTAGTAGTCGACAGGTGACGCGAAGCGATGACGTTCAATTCCACCATCGACTTCCATCACTGTCTCCTAGCATCTGATAGAGGCCTTCGAAGGGACGCGTCCATCATCACAATGTGTAAAGGCTGGTAACAGCTCACGAGAGTTATCACTGTTTGTCTGCCCTGGAGTCAATCTCGGGCTTTGTCCAAAGTAAGGTCAAGACTCTTCCCAGCTGCTCCCCGGCCGAGCTATGCAGTTCATCGAGAATGCCTATTCGCCAGGTCGACGACAGATCGAACGCAAAGACCCGAGAGCCGTGAGATACTACTATCGATCATCGAAAAAGAATGCCCGAGTTCTGGACGAGATTAATGGCGCATGTCAGCGCTCCCCCTTGCGTAGCGTAATGACAATTGTAGACCTCCATTCCAGAAGGATTCGAAGACCCAAATCGAAAGCAAAGGTAAATCAGCTCTCTCATGTCTCTAGTCAGTCTCCGGTGCCTACCAGTCGGAATTTATTTTGTCTCCCACATCACGCTTGGATCATGTGGACCACCGGCACAATCTGCTGCATCTTGGGCAGCGTTCTCCTTGGAGATGCACAGGTACGGTATGATCTCTTCGAGTGCCAGTCGTTGAAGACGTGGCTGATTGCTCCCAGACTGTCAATCTAGGAAGCGCAGCGGCATTTGGAGCAATCGCCCCTGCTGGAATCGACAACACTGGAAGTACTGTCATCGATGGAAATATCGGAACTACTGGAATAAGTAAGCCACAACATATGGGCTTCTCGACAGTACACTAAAACTCCCATAGCCATCACCGGCTTTCCTCCAGGACTATACACGGGCTCCCTCGAGATTAACAATAGCGTTGCTATCACTGCCAATGCCGACTACGCGGCAGCATACGCACAAGGTCAATCTCTTGCACCGACTGTAGACCAGGCAGGGCTCTACACTCTACAAGGCCAAACACTAGTAAGCCTGCCTGCGCCCTAGCGGACCACCATGTCGGCGGAAATAGTGTGGAATTGTGCCCGACACGTCCGACTCCTTTTCGCTTCTTCGCCGGATGATACTGATGCTTTCTGCTCTACAGGGTCCCGGTGTATATAGATACGATGGAGCGATATCTCTCGATGGAGTTCTTACCCTGTCAGGCAGTGGCACTTATGTTTTCCAGGTGAGAAAATCCAGGCCGATCATGAGTGAGACGGGGCGAAAATGAAGCTTGTCGCCCTACCTGCAGCCATCAAGGATGATGAAGAAGACACTCGCCGAGTTGTGTGACTCTTCGTAAGGTYGCTTCTTGCTGTGCTCGTATCTACCTGTTTGCGGGCGTTGTCGTCGACTTACTACAAGGAGAGCCAGCAAGCTTCAACTTCCCACTCCCTAGGAGGCAATGTTGTATTCTCGGAAAGGCGGCTAACTCTTGCCTGTGTTAGCTGCCTTCTACTCTCACCACCATCACCAGCTCCAGCGTAGTCCTTATCAATGGAGCGTCTGCTTGTGATGTTTACTGGATCATTGGAAGTGCCGCGACCTTTGGCGCGGCCACCAACTTCGCTGGCAACATCCTGGCGTCTGGCGCTATAACACTTACTACTGGAGCTTCTGTTCAGGGAGGTCTGTACGCTGGCACTGCAATCACCCTGGATGGCAATGTCGTTAACGCCTGTGGTATTCCGCCGCCGATCTACAGCGATCCTGGCCAGAGTCCTGCGTCCACGTCTTCCGCAATTTCCGCGACAACGCTCACAGCCTCGCCACCAGGAGGTGACGACACTTCTATTCCGATCCTCACAACGACATTTTTCCCGTCTGCGTCTTCCGCAGTTCCTACAGCAACGCTCACAGCTCAGCCGCCACCAAGCACTCCTGGCTCCGTCTTTTCATCAACACTGCCTCCGTCTGCGTCTTCTGTATTACCCGGGGAAACTTTCACAACCCAACTGCCATCGAGTTCTAGCCCTCCTGGACCAGTCATTTCGTCGACAGTTCTTTCGTCTCCATCTCCCCCTACTGCCGTGGCAACAGTTACGGCTTCGTTACCAACGAGCTCCAGCTCTGCGGGCAACATTCCGTCGACCACTCCACTGATTACTTCGACGGAGTTGACCACAGTCCCTGGAACAGCCGGAACAGTCGCGTTACCAACCACGTCGCTTGCTTCGCCCATAATCTCTACCGCCTCTGGCCCAATCTTCTCGACGAATCCACCGGTCCCCTCATTGGATTCATCCCCCGTCTTTGTAACATCTGTACCGCCACCCACGACGCCAATAGCTTTTATTTCGTCCACGCTGCTTTCGACGTCGCAATCGCCTATGTCAGCCTCAGTCACGTCCGAGGCCAACCTATCCCCGGTTTCATCCACTTTGCTTCCACCAACAACGTCTCCCACAACGACGTCTTCTACAATACCCTTGACCCCAATCTCATCTACTGATCTCTCGCCATCGAGTTCATCTACTGCCATTTTGTCGACTACACCATCCACCACCTTTCCAAGGTCGTTCTCGTCGACTGCGAATACGGTCTCGACGGCCTTGTCGACGACTGGGACTGCGTCAACGGTAGGGAACTCTGATTTGCAACCCCGAGCGATATACTAACACAGAACCACACAGTCAAGCACAGCCAAAAGTTACAGCACGATCACCACCATCACATGCATCAGGTCGAAGCCGATCGAGACCACCACACATCTGACTTACACAACGATCAGCACATGTGTATGCAAAACGCAGCAGACTGTGACTACCACCACCTGCAAGCGCCCCTCAACCACAACAGAGAGGCCCACCACCACAGCCATGAAGTGCACTAAGTGTCTACACAAGAAGGTTCAGCATTGAGGGAGGACGGAAAGCAATTGTCCTGCTGGAGTGTTAATGTGTCAGCGAATTGCGTTTTTGAATATGGAGACTTTGACGAACTTCTCGGTGTATGTACGTCTCACTTGTTGAAGAACAAGGAGGAACAGAGCCTGGGACTCCCTATATGCCGCTTCTTTTGCTTCGATTTACGCGTTGTTCAGTCTCGGTTACAGAAACACTGTACATATGGGCTTGGCTCGGTCCAGTGCATACATGTCTTTACTTCCATACTCATAGCAATGATGAATGAAATTCGGAAGACTCTCACATGGTATTCAGCCGTAGCAACAGACGCAGCATCGACATGCCCTGTCCTTGACAGATGATGAAAGTCGATGGGAGAGGTATGCCCAGGCTTGATGCCCAATGCCGATTTCACGCACACTACAGAACCATCACCGTCGTTCAGTTGCATTCGGTCATGGCCGAATCTTTCTCCACAGCTGCATTGGTGATGTCTTGCAATGTCTTGATGATGAAGAGATGTTTTGTTTGGCAGGCACCATTAGGGTTGACCGGCACATTTCTCTCACTAGCGCCGACTCTCCGCGTCCCCTACCAAACAACACTCAACACGGCGTCTCGAAACTCTTGGAACAACCGCCATCACTTTGAGTACCGCACGCCACATCGATCCAACATCCTTCATGCCACGCGCAACGCGATAGTCGAGCGTCTGTGCGAGCCCGACGAAGCGCAAGAACATGGGCGACCTTCTCAACACCCCCGTCGTCATTGACAATGGCAGCGGCACCATCAGAGCAGGTTACGCCGGCGAGGATGCTCCGCGTTGCTTCTTCCCCTCATACGTTGGTCGGCCAAAACATACACGTGTGCTGGCGGGAGGTCTCGAAGGCGACATCTTCATTGGCAATCGCGCGCAGGAGCTACGGGGTCTGCTCAAGATACGCTATCCGCTGGAGCATGGCATTGTCACCGACTGGGAGGACATGGAGAAGATCTGGCAGCACATTTACGCAGAGATGAACACACAATCCGAGGACCACCCCGTGCTACTCACCSAGGCGCCCCTCAATCCGCGTGCGAACCGAGAGACGGCAGCGGAGATTCTGTTTGAGCGATTCAATGTCCCCGCTTTATACACGTCCATCCAGGCCGTGCTATCACTCTACGCCTCGGGCCGTACTACAGGCATCGTGCTGGACTCGGGCGATGGTGTCTCGCATGCTGTGCCCGTCTACGAGGGCTTTGCCATTACGAATAGCATCCGCCGTATTGACGTGGCCGGCCGCGATGTCACCGAATACATGCAATACCTGCTGCGGAAGGAGGGAAGCGTCTTCCACACCAGTGCCGAGAAGGAGATCGTAAAGGCCATCAAGGAGAAGGTTTCCTACGTTGCTCTCGATCCTAAGAAGGAAGAGAAGGAGTGGCAGACTGCAAGCAGTCGAGGTGGGGAGAGCAAAGTGGCCGAGTACGTGTTACCAGACGGCAAGAAGCTCAGAGTGGGTCCAGAGCGGTTTAGAGCGGCCGAAATCCTTTTTGACCCCGAGTTAATTGGGGTGGAGTGGCCCGGTCTACACCAGATCATCGTCGACTCCATCAATCGCACCGACATGGATCTGCGCAAGAGCCTGTTTGGCAATATTGTGCTGTCGGGTGGGTCAACGATGATCAAGGGTTTTGGAGACAGGCTCCTGCACGAGGTGCAGCGACTGGCCCTCAAAGACACAAAGATCAAGATATTTGCACCGCCGGAGCGGCTGTACAGTACATGGATTGGCGGCAGTATCCTCGCGGGCCTGAGTACATTCCGGAAGATGTACGTGCGTGTTGACGATTGGCATGAGAGTGAGTAATTTCCCCACCACATTCTCTTGGGCGTTGACTAACACATCGCAGATCCAGAAATCATTCATCAAAAGTTTGCGTAAAGATACCCCGATGGCATTCGTTTTCTGCGTAATTGCCTCAATGACCGTGCTCGATGACATTGCATTGCAGCACAAGACCCGTCACTTTCCGCGCGGTGGTGATATGCTTCTCAACCAAGGTGCTGCCGTATGAGTGACGGCATTTTGGTGCTTACCTACGTGATTCCACGGTTCAACCAATGCAATCCAACCACCCGCGGGTCATGGATGCAAATTCGCCGAGAAACATGTAAACGATGCGCTGCGAACGCAAGATGGCATAGTGACAGCCTGACAGCTTTCGGTCACCGGGACTTTGACAACCTAGTAGTACAAGGGAGTACTATACTACTATGGTATACCATGGTCAGCGGACTACGGGGCGGTGAGCTTTTCCCGTGGTCTCTTTCTCGGCCCAGACAACAAAAAGGCTTGAAAGCGCCCAATGAAAAACACACTACCTTGGCTTAGCGGCACAGCGGGCAGCGGGTTCCTGAAGAAAGGCACATGGAGCGATCAGCCCGTTTTGCGGGGAAAGGCGATCTGTCTCGGAGAAGCAACTAGTTCCGCCTTTTGCGTGAAGATTTTCTCCAGTCGACCCCTTCGATCGTTGGCGATGTTGGAAGGAGGGAATCGTCTGGGACCAAGGATGAAGGATGTTGCATCACAATGCCATTGGTAGAGTTGTGTCATTTTATGTAACAGGGTGGTACATTACGGTCGTCATCCTTGCGAAGCACGCCATAGAACCAGAGAGACATTCACGTGGTGTCTTTGGCTTGAACCGTTCGATCATGTGGGGAAGTGTACACGACCGCCACAGGTCACGATGTCCATCGGAACTTTCCCCTTTTAGGTTTCTCGACGAAAGCTGGGGGTAATAGAAATTATTAGAGTCCATCGGAAACGGTTGCCGAGCAGACGCTCAATTCTTGGCCACCAAAGCGGCGTGCCATTCTAACAGACAAGAAGCGTGTAAAGCAGGCCTATCCTAATGCCATGAAGGCGAGAACAGTTGGAAAATTCTTCATGGCACCTGCACAATCCCGACTGACGTTTTTTCCGCTTTCAAAGGCGAAGAATAAAAATTTCTTTGAAAGGCGTTGCCAAGATGACAAAGAAATTTTCCTTTCTCGTCACCTCGTGACGTCTCGCTAGTAATTTCATGGGGGTAATGGAAACTACGCTCCTACAGTCATGTGCTCTAGTCTTTGCAGGCTCTGCACAAACGTGTCCCAGAATCCCAATCCCTATATAGCAGTCGAGTAAGGCCCATTTTCCTTCTTTCATTCCTTGCCACATTGAAACATCAACAACAAACAACGATCGTTTCTTCATCTGAACATCACTGCAACACATCACTTCACATCCTCCACACAACATCATCACAACATCACCAACATCAACAACACCATCACCAACATCATCATGTCTCGTCTAGCAGTCACCGAGCCACACCCAAGCGCATCCAAGGCCGGCTACTTCTCATCAGGAGTCGGCGGCGCAGGCAACTTCAGACGCTACAAGCCAGAAGAAGTCTCCAAGGGACCTGACGCCACTGGCCCAGCATCCCGTGTACCTCTCTCCAAGCCCACCAAGCGAGTCGTCATGGGCGGTCGCGGCGGCGCCGGAAACTACGTCTCCAGCCGGCACGAAGAGTCCATCTTCCAATTCGACGAGGAGATGGTCAACAACCGCGATGTCTCCGCGCCCGTCTACAAGATCGGCCGTGGTGGCCAGGGCAACATCTTCGCATCGCAGAAGCCCGCATCATCGCGCAAGGACAGCTCCGATTCCAGCGGATCCGAGTCTGATCGTCTGAGCCTCTCTGCTCTCCGTCGACACAGCGGGGGCGTCTTCAGCATGTTCGGCCGACGATCTTCATAGGAGGGTCTCTTTCTCTCCATCACGACTTAACGACTTTCCTTCGGCCTTTTTATTGTCAACATTAGCGAGCTGGTTCTGATTCTCGCATCATACCCCAGTGTTGGCGCCGGCGGGAATATATCGACATTCCATCCCTCTATTGAATGGCAATCATCTGGAAAAGTACTTTTGAAAGCATGCAGCACTGCATAGGCGTTTTTTGTTTTATCATGAAATGGGAGTGCATTGGGAAGAAAAGTTGCATTTGTTCTGTTTTTGGCATCACGACCAGCGATTTGCCGTATGTATTATACCCAGCATCGCGGAGAGGGGCGCCGTTTAGCATGGCAGTGGAAAATTTGTTTAGTGTAATGGCCCATTGGCTTGAATATCGAGCTAGAAATACCTAGGAGGTAGCTCGATATGAATGAAGAAGCTTCGGCTTTATGAAAGGAAGCACCATCTCACCTCTCGCTCAAAATGTGGTTGTACTACTCTTCCAGGATGAGTAGCCAGATTGTCTCCTACTGGAACGCGAACCCCTCGGCTCATCCAGTCAATGTATCAAGGGGCTCGGTTTGAATGAAGGGCACCAAGATTCTCCAGAGAGCGGTTAGTTACGGGCCATGGAGATATTGATGAAATCGCCGTCCGCACGAGCAGATTGTTGCCGTCCTTCCAGAGTCTTGCCTTACACTAGAGCGGTCCTTCGCAAAGTCAGCGCTCAATTGAACTGAGCTCCTTCGTACTTGGCTGCTTCATGGTCGGCATGGACGTTTTCGCCGTTTGYTGGGAGTTGCAGGCAAAGAGACGGGGGCTGGAGAGATTGAAGCTTGCCGGCTCTCCTCGTGGTGAATCGATGAGGTGTCAGACAGGACAAGAAGAGATTGAAGCTGGGATAGGTAGCTACGATCGTTGGAACCAGCAGTGCCGCGGAATCACTTTTCATGTCGAATTGTTTTTGTTGTTGTAGATAGAACGCGGTCTCGACTCTCTGATCTCTTCAGTATGCAGTATCCCTCGATCCATTCTGTCGGGATTCTGGGAGTGGCTGGCGCGTTCCAGTGGCTAAATGGAAACGGGACCTGGCAAGATTTCTTCATGCCCGGTTTACGTGGCTTCGTGCACACAGAAGAATCCACGATACTTCATCGCCGTCGTCGCGTCTTCATGGTGGTTCCTTTGCCATGATTTGGTTTGTGCAGCTGAGAAGTGCGATCCTCCTCGTATAGAACTAATCGTACGACGTGACCCCGGACAAGCGCGGCGCCGACGTCAGAATCCAGTGAGCTCTCTTGACAGCTTGAATTTCCACCTGCGAACAAACATTGAACTTGAACAGCTTTGTCGACCCCATGCAAAAGTGTGACGAGCGCGTCGTGTCAGCAGCATCACCATCGTCAGCATCATCACCAGCAACACCATCAGCTGTCTTATCCGTGAGCATGGCATAATCATCTTCAACCCGCTCTCCGTCCTGCCCTGCCTCGCCCTGCACGCGTATAGCCGGGCAGTTATTCATAGGGCCCTCTCTCGTTAGAATCGAACATGGCAGGCATCGAGCAGATCATCGTTCATTCCAAGAGCTATCTGGTGCGCTGGATTCAAGTCCCCGAACATCACTCCATCGCATGGTCCATTCAGCCCAACAAGAAGAGCATCAACTTTGGCATCTTCAAACATCYCGGAACCAAGAACGGCCTGAGCCCGAATCTTCCCGCTCAGGAGACGGTAGAGAATGCAGGTCAGGCACCGAATACACCCGCGCTGGACGGAACCAGCGCATCCCGACCCAACGCGATGCCTCGGCGAGAATCTGTGAGCACTAGCTCTACCGTGGTGGAGAAGTTGAAGGGAATAGGGTTGCGCYCAGTGGCATGGACGGGAAAGTGTGAGGCGGATAAGGTGGCCATGGGACAATATGATGTCCCGGAAGGAGAAGGCGGCACATACGGACTGGTCTTCGATAACACCTTCTCCAAGCAAACGTCCAAGAACGTTACGCTCGTACTGATGACCCATCCCACGAGCGCGCCGCCAAAATCAGGACACCATTTGCATTATTCGCAAGCGGCGACGGCTGGATCGCCTGGAGGCATTCGCGACAATTATTCGCCGTCGATGAAACCCGTGACAGACTCCAACGAGTCGCTGCCACATAGCCTGGGCATTCACCGTGGAGTTCTGGAAGATCCGCGGCCGCACTCGAAGGGTGGTCATGGAGTAGAAAGTAAGGGTATCGAAGGCACGATGTTTTATACTGGAGTGCTATACAAGAAGAGGCGAAGAAAGGGGCAAGGCTTCACAAAGCGGTTCTTCTCGCTGGACTTCACCTCCTCTACACTCTCTTACTACCGCAACCGACATTCATCTGCGCTTCGTGGTGCAGTGCCCCTTTCCCTAGCCGCAGTGGGCGCGGATGAAAAGACCAGAGAATTCTCCGTCGACTCTGGTGCCGAGGTATGGCATCTGAAAGCTATCAACAAGAAGGACTTTCAGAGTTGGAGAAACGCTCTTGAACGTGCTTCTGGGACCGCGCACGCATCCACACCGGCAACACCAGCCATGATCGCACGGAACCTGGCGCCTTCCGCTGCGCAGAATCCTCATGAGCAACGCGAGTGGGCAAGAATTGAGCAGTTGGTAAGCGAAGTGTCGGGAACGCGGGATGCCATGCGTGGGCTTGCCAAAGACACAGAWCCGAAATACACCCTGGCTACAACTGGCGCTGGCCTGGGCCTAACGACCCACGGAAATGGTAGCAACGATCCTAGTCCCCCCTTCAACGACTCAACGAATCAGTATTTCCCAGAGGCCACGGAGGACCGTGGTAAAAGTAGGAGGTCTATCTGGAAACGCACTACAAGCGCAGAGAGAAGTCCGTCTACACTCTTCCGCAGAAGCGTGTCAGCTCAACTTGCGGTACCATCGCCTACACTCACACCAAGTCACTCTCAATCGAACGTTCAAAACACACAACCAAGACGGCCAAGCGTTCAAACAACCCCATTGGTGCCGAATCCTGAGGTCCACGAACGATGCATGGCCGTGCTACAGGATCTCGATCGGGCAGTATCCGGCTTTTCYGCGCTGATTGCGGAAAGCAAGTCTCGACGTGTCCCGCCACAGTTGCACACTTCAAACTCTCGTCTTTCGATTGATTCGGTGGATAATCAAGAGTTCTTCGATGCGGACGACGGTGGAAGCGCGTCACAGCTACTGAACATTCGTCGCTCTAGCGACTTTGGCGAACAACAGGAAGACATGTTTGAGAACGCCGACTCTGATACTAGCAGTGATGCTGGGGAAGGCGTAGGCGGATCTGTGATATTCTCTCCAACATCCAAGACTGCGCAATCGCCTCTGTTTCCTGGCAAGCCGAGCTCCTTGACGCCCCTCCCTCTGCCAAAGACGAAACGGCGATCGACAATCAAGCCTCCTAAGCAAGCACCGCCGAGCATTATTGGATTTCTGCGGAAGAATGCTGGCAAAGATCTCTCGACGGTTTCTATGCCCGTCACCGCCAACGAGCCGACGTCGCTCTTGCAGCGTCTGGCAGAGTCGATGGAGTACGCAAATGTGCTCGACGATGCTGCCGCCGCGAACACGCCGGAAGAACGTCTGATGTTTGTGAGCGCGTTCGCGCTGTCTTACTTTGCCAACAACCGCGTCAAGGAACGCGCTGTGCGCAAGCCATTCAACCCAATGCTTGGAGAGACATTCGAACTTGTGCGGGAGGATTTAGGTTTCCGCTTCGTCTCGGAGAAGGTTTCTCATCATCCCGTTCGAATGGCTTGTCAAGCTGAAAGTTTCAGTAACGGCGGTTGGTCATACACTCAATCACCCCAGCCAACGCAGAAGTTTTGGGGTAAATCTGTCGAAGTCAACAATGAGGGCAGAGCGCGCGTGGTGCTGCATGCTTCGGAAGAGCATTATTCGTGGAATCAAGCGACGTGCTTCTTGCGAAACGTCATTGCTGGTGAGAAATATGTCGAGCCTGTCCAAACTATGACGGTGCRGAGTGAAACGAGTGGCATGCGTGCTGTGGTCACGTTCAAGGCCGGAGGCATGTTCTCGGGACGCAGCGAAGAGGTTACCGTGCAGCTCTTCCACCAGTCTGCGCCAGATACGGCTTTGTCCCTTGGTCTAGCGGGCAAATGGACGGAGAGCTTGAGGCGAACGGATACAGGGTCGACAGTGTGGACGGTCGGAACTTTGGTCCCCGACGCCCCCAAGGTGTACGGGCTCACATCGTTCGCTGCAGCGCTCAACGAGATCACGAAGGTAGAGGAWCATTATCTGCCTCCCACTGACTCCCGCCTGCGTCCAGACCAGCAGGCACTCGAGGCGGGCGACTCAGACAAGGCAGAAGGACTAAAGGCTCGACTGGAAGAACGTCAACGAGCTCGCCGCAAGCTTTTGGAGACGCACGGCCAGACTTATAGACCACAATTTTTTGAGAAGGTGGCCGGATCCGAAGAAGAAGAGGTTTGGGTGCTAAAGCAGGAGGGCAGTTATTGGGAAAAGCGCGCCGCGGGCGACTGGTCAGGCGTGCAGGAAGTGTTTGAGCTTTAGACTCCTTCCAAATGTTTTGTCGTGATACCCATTCTCTTGTATAAAGTGCTTTGTAATTTTATGTTGGGAGGCACTCCCAACGCTTGTATACATATCATTTCGGCTTCTCACCGGTCGGTACCTAGACGTCGCATGTCGTGTCTTCAATGTTCTCTTGAATGAGACGCTTGCATGCTTACAAGCCACTAGATATTTCAACTCAGACGTCATGTCTTGCTCTCGCATTGCCACGTCGCCTTGTTCCATATAACGATACAATGTCCTTTGAAACCTCAAGTATCACATAAAGGAAGTTGAAAACACGATGGTTTAACCACCTTCCCGTTCGGTACTGGGCCTATCTCAAGACGGTCTATGCCCATAACAGCCTCCGCCTCCGCGTCATCGCACACTTACCACCTGATATCGCAGCCGACCGCCAGACCGGTCCACGTCCTGCTTCTGACTCTCGCGTGGCTAAAGCACGCTTGCATAGCGCTAGAATCGCTAGAGACGCACACATTGGATAATGCTACGATTGCACGGTGACTGGCGCGCAAGGTGGGGGCATGTACATGCCTTGGCCCTGGACAAGTGCTTGTCCGCGCCTCTTATATTCTCTGGCCAAAGCTTGTTTCCTATCTCTCTCTCTGCTTGTCTTTCCTCCACAGCATTGTCTGTTGAACAAGTCTCTGCAAGATGCGTTTCACACCTGTCCTCGCAGTTTATGCCTTTGCGGGCGCTGCGCTGGCTAGAAATGCGAGCCCCAACCAGCATGTGAGGAAACTTCACCCACCTACGCTGGAACGACGACATGCTACTACGACAAACACTACTTCTCCCGAGTGTTCGCAACCTAAGGCGCCCATCATTCCGGAGACAGAGAAGACCGCGCCTTTCAAAGTCAATGGCAGTGCTATTCCCGATGTTGATTTTGACGTTGGAGAGTCATATGCTGGTCTGCTCCCAATCTCTAACGACACCAACTCGAATTCGAGTGAATTGTTCTTTTGGTTTTATCCTTCCATGAACCCAGAGGCGGACGACGAGATTCTCATTTGGCTTAATGGAGGACCTGGATGCTCTTCTCTGGAAGGCATTTTACAGGAGAACGGTCCCTTCAACTGGCAGTATGGGACTTATAGGCCCGTGAAGAATCCGTACACATGGGTACGTAAGACATTGGAGGCTTGAACGCTCTCTAGCTATTGAGCCGTCCAGCGTCTCGTTCTACATCTCTAACGCTTGCACATAGATTAACCTCACAAACGTTGTATGGATTGAGCAACCTGCTGGAACCGGCTTCAGCCCCCAGAAAGGCACTCCTCCTGCGACGGACGAGATCGAGGTCGCACAACAGTTCCTCGGCTTCTGGCGAAACTTTGTTGATACCTTCGGTCTGCACAAYCGCAAGGTCTTTATCACTGGAGAGTCGTACGCGGGATACTATGTTCCGTATATTACCGATGCCATGCACAACGAGACTGGTGAGTTCGCTTTCTCACATGCTCGCAGTGTTCGTAACTGCATGCTAAGAGAAGTCCAACAGACACTGAATACTTCAACGTTGAGGGATCCTTGGTCTATGACCCTTCCGTGTCTTACGATGTCATTTCTGGGGATATTCCCGCAGTTCCTTTCGTCGATTACTGGCAGAATTTGTTTGCTCTCAATGACACTTTTATGGACCATCTTCATGAGAAGCATGAGAGCTGTGGTTACAAGGAGTTCATGGAGACTGCCATGCAATTCCCACCTACCGGACCTTTACCTACTCCTCCAGATGTTGACGAGACAGACGACTCATGCCGACTGTTCAACGAGATCACCGAAGCAGCCATGCTGGTCAACCCTTGCTGGGATATTTATCAAGTTGCGACAACTTGCCCTCTTCTATGGGATGTTCTTGGCTTCCCTGGTTCTTTCGGTTACCAGCCTCCGGGCGCCGAGATCTACTTCAACCGAACTGTACGTTTGCATGCCAATGTTGCTTGGCAATTTGTGTACTGATTGGGTGTGAACTATAGGACGTTCAGAAGGCTATCAACGCCCCGATCGGCGAGTGGGAAGAATGCTCGAACGGCGTGCTCGACATTGACAACAGCCCTCCCTCTGGCCTGTCAGTCTTGCCTCGCGTCATCGAGAAGAACAAGCGTACCATTATCGCGCATGCGAAACTTGACATGGTCCTCATCATGAACGGTACAATCATGATGATCCAGAACATGAGTACGTTGAGCCCGCAATGTAAGAGGTGACATACATGCTGACCTCCAACCTTCACTGGTAGCTTTCAATGGGGCACAAGGCTTCTCTAAAGGTCCGAGCGAGTGGAACGACTTCTACGTTCCATATCACAGCGAACTCGCTCTTGGTAGTATCGCGGGTGCRGGAAACTTTGGGAAGTGGTGGACGGAGCGTGGATTGACCTTCTCTACCGTGGAGTTGAGCGGGCACATGGTCCCGCAGTACGCCCCTACCGCCGCTTACAGGTATGTTGAATCTGGTACATGCTGCTCTTTATCAACCGTACTAACGTCTGTCTCTACTACAGGCAAGTCGAGTTCCTACTTGGAAGGATCGAAGACCTTGGTCAGGTGTCTGACTTTAYCACAATGCCTGATGGAGGGTTTGGTAACAATGCTACGATCACGATGTTTTAGGGGAGGATCCAACAATGGTTGGGAGGCTGCAATGGAGATTCGAGGATGTTGTCACGATAGTAACGCATTTCATACACCATTGAGCTCACTGGTGGACATCACTCTGTCTGCGTGAATACAACCAGGGAGAGCGAAAGTGTTTCTCGTCAAGACGTGTCATTTTCGTGTTCATCACGAGCGCGTTCTTAAATTTGTCGCGTGGAAATTCGGCAATCTCCATTTTCCCGCCTCGACTCTCATCCTCAAACTTCGTCTTGCATCAATGACTTGATCGATACAAGATGTGAATACGAGGCAGCCATCATGGCGCCAGTGGTGCGCGATGATTTGATCAAGACTTGACTTCTACGGACCTCGCTGATGACAGTAGACTCCATCGCCACACCGTTTTGTCGCCGGCCACCGAAGACAAGCATCGCCTGCGAAAGAAAGCCGATTGCGTCAGGAAGCTCTCATCAACATCAACAACAACGTCGCGGGGCAACCACCGCCAGGACCAAGTGCAAGTCAATTTGCTCGTGCKCCGCGCTTCGCTTTCGGACGCGCACCACAGACGACGCAGCCTTCGCGACCTCGACCACTGCCAAGCCAGCGTCTGATAGAGGCTCTTCGCACGCGTCCAGCCGACGATGTTGAAGAACAGAACCTCGCCGACGATGATGAAATGCTCGATGTTGAGCAGACCGAAGCCTTTCCATCAGTCGAGACCGGGGATGAATTGAGAGATCTTCCCTACTCTCCAAAACGGCGCAGGTATTCGATTGAGTCTCCCAATGCCGAGTCTCACGTCCAGCGTCTTTCACCGAATCGCCCAACGTTCAGACAGCCAGCCACTCCCGTCTCACATGTCACCGCGGCACATTTCGCCCGACCTGCCAGTGTGAGTGGCTCCTCTCGGGCAGAAGATACACAGACACGTCGACCCGCGTTCCTCCGTGCATCTCTCGCCCCATCCGAGCAGCATGAGCCACTTCCGGAAGCATTCTCTCCACATCGGCGCGGGGAAAAGTTCGTGCCAGGTGGCATGGCAGCGACACTGCAGCAGTGGGTCATCGAGACCGGTCAGAATGCGGCACAGAGCAGACGTGGGCAGGGCTACTTGCGCGGAGAGGACTACGTATTGCGATGTACAGTACTGTCTATCAGCGGGAAGGGACCTTTCATGATTCGCGGCAAACTTTCCGATGGTACAGAAGTGAAGCTGCTGCTCGTGGCCAATTCCAAGCAAACAACCGTGGCTGTGGGAAGTGATGTGGGCGTCCGGGCTCCATTGTGGAACATCCAGCTGGATAGTTGCAGCTGGCAAGTGGGCGTGGATTGGAGGATGATTGAATGATCTTTCCTTACCTCTTTCGCGCATTGAWACAGCCAATATCAGTTCGAGATGAATCGCCGTTTAGAATCGACAGTAGTCGGTGATGTGATCAGTAGTTCTTACCCTTCAGCCAAGCATCCTCCGTGATCCGTGGTGCACCTGCTACCTACACGATATCATTTAGCTGTCCTCCACATCCAAGAGACGGGAAATTGAAGCTGATCAGCTCATGTCTCTTCCCGACAAGCTACCTGTAATAGATATCGTCTTTACTTGATCAATTGCTCTGACCAGACCAACACCCGGTGGGATTGGGATTGAAGGTCGCCGGCCTACCAGTAACAGTCAAAGTTGTTGTACTATCTGCAACATCATTAAATTGTTGAATTCTCCGTAGGGCCGCTTCTTTTTGTACGATGTAGCGTCMTGTTCACGAGCATTGTCGTCGGTCTACTACGACGAGAGCCGGCACCATTCGACGTGCCTTGGAGTCTCGGTCAGTCACTCAGGCCACCCTGACTTCAGTATGTGCGAAAAATTCATTATCATGTCATCAACTAACTAATGAGGCTGTGTCTTCCACACAAGGTATCATCGTACTCGCACTAAAATACTCCTGTCCACAGGAAAATGCAAGTAATCGCGCCGCCCATCTGCACGTTATCTCAGACGTGAGTCGCTGGTCTTCGTTATGATACAGCACAGAACTTTGTACCCCATAATACATACGCGCCGAAGATCCAATTCCCCTTCGAAAATCCGCCATTCATCGTAGCATCATACACATATCTAGCGACGAGCCGCAGTGTAGTTGATGCGCTGCGATGGGTCATGTGTCACACCGAAAAGATAGGCGAGCTCCTGCACGCCGAGTCTCGCAATGTTGTGTCCAGATTTCTCGTCAAGCGCCTCCGAGATCAGAGCGCGCTTCTTCTCCTGCAGCGCGATGATGCGGTCCTCAACGGTCTCCGCGATGAGCACACGATGCACKGTCACTTCATTCTGTTGACCAATGCGATGCGCGCGGTCAACGGCCTGCTCCTCAATGTAGGGATTCCAGAATGGATCGAGAATGATGACCTGGCTAGCCACATTCAGGTTCAGTCCAGCGTTGCCGGCCTTCAAAGAGACGAGCATAATGCGAACATCCTTGCGCGGGTCCTTGAAATCGTCCACGGCTTCCCCACGCATGTCCRGGCTCATGGAACCATCGTATCGACGATAGCCGAATCCCTCGTTATCAATAGGGATCTCGAGAAGGTCCAGAAGGGACGTCCATTGGCTGAAGATCAAAACCTTCTCACCCTATTGCACGAAGAGGTTAGCTGTAGGCGAAAGGTATCGGACAAAGATCGTACTCACCTTCTCACCCGACATCACCTCAGTCAGAATCTCCATCGTCTTGTCGATCTTGGCAGAACTGATCCAACCCTTGCGAAGACGGCGCAGATACTGCTTCTTGGCGGCCTTGTTTCGCGTTGCCAGCTTCTTCAAATCTGCGAGAGAAGTCCCCTTTGCAACCTTCTTTTCTGTCTTCTGCTTCTGCTTGCCCTTGCCCTTCTTCGATCGCTTCTTCTTCTGGTTTTTCTTTTCTTTCTTGACCTTGGGTTGCTTTCCGGCAGCGTCAGAAGACCCAGCGGTAGCTCGCTCAGCCTTGATCTTGACTTCGGTTCTCTCGCCTTTAACAGCGTTGGAATCAGCATCGGTATTGTCCGACTCGAATTCGACATCATCATCATCATTAACAACGAAACCACCGAGCGTATCGTCTTCATCGTCTGACTCGGCGTCTGACTCGCCACCGGAGCTGCCTAATAGCGAGAATGATCAGCAATGCGCTCTCCGAAACCTCCCCAATTTACAGACGTGCAGAGACTTCCCCACTGATATGGTCTTGCAAACCCGGGGTCTGATGCCTTTGCTTTACTTACTGTCATCAGCGCTCGTATCAGAGTCAGGCGTATCATCGTCCTCGGCATCGCTGTCTTCCTCTGCATCACCGGCGCGCTCTCCTTCGTTGAGCAACTCCGGCATGTGGACCTTCTTGAAGCTGGTGAAATCGGTCAAACGCTTGGGATCGATTCCTCCACGGCAATTCGGGCATCTGATGCCACCCGCCTCATCACCATGCTGGATGGCGTTGGCAGGGTCAGCAAGACGAGTGAAGCACTCGGAGCAAGTATCATGTCCGCAAGGCACAAATATTGCGGGGTTTGGCGTCACATCGTAGCATACCGGACATTCGAAGTTACCACCGGACTCTCTGATGCGTGCAACAACTGCTGGCTCGAGCATACGAGCAAACTCCAGCATCTGATCTTCAGTCATGTCGGCGGCAGCAGATACGCCAAAGTCTTTGATGAGATGCGGGTGGCAGCATGCCTGCCGAAGACGCAGCAGCAAGACCAATATGGCAGAGTAGTTGGTGCCGACAGTACCCCTCTTGAGATACTTGTTGAACTGAAGTTGAGTTTGCTGCTCGATGGCATCGTAGAAGTTCTTTTCATCTTCGCCAAACACGGGGTTGTCCACCGTGGTCAAGCGCTCGGGGAGCACCAATATTGGCTTGCCTTCGAAGGTGCTCTTCTTTGTGCGGCGCAACATGACCGCCTTGCACAGTGCTTGCAATCGCTGCATCGCTTGTCCTTTGGTCTCGTCGCTTCCGGACTTCATGGGCGTTTTGAAGTCGATTCGAAATTTGTCCCACACGCAGTATGGTTTTATACGCAGGAAGCGGACAAGGGAGTACAGCTCCTCGATGTTATTCATCATCGGAGTTCCCGTTACACACCAACGGTACTTTGCATTGATCATGCATGCTCCCTTGGCAGTTTGCGTATTCCTGTTTTTGATGCACTGCGGTATACATTAGTTGTGCATCCAAAGCAGCACATGCAGAGCATACCTGAGCTTCGTCAAGAATGACTCTGTACCAGCGGGCATCAGGATCCAGAAAGATGCACTTCTCACTCGAGTGTGGCCGCGCGTTGGGATCCTGCGCTTGCCGCAATCGGAACGTCTCCATCTTCTTGACTTCGACACCAATACTGCCAAAGGTTGTAAGAACAACATCGTATCTGAAAGCAAAGGGCAAAAGGGTTAGCGTTGCTCAGAAATAGGCAGAAAAAATGCTCAGAGATCCCAGCAGTTCACATCTGCGTCGAAGCCTCGTCGTTGACATTCTCTCCCCAATCTGCAGGGGATGCCTTTTGTCCTTCACTGTACTTACTGACGCAACTCTTGCCAGTCCTTRGCTTTTGTAGATCCGTGATGAGTAAACACTGTGAGCGCGGATCGACCAGGCTTGAGTTTGTCCTTGATTTCCTGTTTCCACTGCCGCATCAATGCAAGAGGCGCGATGATCAAAGTGGTCTTGCAACGCTGCTCTTCCGACTTGCGAGTGACCATCAGGGACAGCATTTGGATCGTCTTACCCAAGCCCATGTCGTCGGCAAGGATGCCTCCCATGTTCGAGCCGCTTTCTTGCTTTTGCAGCCATGTCAAACCCAATTCTTGGTACTTGTGGAGTTGCACAGACATGTCTTCTGGCGTTTGAACTCGGAGGTGAGCTGGCATATCCTCATCGGGCCGGATGTTCTCCAGAAGAGCTTGGATCTCTTCCTTGGATTGTGTTGTGTCGTATGCAGCAATGGCATCGAAGCGCTGTTGGTACAGATTCTCATTGCCAGCATAACCGGGTAGGGCTCGAGCTCCCCCTCCATAGGTCAAATCATCGTCGTCGCCGGAGAGATCAAATGGCTGCGCGCTGCTTGTGCCATACAACATATTCGCAAGTTGATGCATTTGACCACCCATCCCACTGACTGCGTAGTTCAGACCATTGACAGCTCCATGGATTGTTTGTTGCAGGAAGCCGGGGTTGTTATGAGGGATGGCGTTGCCGTCGCCGTACCGTCCACCGATGGCCATGTTCGGTGTAGGATATGCACCTGGCATCTGCAAAGGTCTTATCGGTACGGCTTGCTGGCGAATGTTATTCGGTCTGAAGCGATCCGGAGCAATCTCAGCGATGTCATCATCGTCGCTGTCACTAATTGTGAGATCGACGACCGTGGTAGTAGACTGCTGTGGCCTCCGCAAGACATTCTGGTGCTGCGAAAAGCCAGGCTCTGACTTGAACGGCTCTCGTTTGATAGATGGCGCAGCGGACTGCCGCAGCGGCGTGGGCATTGGCTGTTCTCGATGGCCCGGGGTCATTTGGTATGGCCGAGGCTGTCTCGAGGATGAGGGCGGCGTCTGCGCTGGCGGAGGTCGTTGGTAACCCCCGTTGTAGTTGAAAGTTGTCTGAAAGCTCTGGGTCGCAGGTCGAGATGAAGAAGCAAAAGCAGAAGGCGATTGATTGAGATCTGCAGCCAGCGCAGCAGCGAGCCTAGCATCTGCCTGCTGCATTTCATGCCGGTTTCTGGCGTCCGCTTCCACGGCGGCGGTTTTCGCTCGGGCCCTCTCGCGACCGTCCGCTCTCGCACGACCGTCGACCGCCTCAAAGGATCCATTCGAAGCCGTTGCTCGCTTCATTGCATAATCTGACGAACCAGCATGGACCGAATCTGGACGAGGTCGCTTCACCCCATTCGCTGCAGGGATAAATTGTTGGTTCGCAACCTGCGCATACGGACTTGACGACGATGTACCGCTGTTGCTGCTGTGATTACTGCCTGGTCGTCCGCCCGCCATCTGCCACATGTTTTCGGGCGGCGGCTGGTCACTTGGACCATCATGAACYATAGCCTCACCTGCAAAGTGACCTTGCTGGCGCTGTCTTGTGTGGAGAGTTTGCAGAAGCTGGTGACAGTGTGCTCTGGCAAGCTCACAATTCCTCAGTCTGTCATGGTAGTCGTCTGCGCCYTGATCCAGAGTTTCAGTCATGACAGCGATGAAAGCGAGCTCATCGTCAATCTCATCCTGGCTGGCAGTCTGGGGCAACAGTTGTAGGTCCATCTTCGCGCCTCGAGCCGGAGACGTCGTAGAGAGGACGTCGGTGATTAAGAAAGATTGAAGCGGATGTAGACCATGTTGTGCGCAGCAAGGCGTGAAGTGTTGGTGTGTTGTTTTCGGAGGTTCCAGAATTGATGAAGTTGTTGAAGGCAAAGTGAGGTTCCTGCGTCGGCAATGATTGGCGTCACGATGGCTCACAAGGCTGAAGCGTCCTCGAAATTCGACGCGTCTCACGCGCGACTAGGACTGATCACGAGACTGCCTACCACTCTTTACTTTCGAATGACCGCTTGAAGGTCCAAATACATTCAGTTCGCAAAGTGGATATCTATAGTACGGAAGGGCAATACCAGCCAACGCCACAAAGTCCACCGGGTAGATAAATGCAACATTTCCGCCCGGTTTCAAACAGCCAACCTCGAATAGCGCCATCGCTAAATTTCTCAATCGTCCAGCAATTCAATGACCTCTATCACTTTCTTCGGCGCCGGAGTGGGTGTTGCCGCACTCTGCTTGCGACGTTCTTCTCGCTCTAGAGAAGACGATCGCACGCCTTTTCGCTCCTCTTTCTTCACTTTCCACGAGCCATCCGCTTCCACGACGATGGCGCGGGTGTCCATTGCGTTCTGCTTAGCCAAGTTCTTCCGGACTTCTAGCAGGAATTCATCGACAATAAGCAGTTGGGGACGTACATCGCTGCGGCAAAGAGGACAACGCCAGCAATCCACGATCGTGGGCCAGCCTTCGTGCGGACGGCGGCATTGGCCGAGGAAGACCTCGAGATCGAAGCAGTCGTAATGCAAACACTCGGAGCTTCTTACAGGTATGTTGACCATGTTACAGCCTGAATAAGGATCTGTCAGCTTGATCGTCATAGTACTCGACGTGACGGCGATGTCGTCGTCTCCACAGTCTTCTCCCGACAAAGATCTCTTGATAGACTCTAGAGATTCCGCCGCAGATATCCGCTTGAGATTGTTTATAATGGTCTCGTGCGTCATGATGCCCACCGCTTCGACAGCCACAGCGAAATTCGCCTTTGGGAGATCTCGGTCCATGCGGTTGAGTGTAATTTGCAAGACATTGCTCCCTTCGCGAATAAACTCGGTCAAGTCGATCGGCAGATATCGGCCGTGATGTAACTTTCGCCGTGTCTCGAGGTCGCTTCCGTTCAACTGGAAGGACATCTCTTCAGGCCAGTAGCCATCGGCGATAACCCAGGAGCTCTCGGTCGCAAACCCATTAGTGGGGCAAGCACAACAGCGCAGGCGCAGATTAAGCGACTGCTCCGTCAGTGTACGCCGAGGCGGCTCGCCCGGTTTGAGAGGCATATCGTTCCTCGCCAGTCTTTTCCAGGTGGCTTCTGAGACCGTGAAAGCGATATGTTGAACGGGCGCCGCCCTTTTGAGCTTCGTTGGTGGCATTCCATAGCCCACCACATGTCTGTACAAACGCGGAGCGCCTGGCTCCGGAGTGACTGGGCCTAATATGGGACTACGGAGATGTGCCTGATGTAGTGCGGAACGATTTGGATCCGGGTGCGTCGGCTGCGCGCGCGGCTGACACTCTGAACGCGGGAAGAAAGGAACTCTCTGACGTGGGTGTCCCAATGGCATCTGCTGCCCCGGTGGTGCCATGGGCATCTGCGGTGTGTAATTCTGTGACTGCTGCTGTACAATCGGGCTGTGCCCACCCTGAGCCCGTGCTTGGGCGTTCATCTGCATCTGTATTTGCATTTGGTGCTGGTTTTGCAGAGTTGGCGACAACAGCTGGTTATTCATTTGAGCCTATATATAAAGGTCAGCACGCCCATAATGACGCGTATCTCGAGTTCTATGTGTACCTGGGAGATCTGCTGCGCTTGCCGCTGCTGCTGCTGCTGATGTTGCTGATGTTGCCGTTGTTGTAGTGCCAACAGCGTACTTTGCGGGATCTGCTTGAAGTACTGTAGCACCTCGGGCGGCGTTATGAAATTGGCCCTTTGCTCGCCTGCAGCTTGTAACCATTTCTGCAGGATGAATTGGTAATGTTGWTAACACACATTCTTCTCCTGGATGACGTATGGGATTAGCTGTGCTGCTAATCGTGACTTCTCCACCCGAAGCAAACGTACCGCCTGGTTCCGACGCCATCCTTGTCGATAGAACGTCTCCTGGTCAAGGCGATGGAGCTGTTCGAGCGCTCGTATGCCTTTCGTTTCACCCAGGCCCCAAAACATTCTTGCAATTGCGCGGAATGCTGTAGTCTGTAAGATGACGGACTGCAGTCCCAACGTCTCAATCATGTCCTGAACTAATGGAGGACTACAGAGAAGTCAGCACTGGCTTGCACAACCCCTCGATGGGAGAACTTACGCTTGCAGTGCTTGACAGCCGCGCACCAGACTATGCCATTGCAGTGGTAGCTTGGTCAAGAAATCCTTTACCATGCGAAGCCTGTCCTCATATAGTTCTCTGGCTTCTCCGGAGGGGTTTGAATAAATGTTCATAATTGGTTCGGGGAAGCGCGCGAAGAAACGTAACAACTCCGGGTCAACATCCTTGTTAGAACACAGCAGAGCATCTAGCATTTCGAAAGACTCTGGATCGACTCCGCGTATTGATTGTGGCAGCGTGTCGGGCGCTAATGTACGTAGACAGAAGAGTTGGCTCAGAATCTGATAGAACCAATCTCCCTGCGAAACGRCATCTTTCAGCAGCAAGAGCCGGCCATTGTTGGTCGGTGTAAGCCGTCCAGCTAGCGACCATCAGCATTTTGATACAACCATAGCGTACGCAACTTGCAACCTACCTTGGCTTAGTGATTTCTCATTCCGGCTGATCTCATCGAGCAAATCTTCGCTTGCCCTGCGCGAGGCTGAAATATGCATCTGGGTTGGCATCGGATGACCGTGATGATTTGACGGCACTATTGATGGAGTACGTAAGGGTCTAGCAGTCACTCCAGACATGGTCGCAGATGGATTGATGCTATTTGTTCGTGAATGGCTGCCCTGGCGCTGACCCTGTAAAATGTTAGCGTACGACCCAGCTCGCAACAGTGAATAATACAACTTTCCTGCCGCTGCCACTGCCACTGGGTCTGAAGTGGGGAATGTTGGCGAACTGGCTGCTGGAATTGTCGTGATTGTGATTGTGGCTGCATTCCTACCTGGAAAGTTGCTTGAGGTGCGCCCATGTTTGTGAAGTGCTGGTGCGAGTGAGGCGTGAAGATGGACGATTGCGTGATGATGGGGGATGCAGAAGCAGAGGTAGACGGTGCTGGAATGTTCAAAGCCACATCCTCTGTCGTCCTTCTCCCGGTCGCTGTCCCCGCGCTATAGCCTTCGTCCGATGGCGCCGGTGACGGCAAGGAGGCGCCGTTGACACTGTTGGCTACCATGTGTATGCTGGGTGTCCGTATGTTTTCAGGAATTCATGTCGAACCGACTCCGCCATGGAGAGACCGCGACTGCCTCGACCGCCTCGCTCTTGCCCTTTCGGTTTCGAACCCGTGGTCTCGTATTGTCTTCATCCAAGGCTCCCGCTGATACAACCTGCATTCTCCTTCTCAWTGCTTCTGCGACTTTTTCTGGAACCTGCGATGGCTTAAGCATGACCTGAATGCGGTTTTGGCGATGGCTGCCGTAGGTCTATACTGAGGCATGCGGGTAAGGCCGCACCACTAGCGATAGCTGATCTACTCAGATGGCACAGGCCAGCTCGCTTCGTCCGCCAATCATTCACTTGATATGGCTGTTTCACGCGATCGGAAGCACGCTAAGACTCCACGCTATGCAATGAGCCTATGCACTGTTGTTCGTTGTCATCCCATCCTCCCCTTCCATCTTAACCTTGATTCAACACCACAGCGCCGACATCGATGCTGTCGGCCATCAAGAATCTCATTTGTACTTAGAGAAATCGCTGGCGGCTGGCGGGCCAGCATTGTCCAGCAGGGGCCGGACACCGGGCACAGAGCGTCTTAGAGACCCCAGACTGCTATTGAGACAGCTTTTCAGACTGGCAATATATCGCCATGGCGCAGCGACAGGGCTCTAGCAATGCTGTAGCAGGGAGCATTCTGCTGGTGATCCACGACTTCATCGCACGGAGCCCGGACGAGCTCAGTTTGGCCAAAGGCGATCGCATTGAACTGTTCGAGAGGTGCGCACTACTTCCCACCCCCGGTCTTCACGTGAGACATGTCGGTGCTGGCCACGGCGCATTACATGTGGACGCGACTGAGAGCGGGGACTTGATGGTGGAACGATCTGAGCGGACTCTAACAACGCAAGCGTAGGGACGATGATTTTGGCGATGGCTGGCATGTGACAGACTTTTTACAGTACGCTCGCACCACTCCGCCTGCTAACTGCCACGCTCAACAGGTTTCTCGGCAAGCACCTGACGAATGGTAACAGCGGCTTGTTTCCCGAAGGTATGCTGCGGAATAGAGAGAGCATTCGAGATGGGAGCTAGGCCTGGTTCAGGACGGACAACAGCTGACAGCCGGCAGTATACACCACCCCAGCGCCCAAGGGCACGCTCGCAAGCAATGGAGGCGCATCACGTATCATCAGCAGTGGCGTCGGCCGGCCAGCGCAGTCCGCTGTGTCCAGCGCTTCACCTCGAATCCCCTCTGCCTCCAGCACACAGTCGTTACCACCTCCTCCCAGCATCAACGCGGCGTTACCCTCCACACAGTCTGGGACCCGTACATCCTTGCCCTCGACTGCGTCACTGAGTGGCCGCACCTTCACCATCACATCCGACTCGCCGGTCATGAGCGAGACACTATCCGTCATCGACGAGCACATTACCGACATGCATTCCCCGCGTGTATCATATGCCAGCGGCCACAAGCGAGACACTCGTGGCAGCATGTATTCCAGAGGAGAGCAGCCCAGCATTCGTCGCTCCTACATTGCAGGACACGAGACCGATGAGGAAGAGCGGCAGACTCATTCGGAGGAAGAAGTCATGGCATGGACACCGGCTCGCGTTGCTGAGTACCTGGAGGATCACGGCGTGGAGAAGGCTCACTGTGACGTGTTCGTTGAGCAGGAGATCAGCGGCGAAGTGCTGCTCGCCATGGATCAGAACAGTGTATTCATCAAGGAGTTCGACTTGGGGTCCGTGGGTCGCAGGTTGAAGACCTGGCATAAAATCAAGGCCCTGCACGAGGAGGTCAGACAAAGTGCTAGTTTGAGGCCAGCTCGAAGCGCTTCCGAGTACTCTACCCTGCTGGATGGCGACGAGGACAATGCCAGCACTGATGCCGGCGCCGATGTGGCTAGAAACCGGAGCTCGACCTTCGGATCTGCTTCACTACCACGAGCACTAGCCACTAAGCGGCAGGGCGATGACACTGTTCCAATACGCAGTAGTACCACGCAGTCCACCATGTCTCACTTGGCATCGCCACCGATTATCAGACGGGACAACTCTGGTTTGTCGCCGCTGCAGAGCATGACTTCAATGTCACGACAGGAGAACACGTACCGGCCTTCAGCTCAAGGAGTCCGCAATTTAAATCACTCACGGAGACATTCAAGCATAGACTCCACCTCCACGGATGGCGCTAGTCGCGCGGGCCACCGCAAGCTTCCATCGATCGAACGAGCGTGGCTCCCAGGACAGCCATCACAGCCAAACGGCAAACCCCGACACGGGCATACTGCCAGCACAGACTCCCATGTCCTGGCGGGCAGGACACAGTTCCTCGACACTGCGCCTCCTGAGGATGCCGATCGCGGCTACTTTTCATCCAACGAAGCCGACTCCAGGACTCGCAGAAGCGTGCTATTGAAACGGAATTCTGCAACACTCGGGCTGTCTCAATCAAAACTCAGCAGTGATTTCACGGCAGACGGTACCTACGAGCCATCCAGCCCGGTCGATCAAATGTCGCGCGTGGAAAGTGTCAAAAGGGTCATGGATTTGGGTTTCGGTAGCTACCGTTCTCCCACATCTCCTACGATGCACAGCAAGCCTGTCATGGCAGCACAGTCCCCGGCTATGCCTCCCATTGTTACTAAACTCGAGCCCAACTTCAAACAGTCGCTCAGMGCTACCCCAAGCAGCTCTTCGAAGACGCACGACAACGCGAGTGATGCTTCGAGCGACAAAGCCACACCCAGTCCCTCCGGCATAAACAGCGGAATGTTCTCCTCCTTTTCCCATGCCAGAGCCAAGTTCACAGGGCTCAGATCGATCAGCGATGCAGTCACCAAAGACGAAAAAGTAATGGGACCCCACTCCAAGCCCGTCACCTCCCCAACCAGAACTGAATCGTCCACCCCGAGCACCGAGAATCGAAGCATGGAACTCAGCAAATCTGACAAGACATCGCGCACGTCCACTGGATCGGGCGGCCTGATGCCGCCTCCGGCCAGCACGAAAAGGCCGCGCACGAGGACTAAGAAGCTCACCTCGGCATACACTAGAGGTCTTGAGATCAAGACCCCTGCCGAGCAGATGTTGACCTGCGACTACGCGGGCTGGATGAAGAAAAAGAGTAGTTCCCTGATGACAACTTGGAAGCCTCGGCTTTTCATATTGCGCGGAAGGCGGTTGTCTTATTACTACTCGGATGATGACACCGAAGAAAAAGGTCTGATAGACATTTCGTTCCACAAAGTGCTTCCAGCGCACAACGAAACCTTGACTGGCTTTCATGCGACCGTAACGGGAGCTGCGGGCAACGCCTCGAGCCCAGTTTATAATACGACTCCCACAATAGCTGAACAGGATCTCCGCGATCATCCGGCGAGGGAAGGGGAGGAAGACGACGGCCTGTTCATCTTTAAGCTCGTCCCGCCCAAGGCCGGGCTGGCAAAGGGAGTGAACTTTACAAAGCCCACTGTGCACTACTTTGCCGTGAATTCCCGACAAGAAGGCAGACTGTGGATGGCTGCACTCATGAAAGCAACCATCGACAGAGACGATACCGGAGTGGTCACCACTACCTACAGTCAGAAAACCATCAGCCTGGCCAAGGCACGAGCAAGGCGCGAGCGTCCTCCAGGGTTGAAGGACGAATTTGGCAGCGGTCTCGGAATCGGGATCGGGGAAGACGAGCAGACTTCTGCTGCTGCTGGCGCAGATTCTGAGAATGGAGTCCAAGCCGAAGACGCGAGCTCCATGGCGCCCAGCACCACCAACGCCTCGGACAGTGATACGCTTACGCAGCAAGAACGAGAGGCCATCGCTGCAATGTCTACACCTTGAACTGCACTGACAGCAGTGTCCCGGCATCATACTCGTTCTGTTGAGGGGAGTGCAGTCGTGGCGTCCATGAGTCGATTTCTATATGTTAGCGTTTTCGAATGCGGGCTTGAAGAGTTATTGGCGTCGAGCAGACATTCACGACCGATGACGATCTACTGGGGCGTATAATAGCCATATGTTTACATTTTGCTCCCATTACATGGAGAGAGAAGAGAGGAAAAGACCGCGCTGGGTGGTAGTAGGATGATGGATTTTGACGAAGTTGATACCCCTGGACACGCGAGCGTATATAATCAGCATGAATCATATGAATGGTCGGGATAAGAATGAGTCAGTACAGGTTTGTTTTCTTGCTCGACTTTCTATCCACGGCGCGATAAAGATAACCCTGACGATTCGTGAAGTGTATTTGCTTATAGAATGAATGCCGTGTTAGGGTTAGGGTTGATGTAGTAGACTATCTGCACACGCATCGCAATGAAGCCGTGGGATAGTGTGGGATCTCATTAATTATTGTCTCAATACAGATACTGCGCGAAAAGTGTCGGTCTGCTACTGCTGAACTTAATCTCTTGCGTGAAGAAGTCACATTCATTTCTAAATTTCACTTCGCCCTCTTCAAATCCGCCTCAAACTCTGGTGAAAACCACCTTCGATCCAGCCCCGTAGTAAGAGGATTCGTATCAAAGAGCCTCAACGCCTTGTGATACAATGCAAGAGTCGCCTTGACCTCATTAACAGGTCTCGGATCAATCTGTACCATTTTCCAAAGTTTCGACTCCCAGGCATGCTGCAAAGCTCTCCGGCCAGCTCGCAACATCTTGGTAGTTTCAAAGTATACAGGTCTGGAAGTCGCTTGGAAGTCTGGCATGTATTCTGGACGGTTGGTAAGCATGTCCAGGTGCTCGGCGACTGCGTATTCGACTCCTGTTGGCCAGGTTTTGGTTTTGCGGTCCTGTTTATTATTGCTGGGTTAGCTGCTACTTTGCTTGTTATTGCATCTCGCAATTTCTGTGGGACATAATCTTACCGCATAGAATCGATTCTCAACTTCCAGAAGCTTGTCCAATGTCCAATCAAGGTCACTGTGGTCCAATTCCGGCGGATAGACTCTGGTGCCATCATGGTCCCACAGCATTTCTGCTCTCGATTTCGCGGCCTGGATCACCCAGATAGGCATTGGTCTGTCCCGCATCCTAATCGTTTTGAATTCCAGCAGGTAATCTCGCCATTCGTTGCTCAGGTAATCTCGCAGAAACAGATCTGGATCGCCGTCTCGCACGTCTACTTGAAGTTCCTGCTGGCGTAAGTCGTGCCCGCCACATTGGATTCGGCCTGCGTCGCGGTCGGCCCTGATGGTGACCATGGGAGTTTCTTTGGTAGACCAATCCAGGATATCGAGATCGCCGTAGTCTTCTGCTGCGAATATATCGGCTCTCAATTGAACTGTCACTTCGCGATCGGTGATGTCGTTCTCTTCGGCATCCTCCCACGGAAGTTGCTGATATGCATCGGTTATGTATTCCACTACCTGGTCCGGGAGGTCGGGGATACTGTCGAGCATTTCTTCCACAGCTTCTCTGACTACCGTCTGCTTTGACATGAGGATTTCGTCTTCTCCTTCCTTGATCAGTCGGTCGTGGTAACGAATGATGGCAGTAAAAGTGCTCCTCTTGCCGCGTTTGTTACGTTTCCTCTGGACCTGTTGCAGTCGCTTAAGGCTTGAATTCAAGCTGTGAATGGCGATTGCAATGGACCGGGCCAGAGATCTTCGCAGATACCGACCAAGCTCCCCTTGATGTAAGTCGCTGTAACTCCTGACTTCCGCAGTCGCCAATGCTCGCTGCTCGTATCGCCTGATAGCTCGGAGGTACTCGTTCTGATCAATGATGTCGTCCCATTTTTCACGCAGGTTTGCGTGTAGCAGCCTGTTGAGACCCGGACGGAAGCCCTGTGCCTGGGTGATCTGAACTTTGGACCACGTGAAGAATTCCACCCACTCTGGATCGACGTCGCTCATAATGCTTGGTGGTGGCTGTTTGTATGTGTCTCAAGGAGTATGTTCGAACAAACATTTCGTGCGAGCGGGATAAAGACCATGGTGAATATGTGACAAAGCAGCAATTCTCCGGAAAAGTTCATGAAAAAAAGTACAATGAGCACGCTAGCGCCAAAAAACACCATGGTGATGTTGGCTCAATCATTGAACGTGTGAGTACCATAGGATATGTAGAAATGGGGGAAGAACGCATTCGCCATGTCTTTGCGCAAGATGTAGATATTCATGTGTCTTGTATTACGCAATTCATTCACCTAACTTAGACTTTAGCGCTAGTGCGGACAGAGAGATAGGTCTAATACACTCATCAAGCGTCGAAGTATCGAGCCAGTTTCGTGAGATGAAGGCTCTCTAAGCGACAGAATTCGTAGCATCTGCCTTCGGCCGAAGATCCGTTTCGACACGCTTCCTCGATTTCGATATAACCTTCTTAAAACATGCAGCAAAGGCATGGATCAAGCATATCCACCGTTTAGCACCACGGAGAAACTTGGTTTATCGCTGGCTTCGGACAGGTAAACCTCAAGTTCATCGGTCGTCTCGATCACCCAGCTGTCTTCGGTGCCGTCCGCATTCTTGACGATGCCGCTAATGTTCGAAACCGTGGCGGCTCCCGCTTTGCTTGTAGCATTGGCAATCAGAGACTCCATTGTGGGGGATACCAGCTTGCCTAGCCACATCTTGGGATGATGACCTATGATGTGCGATCCCTGTCCGAGCCTGAAATATGCATTGATCGTTGGTAGTGAAGGTGGCTGCATGAGAGATGCCGAGAGCGCCGGGTCAAGGTCGAAGTTGAAATTCCCATCACCGAAGCCGTTGTGGGTAAGCTCTTGAGAGGGCATCTGGGTATGAACATGAGTCGTTGGCGTTGAACCTTCACCACTCCCGGCAGTCTTAGCATTGATGATGCTTTTAGACCGTGGTGCTGGAGCGGCCCAAGCAGGCCCCGGTCCAGGACCATGATTGACATTCTGCCGTGAGGGTAGGAGCCGAGCACCGACCTTAATCTTATCGCCCTGCGCCCCGAGGAGTCAGCTGAGCTATCTTGCACTGCATGTATGGAATCCGGCAGCAATCTCTTCCAATTTCGTTTGCGATGCTTACCTGATATCTTTTCATCGTGTCACGACAGAGGATATCCACAGATCGAGCCTTTTGCGGCACTCCTTCTGCTAGAGCTTGTCCCAGTTTCGGATTCGAGTCGATCCATCTTTGTCGAAGCTGATTCCATCCCTCCTGCACGTTTGATGTATTAGTGGAGGCCTCACGAGGAAGCCAGAGTCAGCAGCACTCACCTCACCACAGAAAAGTCGAGACTCGAAATTTTCGGCCGTGAAGATCTCGTACAAAGATCGTCGGATAGCCTTGCTCTCCCGTGGATTGATGCCGAGGAAGTTGTTTGCCTCCGCGATGGTGATGGCCTTGCCTGCTACCCGCATACGTTTCGTGACGTCCATGCATATACAGTCCAGTGCGTTGGTCTTCTTCTCCTGTTCTGGCTGAAGGGGATGTAGCATCGCACTAAGATGCATGTTCTCGCGGATGAGGCGCCGCTTGGACTCCTCCCACATGCCGTCTGCACATTCGGTCTTCTTGAWGATGCCCATTTCCTCGCAGATGGTCTGGTAGTCTTTACGCACGGTGATATAGTGCTCGTTAGTGAGATGCAAGAATGCTTTGCACTCGTCCAGCGTGGTCTCTGAGGAATAGCGAGGCTCAACTTCAGGCGCATCTGGAGGAAAGTGGCCGTAGCCTCGAATCCGGCGACGGCGCTTTCCCGAATGCAACCTCTCGTCGCTTTCCCTTTGCAGGTCGTTCAAGCGCTGGATGCGCTTCATCTCCTGCTCGGGATCGAGAGAGGGCATCAGCTCGTCGGCGTTGTCGTAGGTTGCATTTGCTTCGGGTTCATGCAGTGCAGCAGCGGCCTCCTAACAAGGTCAGCGTGAGTAGTCAAAGCGGCGCAGAGGATGCATTACCAGCTCTGCCATGAACGGATCCGCGTCGTGGGTGGCACGTCTCTTGCGAGTCTTCTTGACAGCTCCATCGGCGCCAAGGGTCTTGAATCCTCGATCACTGCGGAGAGAGAGGCCATCTTTTGCCCACAACTTGTAGAAGTCATGTCGGCTTAACGACCATCCTTCTTCAGCTAAWGTGGCACGGATGTCGGTCTGATTGACGTTTGCTTCCCACAGCTCCCTGATGCGAGCCGCGGCAGCATCTTGATCATCCGCGGTGAGCTTCTTCTTGTGCGGCATGAAGCCCCATAGCGAGAACTGTCGCAAGAAACTCCGCCGACTGTAATGCCATCAGATTCCGATTCGCGGCATTGTTGAGCATCGTCTACACTCACCATGGCAGGTCTTCGGGCGCGACATTCAGACGCTCTGCAAAATACTGGGCGATCTCGGCGCCGGATTTCTTCTCCTCGACGTAGAGGCGGAAGCACAGCTCCTTTTTATCGCTCCAGTCGTACTTGGGCGGTCGGCCAACGCGCCGTTTGGCAATATTGTCGTCGTCCATGATTTCCAGGGTTGTCCAGAAGATGCAAGTGGACAGAAGTGACGCGGCAACTTTGATTTGCTTGGGTTTCAAGGTTGGATTGGAACGTGGGGTAAGGTAGGAGCGGCGCTCGGGATATCTTCGGGGGTCATTTCCAACTCGGCCGTCACTGCCCTGCCGCTGTATACTCACCATCCCACGACCTTCGAAACTCCATCAACGAATTGTGTTCAGGCCACAAAACTTACGACATCTCGACATGTCACAAGGGTAGTCGGGGACAGAGCGGATGATGCCTTCTGTGCATTCATTTCGTTTGTCCTGGCCGACCGCAAAACATACCCCCAAGCTGGAGCCCTCTCGACCTTCCCTTACACATCATACCTAGAAGCGTCGAAACGCTGGACTTCCTCTACTTCAACTACACTCGTGTACAATTGATTCCGCTGACGATTACGTGCTCATGATCCATTACGTGATGGTGACATACAAGACATGTAGGCAGTGCTAGTAGCTCACATCATGCGAGTGAGGCAGCAACATGCGTCAATCAAGATGGGAAGCGGTTCTAGTGCCTGCCGTACCTTCCAACAGGTGTTTCATACCTATGTAAAGACATCACACGCAGTCTGGAATTTGGCAGTGCGCATTGCACCCTACTGAGCTCCGGTGTCGAACAAAGGAAGGCTCGACGAATGCATCAGGATGTACTTCTTTGTTCGACGGCAACAATAGCTGTATGCGGTCGGAGTCATGGTATAGTAAGTGTTCAGCGTGGCCGCGCAAGCCGCGCAACGTACGCGGCACATCTCTCCGACGAGCAGCACCACCGACAGGATGGATAACGCCATTAGGAATCTCAAGGAGTTTGAGCGTGGAGCCTGGCGCCAATTCAACGGGAAACATGAAGCCGCGCCTTTCCCCGTCGAACTTGACAATCTTCTTAATATGGTATGGGAAAGTCTGTCGTCACGGAATCAAATACTTGTAGGAGACGCGGCGGACAACTTCCTCACCCAGCAGCAGAAGTACCAAACAGCTAGGAATTACGTTGCCTCGACCCAGGACTATCGAGGATCCGGCAACGACGATGATGATGCATATGGTGAAGAGAGCGATAGGCCAGATTTTGCCGACTGTACGTCAATTCCCACCACCAGAAGCTATCCATTCCCACACTCCAAGAGACATTGGCCTTCTGGAGCTATTGGATTTGGAAGCTGTAGACCAAATCGCTAATTCTCTCTTCCCTCAGATGCTGCAGGCAAAAAGCGTCTGTTCGCGGTTCTCGAATCCGTGAACAACGCCGCCCAGACACTACGAGAAGCTAGGAGAATGTTGGGTCTACCAAACGACGACTACGGAGCTAAACTTCTCGAAATCCTGTCGCGGCACTACCAGGATGCGTTTCCAACACTGCAAGACGAGATCGACAACCTGCCCAACGAGCAACATGCTGCAATGGAGAGATTGTCGGAGCGCAAGCGCATTGCCGAGGGTGGTCTTGGTCCGCTATGGCAAGGCAAATGGTATCTTGGTGGGGGAACGTTTGGCAAAGCGAATCTATTTGTGAAGCAGGATTCATCTGGACGAGTTGCTGATGTGAGTCGAGTGTGAATATCATTGACCTGGAACTAGTATACCTAACATCCACAGCACGTTGTCATCAAGGACTCAATCTTCAAGGGCATCGCGCGTCAGGTTTGGGACCTCAAAGAAATTTGGACCGACTGGAAGGGCCCGGATGATCCATCCAGTATTCCGACTGAAATTCAAGCCATGTACAATCTAAGAGACAAGGTCGGGTCAGAAACCATTGTCAGGATTCGGAATTGGAGGATCCGCAGGAGGGACTTCTTCCACCGCATTTACATGGAGTTTTGTCCCGGAGGGGATCTGTTCGACTTCTGCTCTGGATCCAAGAATGATCCCTATTGGGACGGTGCCGCGAGACGAGAACTGTTTCCGAATCATGATCTAAGGACCACTGTGAGGCTTGTTCCTGAGCCATTCCTGTGGTCGGTATTCCTGAGCCTGGCCGCCGCGGGCTTGCTAATGGAGAAAGGCACGCTATACGAAGATGGAGTCGACGATGATTGGAACCTCATAGTTCACAGAGACCTGAAGATATCCAATGGTACGTCACTGCACTTGGAAAGAAAAGCGACATTTCGACTACAACGTCATGATCACACCTACGGTCTAATATGTGCAGGGACTAACAGATTGACAGTATTTTTGAGTTGGAATTCGACCGATCGCTTCAGGGGATATCCTACATGCAAGGGTGAGCCAATTTGGTCGGGTTGTATCGCTTGAAACATGCTAACCGTACAGTGGCCGACTTTGGGCTGGCTCTGTTGATGCCACCTGATAACGACAAGGTAGCTGAGAACTACAGTACACATGGCACACCTGGAAACCGAGCTCCGGAACAAGCAAGGGCTATACCGGCTGGTGATGGGACAACAAAGATGATGTCCTCGAAGACAAACGTGTGGAATATTGGAGTTGTGATTTGGTCACTTATCGTCAGTAGTTCTCCGAGGGTCTCTCCTGCCACTTATTACTGATGCGCCAGATTCAGGTTTGCGAGGAAGGTCTCCAACCCCCATACGTGGAGTGGGAAAATGCTCAGAGCAAGGTAGGGAATGCAAAAAACCTTTACTCACGTGCGTCACTGCTGAAGGCAAAGCGCTGATTCTTGGCCGTTCAAACAGGTGCTGCCACAACTTGACCTCACCGCCCGCTTGTTCTACAGCGAGCCTCTACTATCCCTGCTCTACAGATGTCTTGCCTACAAGGATACAGACCGACCTACCTGCGATGAACTGATGGACGAGGTAAGCAGTGCTGAATCGCTACATCTTTCCCATTACGACGGTTCTTTGCATCGGCCATTGTTTCTGCATGATCAAAGATCCACTTTCGCTACAACATCGTGGTCATTCGCTGCCAGACTACGAGCGCTGAGATGTCCGAGAGGGGTCTATAGATCTGGATGACCTCCGATGCAAAAAGGCGTAGTAGACACGCGAATCTAGACTGACGGTATTTTTTCTAGATCAAGGAGATGACCGGGGACGGTCCTTTTGATATGGCGTCAGGTCTCCGAGACGCAGACACGGCAGATGCAAGATGGGCCAACCATACGATCATTGCTGCGCCTGCCACATGGACAAAGGATATGATGTTACAGGACGTTCCACATCCCCAAGGCGGACAATACGCTGCTCCTCCCCCTCCAGGAATTCCGCTTCCGCAGGACGACTTTGGTGGTGCCACTGGAGCGGAAATTGTGCCCGAAGCTCCCGCTACAGGACAAGCTGATTGGCTTTGATATCAATGGCCAAGAGGTGGGAATATTGGAAATCGATGGCTCTTCTTGTAGTGAAGGGGCGATAACGCTCACGAATAGGTAGGTAGCTACAAGCACGAATAGAAGCGGCCTTGCGGAGATTTGAATGTCTCGTCGAAAAATGTCTTCTAAGAGTGTCTCTTAATCGTATTATTGCTATTGTATGGAGGAGTTGGATGTAGAAAAAGCATGGAATCTTCGATCTCCGATAGACTTGGCTACCGTCGTCAAGATAGTGACAATATCGAGCACGATAAATCAGTCAGTGCGCACTGGGCCAACCGTGGATGTCAATCTGTCAGCGTCGAGTGCAAGGCATACTATGGTAGATCCCTGGAAGGTGGAGCTGGAAACTCTTTAACGTAGATTCTACATGGAACCACATGAGAGTATGCTATGTCTAATAGCCCACAGAAAGTGTGAATCGTCATAGAACAGGAAGCAGAACTCAGAAGCTTTGGACATTAGAAAGCTTGTTGTGTGAAAAGGCACTACGCGCAGATGGTGCCGAATTTCCTATCCGTCAGTGGTTGCGGGAAGATGCCAGCATCAATCAACGCAAACGCATCCCACTCCGGTGCGCCTGACTTTTCGGTCTTGAAGTTCCAGAACACCCACCCTTGGGTATAGCGCTCAAAAGCTTCTATTTGGGCTTCAATGTACCCTCTGGTATCATCCTTGAACYCCTGAGACCACGTTCCTATGTTGTTAATGCCTTCGCAAGACTTGACGAATGTTGAGCCTGGGAAAGTACCATCGTACCGTGCGCCAGTGCCATAACCATTCAGCTCAGCTGCGCAATCGGTCATTGCCGCACTCCACTCGCCTACGAAGGTCCACTTGTCGCCGCCATTGTAGACAAAGGCGTTATTGCAGACGTATTGTCGGTGCTGCCAAGGCTTCATGGCAACCAGATCCGGAGAGAAGACCTGATACTCATGATGATCAATCGCCACATTTTGGGCGTTGGCGTCGGAGGGAGTGAGGAAGCCATTGTAGTAGTTGGTCGGTTGGAAACCGTCTTGGACAACCACAACTCTGGACTGGCTACTTGTACGTTGGTTCCCGTAACCTGATGCAAGCTGTCAGTAGTTGAGACGTGTAAACCCGTCACAAAGACAACTCACCATCGCGTACGAACTGCTTGTAATTATTCAGATCCAGACTGGGTGTGAGCGGCTCGTTCAAAAGTTCAACTCCAGCTATCACATCGTCGTAGATTGCAGCACCATATTTTGTCTGGATGACAGACAACACGTTCAAGGTCTTTTGTACATTGTTTCCGGCCTGCCATTGAGGTCCCGAGCACTTTTGTCCACTGTTGTCGAAGCAATTCTGAGACCCCGGAGCGCCATGAAGATCTATCATGACCTTGAGACCCACTGATCTCGCCCAGTCAATCGCCGCATCGATGTACACTGCGGCGCCTGTAGCGTAGGGAGAGTCCGAATTGTCGTATGCCCAATAACCGATCGGTATGCGAACCAGATTGAAGCCTGAGTCCGCAATCTTCTTGAAATCTGCCCACGTTGCCCAGGTGTCCCAGTGCTGCCTCAGAACAGTGTCGACCGCCACTTGTGCTCCTAGCGACTGCGTCAAAGTATACTCGTCTATGATTCCTCGTTCGGTTGGAAATCGCTGGAAGATCGATGGGCATATCCAGGGCTCCAACACCAGCCAGCCGCCGATATTCACTCCTCGCATCTTTTCCCTCCCCCAATCGAAACCCGATGCTGCTCGTCTTTGACTATTTGTTGTCTCTATCAGCGGTCGTTGCTGACCAAACGATCATGATACCGACTCACGGAGCCGCATAGGCATATGATGCAGCGCACAGCGCACAGAAAGCATTCATGAGTAACATTGCCGTGGAATTGTGCCAAAGCAAGTGTATGTGGTGAGCTAACTAAGAAATGTTATGAGATTGCGGCCTATATGGAGTCGTGCTTGCTGAAAGCGCCGGAGGAATGCACGCATCAATTCGTGGAATGTCAATTTCTATAAGCAAGATAATGAGTGGACAATAATGATGGGGATGTAAGTCGCAAATACAGGATTGAGCAGGTTAGAATAGAAGGGAACAGGATAGACCGGGAATAGGCTCGACCGTGACGAGAGAGTAGCTGGGATAGGGAGAGGGATCAAGGCAATGGATGTTACAGCATCATTTGTGCCAGGGGCGATCGGGGCGGCGCAGCCGGAAAGTGAAGTAAAATATGAGATCAACATGCTACCTACTTGCGAATGCATGACCAATGCCGCGCTGGCACACGGCAGGAAGTGTTTAATTCAGGTCGCTGTCGTGAGACTCGGAAGTTCTGCATTTGGTGTGCCTCCCGCGGATGGGGCCCATGGATTTCCACCCGGGCACCTCAGCGTCCGCGCAGTACATGAACAGGGGTATGGTAGCCACGTTGTGTATATTTAGCCACGTCCTGCCTCCCGAATTCCGCATGCGCTCCAGCCTCCTTCTATGATCACTTCATCTTCGATGCGACGAATTCGCTTTATGATCATCATTATGCCTACTATATGTGTGCATGTTCTCCTGCTTCCAGCGATGCGGCGCAACTGTGTTATGAAGACCATCACTGATCGTGCTGCAAATCCGCCATGAATGCAGCAGTGCCTCGAAATATGCCTCAGACCACCTCTGTAATGCTCTGCTTTTCAATGACTGACAGCTGTGAGTCGTCTCTATACACACGGAAGTAGTCGTCGGTGAAGTCAGAGCTGTTCATGTACTGGAGGAACTCCTCGTCATGAGTGATGACAACCAGTTGGAAATTCTTCTGAGTGCGCCGAGTCTTGATGATCTCCGCCAAGCTGGTCGCCAGGGCACGAATGTTCTCACTGTCGAGATTCGTGGTGGGCTCGTCCAGCGCAATGATGCCGCAGTGGTGGCCGAAGCAGTCAGCTAGCGCCATGCGAATGATGATGGATGCCAGGACCTTCTGCCCGGCGGAGCAGCGTCCACGCATGTCCAGCTCCACATCCTCCTTCATCATCACAACGCGGTAGTTGTAGGACTTATTTGCCTTGACTGTCTCGTGCTCACTGCGAATCTTGATGCTGTCGATGTCCGTACCCTGGTAGGTCCCCCGCCAGAGTTCTTCAACCGTGGTGTTGATTTGCTCCATCTTCATTTGGTGATATTTCATGATGGCTTTGTCGAGCGCGCCTCCGTAACGTGCAAGGTCCTCAATAGCGGCCTTGGTAGTCTCAACCATGACGTGTGCAGAGGTGTACTCACGCGCAGCATTCTTGTACTCGGTGTCGTAGGTCTCAATGCCTTTGACGACCTGATCATCCTTGGACTTGATCTGGCCCACGAGACCGGCGTGTTTGGCAGCAATTTCGTTGCGCCYCATTGACCAGTTGTTGGCCTTCCTCTCGTTGCTGATTTTTTCGTCTTCCGCATTCGCGCGCTCCAGCTCTTCGATCTCCTCGCGCACTTTCTTAAGCTGGCGACGGTCTCGACGATATCGCTGGTTATCAGTGATGCTGCGCCTCATCTCGGAATGGCTACGGAGCTGATCTTCTACCTTTTTGACATCGCGGCCGATGCCGTTCTGCTCAGCCTCCAAGCGGACCTCATCGGCTTTCATGCTTTCGACGTCTTTTCTACCGCGGCGAAGCTGTCCATCGCCGTCCCGCTTGTGATAAGACTGAATATCCTGATCCGCCATGCGCAACTTGTTCACACTCTTGTCAAGCTTGCTCGATTTGTCGTGCAGCTCGCGGTCTCTCTCGGCGGCACTGCGCGACACATCGTCATATTTGGTCTGCGCCGTCGCCAGCTCGGTTGAAAGACCTTGCAGCTCTTTCTCGTACCTTCCAATGTTCTCCCGCTCGTCGGAGCTAAGCCTCTTGTACTCCTCCTCCTGAGAATCCAGGGATTTCTTCTCCTTCAATTCGAAATCAGCGGTACTGAGCTTGCCCTGCGTGTTGCTGATCTCTAGTTGAAGAGAGCTGATCTTGCTCGAGGCTCGGTTCTGCTGCTTGGAGGCCTCCGCAATGCGGGCGCGAACCGACTTTTGTTCCTCGCTGTTTTTCTTGATGTCTGTCTGGATCGCTTCAACACCACGGGATGAGCCGATCTCCTTCTGTCTTGCCGATAACTCCCGGATTTGAGCTTGCTTCTTGGCGAGATCTGTGACGTATGAGTTGATGTTCTGAGTGGTGCGCTGAACGTCCACCACCTCGCGCCTCATGGAGCTGCGCTCGGTGACAAAGGTGTCCTTCGATTCCAGTCGGGTGACCAGCTCGTTTCGTTCATGCTCAAGCTTCGTGACAGCTGCCTTCTTGGCCGGTAGTTCCTTGTTCAGTCGCTCCCATTCCTCAAACTCGGCGCCCACTTGCTTGTAAGCCTTAATTTTGGACTCACTCTCTTGAAGCGCCTCCTCCAACTCTTTGATGTCCTCTGGGGACTGTCGGATCCGCTTCATGTTCTCTACATGCTTCACCATTTTATTTAGAGCCTCTGCGTCTTTGAATGCACGAAGACAAGTCTTGCAAGCGTTGTTCCTCTTGGCCTCTGCAATGCAGCTATCAAGAAACTCCATTATCTGACTGAAGCTCTGGGCGCCCGAGACAGCCTCGTCACGCTCACGCTCGAGCTCATCGATCTTTTCGAGATAGCAATCTGGTCCGGACCCGGTAGCAACCTTGATGGCATCTACTGCAGCCAATATACCCTTCTTGGCCTTTGAAACCTCCGCCTGCCGCTCTGTAAGTCTGGAATTGACCAGTTGTAGTTCGTTGTTCACCCCATCTCTCTGCTTCTTGGCCTCATCCAGCTCATCTTCCCTGACCGAAAGTGCGCGTGAGAAATCGCGCTCAACCGTAGCGGGAGACCAATTGCCACCCAACAGCCTAGCAAGCTTTTCGCCATGCGACGAGGTCATAGTGTCAAGGCTACGTTGAAGATCGTTGACCTCCTTCTGCAGCAGGTCCAGCTGGGCGGTCTCGTTCCCACGACGGCTGGCATCTGCGGATTCTGCATCGAGCTTCTCCCTGAGGTCTTCCAATCGCCGCATCTCATTGTTGTCAGTGTCGATTTTGGAATCCCATGCTGCCTTTTGAAGGTCCAATCTGGCACTGCTTAACTGGGACTGCTTCTCCTGAAGCTGTGACTGCAGTGTGGCTCTGCTTCCCTCATCGATGTTGATCTCCTTCCGCTGGGCCCGAATGCCGTCGATCTTGCGGTCGTAGTTCGAGATGGTTGAGCGAGATGTCGTTTTAGCTTGACTTAACGCGGACCTGCGCTCATTGATTCTGTTCAGCTCTTTCTGTTGCACTGCAAGCTTATCCTGSGCTTCAGTGCGCGCTCGCTCAAACTCGGCCTGGTGGTCCCGCTGCATTTTGCTGATGCGCTCCATGAAGGCTTTAGCGTGTGTTTCGTCGATGTCCAGGTCGAAACCGCGAATGTCAAAGCTACGAGCAGTCTCCTTCACGRGCCGCCTCTGGCTCTCCACCTGGCGATCGTAATTCTCCTTCTGCGCCTCGTAAGAGCCGCATTCGCGCTCACGGGCAATGCGTCGGTTGCGCGTGTTCTGCACATCCTCAGCAATCTCGTGGTAGCGGCTCTTCTTCGCGTCAAGCTCTGTCTCGTATGTTTGGACACGACTCTCGTACTGCTGAAGCATGATGTTGAGTTCCTCGTCACTCTCGGTCATCTCTTGAATGTTCTCGCGGAGGCTTTGCACGCTCTCCTCCTTGGTCTGTTGCTCAATACGCTTGCCTCGCAATTGACCAACGATCAGCTCGTTCTGGCCAATCAGCTGGCAAATTTCTTCGTAGTTTGCTTTGGCTTCCTTTTCTTGGCGTGCATACTCGGCCGTCTGTGTCTTCAGCTCATCAATCTCAGCGTTCAGTGCCACCATTTCCTCTCTGCACTTCTTAGCCTTGGTGTTGTTGACTTTTGCGACATCCTCGTTGGATTTCAACTTGATTAGCTCGATCTTCTTGTTCTTCTGCATAACTTTGATGTTTTCAATGGCCTGGGTGTACTTCAGTGCCTCGAAGATCAAATCGAAGCGCTCCTTCAAGATTTTCGGTTGTGATAACGGCCAGAGCGACTCTTCCTGGTGACAGAAGAGGACGCTGTCCAAAACAGCTTTTGAGACACCAAGAAAGCGAGGCATCATGGTATCGATCTCGAAAACGCGAGAGCTGATGACGTTGCGCTCACCGCCCTTCTTCACGAGAATGGTTGCATCAAGCGTCTTGAATGTGCTTTTGGCCTTGCTGACGGTAAGTTGCATGTTCCTCGTGCAGACCATCTTCGCCCCGTCGGCCGCTGTGAACTGGATCTTGACCTGCGCCATGACTTCCTTCTCACCGGCCATCTGAGGATCATGTACAAACGCCGACCCGACAGATCCGGGAGGCATGATACCAGTTGTGCCATACTTCAGACATTCGATGATGGTGGTTTTGCCGGACCCATTCATGCCAACAATCAGCGTAAGTGGTGAATGGAACTCGATGGACATCGGGCGCCGGTGGTCGAAAGACCGGATGCCGAGGATCGAGAGCTTCTCAATCTTCGCTTCACCCGAGGAAGGCATGATGGCAGTTCCGGACGGCGACGACGAAGCAGAGATGCGTGTAAAGGTGAAGACACACCTAGGTGCGGGTGTGGTGAGGTGAACACAGGACGGAAGATCAGACGGCGTCAGTCGTGTTTGCTCACCGTTTGCTGCAGACCTCAGGAACGCCGAATTTGGCGGCGATGGTCGGCTGGCTACTTCATCACCAGGTGATGTTGGGTGATGTCTGCTGTTAGTTCTGGAGGTTACCTGGTAGGCAGTAACGTTAGGACGCGACGGGAACCGCGAACTTGCGCGCGTCAACTCAGAATAAGCTTTGGGCCCTACGCGAAGCGAACATCAAAGACGCCTCAGGTGTTTCGCCACATCCGTCCCCTGCGAGCACCGCCTTATCGGGGACAGCAGGGTTTCCAACAGCTGGAGACTTTCATGATTACCACAAACACGAACCGCCCTCCTGCCCTGCCACTACCCACAGGACCGAGTGCATACAATTAATCTACGCAGAAGGAATCGCGTAGCTGTACCTCCTCTAGATGTGGGGCAACCCCCTGCACGCCAGCATATTCCCACGCGCGCAGTAGGAGGACTTGCTTGATTGTGGTCTGGACAACACTGGCCAGCGATGAGCTATCATCCTGGCCAGGATGGCATCCCGAATATGGGTATGCGGCATGAGGGCGGCAGCATGCTCGACTACGACGTGAGCATGGACCTCGACTTGGACCTAAGCGGACCCGGCGACCACTCCTTCGGTGCCATCACACCTCAACACGTGAGCAGCGGCAATGTTGCCAGTGCTGTTGCTGGCGATCAGCACCTCGGCGCGAGCAATGGCGGAGGCGGCAGCACCTTTTCGAGTCAGACCCAGCAGCAGGATACACAGATGACGGGCGCTGGCGCTGGGCCACTCCCTTCAAGTACGTGAATGAGCAAGAATGAGCAAGAGATGTACCCCACGCTGGTCAACTAAGTCATGATAGGTTTTGGCATGGCTGCGCCTAYTAACACGAGCACACTCACCGAATTCACCAAGCGGCGCAACTGGTCGCAGCGCATAATTGAAGAACTCAAGGATTTCCTCCAYATTCTAACGCCGGACGGTCGAATCCTATATGTCTCACCTTCCTGCAAGCATATAACAGGCCACGACCCGCACACTCTCATTGGAAAATTCATTGGGGAGTACGTGCATCCCGACGACAGCGGCATTTTCATGCGAGAATTCAACGAAAGCATCGCAAGCGGAAATGGGTTGCGCTTCTTCTACCGCTTCAAGAAAGATGACGGGACGTACATGATATTCGAATGTGATGGCCATCCGCATATATCTCCCGAGCCTCCCAACTCGGCTTCATACGGTCAAACACCTGCTAGCAAGTCGCAGGCCGCCGGTCTCTGCAGGGGCTTCTTTATGATGGCTCGGCCGTACCCAACAAGGAATGCAGCTTTGCTCGATTCTTTCTTGGAGCACAAGATCGAGAATGAGCGGTTGATGAAACGAATAGAAGAACTGAAGCGTGAAGAGGCGGAAGAAAACGCGGAGCAGGACAAGTTGTTTCGCGAACRAGGGACTTCTCAGGGCGTTGCTGCTACTGTCACGGCGTCCGAATCTCAAAGAGCTTCGCAGGCAACAGGGGACGGAGCATCTGAAAATCCAGCCCCAACGCCCAACTACCAGGGCATGCCTCCACCGGCCAAGCCGACCATATCCAACACGGCGCTGACCCGCCAAAATCTCGACAGCGCATTATCAGCGCAAAGACCGGACAGTATCGCCGACAAAATGTCTCGGTACGAGGCAAGCAACGGGCATCTTGAGAGTATAGAGCTGCTGACTGGTCTGCGATATCGAGACGGCGAGCGTAGTCACGGCATCAGTACAGGGGACACATCGCCCGCACTTATCCGCGGCGACGCGGGTATTGCTATCCTCCTAGACCGTGATCGTGAGGGCTCGAAGAAGGAGAAGAAAAAGCTCAAGGTTGCGGACGAGTACGTCTGCGCGGACTGTGGAACACTAGACTCGCCAGAATGGAGGAAAGGGCCTAAAGGTCCCAAAACCTTATGCAATGCGTGCGGTCTACGATGGGCGAAGAAAGAAAAGAAGCGGTCAGGAGACGACGGGAAGACCGACTCTCCAAGTGGAGGTGGCAGCGGTATGGCTTCGCAACAGCCATTGCCGATGGGTCTGACGTCCAGCGGCAATCCGCCCGCGTTGCAAATGCATAATAGTAACGAAAGCGGGGGCAGCTTATAAGACCTGACAGTGCGAGCGCTGTGAGTTCCACTTTAGACTGAGTGTGTGTCTACTCTACGAATCATGTATATCTATAGATCCTCTATGTCAAGCGTCTTATTTCAACGACGAACGTGAAGCAGTGCTTGGTGTTGTGGGTGAGGTTGTGCCCGCTGTTTGAACTTTCAGGCTAGGTAGGGTTAAGGTATGATTGAAGATCGACAGAGTGGAGGCCTCTTGCTTGCTTGTAGTGGCTTCGTGAGCTGTTCGCCTTCACAAGTACATATTGCGTCTTACAGCCATGTGGAATTTCTGTGCGTTCGTCTGTACATGCTGAAAGAACTCGTCCAGACCATCGACATGGCCTCTCCTGTGGCAGCGCGGCGACGGTTCCTTGAGGCAGCACATCGACTACCGAGTTCGCGATGCTTGTACCCGAACAGCGTGCGGAGCTATGCCACGGAGCGGAAGACGGAGGAGCGGGAGTCATTCAAGGGGCAACTCTACCAGGCCACACATGAGCGGGTGCAACGCGAGCGAGAGGAGCAGTCGCGATTTGCGCGGAGCCGTGAGGCAGCGAAAAGCAGACGAGGCAGAGCTCCGTGGGTTGTGCCTTTTGTGCTCGCAGTAGGCGCGCTCGGTGGATGGTTCTTTGGCAAGCAGACGCCCGCTGCGCCGCCGACCACTTCCACGCTTCCACTCACGCAGACGAAGCCGCCACAGCATGACACCGCTCCTGCAACGCTGCAGGCCGCCTGGAGCGACTTCCGCGCGATAGTGGGCGAGGAGAACATCTCGACGCAAGAGGGCGACCTCAAGTCACATGCGGGCAGTGAATGGAGTACGCACTCTGCGCTACCGGGAGATGTGCCCTTTGCCGTTATCAAGCCTGGMAGCACAGAACAAGTTTCGGAGATCATGAAGGTGTGTCACAGGCGAAGGATTCCTGTGACGGGCTACAGTGGAGGAACATCATTGGAAGGGCACTTTGCGGCGACCAGAGGTGGCATTTGTATCGACTTTAGTCGCATGGACAAGATTCTCGCACTCCATACTGAAGATCTCGACGTTGTTGTGCAGCCTGCACTGGGTTGGGAACTTTTGAACGAAGAGCTGGCGACTCACGGCCTGTTCTTCCCTCCAGACCCTGGTCCAGGAGCCATGATTGGTGGAATGGTTGGTACCGGATGCTCTGGCACCAATGCATATCGCTACGGCACCATGAAAGATTGGGTGTTGTCTCTAACGGTTGTCATGGCCGACGGCACCATTCTCAAGACCAAGCAACGTCCGCGGAAAAGCAGTGCTGGCTACGATCTCACTCGCATGTTCATTGGATCTGAAGGCACTCTTGGTCTGGTCACCGAAGCTACACTGAAGGTTACTCCTAAACCTCAAACCACCAATGTTGCGGTCTGCACGTTTCCCACCATCCGGACTGCAGCAGACGCTGTGTTCCGCGTTGTCGGCGCAGGAGTACCCATTGCTGCCATTGAGATTCTAGACGACGTTCAGATGCGGTGCATCAACGAGAGCGGCTCCACATCTCGTGCCTGGAAAGAAGCCCCAACTTTGTTCTTCAAGTTTGCCGGCACACCAAGCAGCGTTAAAGAGCACATCAGTATAGTTAAAGATCTGGCGAAGAAGGCTGGAAGCAAGACTTTTGAATTTGCACGCTCCGAAGATGAGCAGCAAGAGCTCTGGTCTGCTCGTAAGGAGGCTCTCTGGAGTGTCATGGCGCAAAAGAAGAATGACGGTGACAAGGTCTGGACTACTGATGTTGCAGTTCCCATCTCACGCCTACCAGACATCATTGAAGAAACAAAAGCAGACCTCGACAGGAGTGGCTTGATCGGTGCCATCGTTGGCCACGTCGGCGATGGTAACTTTCACGCCATCATTCTCTACAACGAGAAAGAGCACGACGTTGCCGATGCGGTTGTGCACAAAATGGTCAAGCGAGCCATTGAGATGGAGGGCACAGCGACGGGGGAGCATGGCGTGGGGCTCGTGAAGAGAGACTATTTGAACCACGAGATTGGCGAGTCGGCCGTGGATCTCATGCGAAAGGTAGGTTATGACGGCTGCGGGAACGAAGCATACGCTAATCTCCCACTTTTTGCGCAGATGAAGCTAGCATTCGACCCACTCTGTCTATTGAACTGTGACAAGATTGTACGGGTACAGCAACCAAAGCCAGGTGAGGTAGCAGAATGGTAGGCGTTCGGTGAGCATGCGTATCGCATACCTTCCGGGCTTGGTTGCCCCTGGTTGACAGTGGAGGTTGTCGTTTTGTTCTAGGCGTTGCTAAAAAAGCCACAACTTTCTTCGAGAGTTCACATTCACTTCTCGATCATTCTGCGCACCCGACGAAATACAAAAGGCCGTGTCATCCATTAAAATCGCCGCGCCGGACCCGTTGCGGCTCAAACGCCGCCTCAAAAGCAATCATAATCAACAATTGATGTTGCCGGAACGCCTCGCTCGCTGGAATATGCTTCGATAACAAACGCGTCCCACAGGTCAAGTTCTGCGTGTAGACGATTTCCCTCCCAACGGCTTACTGTCTTAATGCTGGTTCTCGGCTCGTGGTCTTGGGGGTTGAGAATCGTTCGGTCGTAGTAGGCGTGAGCTCAGCTCAGCTCATTGGTCTTCGAGCTGTCCAAACATGCCTGCAGTAGCACTTGTCAGCAATGCTCGTCGTCAGCGAACCTGGCTGGTGGAACATGCACTTACAGGTTGATGTACAAAGGTAGTGATTCCTGCTGGACCACTGCCAGAACGCGGGCACAAAGTTGCTCGACGTGATGAGGTGACATGCCCAGATATCTTGTGAAGAGAGCCATGCTCATGCCGGTAAATGACTGCGAGCCAGTATAGCCCATTGTCATCTGATAGCCGTGCGCGAGCTGCTTCTCTTGCAGGTCTCGCCGGTCTGTGCCACAGAGAGGCACCCGCACCCGCTTATGGCTCACATCGACGAAGCCAGCCTGCTCGAGCAGCTCTTCGGTGTCTTCTCGATACGCCAGAGATTTGCCTGCTCGGTCAGACGCCTGTAGCATCCAACCCCACCAATTCCAGAGGTCAGTGGCGTTCGCAGGAAAGTTTGGCTGATATGATCGGGGTGTCCAGTCGATTTCTACATGTTCGATCTGGCCACTGCCGGGACGTAGACATCTCCAGGCAGGTCAGCTTCTGCAAAGTCTTGCCTTCATATCACCAATCATCGTACCTGTAAGCTTTGCCATATTGGTCAAGCCAATTGGGAACGCAGCCAACGAGCTGTGCCATGTGAACAAAATCAACCGAAGACTCCTCGACTGGCCATTGCGGAGCCGTAAAGTCTACGGGGGAGCGAAAATTGAGGCGTTGAGTTGATTTGACTCCTTGCGGTGGCGCTTCCATATCGAGACCAATAACCTCTGCGCTTGGGTACCGACTCTCCATGTCCAGCATCCAGAAGCCCGTACCAAAGCCAATGTCGAGTATTCGACGAGGAGTAGTCCTCATCATAGCGACGTGAAGCTGATTGTTCAATGCCACGCGATATATCAGCGAATGCATGACATCCAGGCGCTCGAACTCGACCTTGTTCGAGTACAGTTAGTACGGTTGATGTCTCCGGGGATAACGGCAGGAATCATCTTACATCGTCTGCGGGAAATAGATACATGTCATTTTTGAATTTGTAGTATGTTCGCCCTTGCTCTGAAAATCGGTCGACCACGCTTGCGGTGTCCTGTCTCAACAGCGCGGCAATGGGTACTCTGCAGTGACGGCGTTAGAGCGGGCGGGAATGGTAGGATAATGGGCGGGAGTGATGACCTACCTCGACATCGTCACCGCGCCAGTCTCATACGTCGAGGCCAGGCCGCCGGAATGATGGATTGGCTTTGCCTGCAACGCAAACATCCGTAGGCGGTGATGGTGGAGGTTGGGGCTGAGGAGCTCCAGTCATGGAGCAAAGTTGGCGGAGCGATTGGAGAAACACACAAAAAGCAGAAAACACCTCTCCCACCCAACAAATCAGTCAGTATCACAAGCCAGACCGTCTGGAAGCGCAAGAGGCGGGGGACGAGCCTCGAGCCTTATGATTTCGAGAGCCCTGCTAAGTTATGTGGAGCACTGGCGGGAGTCGATGCGCAGAAGACGGTCGAGCTTTGACCAGGACCCCAATCCATCGGGTCCGGCGTCAAACTAGCACTCTGTCTGGCTCTGCTGCAGTCTCATCAACTCCACCGACGCCTCACGCCTCGCCCTCCTCATCGTCGCGTGCGTTCTACCGACTGGCGTCTACTCGCAAACACCCGCAACCCCCTTGTACCAGCCGTGGCGACGTTCCATAAGAGGATGCCAGTGCCAGACGCCAGACGTTCGGTCAGCAAAAGCTCACTGCTCCCGCTTAGCTGCTGCTCCTTGGCCGACGATCCCTGCGCATGACAGGCCTCTAGCAGCCTGCCTGCAAGCCCGCCCGTTCTGCGCCCGTCGCGCCCATTCTGCCGGGTCGCACTCCGAATGTCCTCCCAATCACGGCCACACTCACTCCTCGCACCGCGAAACCACTCCTGTGCAGCGTCCGCACCCCCTAGCACGATGCCGCTCGGAAGATTGCTGAGATAATGAGCGCTGCGGTGTACCCGAGCGAACCCGAGCGAACCGGCCTAGTTGCTGCTCATCATGCTGCACATGCTGTACGACACGGTATGCATCAGAGCACATTTAGTTGGCACAGCACCGCGCTCATGGTCTGTCTGCTCCTTCCTACCCGTGAAAGAGCTCGTTCCTGTTGAGCGCTAACGCGGTGGTAACTCTATCCCAAAGGACGTCTCCAATGTCCCTGCATGTGGTGAGGCCGCTCTACCATCGGCGGGCGCTCGTGGGGGATCATCACCGTCCTGGGAGCGATGGTGTGGCAGTAACAAGTCTGAGGTTGTATTGACAGGCAATTTTGCTCTACTTGCAATCTTGATGAGCTTGGCTGCTTTATAGCCTGCTCCGTGGCCTATTGTAGTCCGCCTTGTGCTATTGCTAGCAGGGCAAGTTGCGGAAGTGGATTTTCGAACAGTGGTGTAACCCGAACCGCCCACCTCACGCCCWCCTCACACCGCTCTCCCCGATTTCATCACAGTTGGAAGTGTTCGCGCTCGGAAGCACGGCTGGCTTCTTTTGTTGGTTCCGCGATCTCAACCAACAGACGATCTCGAACTGAGCGGCTGCGCCATGCCGCTTCACCTGCTATTCGCCATGCTGTTCCAGGCCCTCGGGCTTATCCAGTCTGTCGGAGAATTTGATCCGTCTGTGCGTGGAAATACACATTAGTCCACGAGATTCAGGCGATCGCAGTGCTAAGCGACGAGGTGACCACGGAAAGCTGCGTCAGCTCACGCTAGCGTTGAGAAGCCCACAGTGACAATCGGTTTTGTCTTGTGTGAATCGCACCCGCATGGCCTATGCGCCATTGACYCCGTCCTCCCGCCGCCGCCGGCCGCAGAAGCATGAAACAACCAAAGTGAATGACCGTGGGTTTGCCGTTTGACGGGCCACGACTCCCACGAGGCCCCCCCGAACTTGTCGGCGTTGTCGCTACGTCTGAGCTTGTCCTTCATGCTGGCACAGTTCCTCATGCATCGAGATTGAGCTGACTGAAAGCGGGCCGTCGCCGTCGTTCACACGTCGCTCTGGACATTGGACCATACCCTTGCTAAACCCTTGCCAGGCTACTGTGACCTAGGTCGCCCATCTTAACTTCAATGCAACCGCCGACGAGACGGTCACTGCTCGCTGCTCTGTCGATGACGCTGTCACCTTGACGGAGCGGGGCTATGTACGGACTATAAAGTACTATGAACTGCCTTGCAGGCGAGGCGACATGCACGAGCGCGCTGCACATGATCCGAATAAAAGGTAGCGGGGATGAAGAACCCGGCACGCATACCTGGTACAGGCTACGATTGTACATGGCGAAGCAAGGGGGATGACATAGCCGACTTTTGGATACTATCGAACCGTATGGGACGAACGTCTTGCATTGCTGGTGGCTTCAAGTTCGATGTGTACAGTCGATACCAGATTCCATGTCATCCTGAAAGTGTACAGGCGCAGGCATTTTGACAATTTGGTGTAGGCATGCCACGGTATGTGACCGTGACGATGTTAGCAGCATCCTGCACGCTTCACATGCAGCACAGCGCAAAGGTGCCAGAGGCGAATACAACATGGCGGACAAATGTCCCAATGTGAGATAGCTGCGTTGTTCCCTGCCTCCCCTTCCATTTCGCTAATGAGATATCCTGGCATTCCCACGTTCCCTTATTCGGAATAGAAGCCTCAAAAGAGTCGGGCCAAGACTGAGAACCGAGTGATGCATGCTCTTGATCCAGCTAGCCACCTTTGCGGCCGCCGAGCTGTCACAGGCTCACAGCTTCCAGGTATGATGGGATGGGCACAAAGCAGTGGATGTGAGAACTGTGCGACAAGATCAGCGCTTTCCACAGCTGTCGATTAGTTGACGAAAGATTCTGCTGATATCATCAACCCTAAGACTGGCCAATGTAACGAACCGAGAATCAGAGGTCTTTCATCTGGTCTCAGAGTGACTTCGAGATCCCAATTCGGAGAAGCATACTCATATCAAAGCTCAAGGCGAGCATCACCTACAGCCTGATACGTCGGAATGCGATCGTTCCAGGGTACAGACTACTCTCGCGGGGCCGCAAAGTGGCTGCCACGCACCTGGAAGTGGGGACYGTAGTATGCTCATGAAACCAGGCAAGAAGATGCGACCGCCACCATGTCGCCGCAACCCCAACTGCTGGGTCGCGTGTTGTACGCGAGCCATGGCCGCAGCCTCGGAACCCAGATCACACGCTTCTCGATACTCAATCTCTGACCGCCGGCAAGCTATTCCAGGGAACAATCTCGCGAGTGACAACGACTCGCATGACGGCTTTTGGGAGGCACCAGGGCACTCACCGCAAGATCGTGTGCATCCCGATCGCTCGGGAGAACTCGCCCGGAAAAGACGTTCAATGGTGGCACTGGTCTGCCTTTACAATGCACGTATCCACTTATTGGTTAATGTTGCCGGTAGCAAAATTTTACTTGTAGGTGCGCGAGCAAAATTTCACACCAATCATCACATTTCATAATCTGCCGAGTGGTGCTGTGCTGGGCGACTTGTGCTGTGAGCCGCGATCATCCTTCATGTCTTTCACCAATTAAATTTGTCCTTTCAGTAGCCGTCTCAAGATGTATTCTTGGGCATAGGGAAGCGAGCCATCAGCTCCTCGATTTTGGGTAATAGGTCAGGGATGCGGAAGGGCTTGCTGACCACGTCGTTCTGCAAAAGATTAGTCGGACTCGTATCTTCCGAAGCACTTCGCATATCGACTCATTGACAAGAGACTGTGGATGGAGATTGGAGTTACTTACCATTCCTGCTTCTAACGCGGTCTGAACCTGTTCAGCGCGAGCGTTGGCCTGTGTGGTTTGTCAGTTCTGGCCGTCGGTTCGATCAACAAAGAGAGGTCATGACGGACCGTGACAGCTATGATCGGTACATGTCCTGTCAGTTTGCCCTGYGCCTCTAGCTCGCGAATCTTCTTCGTGCAGGTCAGTCCGTCCTAAGAACAAGTCAGCACGTTTCGCCCCCAAAAATGTTATCCGTATGAGTACATACCATGACTGGCATCTCCTGATCCTGTTCGAATGAGAATTAGCACAAGTGATAGCCAGAGCCAGAGCCAAGTGCGACTTACCATCAGGACAACATTGAGCTCGATTCTGTCCTCTTGGTCTTGACCATCGCGCCAGTAGGTTGATTGCATTAATTTCTCAATGGCTTCGCCCCCGTGGTTAGCTACGTGTACCTCCATTCCAATATTCTTTAGTTGTTTCGATAAAACGCGCTGGTTTACCTAAGATGCGAGCGCAACGGTTAGCAATGCGTTTCGGCAATCATTCGAAGTGCTTACCAAATTGTCCTCCACGATCAACACCTTCTTGATGACAGGCTTGGAATCTTTGGCGATCCTCGCAGGTGCTTTCATCGAATGGCTAGCAGTCGCGGAACCGCTTGATGAGATGCTTCGATGCGCAGGCTTCGCAGCCATGCCAAACGCAGATGTCGACGCACCATCAAGCACTTTAGGCGCCTTGGTCGTTCGGGCAGCGACGTAGAATGCGAATGTAGACCCCTTTCCAGCTTCGCTCTCGACCCCAATCTCGCCGCCTTGCAATTCTGTCAACTCCCGGCTAATGAAGAGGCCTAGGCCGCTACCACCATACTGTACATGGGTCCTAGGAGACGCTTGACTAAAGCGAATGAAGAGTAGTTTGCGCTCTTCATCCGTCAAACCCCTGCCGGTGTCACACACGCTGAACACAATGTAGACCTTCTCACCGTCTCCCCACTCCTTGTCGCTCAACAATWGATCTTTGTTCTTCCTTCGAGTAGCGAAGTACTGAACAGGAGCATTGGGATCATCGCTAGGGCGCCTCTTGGACGCTGCGACGGTAACAGTGATGGTTCTTTTACTCTCAGTGCCGGTGAACTTTATGGAGTTGGTAGTCAAGTTGATCAAGACTTGCAGCACCTAGAGGTAGAGGACTAAGTGTCAGCAACCGCATTGTTCTGAGGATTGAGGTGAATGAATCCGAAGCGACTCTATCTGAGAGCCGGCGCATACGGATGTATCATGCAATTCGCCGTACTCACCCGACTTGGATCGAAGCGAACCCAATCCAGAGCCAGATCGCGGTATGACTGGTCAACTTTGAATTGCATCTGAATATCGGCGGCTTGCAATTCGCCTTCATGCATCTTTAGAGCTCTTTGTACCACCGTGAGGGGTTGAGCGTCCACCGGGGTGACCAGGAGGAGTTGACTGTCAATCTTCGAGAGCAGCAGAATGTCGTCCACGATTCTCTTCTGATGCTGGCTACACAAACTGATCGTCTGTGCTGCTTCCAAGCAGGAAAGAATGGCTTCGGAGCTATCCCCGTCTCTGCGGATCTTGGCCAATGAAGATGTGATTTCGTCTGAGCACTGTAAGATCGCTGACAGTGGATTCCTGTGGTAAAGTCAGTAATGCTGCTCCACACACGGGGCGCCTTGTATGCGGTACATGCCTCATTTCGTGCGAGGTCATGTCGATCTGTTGTTTGTCTCGTCAGTGAATGTTTGAACATCGTGAGTGTCCTCCGGCTTCTGGTACTCACAAAGTTCTCTTGCTGTCTCTTTAACTCCACAGCCTCCTCCATCTTACGTGTTTGAATCCCTTCAGCCCATTTCTGCTGGCTGATGTCCGTGATGCTTCCGAATATGCTCTTCAGTCTGCCGTCGTCGTACTTTTCCGGGAAAGCAGAGAAAAGCACCCATGTGAAGTCGCTGTTGTTCTTGCCGCTGCGGTCTTGCCACGGCGCCTTGAACCTGAACTCGCTCGAGACTGACTTGACATTCACTACGAGGTCCGTCCACAGTTCTTTGACGATGGATATGTCTTCAGGAAGGACAGCGTCCATCCACGTGTCTGACGGGTCGGAATCCCTGGGAACCCGCGAGATCTCGTACCATGTGTCGTTGGCAAATGTAATTCGGCCTTCACGTCCTGCTATAAAGATTCCAACTGGTGCAAACTCTGCCATGCGGGTAAACTTGGTTTCGCTTTCGATGGCTTCCTGCGTCCGAGCGGCGAGCTGCTCGGAAAGCTCAATTCGATCCAGCGCGGCGAGCTTTGCCGCTCGCTGCCCTCTCCGGATCTCTTCTTCGAAAAGAACCACAGATGCGAGAGAAGTGCCTAATTGTCTGCTCAATAGCGTTAAGAACAGAGAGTAATCGTCGTCGAAGGGTCTGCGAGGGTTGACCCCTAGAACCAGAAAACCCAAGACAGTGTCACCTGTCGTCGGATGGATGGGACAGACGACGACAGACCGTACCGGGTCTCCGAAACCACGACACTCAAGGCCTTGCATGAGGCTCTCGGGTAGCTCATGACTACCAACTTCCAGAAGCACGGGTTTATCAGTCTTCATGGCTTCCCGAAATACTGGCCCGAAGCCTTCCATGCCACTTTTGAGGTCAATTTGGTCCGGGCTCGCATGGTGGCCAGCWGGTATGCCTAGTGAGCCTTCTAAATAGCACTGCCGGGAGGCGAGAATGGAGTTAGAGTGCATGCTACTGCTGTCGCTGTCGTTCTCTTCCGAGACAGAGTAAAGAAGTAGGAATGGACTGTCGTACTCGTTGAACTCGAAAGAACCCTGTACCTGGGAAAAGAAGCCTTTCACATCGCGAGCAGAAGCCGTTCTTTCTCCGACTTCTCGGAGCGTTAGCATGCGTCGTTCTGCAATTTTCCTGCGAGTCCTGAACAGATATGATATTTAGTACTCCATGCCAGTGATTCGGGATACCAGTACATGCACTCACTTCTCAAAGGCGGGGTTGTACAAGCCCATGACGCTTCCATCTCTTCCCACCATGGGAATGATACTCCACGAGAAGTAGGTCTCTTCCAAAAAGTCATCGCGGCGGATAAAGAGACAATCATCGTCCTTCATAGTGGCTTCACCTGTGAGGCGCGCGGAAGCGAAGACGTCCTTCACGTCGTCCCAGATTTCTGCCCATGCAGTGCGATAACTGCTCAATTATTAGCAACTATGTAGAGCCTCGTAACACAAAGCCATGTCCCACCTCTGCCCCATGAGCTCCGGATGCTTCTGGCCGGCTAGCATTATGTAGGCCTCGTTGTAAATGGCTACCAGATCATCTCCCCAGTACTGTAGACACGGAGCAACAGTGTTAGCGGAGTCTCGCACGGCCAATAATGGGGATAGAAACCAGCGAGGCATGGCTCCCAGTCTTGAGCGCATTATGAGATATAGATTTTGCTTACCATCGCTGCCGGATGAGGAGATGCCATGATGAGGTTGCACATCTGCCTGAGGTCTGAAGTCCAGTATTCGATAGGCCCTAAGCTTGTGGACGCCCAGTCTATACTGCGCGCGAATTGGATGTGTTGAGGCATGGAATCTGAAATCGGCAATCTCGTCCAGTCGAAGCTCGCAGAATCGCCTGGCACGACGTCGATGATGCTAGCGAGGGCTTCGTCAGTCGTGTAATTCTCCCGGTGAGTGGTATTGGAGTCTATTGAGCCAGGTGTTGGCGTTGACGGTACATACGCGGTACTCGAGGGCAGCAAATCCGTGACACACTGGAGATCGAGGCCGTTGGGTACTAATATACGCGCCACTCCATTGCCCTGGGCGACGTGACCAGAGGGCTGGTGTTCCTCGATTGTAGACATGACATCAGTATTGCTGCCATTCGAGCCACCGGAAGCCATCTTGTTAGCAGCTTCAATCTGGCCGAAGTAATCAGCGGGTTCAGGAGATGTTTTGTCCTCCAGCGTATTGGGCAATGAGGCTGCAGGAGGAACTGACACGCGCATCGCAGCTGTTGAAGTAGGTAACGGCGAATTGAACGCTCCACTGATGATTCTCAAGCGTCTGCGCAGCGTCGAGCAACTCCAAGTCATGTTTGCAAAGTTGAAAGCAGGAAGGCAGACGTTCAAGCTCTCGCCATTGACGGCCGCCGACAGGAGCCACGACTTGAAATGCAGGAAGGTTTGGCCACCTGGGGAAACTTCACTGAAAGATGTGCCGGATACCAGAGCATGCACGCCCTCATACGCCCTCAGCGAAAGGTTTGAGAACACAAGGTGAAGTGGACCTGGCCCGTAATTTTCTCGTTCTCCGAGATCCACGATGAACGTCGGCCTTTCGTCTTGCTCCAGCAGCTCAAGAATGCCAATTGAGTGAAGCACATTACCTATGCCGCCCACACCGTCCCTACTGCCAATACTGCTGGTGTCGGGACTGGCACTGCGTGCCGTTGACGCGCGGTCCGAACTCCTCCTACTGCTATATGATGTGCTGGCGGGATGAGCCATACCGACGCTGGGCGTACTGACGGTACCTCGCGCCAGGCTCACCGTCTTGACATGGCTCTCCTCGGATCGCGCCTTGCTCATCATTCTTGCTGCCGCCTCGCCAGAGGAGAAGCGCGGCGGCAGCGAGGGTCGCTGGCGCGGACTGTTGCTGAAGAACAACGGCGAGGGGGGTTGAACGCCCTCGGATGTCAGAGCCCCGAGATGGTGACTGCTCAGGGTGTGTTTGTAGCGCGGCGGAAGTTTGAGACGCTTGCGGGACGGTTGCGACGTAGGGCCAGAGCCGGGTGTCAACGCCTCCCACGAAACCTTGCGCTTGGAGAGTGCCGCTCGCGGTGTAGTGGATGGAGGGTAGACGATGGTGGGGCTCTGTGCGGGTCTGGCGTGCGGCCGTGGGCTGGCAGAGGGCGGTGGATCAGTGAATGAGGTCCATATCGATGGGGAGTTGCGTCGGTCGGAGGAAGTGGTGTGCGCGTTCGAAATCTGCCTTGCACTTCCGCTGTATCGGCGAATGGGGTCGAGTGTGCTTCGAAAAGGCGACGAGGTCCGCGCAGGCAAAGAAAGACCACTTGGAGCTGGACTGGTTTCCCGTGTACTGATGCTGTCGTTGGCCGTGAATATGGACTGTGTCATTACTGGCTATAGGCAGTGTAGGCGGCGCTCAGCAGGAATGGTCGTGGATGAGGTCATTCATCCTCACCTCGGCCTCAATGGTGAGGTGTTGGTTATATAGGATCTATAAAAGAATGCTGCGTCTAGGAATGTATACTGGCTGTCGTAGGTGAACAAAGCCATCGAACTACCTCAGCCAATCCAAGAACGGCTCGGTTCGATTCGATCCGATCATGGAGAAACCTTGCGACGATCACGATCGAAGGCCGATACATGTACCCCCTACCAGGCACGTGGATGAGACGATGCTTGACATCCCCGTCCAACCGGCCAAGCGTTTCTGAGCACATTGCAACATACAACATTAATAATAAAGAACAAGCAGCCAAGCTGATGTTGGCATGCGTGACGCCTGCAGCAAAATGCACGATCGTATCTGAACATCACGACAGAATCTTGCTTTCGCCATTACGTAGATTGACAAACGAAGCATCATCCGAACTGTACAAGAAATCTGCTGTCTCGCTGTCTGTCCCGCCCTCTTTTCGATTATGCTGCCGCGCCTTTCGCTCCGACTGAAGCGCATCGTCGACGGTCAGTCTCTCCCTCTGCAAGAACCACGACACCAGTCCGCGAGATTCTTTGTCCTGTCGAAAAGTCAGTCGGGGCCGTTTAGTGGGCGTTTCATATCAGAATGGAGACTCGCCTCGTCATGGGTCCYAATCCAGTGTTTCGCTTTCAGAATCCTCTGCGCTTTCAATCCGTTGTGAGAGCCAAGATTGATGAGCTGCAGTGTCAGACCGCCAGTGGGAGTTCCCAGGCGTACGCTGTGAAGACCGTGAAGAAAGACCAAGGTAGAAATGGGAGGCACTGCCTTTGGTATGACCTCAAAATCCGCAAAGTGCACTCCGTGAGGCGTGTAGATCAAGGCCTCGGCAAGCTCGTCCTCCTTGCTGGACACAGTGGCATTGTGCCGTGACCTGTACGTATCCATTACGCCTAGCTCACTGGGAGATGGCCCCGAGTTTGACTGCGCTATGCCATGCCCGTTGTCAAAGGTGATTAACAGAGCTGAGTGGAGGCCACCACGATCTCTGGTCTGTCGAAGTTGGCAAATACCTAGCCACTCTGGAAGGAAAGGATGTATACTAGAGGTGCGCCAGTCGAACGGCTCGGCCGTGCCTACAACTCCAATGGGAATCACGGTGCGAAAATGGCGCCAGCTCTGAATGAGTGTCGCAGCCTCTTTGAAAGCAAAAACTGGCACGTCCGGATGCGCCTGAAGCAGTGTGTCATGATGGCAGTGGTCAGTGAACTCGTGGCTCACGGCAATCACATCAATGAGAGACGACGTTCCTGTAGTGCCCCCCCGGACAGAATTACGTGCGACGTCATCAGAATCAACAGGCGTCTCAGCAGACGCAACTCTCTCGATGTCGCGTATGAGATCCTCCAGTTCAGCGAAAGATTGCACAGCGCTCGGTGTGGCGTGAAACTGCAACGAGAACCAGCTGGCAATATCACTTTGACCTCCCGCGAACCATGGATCGATAACAATGTTGAAATAAACGCGGGAACCTCTTCTTATGGCGGTTTCGGGGCGGGGAATTTGGAGCAGCCATGAGCTGTCATCGTTGAGGTGGTGGATGATCGGTCGTCGTGGCTTCAATGCCTTGTGCGTAGAAGCTTCCAATTCGCGAGAGAGCTGCCGGGCGGCAACGTCGAATACCATATCTGCTTCGATTCACATGTCGAGAGCGTGGAGAGAGGCCCGTCGCTAAGGCATCTTCTTTAGCGTGACAAACGCGGAGGTTTTACAAGAATTGGTTAGGGTGGAGACGGAAATCCATTTGATGACGGAGACCTCGGGAGGATCCGTCACAGGATCACAGGGCAAGGGAGCACAGCCACCCACAGCCACCACGTGACCACGAGTTCCATGGATGTCGAGGGTCGAGTTTCCCTGTTTGCTGCCCAACCGCGCAATCCCACCTCACCATTGCCAGGATCAAGATCCTAACGCCCAAGYAGATATCAATGTGCACGGGACGCCGACACTATTCTCAACACTGGCCAGACTTCTCATTTGCCCGCTCACAGCGTAACGAAAGCTCCTATAGTTCTCATCTTCCCTAGGACGGACCCAAGCCTGTGCAGCCACGCCCTGTTCCATCTACGATCGGTGTGTGGCCAAAGAGCAGCTGGCAGAGTGCGCAGACAGCAAAGACGGCTCCTGCAGCGCTTGCGATAATGGGCGAGAAAGACGCACGCAGCAGTGCACCTCCGCCGCCAAGCTACCAACGGATCCAATCTGGAGGCGTAGATCGCTCGCAAGAGCAACATGACCGTCAGCAGAATGTCTCGCGTACTGCTGGACCAAGTGCTCAGCGGGGCGGGCTGGCCTCTAACAATCCATTCCGAGAAGCGAGTGCAGCTCCTCAAGATCACCGCCCATCCAGTAGTAAGCCTACGCCTGTTCAGGAATACCAGCCACCTCCAGGGCCGCCTCCTTCACACGCAAACAAGGATGTAGAGATGGGCGACGACGACTATGTTCCGCCTCCAGGCCCACCGCCGGGCTACTCAGGGACAGCAACGCGTGAGGTTTCCAAGGCACCCACATCTTCAGACGACATGGAGCCTCCTCCATACGATCCATGGGTTGGTCCAGATGACAGTCTCCGCCCTCCGCCCTCTTTCGCTGCTGCGCATCCTACAAACGCTAGGAGTCCGGCTGCTAATGCTGACTATGATGATGCCGCGCGGGCTCATGTAAGTAAGACCGAGGAGAGGAGCTGCAGATCGTTTCTTGTGTCAAACGTTCGACGCGAGTCTCCCAAGTGCAAGGGAGCGCTAATGCAATAGCTGGCCCTGCGTGCATGCATGCAATCTTCATATCGCGCACAAGGGAGGACACTCGAAACTTGCCAGCGACCCATGCCCCCACTGACCATTCCATTTTCAAGATATGCGCTGACCCTTTCTATTCGTTACTGTAGGCCTGGTGCCGCGAAACGCCTCTATGGCGAGCCACTGATCACAATTCCCACATCATTGAGCGTATTCAAGCTGGCGACCTGAGATTGACTGTCCCTCCGAACACGACGGATGTCACGCAATACCAGCCTACGCTGGGACGGAGCTATATCAGAACTTCATCTAATGTCGGCGACACAATCATGCTGTCCGACATTCCCATCTATGCTGCCAACGCAGAAAGTCCTCTGGTGACTGGCCGGCCGCACACCCTGTACTTTGAGGTCCACGTTATGGGACTAGGCGATAGGTGTGTTAATCCTGACTCCATCGTCTCACGATCGCTACTGACGATCATCGTCTTTCACTTGCAGGTACAATCCAAGCAACACGATTGAGTCCGGCATTGCAGTCGGGTTTGTCGCTCCCCCCTATCCAGCCTGGAGGTTACCAGGCTGGCATCGAGCCTCTCTGGGAGTTCACAGTGATGATGGCAGACGCTACGTTGACAACAGTTATGGGGGGCAAGACTTCACCTCGGCTTTCAAAAAGGGTGACGTGGTGGGCATCGGCACCACTTTCCAACCCCCAATTCACGGAGATCGTGTGAGCATGCGGTGTCAGGTCTTCTYCACGCGGAACGGCAAAAAAGAAGGCTGGTGGGATCTCCATGAGGAGAAAGACAGCGATGCAGATGAAGGCGATGTCACGGGTCTGGAGGGCGAGCACGATTTGCTCGCAGCTGTAGGCGTCTTCGGGAGTGTTGAGCTCGAATGCGTGTTCAACAGGGCCGAGTGGATGTTCAAGCCGTAAGCAGGTGGACGAGCYGACTATCTACCTAGGTATGCGACAAAATCAGAGCAGACGGCGAAACTTTCTCGCACAACTCACCCTTCAGCTTTCATCTTCAGTACATCCTTCATTTGTGTAGGGACATCGGGCATTTGATCTCAACTGCTGACCTTATCGTCAGAAAACCGGGCCATCAAGCTATACATGCCACCCCTGCTGCCCCTCATCTTCGCCGGAAGTATGAGATCGGTATAATCACGTTGAGCACCGACTATGCATGATGATCAAGATCGGCCACGGGACGCTCACCATGCATAAATGTATTCATGTGACAGCAATCCAATTTGCAACTGACACGCTTACAAAACTGCAACCGCCCAGGACATCAACGATAGACTCGATACCACAGCGCATCGTACGGAGCCATGACTTGGTTCACATCGTAATACAACCTCGCCAAGCCGCTGTGGAGACCCTCGTGCCTTGCCCCATCCGTCTCGCTTCTTCACGTGAAAGCTCTCATGAACTTGCTGCTTGCTGTTCCCCACACTCCCTGTGCATGCAGTGGTTTCCACTTCCGCAAAGGAGCCCCACAATGACACACCCAATAGTGAGAGGAATGGAGACGAGTGTGCATGAGAATGTATACCTGCTGCCGCTTGCTCACCCAAYGCATAAAATGTACCTGGGCCGTGCTCGGGTAAGCTTGACAAGGGACGTCCGAAGGACGTTATAAGGTCAGACCTCGAATCTGGACTTGCTTACAATGTTCCGCAGGTAGTCTTGCGAACAAAAGGTGCTCTTAATAATACCACTGCTGTCCAGGATGATAGCTACGACCAGTCTTCCCACCTCAATCTCTCGAGCACAACTCGCAAGAGAAGCAGCATACCAGCTATTAGCACAACCTCGACCCGATGCAAGTATCGGTAGCCAATCTACGGAGAGCATCGCACTTGAGAGATACACACCAACAAATATGGATGGACTCCATTCAAAGAGCGAGAGTCGTCTTCGACCACACAATCATGACRCGATGTCATATGTTCTGGTCGCTCTGCTAGCCACATTTTGGCTTTCATCGGTGTTCCATTCGACTGTCTCCAGACACGAGGCTTTTATAGCAGCCGCTGTCGACTTTCTTCGCGTTGCAGCGGTCACCGCCATCATCTACCTCTTGGACCACTACAGCTCCTCACTCCTTCATCGCGACCTGCAACTTTCTGGCAATGAGAGACCTGGCCTGGCTCGCACATTCGCATTGTCACTTTTGTTTGTCATCGTTGCTGATTGTATGAGGGTGGATGCAAGGCTGGTAATGTGAATCGTTTGGTGGTTGCGTGCGGATGAAGATTCGGCCAAATGGCGCTGTGTTAGGACAGCAGAAGGACATGTCCAGGTAGACGGCCGAGCCTGACCGGGTCAGCCTACGCGCACGGAGCTTCAGTTGTGACAGCAGCACGAAGCCAGTAGCGCAAGGGTCGTGTCAGCCTGATGGAGCACGCAGTCGTCCAGCACTCGGTAGTGAACTATGACTACACTAAGAGGTCCAGTTCGATCCTAACCATGGGGAAGTGATTGTGCTGGAAACATCTCGATCTTCACTCCTCATAATCTTCTCCTCGCCTTGAAGCCAAAATGTACGGTCTCTGCTCCCAGAAGTCCTTTCCGATAATGTCAACATGCTCGACCACAATCTTCGCCTTCATTTTCCGCTTTTTCTCCTTTTCCAGCTGGTTCTTGCTCGYCGGATCTGCCACCTTCTTCTTTTGTGCAGACTTCTCGCCATCCAGGACATTCGACGTTCCGACTTGATCTCCTGCAACTTTCTCCTCTAGCATCCTCGAAATGACACTTCCCTTCTTGTAGATTTCCTCTTCGAAGTTGTAGTTGATCCCAAACCTGGCCCAAAGAATTTCATTCTTATCCTTCGCCAGACTGCCTTGTAGTTCCTTTTCCGCCTCTGCCCCGCTCATCCCACCTTTCAAAACCAGCGCCCAGAAGGTCGTATTATAAAGATTGTTGATATGGCAATCCGCCTGCCTCCAKCTCAAGTAATCCCTGAGAATTTTCTTCTTCGGATAGCACACACATCGCCCATCAAAAGTCGGCCACGGTCTCTCCAAATCCGTACCCTCCATGAATTTCGGCCACAGCATACAATACTCCGCTGTGAATGCCGTGGCTACGGAAGTTGCCAATTTCGCAGATCTACGGTCGAACAGCTGCGTACTCTCATGGAAAATGAAGGAATATTCGTCCGACTGGCCATAGGCGATGACAATTTCCACAAAGGAGCGTACAACTTCTACTGCAGCGGCATTCATCAGGTCCAGGGCTCTGCGGTCGTTTGGCTTGGCGAATGAGTACTTTTTCGTCATTTTGCTGAAGCCGCGCCCGTCAATGCGGACCACAATCCAGTTTGAGGGAGGCAATGCATCTGGTGTTTCGAAGTCACGAACATATCCGAACTCGCTGTTGGCCATKGTTGATGTAGATGCTGATGTCGCTTCCTTGCTTCTGTTTACGTTGTGGATGTAAGAGTCACGAAGATTTGAGGTCGATGCAAAATTCCGGTCAACTTGTTCAACCAAGCAAGCTCGTGCTAACCCACTGCACTGCACTCATCACACTCAATTCAAAAGTCAGAAATTCCGTCGAAACTGATTGAGAGCGAGCATGTTGCACATTGGCGTGTTTCCTTTCGGAGCCGCTTTTGCATTTTCGCATCTAGATACGGCCATTACCTACTTGCGAATCACCATGATCACAATGTCGAACCGAACGGATCACATTTCTTATCCATCGCCTTGTTGATGAAGCTATTCGCTTGATCCTCCCCTTTTGAAATCAGCGCGCATCGCGCCACTGAAGTCGCGATGTAAGAGCCTCAACTAGCACCACACTTGCCCAGCTGCTCGCATTACCGAAATGTTATAGGCGGCACTGTCATTCTTGTCGGCCTCGAACCCCTTGGAAAACAACGCCTCCAGCCTGAGAGCTTCCAGGTCTTGTTTTTTATTTCTTCTCCCCAGCCCCGTGAATCTTTCTCTATTCAAGGGCAGTAATGAAAACGCCATGCCAGATGCTCAGGAACCGCTTTGAGAGTCAAATAAACTCTTGTTGTACAATGATGAAAAATGGTGGAGAGTCGTAGCCGGGCGCGGCGTGGGCTCAGTGAAGAGAACGCTCGCACCATCAGCTCTATCTCACTCAAGCACAAAGCAAGGATTGTGTGCGGGACGACTACTTGTCGTCGGTGGGCGAGCTGGTGCGTATCAGTACGGAGATGATCAACTTTTGAAACCCCACCTTCAACTTACTTGGGTGAATATTGAGGACTGGTCGGGCTGTATTGCGGACTTGTTGGCGAGGCCTGCTTCGCCTGGCCAGGGCTAGTTGGACTGTATCCATTCTGCGCAGGGCTGGTCGGGCTGTACACGGGGCTTGTGGGCGAGTAGCTCGGGCTGGTTGGGCTCGTGCTGCTTGCTCCACCACCACCATACTTGGGACTGGTCGGTGAGAACGACGGAGATGTCGGACTGTAGGCAGGTGAGGTTGGGCTGTACGTCGGCGAAGTCGGCGAGTATTTGGGGGATGTCGCGCTGCCAGGGACATTGTACGCGGGAGATGTGGGAGAGTACGATGGTGACGTCGGTGAGTACGACGGCGACGTCGGGCTGTAAGAAGGAGATGTTGGCGAAACCTTGTTGCCGCCGCTGTACGCCGGCGAGGTGGGCGAGTATGTTGGAGATGTCGGTGTATAGGCAGGACTGGCAGGGGAGAACTGTGGCGACGTGATCTGGTAGCTCGGGCTGGTAAGGCCTTGGCCTGGCGATGTGGGCGAATAACCAGCCATGCCAGGGGATGTTGGCGAGTAGCCGTAGGCGGGCGATGACGGACTCATGCCGCCGCCGAAGGGGCTCTGCGGTGCATAGCCAGGACTCATACCACCTCGGTACGGGCTCATACCTCCCTCGAAACCACCGCCGTATGCCGTGAGGCCTCCACCTTCGTCTTGACCAGGGTTGATGATAGGAGAGAAGCTAGCGCCGTATTCTGCGCCAGCGAAGCCGCCGTCTGCCATTGGCGAGCCCATGTCGTATGGCGTCATGGCACCGTCTGGAGAACCGGCACCAACCGCCACGCCACCGTGAATTGCACGCTGCGATGGCGCCACAGAAGCAAGCATGGCCGTATCGAGCAGCATGTCGAACTCTCCGGTGCCGCTGGGCGCGAGCTGTCCGAGGATGATGTTCTCAGAGACTCCGCGACAGTCATCCAGCTCTCCCGAGGAGGCCGCGTCGAATAGGATTTCGACAGTCTCCTCGAAGGAACAACGCATAAGTGCGCCAGTGTCTGCTCGGTTGATACCATGTCTCGTAACGGCCATCAACTCACCTCTCGCGCACATGACATCACAGAGGATGGCCATGTGGCGGTGATTGACGTAGGATCCGTCGTTCGTCAAGACACCCTTCATTTCCAGCATGAGCGAAGCGCGAACGCCCTCAATACCAAACACGTTTCTGATCGTCTGGAAGTGATTGCAAGTGGTGCGTGTGGAGTCCACGCCATCAACAGCCAAAACGTCCTTGAGATTCACACCATCAGTGTCCAGGAACCACTCCGTGCACTTCGGATTGCCGGTGGATTTGGCGAGAGAACCATCGTCTTCGACGATCATTTTCGCTTCGCTCGAGACGAAGGCACGTTTGACACCGGAAACTCCGCGCAGGACGACGGTGTTGAGCATGTGGCCTTCCAGTCGTTTAAGAGTGTCCTCTTCCTCTTGCTCGGCGTCGCCCTTATCGCGGTTGCCGGTGTTCATGCGAACGCGTATTACCTGCTCATCGGCATTGTCGTCCGAGAAGATGACAGCAACATCCTTGTCGAACACTTCCTTGATCTTGTTGGCAACCTCTGTGACGGTCAATCCTTTGTCAAGAAGCTGGCGGCGGCCGAGCACGATACGCAAGAGCCATCTGCTCTGAGTATCAATGCTAATGCTCTCGTCAGGAATGATGAAGTAGGACTCGACCATGTCCACGTCAGCTTCAATGACCGTTCCCTGGATGTCAGGATCATAGTAGATCTCAGTTGTGTCTGTGACATTTCTCAAACTGGTGTGCTCAATCATAGACCGAAGCTGTTTGGCGGACTCCTGAGAGTCGCTCTTCTCCGGAGACTGATACACTCGCATGTTGGGTGTCTTGATGTTCTCCGCCACATTGAGAATCTCCTTCAGACGTGGAACACCTTTGGTGGTGGTCTTAGCCGTCACACCAGCCAAATGGAAAGWGTTGAGCGTCATTTGAGTAGCAGGTTCTCCAATGGACTGTGCGGCCAGAACGCCGACCATCTCGCCGGGACTGACCAGTGCGCGCAGGAAGCGGTTCTCGAGATCGCCAAGAATGTTGTCAAGAGCAAGCTTGTTCAGCTTGTCCTCCTTGACGATTCGCTTGAAAGCAAGGCGAGAGCGGAACATTGCCTTGCACAGAAGAGTCGCATTGAGATCAGCTTCTTGTGAAAGCCCGTCATCTCCGCGAATGATCTTGAGTCGGTCAAGCAAAGCCWTGATCTTTGGAATGGTCTCCTTGGGATTCAAGTCACTCTTGCTGTTGTCGTTGATCTTGAACTTGTCTCTCGCATTTTGGATCATACGATCAACGTTCAGTGGCAAGTATCGCTCTTCGGTTGGATCATCAAGGCCTTGACGAATCTTGTCTCGATCGGCTTTGATTGCTTCATACTCCTCGTCGAATAGCTGCTGCACGTCCACGTCTCCCTCCAGTTCGGTCGCCATCTCCAGAGTGTTGGTAGAAAGCATCTGATCCTTGCTGGCGGGGTTGACAACATCAATTTTGTACTTGCGATCAAACTGCGCGTGGGACGCGGTGATGATTTTCAAGTTCTGTTCCTCGATGTAAATGGCATCGAGGCCATCTTCGCCGTATGTGAACTGCAGAATGTCACCCAAGGAGTTTCGGACAGTTCCGTCGTACTTGATCATGATCTCCTCGAGAGCCTTGACGAGACGGCGCTGAATGTAACCGGTCTCGGCGGTCTTGACAGCTGTGTCAATGAGACCTTCACGACCACCCATTGCGTGGAAGAAGAACTCTTGGGGAGTCAATCCACGCAGGTACGAGTTCTCGACGAAACCTCGAGATGCAGGAGAATAGTCGTCCTTGGGGAAATGTGGTAACACCCTGTACTTGAAGCCGAATGGAAGCCGCTTGCCCTCAAGCGACTGCTGACCGACAGCAGCTGTCATCTGCGAGACGTTGGTACTAGATCCCTTGGATCCAGACTTCACCATGGTAGCAACGTTGTTGCAAGGCTTCATCAGCTCGTATGCCTTGTCACCAGCTTTGTTGCGGGCGTTGTCCAGTGCYGCCTTGGTCTTCGACTCAAATGTCTCCCGAACTGTCATACCGGGCAGAGTCTCCATTTCGTCGGCTTGGACTTCCTTCACGAAGCCGTCAACATTGGCCTTCTCCTTAACAATCATTTCCTCGATCTGCTGCACCATGTGGTCATCAGGAATTGTGTCTCCGATACCAACGCTAAAACCGTGGTGCAGCATCCAATAGCAAACAATGCGCTGGCAAGCATTGAAGAACTCAACAGTCGCATCTGTGCCACGATCGTTGAAGATGTAGTGAACGACACCATTCTGCGTGGCACCGACAACCTTCTTCCAAACACGGCCCCAGATGATTTCGCCATTCTGAATAAGAATCTCGTTGGCCTCGTCATGTGGGTTGGGGTCACCCTTCTTGGATGGCATGAAGATGTTCAATCCCGCTGGAAGACAAAGCGATGCTATCTGCTTTCCGGTCCAGCGCGGTGTGGGCTTGATTATGGCGGGCGGAGGCACAACCCCATCCCACGATGGAACCCAAAGAAGAATATTCATAACATGCTCGTAATCAAGGAAAACATCGCGCTTGGTCAGCATGTAAATGCCAGCCATAGTGTCCTGCACGATACCCATGAGGGGACCGTTCTTCTGCGGCGATACGATGTTGTGGGGTACCGCACAGAGGTTTGCCACCTCTGCCCGCGTCTCATGGCCCTGAGGAACGTGCATGTTCATCTCGTCACCGTCGAAATCGGCGTTGTAGGGTGAGGTGACGGAGAGATTGAGTCGGAATGTCGAGTAGGGCATGACCTTGACTCTGTGACCCATCATGGACTCCTTGTGAAGCGATGGCTGACGATTGAAGATGATGTAATCTCCATCGACAATGTGTCGCTCGACGATCCACCCAAGCKGGAGCTGGATGTCTTCGCGGCGTTTGTGGTACCGGATATCAATGCGCGATCCGTCTTCGCGTATAATGTGCTTCGCACCTGGATGGTCATCCGGACCTGCGCGTACAAGCTCCGTCATCTTGTGAATATTGTACACGGTGACGCGCTCGGGGAAGGTCAAGATTTTGGCAGTGGAGATCGGGCAGCCAACCTGATCAAGATCCAAGTTCGGATCGCCCGTGATGACAGTACGAGCAGAGAAATCGACTCGCTTGCCCATCAAGTTGCCTCGTAGACGACCCTCCTTGGACTTCAGACGAGCACGGATGGCCTTGAGCGGCCGACCGCTCTTCTGGATGGCTCTGGGTAAACCAGCAATGTCGTTGTCCATGTAGGTGGCTACATGATACTGCAGCAGGTTGAAGAACTCCTCCACGACGTGCTGTGGCAGGCCTTCCTGCTCGCAGCGTCGAACGTTGCCATTGGCTCGAATAATGTCAGAGAGTTTGTAAGTCAAATCGTCCTCGGATCGCATTCCCTGGCTGGTTCCATCGACGGAAATGCTAGGGCGCACGGCAGGCGGAGGTACAGGGAGCACGGTGAGAATCATCCATTCGGGCCGTGCGTAGTCAACGTTCAGACCGAGACGATGCAGGTCCTCCTCGGAGATGTTACGAAAGATGTTGAGCGCCAACTGCGGTGTGATGTTGCGCTTTTCCAGACCACCCTCGTCATTGTTCTCCTCGGTCTTGGCCAGCTTCCAGGTGCCATTCAGTGTCAAACCAGCTCTGCGAATGGTTGGCTGAACGTTACCGCAACCGCCATGGCCTGGCATCTTAGGCTTCTTTGGATCATCACCAAAGGCCTCATTCTCGTCGGAGGGCTCATCAGCAGAGCAGTCCATTTTGGATTTGCAGAGCTTGACGACGGCCTCAAATCGCCGCTTGGGGTCGCGAACCTTCATAGCAAGCGCAAATTGTGGATTGCGCTAGGAGGAGTCTGTAAGCACTATAACAAGAAAGGCAGACTTACTGGGGGGATTCATGACTTACTTCGTCTTCCAAGAGCTTCCCGCAATTGTGACAAACCGATTCGAGGATTTTCTTGATCTTAGTTACGAAGCCTGATCACGTGATAGTTAGCACGAGTGCCGCTTAGGACGTCGCTGAGAAGATACTTGCCGACATGAAATACCGGTGCAGCGAGCTCGATGTGACCGAAATGCCCAGGGCATTCCTTCTGAGTCTCGCCGCAGGTTGCACACATCGTACCGCGGTCGATGGTGCCGAGTTTCGGGTCATTGAGGCCCTTCTCGCGCGGCTTGTTCCGCTGTTCATCCATGGTCTCTGGATATTCGATATGACATACGCTCATGTTCTTGATTTCCTCTGGCGAGAACAGACCAAACTGAATTTCCTGCACGGTGCGCAGTGGCGCCTGCGAGTGTTCGAAGGTCGCCATGGTGGGTGGCTTTTGTCCGGAGACTGGATGTTATCAAGCACGTTGTTTCGTGGATGAAGAGCGCCCGTCGAGAAGTTCCTCTTCAAGACTGCTGGCGTTTCCCACGCGCACGCGCCGATAATCACTCCAGCTCGCTGCTGCCTTTACTGCACGAGTCCGCCACCTCTCCTTTCAATACCGCGCGACCTCGCCTGGAGATCCGCTTTCGCGCCGTTGCGGCCCTGCTTTCCTTCCCTTTCGCCTCAATTACTACTGTTTCGGWGGATGCGGGTCGYGTGCTGATGATAGCAATGCGCGCGGTGCGCTGGTAGTGATGACAGATATGTCTGCGGCGCGCCTCAAATGGCTGATCCGTCGGGCGTCGCAATCTCCACACGACCAGGACTGTCTTCCCGTGGTATTTGCGTAGGCGACTGTCGAAATCGCGGGGAGCCTGGCGATGTTCGATGGGGTTGACGTGTTGGTGTGCGGATGCCGATGCAGTTGTCTTGAAGGCGTCGAGATGTTCGCGAGCCCAAAGCCTAATGCGGCAGCGCGGATCTCACTCCGCGATTCGGTCACCTCACTTTTATTGGTAACACTTTCTTTCTCCCCCGCGTCCATCTCACTTCAGCAGTTTCGTTGGCTCATGAGTGAGAACAATCGGATCAATGCACATCGGCGAGAGAGAAGGCATTGTTCGCTAGAATCAATGATACCGCCCCACCGCCCTGATCAACAGCTATCGCGCTGAAGCAAGGTGAGGAATGGTCCTATAAGTACCAACAGACACTCTTCGCCCGCAACATGAATCTGCCACTGGGAGACCCAGTGCTACTAGCGCAGGACATTCCCGAGACGCTGACGGCGCGACTCCGCTCTGGTGGACAGGCAGTATGCATGCGCTTCTCGCACCGCGGTGATTTACTCGCGTCCGGAACTGCCAAGGGCACAATCGCCATCTTCGACCTCGAGACGAATGGCGTGGCGCGTAAGCTCAAGGGCCACACGGCGGGGCGTACGGTGCAGTCGCTATCATGGGAGAAGAGCGGGCGCTACCTGCTGAGCAGCAGCGTCGATTGGAAGGTCATTCTGTGGGACTTGCAAGACGGGAGTCGCGTGCGCACCGTCAACCTGGSCGCACCGGTCTACATCGCCGAGCTGCATCCATCCAACTATCTCATGTGCGTGGCTGCACTGTACGAATACCGGCCAGTTCTCGCAGACTTCACTGACCGCCTCAATGTGCGCCAAATGGCCCTGCCCAACCTGCCTCGCCGCGCTCCGCACGAAGAAGGTGGTGAGAAGGCGGACGCTAAGCACTTCACTACCGTCGCCGCTTTCACACCCACGGGCTCCCACATCATCACCGGTACTACAAAGGGCTGGCTGAACGTAATCAGCACGGCCACGCAAGAGACCGTCTATAGCACGCGGCTGTGCAGCAAGCCGATTCTGCTCATTCGCCTGAGCAGCTCGGGACGTGATCTGCTGGTCAACGCTTCGGATACCATAATACGGACCATCAAGCTACCAGACCTCTCCTCGCCGACCTTAGAGCCGGACAGCATTCGGTTGGATGTGGAGCATAAGTTCCAAGATGTGGTAAATCGACTCTCATGGAACCACGTGGCCTTTAGCAGCAATGCTGACTATGTCATGGCATCCACTTTGATGAACCACGACATCTACATCTGGGAACGCGGCCACGGGTCGCTGGTGAAAATTCTCGAAGGGCCAAGGGAAGAGCTGGGCGCAGTGGAGTGGCACCCAACCCGTCCGTTTGTGGCCGCGACTGGAGTGGAAAGTGGTAGGATATATCTCTGGTCCATCAACACCCCTCAACGCTGGAGTGCGCTCGCTCCAGACTTCGCGGAGGTGGAGGAGAATGTGGAATACATCGAGAAGGAAGACGAATTCGACATCCAKGACATCACTGAGCTTCAGAAGCGTCGTTTGGATCAGGAAGATGAGGAAATCGATGTCTTGACAGTGGACGCAGAGCAGCTCGAGCGCGAGGGCAGAGACGCCAAGGGTGGCGCGGTCAAGGCAAAGGATGAGTTTCGTATGCCGGTGCTCCTCGACATGGGGGAGAGCGATAGCGAGGATGAAATGGTTGCGATTGGCACCGGACAGTTCAGAAGGAAGAGCACAGCTCAGGCCGATGAAATAGATTTCGTGGACGGAGACGATGATGAAGTTGAGATGAATGGCAATACTGGATCAAAGCGGCGTAGGGAGAATTGAACCTGGCAACCGGACGTCAGGTAACTTAGCAGGGCTCAACGGAAGGAAGCCTTGCGTCTCAGGGATGGCCGATGTTCAAGACCTCCCCTTTAGCATCGGAGATCTGCGAKCTGTCTAGACGCACGCGCAACGAATGGGCACGTCGTGGATCGATGTATGCCCTTCACAGACCAGACGTGCTGTTTGTAGGGTGACTCAAGAGTACGCGATTACCTTGGCTGAGTACAGCAAGATGACAGTGTTCACACGGCCATCCCCAGTTGCTTCGGCAGAATCGATGCCGTAGTACTGTGCAGTCAGCGTACGCCACCACGGCCAGTCTCAGTTTAGGCTGCCCGGCCACGATAGACAGGACGTCGAATCGTTGATGATTAGATCTCAAGGCCATTGAGAAGCACAGCTCTGGAGGTGGCATTATGCGCATATGCGAATATTGTCAATGAGATTGGAAGTAAAGACGTACGAGGGTCAACAAATCCGGGGGCTTCAGTCGAAAACACATTTCAGAGTATCAAGCCTAGCCTGCCTAGCATCGGCTCTGCCTCCTTCTGACCCTGTCTATTCGTTGACGGTGATAACACGTGAAAAACTGCTGACCTGGAGCATGACGATACGTCGACCGCAATAAGCAAGAATTCGAACATGCGGGATACCTCAAAGATATGTGTACGGACCAGGTGTACCACCAAATCAGCTATTCACATCAGTTTTTGGCCTCGCAGTGTTCCAATGTATGTCTCGAATCCATCTTACGATGCGCGATTGGCACATCTTGTCCTATCCTTTGATCCTCTTTGATCATATCCGCAGCTTTCTCGGCAATGCCATACAACGAACTGCTTAAGTGCGCACTCAGTTGAATGGGAAGAACGCTTGCATCCACGACGCGTACATTCTTCACCCCGTACAGTTTCAGTCTGGAGTCGACGCAGCCGCCAAGCTCTTCTTTCATCATGGAGATGGTTCCAATGTAATGCCACACACTGGTGAAGGACTTCTWGACCCAATCCTCCCATTGCTTGTGATCAGCTCCGTCTGGGACAATCCCCAGACCGGGCATGTGCTCACCTTCGACATACTGGGATAGTGGCGCTGTACGGAAGACTTCTCGAGACTGCTTGTTAATCTCTGTTTGGAGAAGAAGATCCAGCGGATGGAGCAAGTAGGATGGCTCAACAATAGGGTGATTCCAGGTGGAGGGGCTATTGATATGGACGTTCCCCCTCGACATGACGATGAGGTTCCAATTATCAATCCCTGCATATGCCTGTTCAGGCCCGGTAGTTTTGTTCGAAGCGGGTGTGATCGTGAAGAAAATCTCAGCTGCTGCAACATCTGAAGCGTTGAAAAGGTTTTCTAGCTGTGCAGTCAGAATGGTCTCGGTGCCGCTGGCAGAGGTCACGAGGCCGGACTTTTCGAGTTGTGCAGCAAACGTTGGGAGGCTGGCTTTGGTATCGTCGTACACCTTGCTCGCCCGTTCCGGACCCAAAATATGTGCTGCGGCTGGGAAAGCTATAGCAGAAGGAGGGCCTGTACCTTCAAAGTCGACCTCTGCGCGAGCCTTAAATGACACGGTGTTCTTGGTCTGTTCTTGCATATTCTTCCCAATTCCAGGGATCGCGTGTCGAAGCTTCACCCCGGCAGCAGCGAGGACATCCGGATTGCCAACCCCAGAAATTTCAAGGAGCTGGGGCGAGCCTAAAGATCCAGCTGCGACGAGAACCTCGCGGGACGCTGCAACGAAGTGCACAGCCGCATTTGGTGCGGATTGCAACCGTACCCCTGAAGCAGCGAACTTCCCATCAGAGTCGCTCCCATCTTTCCATACAATCTCMGTCACTCGATGCCCAGTCAAGATCACATAATTAGCCCGATCATGCACTTGATGTTCCGCATAAGCAGTAAAGGGGCTAGAGCGGTTCTGCCTTTCGTCCGGATACACCATGTTGGGGATGATCGTGGCCCCTGTGGAAACTCCCGAAGCGGCGTCCATATTCCTCGTGAGACCTTTCCATACCTTTTGACTGGCCTCCAGAGCTGCAAGTTGGCTGCCACCAAACATGAACGCTCCAAAAGCGACTTGCACTGGTCCCTTGTAGCCCTGGAAGAGAATGTCAGAATGCAAATCTATTACACGGCTTTTGCTTGTGCCTTACATGAGAGGCTGGATCATAACGAGCACCCTTCAAGTCGCGTTGCTCGTCGGTGGGCGGGTGGAAGTGCTCAGCTTTCTTCATATATTCTTCGATACCGTTCCATCCCCACGAATCATCTCCTGTCAGTACGGGCAGCAAATTATACTGTGATTTCGGGCCCTTTGTCCAACTCGCTCCGTTCAAGCTCCCACTACCTCCTAGTAGTTTTCCAGCTACGAGGAGTTGCTTCAAACCTTTCTGCCATTCAACGGGCGTTGAGCGAAGACCMTGATCCAGCTCGGCGTTGAAAGCCTCGCCGTATGCCCGCACGTCATGGACTCGTCGATCTTCGTAATTGCCGTAGCCTTCCTCAACGACGAGGACTTTGATGCTGGGATCTTCGGTCAGGCGACTCGCTACTGTGAGCCTAGATGTCGAATTAGCTCATCGAGTAATGCTTCCGTGTCTGCAGGCTTTCAGTACCCAGTCAACCCACCTCCCTAAAATCAAGACATGGAATTAGTCACAGGTCTACAGATTCAAGATCCAAGCCTGTGGGCCACTTACACAGACGATATAATCAAATACATGGTCGGCGATGCTTGCAGTGGAGTTTGTTTCTCCTTCAAACGCCGCGCGACGGAGGTTTGAGGGAAAGGCGAGGACCATTGTTAATAAGCATGCTAGATGCACAAAACAGTACGTAGAGGACATTGTGATAGAAAGTAGAAAAGCCATCAAGGGGTGAAAGACATCTAACTGGAAAAGTTGGGTCAAATGATGAGGCAAATGACGCCAGGTACCCTCAGTTGTTGTCTGGATCCGCTGCTTACCTTTATATCGTTCAAGAGAGCATGTCGTGGGCTAGATAACATGCTAGTCTCGGTCTTTGTACTACCTGTCTTCGTACTGGGTGAAAAGTCCTCGACAGCATCGAGTTTTAGAGCCGTGACTGTCGATCCATGCCGAAAGATCACGCGCAACTTAGAAAGGCACGGCATGGCCATCTCCTCTGGGGTCGCTACCAGCACTCCAAACTCCTCTTCCTTCCACAGGATCGACATGCCATCGAATGATCTGCCCTTTACCGAAAAGTGACCGGTTCATACCCTTGACGACCTCAACTTTGTGTCCTAGCTTTCTCATCCCATCAATCGTCTCCTGACTCATGCCATCTTCGAGATAGACAGTTCTATCCATGACATCGCCGGCATCAGGCATACCGGCACCAATGCACACTCTTGGAGCATCCAGCGCAGCTTGTGGCGTAAGCCCAAAGACCAATTGGTTCAGCAGTACCTGCACGTGTCCCTGAGGCTGCATGAAACCACCCATAACACCATAGACGCTGTGTAAGCTCTGATCGCTGGAGTTGGTTACTAATGCCGGAATGATGGTGTGGTAAGGTCTCTTGTTCGGCTCCAGAATGTTGGGATGATTTGTGGGTTGCAGAGCAAAGTTTGCAGCCCGGTTTTGCAGAGTAAAGCCGCAACCCTTGGGAATAATGGCAGTGCCGAATCCAGCGTAGTTKCTGTTGATGAACGAAATGGCATTACCTTCGCTGTCACTGCACGCAAAGTAGACTGTGTCGGAGGATATATAGGCAGGTGAGCCGTGATCAACCTGAGAGCTGGCTCTCTCTGGGTTGAACAGCTTTGCTCGCTCCGCCAGGTACTCCGGGCTGATCATGCCCTCCGAAGGTACTTTGGACACGTTCGGATCCGCGATCCACCAGTTTCCATCCGCGAAAGCTATACGTAACGCTTCGACAACCGCGTGGAGATATGTGGCGGAATTGTGATCTTCGCGGCCAAACTTGGGAATCTTGCCGGCCTTCTCCAACTGCTCGATTATTCCCAATGCCATCAAAGCGACGATTCCCTGGCCGTTTGGCGGATGCTCCCACAATTCGATGCCCTCCTCACTTTTGTCGTCCATGTGCTCGCCGTGTGACTTGCTGACATTTTGTGCTTGAAACTTCAGGCTGATTGGCTTCGTCTCTTCCGTACCCACGTCCATGTGATTCTTAAGATCTTCCAAGGTCAAATGGCCTCCAAGATCCTGAACCACCTTCACCAGCTCTTCCGCAATTCGACCCGTGTAGAACCCAGCCTTTCCGTTCTTCCCCACCTCGCGGAAAGTTTTGGCCAATGTCGGGTTCTTCATAATCTCGCCTGGCGCAGGTGCTCGGCAACCATCTGGAGCTTTGGGGTCATTCTTAAGCATTTCAGCAAAGTTGGGCGAGGCGTTCCGTATCTGCCTTTCGGATCTCTGCCACTGTTGCTTGTTAGCATACTACACCTGCCCACCCGTCGACAGACAATCTCACATAGTATGCCTCAATCTCGCTGACGGGGAAACCCTCCTCCCCGATCCTTGCAGCGGGTTCCAGAATCTCTGCCAGGCTGAGCTTCCCACTGCCGAACTTCTCAACCGTATCAACCCAACCGGCCGCAGCGCCCGGTACCGAAACAGCATGTACACTCGATGTTGGGATCCCGCCGACCTCGCCATCTTTCAGTCCCAAGCTCTTCCTGATCGTCTCCAACGAGCAGTTTCGACCAGACCGTCCTGAGCCGTTCATGGCATGCACTTTCTTGGTCGCTGCATTGTAGAACAAGCAAAACATGTCACCTCCAATGCCCGTGCTGCCAGGTTCCGCTAGGTTGAGACCCGCTGCCACTGCCACGGCTGCATCGGCGCAGTTACCACCCTTGTTGAGAATCTCGATGCCACATTTCGCGGCGATTGGTTGCGAACAAGAAACGATTCCCTGCGTGCTGTGGACAACGGACCGGCGGGAGGGAAACGCAACATACTTGGGGTTGCTCGCTCCGTAGAGCGCGGAAGTATTGAGAGGCATCGTGGCTAGAAGTGAGTAAGAGCAGGAAGAATGGAAGGGTATCTAATAGAAGGAGGGGGCGGTAGAAGCAAGGGGGAACGATGCGGGCCTGCCTATACGGAGGCCGGGGAAGCTCTTCAACTTATGTACGCAGATGGCTCGGCCGTGACTTATCTGGTATCGCGCTGGCTTATACTTGGCTGCTGTCGTCCTGATTGATGGCCCGCGCGGGCAAGCAGCAATGTCCGATTTACCCACTCGAGCCGTCGGCGACGTCGGCCTACCCACCATGGAGGAAGCCCCGCGATGATGACTTTTGATCGATGCATGGGTTGTGCGGCTGGGGCCTGGCTGGCCGAAGCCGCCATTCTTGGAGGTCTGCTACGGTGGACTTTTAGCGACTTCCCTGCAACAACGCGATCTAATATAGCTTAACGCTACTAAGTGGAGTAATTTCATACCTCGCTTATTAATTCAATTGCCCGTACAATTACATGTAATAAACGTCGTTATTTGCTTGTGTGTGTATAATATTACCGTCCCGTTATTACTTAGTTACCGGTCCTAATATATAACGGGTTTCGGTTACCTATATCTTACTTTAATGCTGCTATTATATATATACTTCTACTAGTAACTTATTATACGCGTAAGAGTAATATTTATATACTATAAGACTCTTCCCTCTACCCTTCTACCGTCTTCCCTAGTCCTCCTAATAACTACTATATTTAATACTCTAATTAGTACTCTTACTACCTATCCTCCCCTCTTTGCTCTATTCTACCTCTCTATATAATAACCGAGAAGGAAGTTCGCCGCTTCGGTATAGGCGACGTCGACCTATAGGATATATACTACTCGTYRGACGATAATAGTAATCTATGCCTTATAGTTAACGACGATAATATAAGTAAAGATAATCGCCTTGCCTAGACGAGACTAACTAGTAYAATCTAGCTTAAGACTAGTAGCCTCTATATTACTAAGGAAYAGGCGGAGATAATCGATACGGCGAGTAGCTACGCCCCGAAAATTAAGAAGACCTAGRACCCGGCGAAGTAGATAATACTTAGAGACCGTAAGAACACTATAGACTYRATAATTATCTAGAGCCGGTTAGTAYAATTACTTCTAATTAAGATCCGAGYATCCTTACTAATAGATTCGTAGCGGTAATATTATTAACTAGGAATATACCGCCTACTAAGGCCGGCCGATCCTAAATAAGAACGAGCGAAAAGAGGGTAGAGGCCCTTAGAAGGTACTCTTTCTCCGCCTTCCTC